GTCATTTCTAGCTTATACATATCTTAATGCTGGGACTGTATTAGTAGTCTAGTCCAGTTCTCATCCTAAAGGGAAGAGAAAATACTTTATTTTCCTCTTTTGCCTGCAGGGAACAGTTTTTCATTATCCATGCCATTTTTGCCCCTTTCCTTCCCATGATCCTCGGCTTTCTGTATATAAATGTGGGGTTGAGAAGAAATCCAGCTGATGGATGTACACTGCACCCATCAGCTGCCTCCGCTAACACGGTAATTGAAATGGTAATTTTCAGATACAGGATGATGACCTGTGTTCAGCCAGAAATCCCGGGCCTTATTGGATAATGAACAGAAGAGAATCGTCCCATCAAAACTCATTGACTATTCACTTGAATTCAGCTGCGTTGGGTTGTTTTTTATGCACATACATGAAGTAGTCTCTGCCTCGATAGTTTTTCCTCTTTTTTTATTTACACATCTGAAATACAAGGTCTGATAAGCTAATAGATTTTAAATCCCCCCTCATGGACTCAGTGTGCATACCTTCAACATCTCCTTTCTGTTTCATGAGGACAATATGTCTGAGTGGGTGTGTGTTGCAGGGATTGTCCATGAGGGTTTGCATAAATGTGTTTCATCCAAAAACCTTGACCGTTCCTTTTTCTTCTGCATAAATTCATTTTATTTTCTTTCCCAGAGCTCTCTCATTGTGTTTGGCATGTGACCTGATAGTCAAAAGTGGTGTTACTTGTGTTGTATGCCAGACAGGTAGCTTTGTTTTTTTGTTATTCAAATCATTATCTTAATTGCTTTGCAGAGCTTTGAGGGTTTAAAGGTGGCTGATTAGTGAACCTGAACAATCAGCTCACGGTGACCGGCTCTTTTTTTTATGCTGTTCCTGTCTCTCTTTGGTCTCTCGCCAGACAATAATACAGCAGTTGCCCCCTTCCACACAACACACACTCCCTTGCACACACATTTAGCAATTACTCAGACTAATTAACAATTTGGCCATTGAAATAATTACCTCTAGTAGAGCAGAGAGGCACATTCAATACTTAGTTCTGCTCTTTATTTTGGCCCAGTTGTGGACTGGCTTAATTTTTTGTTTGTTTTTTGTTTCACTGTTAGATTAATGCAGATTTCAGCCACAGTAGCGCTTTATCAGAGACCCTCAAAGCGCTTTACATTAGATACATCATTCATTCGCTCACACAGTCACACCCTGGTGGTGGTAAACTACCTTAGTAGTCACAGCTGCCCTGGGGCAGACTAATGGAAACATGGCTGCCAGCTTGCGCCAACGGCCTCTCCAACCACCACCACACAACACTCACAATCATACACCAGTGGAGGACACACACTGGGAGCAAGGAGGGTCAAGTGTCTTGCCCAAGGACACAACGGACAGACTAGGGATGGGGGGAATCAAACCACCAACCTTCCAGTTATTGGACTATGTTTATGTTTACCCTTTTTAGACTTAGATATTTTAAAGTTCCTCCTATCGGACAAGAGCAGTGGCAGGCATAGGAAGATGACGTCATATGATGTTGGCGGACTCTACTTGGCTGACAGTTTTTGCATTTCCATGGTTGGTTCGTGCAAACAGTCAGATGTGCGGACATCTTCTCTGTCTCATTTTAAAAAATCAATCGCCTTCTTTAACTTTAGATGTTTGTAAATTGGAATTTCCCTTTGTGGGATCAATAAAGGAGCATCTTATCTTATCTGTCTTAGCCTGTCACGTGCCACTCTTGTTTTGCCTCCCTTTGGTTGGCTCACTCTGACTCCTTGTGGAAATTTCATAAGGGGGCCTGCAGGAGAAAATCCAGGTAAACTTGGGTAAATCCGTGCTCCTTCACACATCCCTTAAATTTTGGCCAGATGATTAAGTTTTGTGAATTTGAGAATACAGATCTGACACATCCCTCATGGTTGATGGTTATTTTGAGGTAACTGCTTCTGGAGGTTGAGTGGTAGAGGTTTCACTTGTTAGCTTGCAGAAAATATTTTTACCCACAAAGACATATTCAGACAAGAAAAATCAGAGAGACAGTTCAGCCTTTTAGTCGGCCCTCACTGACTAGCCTGCCTCAGTTGAGAGCTTTTCCTCTTGTCCTCTTAAACTCTCCTCTACTTTTGGCTGCAAATATTTGTTTCAGACTCAAATTCAAATGAATATTTGTCCAACTATATGTGGAGAGGTCAGCAGGGGGAATCTATCCGTCTCTAAAGATCCCAAATTCAAACATGTTAAAAAATAGTTTTAGGCTTCTTTAAAAAGAAACACCTGAAGTTCTTTTTAATCCCTGCTCTACCTGCAGGAAAACGCCAACCTTTACATTCCAAACAGATGCACCGCTCATGGTCTAAAGTTTTGGAAATTCACTGAAAATTTGGCTTAACACCCTACTAATATACTCCTTAAGAGATTCAGAGAGCTTGTCAAAACTGTGTAGCCCTGATCTTTGGGCTCTCATTGCATTGAAATGAGTTTGTAGTGGAAATCACTGAACTGGCTCAAAATTACTTCCAGAATCAGAGAACACAGCTCATCACTGGATCCACAAATGCAGATTAGAACTTAACCATGCAGACTTGGGCTGAGGCCATTTTTTTAAAACCACTGCACTCTTAAAAAGTCAGCATCTGTCAGCTACTTCACTCATCTGTGAAGGCTCCATCAATGCTGAACAGGTTTAGGAGCAACATCTGTTGCCACCCAGACAGTGACGTTTTCAAGACAGACCTTCGTATTTCAGCGAGACAATGACACAGGGATTCTGCAGGGATTACAACAGCATGGCTCTGTAGTAGAAGGGTCCAGGTGGTATTACAACAAAGGAGATCTTGAACCCTTAAACAGCTGAAATTAGAATTACATCCTTTTGAAAAAGCCTCAAAACACCACAGCTTTGCATTTTAGGTAATTTTGAATCCAGTCTTTCTTTGCTGCAGCAATTGAAGGAAAAAGTTGCAAAATCCTGATGTCAAATCCTGAAGAGGGAATTGGGGGCCAGGCGTATCGACTCATGGTATAGACTTGCCCAGGTGTGGTTTTGCAGCACTTACTAATATCATCTCTGCAATATTGTGTTTAGACTACATTCAGCCATGCAGCAAACTCTGACACCCTGCAGCTTCAGGCAGTCTGAGAGGTAGTCTGATGCAGAAGAGGGGGAGAGGGCTCTTCATCATGCTTCATTTCAGGTCCTCAGTGCCCTCTGGCGGTCCTCAGAGCAGGAGATACCCAACTCTTCTTTCCTTCTTCAGCTAGTCGCGCTATTAATAGCTTAGTGCCGCTCCAGCTCCCATTGTTAGTCCTGGCTGGTTGCATACTGCACAGAGGGCAACGTCGCATGAGTTTCAGACCAGAAATATTGTGTGTCTGTGCTTTTTAGAGCAGGGCTCCAAGTGAAGAAAACTCTAAAATCTTCATCCATTTATGATGATAATTCCTTAAGAGATCAATATGGTATGAATGAAATGAAGGAACAGCCTTTTTCTTACAATATACACAACAAATATTTATAAGGAGCTAAATATATCATAGTTAAATTTCTGTTTCTAATAACACAAACTCATATTAAAATAAAAACTAATGACAGAATTTTCACCAAACATTTAGTATGACTCATCAAACATTTTAAGCCAGTATTGCATATCAGAAGTCATAAATTATTATTTCTACAGGTAGGAGAAACTAAACAGCTCTTCGTTGGGTTGAAAGCTGTCAAAATGTGGGGAAAATCATGAACATCATAAGAAGTTTGTAACTGGTTCCAAGACTTTTGACAGTGAATGTTAGTTTAAGTGTTCATGTGTAGGCTTTTTAAAAAATTTCCTTTAAGTTCTGATCTGTTAAATACAGAACCATTTGTAAAGAAGTGTGTCGCTCTACATATTTGCAGAATGGGGATTGTCTTTATGTAGCTTATACAGTGTGAGTGTACCCTCTAGTGGTCGCCTTGAAGAACTGAAACTGGCAACCTTCAAAGTACTGCCACTGTGAAGAGATATTGAAGCCTTTTTCAACCCTTCATCCATTAGCCCTATACACTGTACCTTACTTAACAGTCTGCGGTGAAGTTTCACTTCAGAGAAAGATCCAGAGAACTACAGCTGCAGGCTTAAGCAGAAAAAATCTGACCAAAAAAAAAAGGAAGCATATCCCGTATAAAAAAACATACGGTTCAGTTCTGCAAGGGTGGTTTTAACGAAATTACACAACAGAGTGGAAATATTTAAATCTTCAGCTTGATTCTTTGGGGACCGAAAAACATTTCTGTTTGAGAAGTGTTCGTAAACAGAAGTGTTAAAAATATTAAAGGGAACTGCAAGATTAAAGTCAGACTTCTAAAAAAAAGTCAGAATTCTGAGTTCTTTATCAGAATTATATATATATATATATATATATATATATATATATATATATATATAATATGTTTTTTCTACCAGTGTAGTTTCAGCACTAGTCCACCTATTCATCTTTTTTTCGTCCTTGTTTTTTTTTTTGTTTCCCATTATCTAATGTGATTGTAAAGTTATGCCAGCCATTCAAATTTATAACATTCTTAAGTGTATTTGATGTGCTTATAAATGAAGCTTGCTGCGATGAAATGAAGAGGACAGAGAAAGAGCAAAGTCTGATCAGGTCACTGCTCTCCCCCCCTGCTGTGTTGGTCTGTATGCTCTTCCTCCATCTTCTTTTCAATTTAGTAAAGGAAGCAATGAAAGAAGACAAAAGAACAAAGGGGTAAATTGTTTCTCATTTGCCTCTGTTCTGGATTTTATCCCCCTATATCAAAACTCATAGACTTGTTCTGACTGCTTGGTCATACCGCCTTTAGTTCATTCATGCACACTCAGTCCCTTTTTAAATATATTCTCCCATGTTGACGCTGCTGAGTTGTAATCATCCTAAAAGTTTGATGAATGCAGTAAATCTGGTGAGAGAGGGAGTAGAGAGGAGTAGGATGAGGTTATTTAAGAAATAGATGAAAATAGTGATGCAGAGGATTAGATAACACCTGACTGTATCAGCGTTTTATTGTTTCACAATGGCAGTACAGTGAAATTAACAGTTGCTCATGCTATTGAGTTCATGGATACATCACTGACATCTCTTACAGTGTTTCACATTATTAAGGTGGAGACTTATTATTGAGTTATTTAGGTGAAAGCTGTTGATTTACAGTACAATCCAGAAGAAAAACATTACTCGGATGTGTGCAATACTTTTGCTGTTTGACATTCAGTAGAGTGACACGCTGTACAAACAACTTACTTAGCTAATGCTGGTACATGTCTGTGAATGGCTCAACAAAGAAGGCATTTTATACAGTGGTTTTTGTGTGTGTGTATGTGATGTGTACATTCTCTTTTACGATGAACGCACACCTGTAAAGCAAACACCATGAGAGGCAAAAGCATCAGCCACTGACAAGATCAAGGAGTCAACGGCTAAAGGACATAATCTTTGAGCAAATACCGTTGACGCGCAAACAGAGACGAGTCGGACACTTTGCCATGGTGAGTATGAGAGCGTCACATTTCCTTAAGGCCCCGTTTAAACAACAAAGCTGTAGTGCCTTTCTTTTATATTACAACACTTAGTGCACTTTTTTTTTTTTTTTTTACCATCCCAGGAAAAAAGCTCACAGGGTCAAATGAACAACAGAGCTGACCATCAGCAGTGCTTCACCTGGGAACAGTCCCCGAAAAGGTCATTTCACTAGCGCAAGAGTAAAAAAGTGAATTAAAAAGATGTTAAAAAAGACTTGGTATTTAAGCTTGCATGTTTGAGAACCGCTCAGTCCAAATTTTCGAGGCGAGTTTCAGCCTCATGTGTTCCAACATGGAACAAATTATCGCTCTGATTGGCAATGTGATGGAGAAATTTAAGCAGTCCTGCCAGGCGAATTCAAAAGACACAGTTGGCCCATCTCTAGAGCAGGATTCACTCAAAGGGACTGTGGTGAAAAGGCGAAGGGAACCCCTCAGCTGGAACGGACCGGGGCCTCCCTATAAATCTGCCCAAAGAGGACTGACACCAGATCCTCAAGACACAAAGAGGTCTTTGTCAAGAGCACAGACAGACAGAGAGGATCTCTCTAAAGCTGGTCAACAAGTAAACCATAAACAGCTCCATCAGGGACTCTTCCTAAAACAGGAGCACAGAGGATATTATATAAGAGTTTCAGCTGGTCCACAAGCCTCTGCTTCAAGTAAAAAAACAACAATGACAGCCTGCACTCGCAGAGCCTTTAACATAGTTTTAAAAAAGGTACGGTTAAGCATGGTCACTGTGTGCAACGAGAGATAATCCAGTTTTTTTTTTTTTTACAAAGTGCAGCATTCATGTTAAGTTTGTGATAGAGTCACATTCACTGACAGTAGAAGAACCTCAGCATACGAGGGTAAAACATGTGAAAACGAAAAGAGTTTAAGTCTCCATCAGTCCTCCGTCACAATCAGATCTTTGTGTTGAAGGTGCAAAAATGGTGAAAAACAGCTTTTTTTTCTTTTCATTCTGTGACACCGCTCCATAACAATCATTAAAGAGGTGGTATTATGCTTTTTCATATTTTCACAGTTGAGTTCAAATCTCGAATTTCTACAGACAGTGCAGGGTGGATGTCACAATCACGCCGCATTGTTAGCTGGAGGGAAAATGGAGCAAAACTGGAGACAAGCAGGAGTCATTTCCAGAGGGGAGAGGAGACGTAGGAGTCTTAAGATGTGCTCTTGTTTGATAGTTTGGTGCCACAACGGGAGTAATAGTAACATCTCACAGGTGCAATACTAGTGTTTACCAGCCACCATGAAGACAACTTCAGGTAAACATATGACAAAGAAAAAAAAGAAAGCAGCAGAGATCATCAGAAATGCTCAATGACATGTATTTACTTTTGCATAAATAGATAATGTTATTTATATCATATCATTATTAGCCTCTGATTAGAAATAGGGGCGCTGTTGTGGGGAAAATTTGATTTCTATGATAACTATTTAGTTCCCTGGCTAACTTTATCTTCGTTAATAAGGTGAAATCATTTGTAGCCCTCCTTTGTACAACTTTCATAGCAATCAATTGCACATAGAAAGGAGTTAGAAATTTTTTTGTTTTTTTTTATCAGTTACATTTCAATGCCTGGCTATTACACCTTAGACAGACCTGTCAAATCATCCACTGAGCGTACAGGTCAGCCAGTCTGCTCCTGTTCATCAGTGTTAAATAACTAAACCCTAACATAAAGACATCTCGTATATCTCAAGAGATGTGTCACTTTTGACAAAAACAGACCAAAAACAATTTGCTAGCTAATGCTGGTTAACATGTTAGTGGGATTTTTTTTTGCTCCGCCCACAAACATGATAACATGAATTAACACTAAAGGGTTAACATGGGCAAAGTTTCAAATTGTGAGTTAATCCCGGTGTGAGACATCAGGCTGCTCTGAATAGTTCAAAAACTCGCACAAGGCTTGGGTGAGGAGGACAGTAGATTTGCTCAACTTGTGACATCATCAATTGTTCAGTCTCCATTTACGAGAATTACAAACTTTTTTTATCCTCAAGAGCAAGACACTGCTCTACTCTACAATACTGAGGATGTTTTGTCCCTTTTTGAACTCTCCGGTGTCCGATTTGGGACCCAACATGTATAGCCACATTTCATAATTTTTCATTTTAAATAAAAAATAATGAGTTCATGGCATGGCAACAGCGGAGGAGGATTCTGAAATGTTGGGATCTGGAGTGCTGGAAGGGGGGGTGGGTTCTTAAAGAAACAGTACTTGGTTTGCAAAGACAGCAGCCTGAGATAAGTCAAGAATTATTTTTAAGCGTAAATAATTCAAAGCTTTATAAAGCTATCAGACAGATGATGTGAAGCTTGAAAATGAGCATAATACCCCCTCTTTAAAGTCTCCATCTGTCTCCTCTCACACAGAGATGCACAAACAGGTCATTTACATGTTGAAGGTATTTTCCTCTTCTCATTCTGTGGCACAGCTTGAATATTATTAACCATCTTTGTTATAAAAAACACAAGTTACCATTATTTTCTCATCTTCCACAAACACCCCAAAACTCTTTTTAACTTGTAAAAAAAAGTTATGGACAACGATTTTTACTACAAACACACTTCTATTGCTTCCTTTTGCTTTTTGAAAGCCCAGTAAAGCATTTCATCCGCTGTTGGACAACAGCCACATAAATATCCATGTTAATGTCTGAATTTTTGCACATTATGATGGATAGAATATGTTATAAATGTCTCTTGGTGCACAGCAGTAAGAACTCACCCACGTAATGTGCATCTTTCTTCAGGAGAAATGTCAGTGGTCACTAAAGCTGCAGGACTGTGAATATTTTAGTTACTTCTTCACTATGCAGAGAAGGACAACAAATCATCATCTGGTTGAGATGATCATTACAGGGTGTTTATATCGAGTGCTTTAAGGTGAAATCACAGTCAAAAAAAGCAGGTAATGAGTATTTCTGAAACATGATGTTGGATGTGAAATGTGATAAGAGCACAATGCTGCCCAGAGCAACGTCTGATAGGCAAGTGCATCAGCCTGCATCAACCTGCGCACCAGCATTAAGTGTCTTTGTCATCCACGCTGGATAGTAACAGTCTCCACAAGTCATATGGGACACACATGGAGTAAACAGGCACCCACAATGGGACTGCAGGCGACAGATGGAGGTCCCGGGGTGGGGGCAGTGTCTTTCGTGTCTTGGAGTGTATACGTGTATGTGTGTGTGGGCCTTAAAGGCACAAAAATCCAGTGGTATTCAGAGTTTTTTTTGAAGCAGAGAGATGCTCAGGGGCAGCAGAGAGTGTCTATGACCAGGTTGACGTCGATGCCGTACACCTCCAGCAGGTCGAGCAGGAAGGAGCGGTCGCCATTGGGGTCCAGCCCCATGGCCCTCATGTGCTCCTCGGTGAGGGTGGGATCATTGCTCCCTGCTACCTCAGATAGGGTCTGGAAGATACGGTTGTTCAGCTCCATGAAGAATCTGGAAGGAAAGGATGAAGAATAGCTGTTATCATAAACCTTCCTTCACGACATTTCATGACAACACAATAACAGCGCTCTCCTTAAGATGTAAGGTCTGTGAAAACACTTCTCAAGGACTCACAGGATGAAAAGATCCTCCTCATTAGAAGTGCAGTCTCCTTCAACTTCCTGAGAGTACAGCAACATTTGCCTGGGGACAAAAAGTCATCATCTATCATTACATGCCTGAAAAATTGAATCCTCTAGCCTCTAATTCTGCAGGTCCTTTTGTTGATCCCTCTGCAATTACAACAAAAATCTACCCTGTCCAAATTAGTGAGTTTTTTCAAATTTTCAGCATATCGACCTTTCTGCATGAGACATCACAATGACTGCCTCTGCCCCACATGGATAGCAAAAGGAAATGTAACCAATGGGAGGATAGTGTAGGTACCAGATGTTCTCCACTGGTAGGTTCAGCGTGGGTTTTATAATAAGCTATATGTATGTCTGTTTCAGTCTATGATTAGCTGTCTGTCTCCTGAGTACACCTGTCAACTCCAAGCTGAACTGTCCTCTAACAAAACCAAATAAGAGGTATTGTACTTAAAGGTTAGATTTCTCCATCATTCATCATTTTTAATGATGCTGGTTCATCCTAAGACCCACAAAAGCCAATTTCAGAGGTATTACCAATTTAAAAAAGCCAAATTTAGTTACTCCAAACCTTTATTAAGGGAAACTGTGCAGAACACAAGAGCCATTTCTGATTAAAAGAGTAAGAAAGCTGCAAAAGCTGTTTATTACACTCTTTAGTTGATGTATTTATTTGTGAAATCTCCTGGGCTGTGTTATGGACTTCTTTTGTATGCATAAGTGAGTGTATATGTTAAATTTTTCCTTTTTTGATATCTTTAAAATGTATTTTTAGTTTTTTGTGTCTTGATTTGAAACAATAGGACAGTGGGAAGGGCAGGAAATGAAATAAAACAGCAGAGCAGGACATGCAGGGAAGGAGGAGGTTTCTTTTTTTATTATTATTATTTATTTTATTTTTTTATAAAGACCATGAAAACTACAATCCTGAACTCTGCGTTTTTCTGTTTTCTTTAATTACGCTTTATGTGTGTTTGTCTCAATTATATGTCATCTGTTTCAGTCATCTGTTTCAGTCATCTGATTCGTCACATCTCACATCAGCATACTGACAGCGGTTTTCAAGTCTCACCTTGGAGTTAGATTTTATCTCTCAAATGTGTGTGTGTGTGTGTGTGCGATGAACTTTGTGACTAAAACGGATGACAACTCATGCTGTTAGATAAACACAACAACTGCTGGATTATAGACAGCAGAAGTTAGCATAGGAGCCAGTAAAGCCATATGAGTAGGGTGACGGCAGAGGCCTTAGAAAGTTTCTCTGTGTGTGAGTGGCCTCAGAGTGACTCAGCTCATTTGTGTCAGAGTCACTGACATTAATGAAAGGAAGGCTCACTGTGTTATGACACTTGGTTACTTTTGTGATTCCCAAATGCACCTCAAACACAATTATTTACCAAAAAAAGCTTGCCTTATGCCAACACCTACTCCCCAATTAAAGACATGACTGCATGTGTTCAATAAAACATTTAAAACATCAGATAATAGTAACAGGATCTTTTGGATTTAAAAACTAGTGATGTTTTAAAGGCGTACCTCTGTTCACTCAGTTTGCTGTATTTCTCTTTATCTGCAGCGTTCACTCTGAGCAGAGACTGTAGATGACTTTTGTGAGTTTTCACATTCTGGTTATCGACATAAACGTCGTACAGCTCCTTCTTCTCCTCGAAAATCTTCTCTGTGGTGCCTTAAAGAACAAACAAGCCCTCACATAAGATAACATTTGATGAGGACAACAGTTACGTCATCTAGTTTGTGCGGTAAGTTTACACTCACAGGCAACGTATGACATCTCTGTTTCCAGGGCGGGGATGTCGGCAATGTTGATGTAGAAGAAAGGCCGTAATTCAGGCACAGTGACACCAACTCCAGGTAAAGAAACATTGGCAAGGCAGCAACAGCAATACACTGAGAGGGGAGAAGAAAAAACAGAGAGTGAAATATTGTGAGGGAAAGACCATATCTTGAACAGTTTATAATAATAATAAAAATGAACCCTCTTTTACAGCATTTGACAAAATAGGGTTATAAAATGTTTTACGAATGGAAAAAGAGAAATCATGAAATGTTATAGTGCTGCAACTGCACAGTAAATTATGTTCCGAACTAAGTCCTGAATCGTCGCCCATTTTTGTTGGTTTATCTTCTGAATCTGTCAGTCTTGTTGTGTCCACTGTTGTGATAATGCTGATCCTGATTCAGACTCTTATATTCAGTGATACCATTTAAATAGCTCTGAGTGTGTTGAGGCTCTCACCCCTGTAACAGACGACGCCGACAGGTGGGGGCGAGAAAATGAGGATACGCTTCCTAAGCAGAGCAAACTTCCACAGCACCATGATCTGCTCCCCGAAGAACTGGATGAACTGAGACATGCAGCCAGCTGGATGGGTGATCTACGGGGGCCAAACAAAAAGGGATAAAAAGGTCATTTTCTGCTGAGCAAAACTGCTTTTATTGACAGTATGAGTGTGTTCACAGACCTTCATCTCTGGGTGCATGCAGCGGTTGATAGTGGTAACACTCCAGGTTGGGCAGGCGGTGACCAGACCGTTTCCTGCAGGAGGGAGCGTCGCCTTTTTATCATCATAGAAGGCCTCTAGTGGAGAGTATTGGCCCGGACACTGCAACTGGTGTCTGCAAAGAAAACAGCATGGGGAGAAAAAGGTGGAGTAGAAGAGAGAAAGAAGACTGTCAAGTCACCCAAGTCAAACCAGACTGGCAAAACACAGGAGACAGATCATGTCTGAGCATGTTTAAATAAACCGCATGTTCATTTGAACGCCCTGTCAGTGCTGCTCACATCTTCCATCCAAAAATGTTCTCTTGATCACTGTCTGCCAGAATGCACACCAGGGCGTGTCCAGACTTTTTTTGACAGGGGTGTCCCAATGTGGGCACTGACTCATACAGGAGTTGTATAAAGAGTATGTGCACTCTGAGCTGCAACCTCAAGCCTTGAGCAATGAAGCCAATGCAAAGGTGCTAAAAATTCTTCTAATGTTCACTTATGCAGGCTGCAAAATCCTAAAAACATTTTTTTTTTACAGAAACTGTACAAAAAACGTTTACAGACCGGTTCAAAAAACAACTTTAGTCTGAATAGCTAATTTTTCTATCCCTCACTTACTGTATAGAAGCTGTTTTTTTGATAACTGGATAATTTTGAAGACTTCATGAGTTTTTCAGAATCAGGCCTGGGCGATTTGGCAAAAAAAATGATCACGATATATTTTGTCATATCGTCTGATCTCGATTATTGTCATGATTTTTTTTTTAACTGCCTGTTTTAAAGCATCTGTCGAAAAAAACTAAAGAAACTAGAGATTAGTTCAACATTTTATCAACATACAAAGTAAATAACAAAGCAAATTGAATAAGATAAACTTAGAAATACATAAAAAAACATTTTAACTCAACAGTATAACAAATGTAGATAAACAGTCCTGAGTGTTTTTGCAGGTATGCAAGTCCCAAAATAAACAAATCGCCCTCTCAGAGATAATGAAGACACCTTAAAATGTAAACATTAGATGATGTAAACGTAAATGATACGATTATTCGCTGCCTAGGTCTGGTGGTTGCACTGCTAGTTGTGGCTAACCTGCTAATGCTAATGTGCCGTCAGCAGTGACAGGCTGTACAGACTCCGCTCACATTTTCACGCTTTCCGCATAATTATTGGGGGGGTACTTCTTCAAATAATTGAACAGATTTGTTGTGTAGCCAGTTTTTGAGGGCACCAATCGCCGACATACCTTGCTCATCGGCTTATTTACTCGACATCACTTTGGAGATACCCAAACCACCGCCACACAACCGATGTTGAATAACTTCTCAACAATAACATCTTTGGAGGATGACTCAAAGTCACGGCTGACAACTATCAGCTCTGTGTTTAGCTCCATGTTTGTTTGTACTTCTCAGGAAAAGCTCGACTTTGATTGGCTGTTGTGACGCACATTTCAGCCATGTTTGATCGAGTAAATATGCTCACAGCTGATCACCGTGATCGAACCGAAAATTTATCACGATCATCGATCATGATCATATAATCACCCAGTCCTAAATCAGGGTCATGGCTGACTTGGCTTTCAGAAGGCACGCTGTAGCTTTTAGCGAGGAGGATCACTTTACCTCTTGCTAACTTGGTTGCTGATTATTTTGGCAAATAAAGCAATAGGCAACCAGGAAGAAAGTCCAACAGTCACTTGCTGATAGGGGACGTATTGACTTCTAGTGTCAATAAATCAATTCTTACGTGTAGTTTGTACATTGGGGCAAGGACAGAAGTCAAATTAAATTGCCTGATGAAGCTTTAACAGTATATCGACCCAAAATTTTGTGCATGCAAACACACTGAGTGTTTACACTGTTTCTAGGGTGGCTAGCTGAATTTCAAGGAGGGGCCTATACCACCTCTGGTCACCCCCTAAACACGTCCCTGACTGCAAAGAAAGCACAATCAATCAGTGCCATTGAGGCCATTTTCATAATATATCTGCCCCTTTTTTATTTTAACCATTTAGTAATCACGATTGCCTTACTTTGGTTCACCATCTCAGGGGATATTTTCCATCTGCACCGAGTGTAAAAAACACACAGCAAACCAGACTAACAGTAGGCTTGGTTCTTAGGATCCTATCAGACTCAATTAGGTGGCAACCTGAGCCATGTGAATGTAACCTGATCATATCTTATACATAGTCAATGAGGGGATAAGCTTGTCAGTTAGAGGACTGCAGCAGAGGAGCAAAGCTACTGGAGAAAAGAAAGGAAATGAAAAGCGAGGCTGTCAAGGCTTCTTCCACTTCTGTGCCTACACTTTAAACAAAAACTGAATGTTAATGGTATCCTGTGATGAAAGCTGGAGCTGGGACTCTGAGTTCATGATAAATAGATGAGAAAAAAATGTAACAAAGCAGCAACAACAGGAGGCAGGAACTCAAGTGAAACCTGTGGCCGCAGTAGGGGAGGGAAAAAACGAAGGTAAACAGGATATCAAGAAAGTAGTTAATGCAAAAGAGGCTAAATAAAGAAAGACTGAAGGACACCAACACATGACGCACACATGGTTGACTTACCTAACTTGGTTCTCCAGGAAGTGCATGTAGCGGTAGAGCAGGGTGTAGGAGGGAGACAGGATTCCCACAGACTTCATCCTGGCTCCTCGCTCCAACTCGCTCTCCACAGGCATGTTCGCAAAGCAGGCCAGCCCAAAGTAACAGCCTTTACGGAAATATCTACCCAAAGGCAAAACAGGGAGGAGGAGGAGTAAACACAGAGACAGATTTCCTGCAGGGATTGAAGAGGCAAATGTTCCCTCTCAGGACTAGATTTCATGCTTCCTTCCTTGTTTAGAAAAGGTACATACATGAAGTCATTTGTGATCCGATGGGAGCCGCTGGCCATCGATTTGAATTCAACTCCATCCAGGTTGATGTCATGAGGCAGGCACCACTCCACAATGTTCCCTGAAAATCACATAAAAACAGAAGAATTACTTCCTCTTTTCTCTACTTTCATTTTTGCCTCTTCCCTTCATTCTGTATGTGAGTCATGAGGTGTCAGGAGGTCAGAGACAGTAAGAAAGCACTGACTCAGCAACTGTAAACACCTGACATACACTGACATCTTGGCCTTGTTTAGAGGTGTCAGTGTATGGCCATCCTTTTTTCTGTTTTTATGAGTAACTTGTCATGTTTATTTAATACTCTATACGAATTACACCCTCATTCAATAAAGGGTATGTGCGTTCCAATGCACCATTTACTCAATACTGTCTTGCTTAAAGTAAATGCAACGGCTTGGGAAGTTAAATAAGGAAGTTGCTATTTCAAGAAAGCATTGTCAAACGTGGTATTATTTTATCACCACTGATGGGCGCATAAATTTCGTTCCGTTGTCTAAATGTTTGGCAACCTCTACTAGGTCCATACCAGTGTGCAGCCATGGCTCATTAAAACTCACTGAAGCTCATCATAGAATAATTTGGTTTACTTAATCTAAAACCGAGTACTTGACGTTTAAGAGATATGTCATCACAGAAGTGCACTTGCCCCCTTTAAAATCTGATTGGCCTCTTGAGGGGCCACTCCAAAATCTTGAATTAAGATTGTCTGTTTACCTTGCCAGAGCCTGAACTTCGTTAAAATCATATAAATTTAAAGCTCAAGTGAGAGACTGTTGGTTTGTCTCATGTTTTTGCCCCCTGTGGACAAAGCAATACATGTCTTTTTGAAGGAATCCACCGCATTGAGTTTTAGCCAATATTTTAAAACCTACTTTGGCTGATACCAATATCAATACTGATACATAAACACCTTTTTTTACAATTGTCAAAAATGTAAAGTTTCTCTTGTAACATCATTTACTTGTTACTCTTATTGAGACAGTCTTTGTTTTCAAGCCAGACAAACATGAAAAACAGCCTCTGTTTTGATCATAAATGATAAATGTATTTTTAAGTTAAGCCTTTGGTAATACCTCTGATGTCTGCAGAAATGTTCATATCAGCCTTTACCAATAGTTAACTTTTTAAGCTCTTCTTATAATTTTTTTTCAATGCATTTTTGCATAAATCTAATAGGACAGCCAGATAGAGCCAGAAAATGTAGAAAGCAGAGAGTGTAGGTAAGACATGCATGAAGCAATTGGTTCTGGCTGGGAGTTAAACCAGTGATCATCCCTATGAGGACCACAGCATCTCAACATGGGGCACAAACCCCAACTGCTAGGCCAACAGCGCCCCCTATATGTGACATTTCTTTGCTGAACTTTAATGTTCATGTCATCTTGCTTCTATTTTGAAAGTCCAGTTTTATCGGTCATTAGTCAGTTCTTATTCTCTAAAGAGAAGAAATGTATCTAATTTTCAAGCATTTTATTGTCGTGAAAACTTTGTAGTAGCTTTACTTAATTTTAAGTTTAAAAAAGTATTTCTTTGTATCCTGGCTGGTGCCACAAAACTCTTTTCCAACGCTGTCTGAACCACTTCATTTCAGCTCCTGTCTCTTTAGAGGCTACACCAGCACTCTGAACACAGCACTCTGAAAGCCGCCTCCACTGTTGCCAAACTACAAGTCATCTTTCTTTATCTGAAAGCACAACTTATGAAAATGATGGCCTTATGTTTTGAACCTGTGATCTGACCTGCAAACTTTGGAAAGGGATGAAAAATGCTCAGCAATGGAGAACGAAGCAGTTTTTCACTGGTAATGTTTCTGCTGCTCTTTTAAGGGGATTCCCTAACTGGCAATATCACAATTCATGTTTATTTTCTGTCTTGCAATTAGATAGTTATCACAGACTCACTGTATCATGCGTCTATCGATAATATGGGCATTGTCAATCAATCATCTCTAATAAACATTCAGCGCCACTTCACGTTTTCTCAAGGAGGGCATTTTACAGAAAGAGTGAGTCCGGTCTTTATTAGGCCTGGGGTTAAGCCCTACCATCAATCCACCACAAGCAGAACACTTGGAAACAATCAACTAGTCGCAAAAGCAAGAAAAACATCCTTTCACAGGCAGAAAACTCAAACTGAACTGGAGTAATGGTGACAGCCATCTGCCTCAGCTTTGTTGGTCTCAGAGGGAAGGGTAGATGGAAATGCAGAAAGATTGATGGATAGACAAACAAAAAGAGCAGCAGCAGAAACAGATAAAACAGCAGAAGGAGAAAGAAACTATTAATCATGTTACTGTAACTGAGTTGCATTTTTGTGTACTTGTACTTGTCAAATCAGTACTTGTATTCAGGTATTGTCTGCGGAAAGTATGGCACTTAGTTACATTGACATTTTACATTTTCAAAAAAACCTCTAAAATCTTAATCTCCATTTTAGTAAAAAAAAAATCCCATTATGCTTCATTTGAGCAACATAAAGGAGTCTGATGAAATACATATTAGATCGTGTCTCAAGAAACTTATCAGGACATTGTAGCTTTTGCAGCCATACTTCATACTGCCAATTACATTGTTATTTTTTAATCTTAACAAGAAGCTGCTATGCACAGCCACCTTTGACTTAATGACCATCAACAATGTGCAATGCTGACATAAATGCTGCAAAACATAACACTATACAATATAATAGATAACTCCAACCAGGATTTGTGCAGGGTCTAAAACTCTTGGAAAATTTATGCTGTTGTTTATGTAAAAAAAATAAAATAAAAAGGAAATTTGGGGAGAATAAAGTTTTGCATAATTTATGGGTCTTCTCCTATTTCCTCCATTTTCCTATGGGTTAAAAGTGCAAATTCAAATTATATACTTTTACTTGAGTAAGTTAATAAACTCCTAGTCTTAAATCTACCTCAATAATGTTAAACTGTAGCCTACTTTTACTACTTCAGTACATTATTTTAGTACAATTTTACCCCTGTTGAACAGATACAGGGTATTGCTAAATAAAAGTGAAAGCTTGTGAAAAGAATAGAGGATGTTATTCAATCTAAAGTCCAGTATCGGCTTTTTACGAAGCTAATATCGGGGAAAATATCGTGAGTTCTTATATCGCACTGCCCTACCCACCCCTGAAGTATCGGACTGTACTCTCTTTTTTTATCACAGTGTAATTTCTTACCTGATCTGGTATCAAAGGTAACTACAAAAACAGCAACGATCTGGTCCTTCTCTTCCCACTGATCGCTCACGGAGAGGCCGGGGAAGGGAACATTACGATCTGGCTCCGGGCGATCCCAGCCGTGCCCACAGAGTCCTGTCCGCGGCCGGCCCGGGCTTCCGTTCCCGCTGGCAACAACAGCTGTCACGCTCTTCGTCGGGCTGCAGGTGATGGCGGCGGTGCCGTTACCGTTACTGCTCCACCCTGTACCAGCCGCGGAGCCTGTGGGTGTCCTCCGACCGACAGGCTGCGAACTTTTCTCCGCCGGTGCGTCAGGCTGCGGCTGGGCCGTTTGGTTTGCATCGGGTGGTGGGGTCTCCTCCCAGTCCAGCAGCGGGGCTCGGTCCGACTTCTTCACCATGGTGCTGCTGTCTCGTGAAGGGAGAAAAATATCCGAAAAGTCCGATATCCAGTTGATCTAAGCGGTCTATACACGGTGCTGGAGCCGGATCATGGTGTCCTGCTGCTCTCTGGGTTGTTTTCTGTGTATTTGTAAGCGTGTCACATCCACTGACGGACTACTTTCCCTCCGCCTGTCTCACTGTTTTGATGACGTAGCGGACTTCCGCCCACGTGTCTTTATTAATATTTAATAAAATGACCCAATTTTGCCCAGAGGCAAACTCTCTACTCTTACATTTGATCAAAACTTACTCCTAACAGTTATCTGGTTCTCATTTAGTGAACTTGTGATTTTATTGGTATTTATTATTTTATTTTATGTCCCTCCTCTAACCCACTCACATCATGGTTCTACATAATCATCTCAACACATCATACTTGTACGACTTTTCTGTTGAACCATTAAGCTCCTCATTATGATGCTGAAAGTTGCTATATAGTCTTCATTGTTTGACAAATACGTTTTTTAGTCTAATAGTTGTATATGTCCATTTATAAAAGTAAAAAAAATAAATAAATATAATAAAAAAATAATATTATAATATAAACATATAATATATATAATATTTAATAAACATATTTAATGATATAATATAAACACAATAAAAAAATAAACCTATATATATATATATATATATATATATATAAAACACTAAACAGTCCCTGAAACAAAAACAAAAAAATATCTTATGAAACACAAAATATCTTAATTAAATGCCAAAACTATTATAATGACACCAACATTTCATTAAAAAAGGTAAAAATTGTGGATTTCATAAAAAGAAAGTTTCATAAAACATAACATAACATAATTTTACACTATGCAAAAATAGTTAAGGATTTTCCCCAAAAAATTAAAGACAAAAAACAATTCACAAATAGGAAAGTATAATTAACATCAAATATTACACTAAATGCAAAAAAAAAAAAACTAAATGTGCACAAAAAATTCCCAAATTTACATTTAAAAAAGATCATGAAATGGGAAAACAATTCCAGAAAGGTGAAAGTTTTCTACACTCCATAGTTTAAAAGCAATAGAAAAATCATGAAACACATAAACTGTGAAGTACAAAAAATTGAAAATATTTAAAAAGTATAAGGTTGTCTTATGACTGCAAAAATGCTGCACTAAATGCAAAATGGATCTATGGATTCCTGAAAATATAATAATAATAATAATAATAATAATAATAATAATAATAATAATAATAATAATAATAATAATAATAATAATAATAATAATAAAAAATTGTGAATTTTTTTATTGTTTTGTGTTGTGTTGTGTTTTTTTATGATAATTTTTGCTTTGACTTTGTAAAAAAGTTTCATTAATAATTTTAGTGTTTGTCATTGTTCTCACGTTTTGGGTGACATTTTATTAAAAAGGATTTTGTCTAATGGAAAATTAATGCATTTGACATTTAGGGCCACCATCAGTTGCTCAAAATTAAATCCTAAGAAACATGTATTGTTAATGTTATAAATGCCTTTCTTGGAATAAAAATTGATCTGCCTTTTTTGAGTTTTAATTTTACTATTGCTATCTAGCCTATTCATTTAATTTGTACGTTTGAAGAGGTTATGTAGACTTTAGTAAAATAAACTTGAAAGAAAAAATAGTTGATGCAATTTTTTTTTTTTTTTTGCCAAAAATTGTAGTCTGCTTACTTTTACAGGAAAGAGTTACTGATATAGTTATAACATGACCCTCTGTTCACAGTCAGTTCACTCAAAATTAAATCACGTTACTATCTTTCAGGCTGCTGATTTTTGTGACTGCATGTATATTCTTAAAGAATTATAAATAAAACAAATCCAGAAGTTTTACACATCGTTTCTTTGGGTTTTGAAACGCTGTCACAAATTGTTTATGCAATCAACAGTCAGGTGAAATTCAGGTGTTGGTATATTTCAGCCAATCAGAGAGCTCGGTGACTGTTAACCCGGTAGCGAAGGAAATTTAAGCAGGAAGTCATTTACATACAGGGCGCGAGTTTCAAACGTGTTGGCAGTGGATGAGGAGACTATTTGGTGAGTATATTTATCACGAACTGGCGGTTTCACTCAGACTAACTAACATTTAAGCCTCACGTGGGCCCGCATGACTCAGTTTGTGTAAAGGTTGTTTAGCTTTTGGTTCGGCTAAGTGAAATAAATACCAGGGCCTCGGGACTTTAAATGTTATTTTCGGTGTTATTAATCATCCCGGAAAGGTATCATTCAGTACCGGTAACGGTTCATAATCTTGCCTAGACACTTGCCAAAGAATAAGCAAGTAATCTGACTGGAATTAAGACATCAGATATTAGACTGGAACACATCTTGAAAACAAGTTATTAAAAAGAAGGAAAATTTAAATTTTATTTTATTTTCTGGATAAAACCTCAAGTTTATGTTGCCAAAATCTGCTTAACTCTGGAATACTATCACTAAAATTAGTAACACCATCACTATCGCCAGGTGATTTTTGTCCGAAATAATATACCCAAGAAAAAGTACTTGTCATCAAAATATATCAAAATAGGACAATACATGACAAATTAAAGTAGTTTTCTTCCATTTTCAACTGTGCAATGTCCAAATAGAGGGGGGGGGAGGAGTGCCATGAGGGGAGACAGACCCAAAATATGGCATATTTTGAGTGACCAGCTGACTAAAATATTTCCTATCACCATATAAATTCCCTTGAAAATCACTACTTTGTGATAGTTACTCATAACCACTGTGCTAAATAAGGATAGCATGCAAGAACTCTCAATTAATGTCCCCAAACACAGGCCCAAGCATGACAACAGTGTTTGAAGGGATCAGCCAGCAGCTGGACTTCTCCAGCTGTGGAGAGGAGGGAAACAGCAGCGACAACAGCTCTGATGACTGCATCTTCAGGATCCAGAGCCCCAGGATCCGCAGTCCTGCCTCTGTGTGCAGGACGCCCAGAGTGCAACGACACCGGAGCAGAAGCATCACCATATCCTCCCCGAGTCATTGCACAAGCCCCATACCCTACGCTTCCTGGAAAAAACTGAGGCTGTGTGACTCTCCAAGCACGCCAAAGGTGGGTTGTGGAGAAGATTTTTTTGAACCAGATAATAAATGATCATCTTTAAAATGTGGGGCTAAACAGGTTAAACCAGAAGTCACAAGCTTAAATTTCAAATTCCGCATAAAGGTAGACCAAAACAACCTTCTGCTATTTCTGAGGAATAGTGTAAAGATTTGACTGCTTCCTATCCTATCAAGAGGCTTTAAATCTAGTTAAGACGCCTATCGCAGGCAGACTTGGCTTCTGCGTTGCCTTTGTTCCATTCTTTGATAAAAGTCACAGATAATTAATATCTGTGTTGCCAGGTTGTAAGGACAGACGGGGTATCAGCTGAAGTAAAACTCACCTGCATCGCTTCCCTTTGTCTTCTGAGATTAATCTGAAGAACCTTTACTTGTTCTCACTGCTCTCAATGGTTTCAGACAGCCTTACATTACTAAATTGTGTTGCTTTTGATTATTTGGTCCCATACTACAAGTAATCTAAACGCACATTTTAAAAATTAAGTAACATGCACATCCTAATTAAAGGGTAGGTGTGTAGTCACAAAAAAAATGAGCTCAAACCTGGAAATCCCTCCACAATGATATACAACATACAGACTCTGTGGACAGTTTAAAAGGCAGTGAAAATTAAAGTAGTCTTGCCCCTTGCTTTGAAATAACTGCTGCTATTTGATCAACTCTTGTGCATTTTTATAACTTTCATTAATTCCTTTGTTTGTATAACCTTTTGCATATAGACCCTCATGTATTCCTATTCTTGCCTGTTTGTTTGAAATTTGATTTGTTGATTTTCTGGTGCATTAAATGGAAGTAAACCTCTCTCCCTGCATGGTTGCTATGTCTAAATAGTTTATCATCCTTGTTTTTGTTGTTGTTATTCCTTTATCTCCCTAACTGCATTTCTGTTTCCCTCCTGTAGAGCCTGCTCTCTAAAGCATCCCAGCCTTGCTCCAGCACCAAGATTGGTCAACATCGGAGATCTTTGCGTTTTATCTCGGCTTCTACCAACCTTGTCCAGGCTCCTTCTGTAAACGTGAATCCTTTCACCCCTGAGACAGTCCGCAGGGACAGCGAGCTGCAGTGGAGGACCAGCTTCAGGTTTGATGACGATGACGATTATGGACGTAGGTAATGTCAGTTTTATGATGTATCATAAATCTGGATGATTGTAAGATGTGATTGTAAGATGTAAGCACCACAAGTGGGGGTTTTGTCTTCATAATATTGCAGTATGTAGCCTGAATTAAATGTTCTTCAGCATGAAATTGCAAAGAATCTGGGGACTTCATCATCTACAGTGATAAATATTATTAAAAGACCCAGAGACTGCAGAAATCACAATAAAAAGGGATAATACCAAAAACCAATACCAAAATAGTTATGATCTCTTGGCCCCAGGTGGCACTGTATTACAGGCATGACTCTGTAGTGGAAACCACCGCATAGGCATAGAATTATTTCTGAAAGCCATTGCTTTGTGAGCACTGTGCATTGCTGCATTCTTAAATGCAGAGAGAAACTGTATCATGCAAGATAGAAATTATACAAACATGATCTGAATACAGATGGCTTTCTCTCAACTTGAACCAATTTCAAATAAACTGATGTGAAAGAAAAACTGTTGTGGTAAAAATCGATGTGAAAATTATTTTGGAAACCATGGATGCTGGTTCCTCTTCTCCAGTGATGAGAGGAACAATGAGCGCACAGTTCAAAACCCAGCATCCCTGGTGGTATGGGGATCATTAGAGTCCATGTCATGGGTATCTTCCACATCTGTGAAGGCTCCATAAATGCTGAACAATATCTACAGGTTTAGGAGCAACATATGCTACCAGTCAGACAAAGACTTCTCAGTTATTGTTATGTCTTGCTACATTCAACAACAAGAAACCACATTTTGTACTACCGCTCTATGACTACTACAAGGCTCTGTAGTGGAAGAGTCCTGCTGCTAAACTGGCCAATTTATCACCCTTTGAAAACATTTAGCACATCACGACACAAAAAAAGGGGCAAAGGAGACCTTGACTGTTGAGATAGTGAAATCCTGTATAGAGGACAACATTGATGTAAAACTCCAGAAACTGGTCCCCTGAGTCCACAAATGTACACCATATCATAAAAAGAAAAGGTGGTGCAAAAAGATGGTAATCATGTCTCTGTCCCAACTTTTTAAAAACATGTTGCTGGCATCAGATTTTATAATGAGCAGATCTCCTCTTGACATGTTGAATTTCCAGAAAATATGGGGTTTAAACGATTGACAAACCATCTGTTCTTATCATTTTACACTGTGTAAAATGTACCTCTAAATCCATCCCGAGTTTCTTTGTGAGCTTTTTAATCACTCTTCAGTGTACATGTGTGAAAACTTCAAATATGTCTTTCTCTTTTGAGCGCCCTCACTCACAGACCTGACTTTAATGATAGGGTTTGGTTTAGTGTGCAATAAGGTCTGAGGCCCTTTTTTTTCTATCTCTGGCAGGTTAAAACACAGTTTAACGTCATCTGAAGAGGATGATGAAGCCTTCCTCCCACCAAAGGTAGGCATCAGCTATTTTTATCGGTGCTTTCTGATGGCTGTAACCCTCCCTTTCAGATATCTCTGATGCAGTTTCATCATCAGGCTTTGTCATCTTCAGCCGCCTCCTCACTTGTTGTTATGTCCAAAATTACATGCTGCCAACTCTACTTCTGGGATATCTCTAAGGAATCTCCGGCAAAGAGCTCCGTCAGAAGCCTCACTAAACGCTTACCACGTGGAAGTGTTACCATATTTGGTGAAGCAATAAAGCAAAACAAAGCCTGGATCTCCTGGCTGTGATCAAACTCCAGACTGAGCCCTATGACGTATATGCCTCCTTTTGGGCATTAATTTGAATTTTCACCATAAGGCCCTCTGTGTCTTTCTCTGTCAGAGACGAGCTGTCCAGGCCCTCATGCTGTCGCGCTATGAGAGCGAGTTCCTGGAGCTGGAGTGCATTGGTGTGGGCGAGTTTGGGGCAGTTTACAAATGTGTGAAGAGGCTGGACGGCTGCTTGTACGCCATTAAACGCTCCCGCCGCCCCCTGGCGGGCTCTTCCAATGAGTGAGTCAGCTCTTTGCCAGAAACAGGTCCACCTATGTTCCCTTTTTTATGTCATTCATGATGTCCTAAAACTGATATCCTCTCAGGCAGCTGGCGCTAAAGGAAGTGTACGCACATGCTGTTCTCGGACACCACCCACATGTTGTTCGCTATTATTCAGCATGGGCAGAAGATCATCACATGATTATTCAGAATGAATACTGTGATGGTAGGTTTTTCTCTCCTGGCAGTAAAAGCACATTATAGTCTGTCTTTTATTACATTCTGAGATGATAAGATTGAATTTTTAAGTTTTGATTACGTCAACATTTGTGTGTCAGGTGGGAGTCTCAATGATGCCATCCTCAAAAAGGAGACTCAGGGTGAGCTGTTTTCAGAGGCTGAGCTCAAAGATCTGCTCTTACAGGTGTCAATGGGCCTCAAGTACATCCACGGTTCAGGCCTTGTACACCTGGACATCAAACCAAGTACGTCACATTCAGAGGTTTGCATCTGTTCATAGTAAAAAATGTAGTCATTAAAGCACTCCAGTATATTATCTCTGCTCATGAGCACAAGGGATGATTTTAACAAGCCTCGAGGCGAGCCTTTGTTTAAATCCAGACATTTATACATTGCACTGTTTGGCACACTTTCTGGCAGCACAAACAACATACTCATCTCTCCCATCACTCAGTGTGGTGTGAATTTCCTTTAGACTCAATGATGAATTTGTTGGAGATGGTAACATTGATCGGTTGTGTTCACATTACGCTCTGGTTGACCAGTAATCCGCCAGTATGAGGGTCACCTTTTTACTGTCTTTCTGAGACAGAAGTTAAAGTTAAGCTAAGTTTCGTGTCATTCTTGATAAATCAATGAATAGGTGTTTTCCTGCTGCTTTTGGTGACCCAACTTTACAGCCTGGGGTGGCATGACTGGAGCACTAATATAGATGGGGAACTGTACTGCAGTTTATAGCCTTCTGTCCTTGACTGTTTTATTTTACATTTATAAAACAATAATCCAAAGGTGCAATTCATCTTAGAGTCTTTTTTTTCTGAAAAAGTGCAAAAATGTAAATTACAAGGTTTTGTAATGATCTGGGAATATCCCTTACCTATGTACATTATGAAAAAATAGGGTAGTATATTGAATATCAAATACTTCATGATATTATGGCCCAAAGAATCAAAATTGAGCTGAGCTGTGAGGTTTCTTCATGTTACCCCACCCTATCTGTTTATATTGCTTCAGTCTGAATGTAAAGGCTCCTGTGCATAAATATCTACCTTGTGTCAAATCTTTGTAGGCAATATATTTATCTGCAAGCGCTCTGGCACAAGTGCAGCAGGAGAAGGAGAGAGTGAAGAGGAAGATGATGGAAGCGCTTCAGCTGCAGTCATTTACAAAATAGGTATTTGATGTTAATGTGTTGAAAATTTTCAGCCTTTTGCAAACATTATTTTTTTTTAATTTGTCCTCGTTGGAAATGTCTCCGGAGCTCTGTCCAGCTGCTGTTACATATACTTATTAGGTGCCATGCACTGTTTTAACAACAGCCCAATATTACATTAAAGCAGCATGTTGCCGTCCTCCCGTCACATATTTTACTCACTGAGATACTGCCCCATCCTTTTGTTCAGTAAATTACAATTTTCTTTCCTGCAGGGGACCTGGGTCATGTCACGTCTACAAACAGTCCTCAGGTTGAGGAAGGGGACAGTCGCTTTTTAGCCAGTGAGGTCCTGCAGGAGGTAAAAACATTGCATACCCATTAGAAGTCCTCTCTCTTTGCTTTATTTGAAAGAAACGAGGCTGCATGATGTTTTGTTTTCTGCAGGATTACAGCCAGCTCCCCAAAGCAGACATCTTTGCTCTGGGCCTCACGATGCTGCTGGCAGCAGGTGCTCCCCCTCTGCCCCAAAATGGAGACGCATGGCACAGCCTGAGACAGGGGCAACTTCCTGAACTGCCACAGGAGCTATCACCTCCCTTTAAAAGCCTACTTCAGGTACCCTGATCTCTCGGATGATTAAGTATTTTTAATGTTCGTATTTTAAAGAGCCAAACCCAACAGGATAGTTGCATCCTTCTTTTGTGTCAGTCTTTGCTGGATCCAGATCTGACAAAGCGGCCCACTGCCAAGGAGCTGTGCAAGCACACAGTCCTGAGGGAGGAGAGGACCGGGAGGTTGGCTGCTCAATTACGCAGAGAGCTCAACGTGGAGAAGTTCAGAACCGCGATGCTTGAAAAGTAAGGCAGAAACAAACTTGTTCTGGGTTTCAGGTAACTTCACTCCTGCTTATCAAACAAGTAACTGATCCCATAAAACTTAATTAAACCTGGAGGAAAATGATCTGCCAGATTGCTTCAACGCTTTGGAACAAACTGCTTATTCTAACTTTCAGTGCTCATACCAGTTTAGAGCATTCACTTATTGCCATTTTCTTCACAGGGAGCTTCAGGAGGCCCGTCTGGCAGCCTTGTCACCCAAGCAGAACCTCTCTGCAAGGCTGAAATCCACTACAGAGCTAAGTTCTCTACCCAGAGCAGGGAGGAGGCTTGTGGGAAGGAAGACTGCGCGCTCCATGAGTTTTGGTTGCTGAGAATGTGGAGTCTAATGGAGTGAGAGGCCTGTGTGCCATTTCTTGGCTCTGATGCAATGAGACTGCAATCGGGATTCGGTCAAAATGCAGCATGTGTGAAGCAGAGCAGGTTGTACAAAGTTATGTCTAAAGTGACTGAAATATCTGGATGGAAAATTTAAATGAGTCTTCTGAGTGGATGTATTTTTTGCAGTGGATTTGATGCAGCGTTCCTAAGGGAAGCTTTGACAGCAGTAGTTTTGAAGAACTAACCTTTTACACTTTAGGTGATTATGACACTTGCATGCGAATGTAACTAACCGAGTTTGTTTTTAGACTGTAAATAAACCTTTTTAAAGCTTTTTATCAGACCTGTTTTAGTGTGTGTTTGCTTTTATAATGAACGTCTTCATGGTGCACTCTAGGACACATATGCTATGAAACAGCAGGGACTTTCCAGGAATGTTTCCCTCTTATCTCTAACTACAGCCAACTGTGTGACTGAATGTGGTACGGTGAGTTGGAAGAGACAAGGAAGTGTGAGCTAACTGACAGTGAAGTGTTTTCTTTTGCATGTCACAAGATAATGTCAAACAATACTGGGCTCAACACTTGTATCCAGTTTTAGCTGGAATAAGTGACCATATTTCAGGTATGAAGTAAATATTTGAAAATCAACATAAAGTCACACAGTTAATGACCATTTAAGAAGTGTTAAGTAAGATTTTGGCTGCATCCATCCCATTTTCTAAGTCAGCAATGAAACACAGGCATCCCTCTCCACTGCAACATGCTCCAGCTCCTCCTGGGAAACCCTGAGGCTTTACCGGCACAGATGGGATATACAGTCTCTTCAGTGAGCTCCAGTTCGTCCCAGATCCCAATTTTGGTTTCCTGAGTAAAAATAATTGAAGCTGTCGGCAGATAAATAGAAGATATTTTGGGGAGGTTATCTGGTTTGACTCTCCTCGGTGAAATAAGATTTTCTTTTCTAATGTTAGATTTTGGATGGTATTTGATGACAGTATGCTAGAGCATTAAGGGACCCTTCCTCAGCTTTAACTTTAAAGCTCCTGTGAGGAACTTTTGGTTTGTGTTCATTTTAATCTCTATAGTAGAAAACGTCAACAAAGGCTATATTAACATTATTATGTTACCTCATCTGACACCTGCCTGACGACAGTGGTCACAAGAGTTAAAAAATTATTATACTGAAATGATCTGTTTTTTTTCCATTTGATCTTGTTTGCATCTGAAAGTTGTGTAGAACTGAATATTGAAATCCAGTCTGTTTCATAACATCAAAAACACTGAACAGGAGCTTTACACATGCATACAATTCAACAAAGCTTTGCTAACAATGCTGAAGTTCTATGATTCACAGCTTTCAGTATGATGGTTGAGGTTTAAATTGTGTAAGTATTGAGCTAGAATTTGTGATTCCTGCACTGTGATGCATTTAGAAACCCCCCCCCCCCCCCTTCCTAGTGACTGTAATTTAGCTTTTCAAGTGTTTGTGTGAAACTGTCTGTCCTGGCTGGGCGGTGAATTACACTCCCGTGCTTCACAATCAAAGATATTTCAAGTTACAGGAAATGAATGTGAGTTATATTTTGGATCACTACATCAAGGCAATCATAGTTTTGTCTCTAACTAGTGTATCTGCATTTATTTCAAGATGTTGTTCATCCCTGCAAACCAACAGAATGAGTATAAACAGAACTGTCTTGATAATATAGCATGGAAAAAAAATTTGGTCTCCTATGGTCAACTTACCCCATAGGAGCGGGGTAAGTTGAGCCGTATCCCTACTACCCCCTCACTCTCCACCCCAACCCTCCCTCACCTTCTCTCTCCCTAAATAACAGTCACTTCTTCACATTCATGAGTATTTTTATACGCTATTCAACTGATACAATAAATCTTTTAATTATTATTACATATAACTACTGAAAAGCTGTTTGTAAACAGCCATTTTAATATGAGAATGTCTTTAAGTGATTCACTAAAATTCACTTTAAAGAGTAAAAAAGGTTTTTTGTAAATAAATGTCTAACCCCTTCACCCATGTGCTTCTCACCTTCACAGACTCCATGAATTGATGCCCATCTTCTAAATATTTGGTCACATGATCAATTTCTTTTACCATTTACAACCAACAGGGGGTGATTCAACTTACCCCACTCTCCCCTACAACTGTATTACTTACCATGATTGAGATGGATACACAACTTGTCCACTCTCCTCCACAAATATTGATGGGACTTTACTCTCCCTGGTTGACCTCAGCATTTCTTCTTCCAGGATTTACGAAATAACTAATAAGAAAATCTGTGAAACACGAAATATGGCGTAGAAATGAGGAACATTTGCAAAATAAAACAAAAAAACAAAGATGAATAATGGCAAAAACACTCAAAAATTCTCAGGAACAAAACTGATATTTTCATTTACAACGCTACAATATTATTTACCGAGAAAACACCGCTAAAATACCACTATATTTACTGAAGTTGGTGCGTCAATCATCCGCTGCTGCCCATGTCCCCCCAGCGGTGAGCCCTACCCCTCTACCGTAATTTACTGTATATCAACGCAAAGCACACTTCTCAGCTTTCAGAGTCGGCTAGAATTACGTCGATGGTGCAAATGGTTTAGGAGTTACGGTAATTTGAATTTTTCGTTCCACTTTCTACGGTAGAAACACAGCCGCCGTGTAGGGGAGCTTGATAGCTGAAGTTAGCAGTAGTACCGTTGCTGTCTATCGATGTTTCGGTGTGACTATTGGTCTTGCTGACTCGCCGAACGTGTCATTTATGTACCAAACTTTCCTTATACCTCTAAACATTGCTACCGTTACTCTCGTGTTGTGTATAAAGGTCCGGGGAGAGTCCCAATGGATAACCTGAGTGGTGGACAAAACGCCGCTTTGGTAGTTCTGACTTTTCTCCAGGCGGACTGTAGAAACTCAGAATACGGAAAGGAGCTTCTCTCTTTGCGGCAAGAGATACACCGTACGCGGGACATCAACTACAACAGCTCCGTGAAGGATGATCTGGAAGATGGCGTCCTGGAGACTGATGGCCATCTGTCCAGCTGTATCAGATCTTCTCTTGGTGATATCCAGCCTTCAGTGGAGCTGCAGTGGGCGAGTGAGTAACTGAACATGAGACCTAAACATACCGTTCACAAGTGTTTAAACGACAGCTAAAGCCTGCTGAAGTTAAAGTACAGTAACAATGATAACATATGACTTTTTGAGTTTTGACTGGTCATAAAACACGACCGTATAAAGATGCTGTAAAAATATCCAATGACTTACCCTAAAGTGGAGGAGTCAGAATCGGTCACACATTAACATTGTTTGATTAGTTTTGAAAAACATGCCTAAAAGTAGTTTCTTAGTACTTAAAATACAAGTAAAATAAAGTACTTTAACCTTTACTTAAGTAGACTAATAGACTGCTAGTTTTACCTTTACTGAAGTATAATGTCATTGAAGTAAATGCACCCATACTTGAGTATAATGTTGTAGTACCTGTGCACTGCAGGCCTTTTCATTCTGAATTTACTGTATAATATGTTTTTATTTAAAGGGTGTTTTTGGCTGTTTTACAATCACCACCCAGGGTTATTGGTGTGTGATTTTCCTTAGCGCATATAGTGAAAGCTTTCAGCTGTATTGAAATTAACTAGAGAAACTGCATTTCCTGCATAAATGCGTTGGTGTGCTGAGAACTTAACCAATACTAACAACTGAATATGAAACTGTTTGCTGAAATATACAGAGTTAAGATGCACTGACCGCACCAGCTTGAATCCTGAAAGCTGAACTAAACAACCCACATAAATAAACAGCTATAAACAGCTTGATATTGTTGGAAAACTACATTTCTAACAAAGGATGCAAATCTTGATCAAGCTTGTTTTTAAATTAAGGGAATTTAGGACTGAAAGTTTCGAAGAACAGCCATACTTGAAGAATACATCTGACTTAAAGTTGAAAATTAGAGGTAAATTGTGTATAGAGTGTGAGAGTTGGATTTAAACACCTATAATCTGAAAACAAAGTTTAAGACACACTCACTTACGTTGTTGCACACACCTATCATCTCATGTCATTTACAGGGGACTGTAATTCAGTCCAAAAGTCAGAGCATTGACACAAACATCTCTAAACTTGTTCTATTTAAAGGTCACCAAACAATTGATCCCACAGAAAGTGAAAGAAAAAAGCTTTTCCTTTGACGCAAGTTTGAATTCACACTTGTGCTTCTTTGTTTCCAGGAAACTAGTATGTGCTACAGATAGAGAAGTGGTCTTTACGTTTATGTAGCAAACGTGTTCATGGCAGGTGTTCTGATGTTGTGACAATCATGTTTTACAGGAAACCAAGATGATGCAGGAGTTCAGCAGGTCGCAGAAGGCCTGAGAGAAATAGCAGCCCAGCTGGAGCACAGTGTTGTGGCTCGGGCTACACAGAACGTCAGCCGGGAAATATTAAAATCTCCCTTAAATGTAAGTCTTCCTGTGCATTAAGGTTCTCATGATAGAAGAACTTTGAAATATGATAGGATACCAGTAAAAATCAAATGAGATGGAGACCTGTTTTGATACCACAATAACCAAAAGAGACCCAGGTCCCTGGGGCCAACATGTACAGTTCCTCAAAAGGTCCAGAGTTTCTGGGGAAAGTTCCTGCGGTTGAAAAACCCCTTTCGTTTTTTTTTTTTGTAATTTACAGCCTATGACATTGAAAACGATTGAAAAAAAGTGTAATTGCTCTGTTTAGGGCAAACACTTCATTTCTCCCAGTCCAAGTATTCATGATAAAATGAGTCAAGAAGAACTTTATCATTAATTATCAAAGGGAAATTCAAGGAGGATCTCAAGGATCTCTTTAAGGATCTCAAGTTTGTAATGAGCGGTGTCCTTTAAACATTGTCCAGTCCTAGTCTTATAATTCAAAGGCCCCTGTCTGGTTGACCCCTCAGTATCAGGTCAGAGACTTAGGTTCATAAATTTAAAAAAAGCCAACAAACTGTGGAGCAATCTCTTCCCCCACAGCTGCTGGAAAATGTCTGGACACTTACTGTTTACTGGTAATACACCTGTTGCTGCCACATTTATGTACATACATTACACTAATCATCTATTCACTGTTTTGATCCTGTTGCTTTTACCCTTTGTGCTTTTGCAGCAGTGGAAAGACCACCTGACCCGGGAGGTGGAGAGGGTGATGAGGCAGGGTGTAGGTCTGGAGCAATTCACCCAAGAGAGGGTGTTCATCGCCTTGACTCTGACCCTGGTGAAGGGAGTGTGCGAGCAGGCGCCACAGCTGCTGAGAAACCTTTTTAACATCGCGCTGCAGTGCATCAGCGTCAGAAGGAGCAGCTGAACGTTGAGCCGCAGGTTAAGAGGAAATAACTGACAAGATGACTAAATCTGAAAATGGCATCTGCTAGCTATTCCCCGGTGACTGAGTGAGGTGACATGAAGTGAACTGGCAGATATGAGAGTGGTAAATCGAAGGGAAGTGATAATTCCCCACTTTAAGTTTACAGTTGGTATTTTAAAAAAGTGAAAGTTGTGTTTAAAACTTGACTTTTTTTTTCATTTAATGTCCTTTTTATTTTCCCTCAGTTTATTTTCTTACTTTGAATACTTGAAATAGATGAATTTTTTTCTCTGCATTCCATTATTTCACATTTTGCATGCATCAAATGTAACATGTCAATTCAATCCTTACAAATAAATCTATTTTTCTTGAATTTGAGTTGATTTTTTTGAGTTTCTCTGAACACACTATGTTGAGCATCAGCAGGTTAAATTACACACCAGCATTTCGACAAACCACCACAGAAAAGGTTCCCAAATATTTCAATCTTTTATTCTCATCTCAAACAAAGTATTGTAGGAAACTCGGGGTACAAAGTGTCATGTTTGGGACCTTTGACATCCATCCTGCTCTGTTCTTTTTTACAGTTTCCCTTTAAAGTAGGCTTCAAGTCCATGAGGATTCCTAAGTCTAACATGGAAACATCCCTTCTGTACCAAATGTTTTCACAGCCAGTCATGGTGATACAGCTAAATAAACGACTCCCAGTTTCTCCAAACAAACATTCTTCAGTGATGAGAAGATAGTGGGGATTTTTTTTTTTTTTTTTACCATGTCCTTCTGACTTAAATTCTCAAAAAGCTGAAAAACTTTTTTTATTTTTTAAATTAACATGGGGAATACCAGGGGATATTCCACTAAGGGTTCACTCATTCTCTGGAAAAACTTTTGCACTGTAGTGCCTCTGAATTTGATAGTAACTGTACAAATTTCACCAGGTGGGAAATGTAATCATGCTTAAGTGTCTTTGACTGAGCGTCTAAAATTGGTTCTTTGTCACAGCATCCTCATGCAAATGAAGAATCACACGAGGAAACTGAAGCGGTTTTGACAGTTGCAGATGAAAAACTCAACTTTTAATGCACTTCTGCAGTGCCTTCTTTAACTCAGGGGAGATGTGAAGTTAAAATCCTTTGATGACAGTCTTTAAGACCAGTTAAGGTAAAGATTTGAAAAAGGCTTCAAGATGTACGATGGGGCATTGTTTGTCCATGAAGTTTTTGTAATTAATTATATTTTCAAGTTAAATGGATGATTGAAATTCGGTTTAGCAGACCAAGTCCTACCACTCTCCTAGTGTAATGTAAAACTACCTGCTTAGGAAAGTCAGTGGCTAAAAAGCTGACAGTACTGGAGTGACTTCAGAGGAGGGGAAAACAGACTGCAGTAGGAATCTGTCCTCTGCAGTACTTAACTCCTGGGTTGGATCTTATCAGTACATGAAAATGCATTTCTGATGACAGCAACAGAAGGTCAGGACCTTGAAGTAAATCAGAAAAAACTGATGTATCTCAATATGCAGCAATTTTCTGTTTAATTCTCGGCCTTTTTGGGCAAATCCTCTATACTTAGAGAAAGTTAGAAAACAGAGCCCCCCTGTAACAAAGTCAAGAAAAATAAAAAGGCCAAGTGCAAATCTGTGTGCACAGTTTAGATTATGTGCTGACAGATTTGCAATTCATAGGGACAGGTTTGAAATTTGTTACAATTGTATGGACACAGATTTGATACCCATGAGGAAGGCCTGCAAATCTTCCTACATACAGTCAAGTGCGAGTGCAGATTAACACATGGAACTTTTTCTCTTGAGCTGACACCTGGGGGCTCTGGACTAAAACATGCTGCATGTAAAAAAAAAAAATAGAGCAAGAGTCAAATTTAACACTCCTGTTTTAGAAGCAGCCGCAAAAACAGATTCACGCAATTAAATTATTTGCGTCTTAATCGTATCGCTAATTTGGTTTTGTTCATTAGAGGAGGTATCGAATGAACTCGTCACAGTGAGATGAATGGAAACTATTTCAAAGAAATGACAGCAACAGTGAATGTTAAGGGTTTCATAGTTGTGCAGCGACAGACAGAACAGAAACGAGCAAAAGGCAGACTCAGGTCCACACACTCTTCAAAGTTTGAAATGATGAGATGGACTTTGAAGAATCTGGATCAAACCTGCACGTTAATAACCCAACAGGAGAGAAGACATGAAAATAAGAGCTGTGGAGTGCGTCGCCACCCCCCTTCTTCTGTGTGGACAGCCAGGCTTGTGAGGCAGCCAGGACTCCAAGCGGTACGTCTGAAGATGATGTGAGATTCTGGTACTCTGCAGGACATTTTCCCAGGTTTATGACCTTTTGAGCCCGTACCCGATGTTAAATAAACTGCAGCCTCGTTTGATGTCCGACACACTTTGTAAGGAGAGTCTCACCACGTGTGTGCTAGTACTTTTTATTTCTACCTTTAACATTTTGAGATTTGCATTCCCTCCCCTGAGAAGAAACTCGTCTACTTCCTCCTGTAGCTCACGACTCCATAAGCCATAACAGCGAAGATGGCCACCAGAGCCGCTCCTCCGTACAGCAGCACCTGGAGCTCTGTGTTCTGCTCTGGCTGTGAAGGGGGCTCCTCAGTAGGGACTTCTGCGGGGGCCTCTGGGACAGGAGGTTCAGCCGGCGGGGCCTCTGGTTCTGCAGCAGTCTCTGGTTCTGACTGGGGAGGCACTGTGACAGGCTCTGGCTCTGGTTCAGGAGCTGGTTCTGAGGTGACTTCAGGCTCTGCTGGTGCAGCAGGGGTTTCCTTGGCCAAAGATGGGGATGCTACCTCAGCGAGCACTGGGGCAGTGTCAGCAGCTGTTTCTGGCTCAGGTTCTGGTTCTACTGCAGGAACAGATAAGGGTGCTGCGGGTTCTGGCACAGGGGCCTCTGGGACAGGGGGAGGCAGCTCTGGTTCTGAGGAGGTGAGGGAAGCCTCTGCTGACAAGATTGTGGGCGTCTCTATAACCACTGGGTCCTCTAACGAGAGCAGGGAGGCTGGGGTTGCGGAGTCCGCGTCGGCTGGCTCTGGAACAGGCGGAGTCGGGTCCCTGAATTCCTCCCTGAGCTCGGCCAGCTCGCTCTCTGTGCCTAAAACACTCATCATGCTGTCTTCTATCGCTCCCACTTCTCCGCCTTCCTCCAGCAGCTCGGCCTCCTCGCGCTCAACGTGGACAATGTCCGAGTTCGAGGAGTTGTTCTCGCTGCGCTCCTCGGCGAGTGCCACGCCCTCGTTGCTGTCCAGGCTCTTGACCTCTTCGGGGTCCATCGCTGCAACCTGTGCCCAAGACTCGTGGCCGGCCAGAGACACGGGTAAGCTTTCCGTCTGCCAGGAGCTCTGCCCGCTGCTGTTGTCTCCTGTGCAGAGCAGCGAGGACGGGGGGCTGAGCTGGTCGGGATGCTGCTCCCCTGAGAGGATGTAAATATCGTTGCTGTCTTCAGCGATGTTCTCACCTCGCTCCTCCTCTGACTCAAGGCTGAATATTTCACCCTGTGGTAAACAGAGACAGAGATGCCATCAACTTTTATATACATCATAAAAATCCACACTGAAGAGCACAGGGTAAAATCATCTAGAGCAGTGGTTCTCAAGTCCTGCATGTTTTGGATGTTTCCCTGCTCCAACACACCTGATTCAAATGATCAGCTCGCCATTACAGAGCTTGATAACGAGCTGATCATTTGAATCAGGTGTGTTGGAGCAGGGAAACACCCAAAACATGCAGGACAGTGGGCCTCGAGGACTGGACTTGAGAACCACTTATCTAGAGTATAATCTGTGGTTCGACAATACTCATAACAGTGTCGACAGAGATAGAGGGTGTTTTTCCTAAAGGCTGAAACACACAGGATCCGTATTCACTACGCATCGGCAGTGTCACATATCACGCAGCAAATAGGTTGCCATTCTAATCAATGCAGCAAAGCATACAGGACGCGTATCAGCTCCGTCGCAGCATCGTATCAAGAGCAGCACTGCTAAAGATACGCGATGAGTCTATTTTTGCTGTAACATACAAACCTAATTCTTGAAGAGTTGGATGTAAAATGTAGCTTAAAAGACATTAAATCACTGAAAATGTTGGGTAAAGAAACACCTGAAGGAACATCTCACAACATGAACATTTCAACATGACTGGGTGAAACAGATTCATTATTCTATGAGAGCCGGAGTGAGAAACTAGTTTGACAATTTCAGGTAAATGGCCCTGAGTGTTAAAGAGTGATTTCATCATCTACAGTACATAATACCCAAATCAAGAGAATCTGGAGGAATCTCTGTACAAAAGGGAAAGGGCTGGTAATGATATAGGATAGCTGTGATCTTTGGGTCATGACGCAGCACTGCATTAAAAACAGACATGACTGTATTAGAGATCACTGCATGGGCTCAAAATCACTAAAATCTTCATATACAGCTTCACATGGGGGAAATAAAGCCTACTACACCACAAGTTTAAAGTTGACCTTATATGCCACCTAGTGGCGCCAACAATAGGTCCAGAGCCATCTGCAGAGCTCTCTCATTATATAACAGGCATATCATATGATCATCTGGGTATTAGGGGCTCACACGCAGGTCAAGCTTACTAAAGCAGACAGTGTTCAAATGAATCAATCTGGAAATCTGCAGAAATATACTCTTGTTTATCCTCAGAATATTGAAAAGGTCAAACTTTTGCACCAAATCTCTCTGGCCGACCATGACAAAAAAAATAAAAGAGTGGTTGATTTTTCTTTTGTGCTGAATGTGCGCTTGTGCTGCAGAATCTACAGAGTGTGGTTCAGAAATAGCACGGTGAGTATTACAATGAGCGCCAAAGAACCAGATGCATCCTGACATGCACACTGTCCTGAGGGCATGAGTGGAGTATGGAGGAGGGATTAAGGGGTTAATAAGACGTCGTGCACTGCAGTTTGCAACGGCTTGTATCATGCAGTATGAAGTCACACTGTCCAGCGACAACAACACAGAATAAGAGGCCTGCGAGTCCAAGTTTGAACCTCAAACTCTGGACTTGGGCACATTAGCTTTCCTTCTTTTTTATTTTGAAGCCCCCTGTGCGGAAGAACTTGGACTCATGTTGCTTTTTAGTAACCCCAGTGGACACAAGATTAATCCTATTTCTTACCCCCACCTCTTAATGTGCCTTTTGGATGCCACAGTTGTAAGTGGCATTACTGTACAGAGACACTAGTTAAAGTATTACCAGACAATCAGTTGTAAGACTAATTTCCTCAAAATTTCACACTAGCACACCAGTCCAAAGGTAAAGAAAACATTCAGAAAAAAAAAGTAAAAAGTGAACGCAGTTTATCCTTATCTTCACACAGCACAGACCACAGTCTCTGCAGTGAAGCATGTTTTACAGCAAACCCGCTGGCTGGTGGAGTTCCCTCAGAGTTACACACGTGCATGATGACTATAAAGAGGCTCCTTCATAAAAGGACATGCTAGACAGTATTCTGTTTATTAAGGATTGACTGATCTGTTTTTCTTTAGGGCCAATGCTGATACCAATTATTAGTAAACTGATAACCAATATTTAAAACCAAGATTTATTTAAAAATGTATATTTTGGTGTCAACATTTTAGAAAACACACCTGGGTTTAGAATGAACACAGAACACTGTTTGTTGTTTGTTTTGTAGACTGTGAAAATCTGTGATAAAAAGACCCTAAACTGCTGTATAATAAGATGCAAATCTTTGTTGAAAAGGTTCAAACAATTGTTTTACTGTCATAACAACAAAAACAACAAACAGTGCAGGTATCTTAACTAACTAGAAGCTTGAGTGTGGATTGGTTGTCTGTGTAGCCAATCAGTGGGGACTGTAGGCGGGACATTGTTACACAGCTGAGAGTGGTGACTTCAGGCAGAGAGAAGCAGCTGTGTAAGAGTTGAACAGTGTTGAAATTAACCTTTTTTTTTTTATCGGCTTGCGGTGCAAAAAACGACTGATGCTGATTATTGTAAAAATGTTGAATATCGGCTGTCCTAACAGACTCTGCAAAAACACCTTGATCTTTACTTAAACACTGCCTCTTAGTCAAGGGACTTGAGCTTGTGAACCTAACATGGTCAGGAACAGGTTTAGTCAAGGCATTTAGTCAAGTCCATTTGCTGCAAGTAACAGACTCTGTGTTTAAGTCCCCTCTCTTTCAGAACCGCTCGAGTCACCCCCTTTCCAAGTTTTAGTTACCCCACTCTCTGAGACAGAAAACCTCGTTTTTTTTTTTGTGGTGAACAAACTGAGTTTGCACTAAACCGGGTTTATTGAGGACAAAGTGACGTTTTGAGCCAACATGCTTTCCCCTAGACTTACAAAAACACCTGACTGTGCAGATCCTTTTTTTTTTTAATCAGTAAAGCACATAGGCAGAAAACTGAAAACCAAGAGTTGGAAATCTTTCTCTTGTTGCAGCACTCACAAATTTAATAGTTTGCACCTCCATCTTTCAGACAATAAATACATTTATTATATGCATCTGTATAACCCTTGTCTTTAGAACACCGTTATATTTTTAAGTTTACTTATTCACTTTGTCTTGTATTTGTACCATCTTTTTAACTTACTGATTTTAATTTTGCTTACCACTCAAACATGTTTTATTGATTTTACTGTATTGATTCAGTTTTTCTAATGAGTCCTTAATTATTCCTTAAGTCTTAACTATTGCTATTATTTACTGTCTGTCCTTTTGTGGAGCATTTTAGGCTGCATATAAATAAAGTTGAGTTGATCTTTTTTAAGAAGTCACTGATTAGATCCATGACGAAAAATATTTAGATTTTACATCCTTACTTGCTAATAAAAATTCACATCATACCAAACACTGCTCTATTGATAGCAATAAGTGGTCATACCTTTTTGAGCAGGTGAACTAAACAGAGGAAAACGACAAGTACCAGTAAAAAAAACATTGAGGAATAAGAGCTGGTTGTCTGGTCGGAGAGGTTCGTGCCAGGGTTGTGGTTACATTAGTATTTGTCCCTCATTTGTCACGTACCTGTAGGTGTGACCTGAACAGATGAGATTCAAACAGACAGTGGGCACTGAGGTGTTTGTCTGACAGGGAGGGTGTATGTGTGTATGTGTGTGTTTAAGAGTGTGTGTTCAGCAGACAAACAGGTTCTGACGGCAGAGGCCAGCTCCCACAGCTACACTTTCTCTTTTAAAGAGCATGATAACATATCACCATGCTCCTTGGGGTGTTGAACACTAATTTGCATCTGATCAACACAGCAGTTGAATGACCAAGCTCACAGTATGTAAACTATTATTGACCCATGTAAATGTGACTCCTCAATGACTCAATGTGACGGTTGTTTGCCTTACAAGGACACTCGGCGACGGACACGGTAGCTGTATCGAGGGAGGCGGCGAAGAGATTAAATCAAACAGCGCTCCATCGTTATCCAACATTTGCTTTCTCTGTAAGCTGATTTTCATGTGAGGGAGAGGAGGCAGGTCCTCAGGGGGGCCGACCCACATCAGCTGGATGGGACAGGGAGGCAATGTGGGAAAAACCAAAGCTAAAGGTTGCTAGTTTTTAGGGACAAAAACAATCATCTTTTCTTATAAGCTCCTAGTTTCATGTGTCTGATGCCACAAAGCCAAAATGAAATGAACCTTTAGGGACTCTGAAAGCAGGTTTGACAGAGTTTCACAGCTGTAATCCAAGTTTTAGTCGAGTGCACACAAACACAGGTTCTTAAACCCATAACTTTTCACAAAGCATATCCCTCAGAATACCTCAACATTCACAACCTATCTTACAGACCAAGGTCCAAGACTAATGGCGCTTCAGATATAGAACTTTTTGAACACACAAGTGATAGGAAAACACTTTTAAGCCTGCATTAATAGATTAACAAGGATTAAAAGACTTTTAAAAATAACACACCTGGGGGACAATCCTGCCTGAATCAGCCGGGGTTTTAAGCTCCGCTCTGTTGTCCTCTCGCTCTGACAAAGCTGGGAAACACACTAACTTTTTCAAGAGCCGTCCTCTCTCCTCCCTCGCCCCAAGACAAACGCAAAGTCTATAAAACTAGAAGAACACATTCCTGCTGCAGAGCCAAGGGTGTACTGTCTGTGAGTTTACCTGTCATTGATTTGCATTTCCTGTCTTACTGAGCTGCACTGCAGAATAACAGCTGACTGCTTTGTTCAAAGTTTAGTTTCAAATATCTTTAAATTACGCCACATTTTCAGGGGAGGATAACAGCTGCAACATTCATGTGACCATAACAAGTAGTTGCTACATTACCACAAGGCTGCCACATTATGTCATCACGCTGCATCCTCCTGGACGAAAGAGGACCGCAAAAAAAAAAACACAGTGGGCTCATAATCACACCCTCAAGCTTCAGGGAGAAACAGGACACATTTTCTAAACAGGTTTCTGAATGAAACCACAATCGCTCTTCTTCAGGATTACTTTCATCAGTCTAATATTCTCTGGATCATACCTACTCTTGACATCTATGAGGATTATGTTATCCTGAATATAAAAACTTTGTTTCAAGTGCAAGCAGGTCTCTGCAAAGCTAATACAAGCCGGTGTACAAGAAAGCAAGTACTGTGTGTTTGTGTTATGGAGTCACGGTTGGACGTGGGTGTGACACTTTATCATTAGTTATCTGATGACACTGTAAGTCAAGTCTTTCTGTCTCGCTGAAAAGAGATAAAACCAAGGACAGGTTATTTCTGCGCACATCAACTTTAATTTTCCTCAGTTATATCAGGTAGACAACTAGTTGGGTTTCAAATATAAATTTTATTCAAATTAAATCAATTAGAATTAAATCATACTATTTCACATTTGGATGAAACATCTCTGAATCAGACTGTAGCTATCCAAGTTTGAATCAGACCGGATAAGGGTAGACGCTCTTTCATATCCACATACATGAAAAATGAGACTCTTGACACACATACACACACATCTCTGAACATACAGCCATAAGGCAGGTGATGTGGAAACAGCAAAATCCGCCTGAACTTGAACAATGTAAAAAATAAAAACAAACTCCTAAACACAAAATTTACAGTAAGAGATGACCCACAAAAAGTCAATCAGACCTACTACAAAGTCAGAAATTTTAAATCGAACTCAAGACCTGAAGTAAATGGCAGCTGTTCACCAAACACTATTTTTTTTTTCTTTTCCGTCATTGTTGCCGTAAAACAAAGTACTAAAAAAACGACACTGAAGCAGAATCTTCAAATGCTCTCATAGACATGGTTCGTATTCATGTTTTAGTACCTAATCCAAATTTCTGCTAAACACACACGTGTTCGGCAGAGCATTAGGGCCACATTAAGAAAAATAAAATTAAAACTTCGAGATTAAAGTTGTTAACTTACAAGAATAAAGTTATTACTAATGAGAATAAAGTCGTAATAATGTAATTACTTACGAGAATAAAGTCGTAATAAAGTCCTTATATTCTAAGGACTGTTGTTTAATATGACACTTGTTGAAATGAGAGCGATGGAGCATTTAGTAAAAATGTACTTCAATATAGGTTCCTCAAACAAGGAGATACTTAACCTTTCGGAAACATCAGCACCACATTATCATAAGTATCATTATGATTTTATTACCACTTTATTCTCGTAAGTAATGACTTTGTTCTCGTTAGTAATGACTTTATTCTCGTAAATTAACGACTTCACTCTCAAAGTCTTAATTAATTTATCTTTCTTAATGTGGTCGTACATGTGGGTGCTCACTTCTCAAAAAAAAAAAAAAAAATATTTCAACCAATTTTCTTTTTTTTTTTTTTTAATAAAATTCTCTCCCTCTATTACTAACTTTTGACTAGATATTGAATTAGGAAGTCCATCTTCAGTGTTTATTTATAGTCCATCACAATGTTTTGACACAAAATGTCCCCTCAGTGTTCATGCGAAAGCTCCTTAAAGTTCAGCATCAGAAATGTCTATGGGATCTGACAACACTGAGAGAGCCTGGAGCAAACTCCTTCTGAAGCTGTCTGTTATGTTTAACCAGACAGTTTGCATCAGTAAATATTGGTTTTTGGCCAGTCATCATTACTGTGTTGTGGCAGCAGTGATGCTGATGGATGGAGGAGAGGACAGAGGGATGGATGGATGCCCTGCTTAAAACCTTGGAAGTTAGCCAGAGCTCCGCAGCTGTACCCAGTTCCTCAGCACGCTACAAGTGGGCCGGTCAAGCCCCCTGGTGATGCTTTCAGAGGATTATGGGAGTTATTTTTGGGGCTTCCTCAATCTGTGCGAGCACTTTGCTGAAGTAGTCCAGTGTTATGAAGATGAAGTGATACAGGGATGCTAACACATTTCCTGCGGCTGTTGAGGGAGGGTGCTTACGTAACAGGGGGGAGCACTGTTGCACTGTACAGACTGCAGCATGACGTGTCCTGACATGGAACCTTACAGCACCCTGTCCCTAAAATATCATCGGTGCTACATCACTGTTTCTATGCAGCATTAGCATAAGCCAACATGGAACTGAGAGCATGCAGAGGTGAAGCGCTTTGACTATCAGTCCACGGCAGGAAAACTGTGCATCTTTATCATCTCTTTCTCGTTACAAAGAGGTCAGGTGCTACTGCCAGTGTGCAATTGTCAAACCTCAGGCGTCACGTTACATCCCGCTCACAAGGACGGTAATCTGAAATGGCTGTTGTGCAAACTCATGCAGCGGTTTTCACTGTCAGACTCTGAAGGACATTCGTCAGGGGACTCAAGGGGAATGAGGGCGTGCGAGCAAAAAGACTGACAGACAGGAGAACAGCTGTGAACAAACTATTAGAGACAACCTCAGCAACTGTCCGACGCATCATCCTAAACTCAACTCTTCACTTTTGTCATATATCTCCCATACTTCAGAATCAGTTTCCCTGAAGCAAGTGTTTTCCGTCCTCTTCGTACCCCTCCAATCGAACCCCCCTCGTCCCTTCCACTGGCCCCAGGCTGTGCTGTCTGAAGGCTTCAGGTTTTGTTCTTGCCAAATGAAGTGTGCACCACATTAGGGTCATAATAATCCTTGTTGTGTTCGGATGTAACCAACAAAAGGGTATGATGAGGGGCACCCAAAGCTAACACGGGTTGCCACTTTTACTGGACTCATAACAATGTCCTAAAAATACTCGATGTTCACAACTTCTACTTTTTAAATCAATCGAGCACAAACACCCGCCGTCGACTATGCAAAGACATTTCTACGTTGCCGAAATACATTCCTATCCGGTTCACGCTCATGTTAAAGAGTTTGTTTTTTGCGTTTAAGGTTATCATCTAAATTAATGATATTATTCTGCTTTAAGACAACCACTCTGTGCAGTATGTTGACATGATACTAATCTTTCATGACGAGAACTGAGCGGACCTTCTCAGCTGCTGAGTGTTGTCCCTGCTGAACGCTCGTACTCAGAGGACACATTCGCATGCACATATCCCCACCACTGAACTCACTCTGAGGTCGCTCAACCTCGCAAGTAATTCATCCTACCTCAGTATGAAGTCCTGAAGCCCCTGGGTTTCACCTGAATCAGACTAACTCGGTGGAGGCTGTGTGGCTGTAGAGGCTGACTGAAGAGGAGTGTGAACACCAGCAGCTGTCAAACTAATGGAGCATTTCACTTTGCTCTTACTGGCCCATCCCCTTTTCTCCCACACCCCTCCCTCCTTCGTATTCCCTTCCTTTCCTATCACCAGTCCCTCCATGCAATCTCTTCTCCTTTCTCTTCATCCCTCCATTACTGATCCCGCCAGCCTTTCGTTCGTTCATCCCTTATGACGTAACACAAGAGTAATAATATAGCTTTGTTTGGAGGAAGCGCTCTATTCACGTTACACTGCACGAAACAGGGCCAGAGTATCATAACGATGAGGTAATGGCGACCAGTGCAGCGGGCGATAAGTCACGTGACCTTCATCAGCATGACCCCATTTATAGGAGCCATCTGTGACGCAGTGTTCCATTTTATCTACTTCGAACATCGCTCAAATAAACTCAATAACCAATATATTGAAAACAAGAAACTCTAGTTGTGATTGCAAAAGTGCAAAAATATGAAAATGCAAAAAGTTTCAGCAGATTAAGTATAAAGAAATTGAACAAAAGAAGAGAGAATGAAATATTGCCACTCTTGTCTGATTTGCTTAAGTAAAAACAACTCTGGAGGCTCCATCAGTCAAAACCTGCAGATTACTGTCAGCAGCACAGTGCACACACGCAGACGCCAATGTCAAGATTTTCATCCAAATCAAGCAGATGTTAATATTTATTCCTATATTTAAACTGCAGCAACTTATATAACAAAAAACCAATCGTATTACTGCAACTTACTGTGATTGAATGTTGTTGAACAGACCAACGTTTATCAGATTACATGAGACACTAAACCCTGACTGGTATAAGACACAGGCTGCTGCTTTAAATGTAGGCATCATACGATAAAAATGCTGTCAGTGTGTGATAGCGCTTTAATACAGCAGGGCCAATTCTGCAGATGATCTGTTATGGATTTACTGTCACACATACTATCAGTATGAAGTGTGTTTTAATCCCATGAATGGTCATGTGGTTATTGTGGATCACTCAAGGATCAGGGATTTTGTGATCTAAAACATCTGTAGAGGTAGCTCACTACCGCCCTCCTGTGGCTACTTTAAATTCTGTACATTTTGCTCTCCACTGCGAGCTTGACTTAAAATAGGAGTGTGCTGCTTTTGCAAACCTGGGATGATGAGTCAAAGAGACGGTGTTTAGTTTGAAAAGCATGAGCAAAGGGTGTGTGAACTGTGCAGCAGAACAAACAGCATCACTGTGTGTTTGTACATATTATAATGAGTTGTTATGCATTCATTTGGAGCGAAATATGCCCCTGTCTAAGCAAATGAGCCTCAGTGTATAATACTGGAAGGAAAACTGTTGCTACTAGATGGTCTGAAAAAAATCTTTTCAAACTTTCCCAGGAGTACCAGAGGCAGCAACATGATCAAGCACCCAAGTTATCAAGACAGTAATTTTACCTCTGAATGACCAAACACTGATATGCACCTATGTATAATGTTTTACACTGACACCACTGCCACAGGCATAGACTGTATATACTATGGACAACTTGTTTCTGCCCTCCGCCAGTATACAGATTCAAAGCCGAAAAGGTCTCGGTATTTCCGCAATTTTTCTTCATTTACTGAAACCAACATTGCTCAGTAGCATTGTACGCATTTATTTGGCGGGAGAGTAGCTGTGACGATGTACAGATCCGATTTAAAAAACTGAGCTGTACAGAAAAAAGAGGACTTGAGCACAAACCAGTCTTACAGTAACTACATGTCAACATCGCAAACAGGCGGGAGAAAAATGTACATACTGTGTAATAAATTTCTAAATTTTGTCCAAAACTCCATAAGGTTTGCTGGAGGAGGCTGGATTTATGACCTACACTGCAGCCCATCACCAGAGGGTGCTGTTCTCTTCTTTGAAGAGGCAGACGGCGACGGCGTCCATTCTATACACAGTCTATGGTCACAGGACTCAGGGGTTAAATCAGTCTGGGGCTGTTTGTGGCTCTACATCCACACAAAAATACAAAAAACAACATTATGTGTAATAAATTTCCCACAATTTTTTTTTTTTTCTGAGTAAGCTTCTTTTTACAAGTGCACAGCGCAGCTCTGTGCAGCAGAGGGTAGGGATGCTGACAGCTCATTTCAGTCATGATAAAACACAACAGAACTTTGGGGGCGTTTTTAATGCTTGGCTATCTTCAGGATTATTGGTTTGATGAATTCGACTTTTAGATGGTGTAGACGGGGAAAATGATGCGCAATGCTTGGTGTCATTTAAGGCAAATTCCTCCTTAGTCTTTCTGTTTCATTTCTGTTGCTTTTGCACAAGCTTGCATGATTTTTCTTATTTGAACTTGTTTTTAAATAAATTTTCATTCAATGATTTGTCTGTTATTCTTAAGAATTTCCAACACATGACGAAAGGTGTTTTTGGAGACCTGAAAATCAAAAGCTCTCTCTTTTTTCATTTGGTTCAAGACAAGCCTGTAATGTTTCCATTACACCTCCAAGTCTATGTTAACGAGTCAGAGGCAGAATTGGGGCAAAGCTATTTCACCGCTGAGACAGCATCAGATGTAGAAACAGGGAAAACTGTGTTTGTGAAAACAGCAGAGACTGCTTGATGGAGCAGAGTAATGTGTGCGCGCATGTGTTAAGTTTGTGCTGATTGTTTACTCGTTTCTCCTCTTTGTTTCTGCAGCGCCATCACACTGTTAAATCATACACTAGATCACTGATATAAAACCACTGATTGGTTTAGTTTTAAAGCATAGAGACAGCGCAATCTTACGGCATTATTTGAGAATTTCTATGTGAAGAGAGCAAAAAAAAAACCCCAAAAAAACAAACAAACAAACTGGAACATCTAAACACGCTGTGAAACCCTATTCCATTTCTAAGTGGCTTCTATGTAAATATGACGCAAAATGTGTGTGCAGGAAAACTCACCCATCCTCCCTGCTGGGTAATGAAGCCAGTTTCATCCTCCTCTAGATAGCGCACCCCGAGATCTAGCATATCTGTCGGTGACTGTCCTTCACTTTGTAATGCCTGGAGCAACACCAAAGGCACTAACACCTGAGAAGGATGAGGGGAAAGATGACAGAGTTAAAGCAGAGGGAAAGAGTTTAATTAGGTCTACTGAAATGATGTCAAAAATGGGGGGAAATAAACAGTAGACTCACCTTATTCCAGCCCTCTTGTGTATGTGTTGACAGATCCAGCACTGTGTCTCTGAATCTCTGATAATCCAGAGGCCTGAAAGACACAAACAACAACAGACTGGTGTAAAACTCCAAATCCAGACTTACTGTTAAGGACTTGTATCGTAATTTCCCTTTCTGTTCACCTTATGAGCATTTATTTGCCAATCTCTGCAACTTCTAAAGTTTTAAACCATAAACATACTGAGATAAAACATGCCAAAAGATGTCCAGGACTTCTTTCCTCCATTTAACCTTTGATTGGCTCCTTATGCATCCATGATTTCTGCTAGTACCTGTTTTAAAGGAGCAAAATCTTGGCTCCATTAAAAAGGGGCAAAGATGATTATTCCAGAATTCTTTGAACTCCTTACTTATGGTGCGTTCACGTTACCTCGGAAGTCATAAGTCTGAGCTGAAAATGCCTCGTCCAAATATAAGGCAAGCGCTAAAATAACTTTCATAGATGTAGCCATCTTGCTTCTGCCTCCTATTTTGCTTTTTTCCGACTTGGTAACTGAAACGCTGGAAACACGGGTGTGACATCATTTTCATTTTCCAAGGTAACTCAAACGCAGCATTAGCAAGGACTCCAATGGTGCATTTCAAGGCACTGCCAATCACGATGCTTCTTTGTGCATCTTACTGTATGGCTTTGTCAGTTTTCTTGTTACATAACAGCCTACATTCCCCCTAAAGAAGGTTATCAATACCAGAACTTTATTGATCCCCAAAGCGAAGTTCATTCACATTAAAATTCATCAACACCTCAAACACAAAACAGATCTTTCTGTGAAGAACAAGTCAAGTGTTTGAGCTCTGACAATGTTGAACACATGGTGAACTGCACACATGCACAACACTCATTAAGGGAATATGATGTAAGTGTGTGTCTGTGCACCAGCTGCTGCATTTACTGAGGGATTCATACTAAACAGCACACACAGAGCAAGTGTTCGAGGACTAGATCTTAAGGTTTTAGGCAAACAGTGAGTTTAATTTGCAGCTCAAAGCTAGTGCAGGCAGTGGGATAACAGAACTGACATTGTAGTCACACAACCACCAAAAGTACAGATATGGTGGAGGAGATAAGACGAAGCAAGTCTGATACAAAAGAACCAAACGGGATCAAATATCAACAATTTGCATGAAAGTTGCCCAACAGTATTTATTTTCAGACTGGAATGTCTCCAAATGTGTTAAGCAGATCTCAGTAACGCCCACATGCACTATTTAGATACTTCTACCTTTTACTGGGACACTACACAACAGTTTACAAGCAGTAAATTAAGTGTGCATAATGATCTATCTCCAAGGACAACAAGGAGGGTTGTATATATCTGCAGCGTACGTGACTTTTCTCGTGAGATCAAGAAAAGCACAGGTCAAAGTGTAGATGAAGTGTGTGTGAGAGAGACAGACAGACAGAATGTGCTTAACTTCCACAAATTCAATAAAGGAGAAAGAGCATGTGTGATTTTAATGATGAGGGTCGACTGGGATGTGTGGATATCTATATGGGTCATTAAGTGAATGAATGTGTCTGTAAATTCTGCAGGATAGAATCACAGTTAAAGGTCAAAAGTTCGCTGAGAAGAGAAAGTCTGCAACAGATCAGTGTGTCAACACTGGCTTAGTGAACTCTCCGAGATTGCACCTCTCACCCCGTTTCCTCACACTGTATGAAGTTAGTCTGAGAATAGTTTTTATGAGGAAATTACTGCTCAATGGTGGGAAAAAGAAAAAAACTAACCTTGAAAGGAATCTTATGTTTAAGCACTAAAGCCATGGCAGCTGGGATCTACACACAGAAAGCTGCGCACTCACCCTGCCAGGAGTGTTTGCACGGCTGCTGTCAGGTGTGTGTCCAGCTCTCTGGACACCCGGTCTCCCACTGCAGCCAGGCAGTCTTCAACAGAGGTCTCCGGGTTGGCTGGATTAAACACCAGAGATTTTTTCCGGTCAAAGCCTGATGTGGAAGCAGCTGCAGGAAGCACAAACAAAGAGGAGCGAATCATATCTCAAACTCAGTGACGTTTGATTTGAGGAAGAAGGGAAAGCAAAGGCTACTGAGGAAAGGCAAAAAAAATCCTCTCACATGACACAAAGGAAGAACTGATGGAGTAGTTGAAACTTCGGTATCAAAGTCACAAATAATAGTGATAACACATAAAATCTTGATGAATCAAGTCTTCACACAAAGACTCTGAAAGACTTTGTTACGCTGTTCAGAAAGTTTCTTTGTAGGTGCAAATCTCAGATTGGCACAGAGGAGTGTCTCACATTGAAAACCCAGTATTATTAAGATGATTTCATTTCACTGACGCAAGAGTCATGCAAAAAGCTCGCCCTCAGGCCAAGAACTTGGTTACAGAGTAATCAGTCAGCATTAATGGAGCCTTTACAGATGTAGAAGCTTCTCAAACCACAGAAACTTAAGCTGTGTTCGCGTTACCTCTGAAGTCAGAAGTCCAACCTGAAAATGACGTCACATCCAAGTTACAAGTGTTTCAGTTACCAAGTTGGAAAAAAGCAAAATCTGAGGCGGAAACAAGATGGCTACATCTACAAAAGTTATTTTAGCACTTACCTTGTCTGAATATAAGGCAAGTGCTAAATTAACTTTCGTAGACATCGCCATCTTGTTTCAGGGCTCCAATTTTGCTTTTTTCAGACTTGGTAGCTGATACGCTGGGAACTTGGGTGTGACGTCATTTTCAGCCCCAACATCTGACTTCCTAGGAAACTTGAATGCAGCATTATTATCCCAGAACCATCCCAGATACCGGCTTTTGAACTGTTATCTAAAGAAAAGCACAGTGGCCCCTTTCTTCTTCAGCATGAGGGCGCCTGGGAGCTCCGAAAGAATCTGAATTTTTTTGACAATAGTGTGAAGTGATTTTTGAGCTCATATGGTGATTTCCACTCCAGAGCCATTTCTGTTTCTGAAAGCCTAAACATCAAAGCCATACAGTACTGTTTCTCAGCCTTTTGTACAGAGATTTCTCCATGTTTTCTGTATCTTTAAATTAAATTATGTGCACAGGATAATGAAATTCTGTAACTCTTTGCATAAACTAGCATTCTGAAAATATTTACCTGTTGCTAACACAGTCTCTCACAGAGCGGTGAACCCCCTCCAGTCTTTCCCCTTGAGGGGGAACACGTTTTATTCCCCGTCATGTTACTTATTTGTTGCAGATTAATACATCGGTTCAGAGTCTTCCCTCTGAGTGTTTTTTTTGACATCACACAACTTTGTCAGTGTTTTATTTTCCCTTGTCTAACTTTCAACACACCGATCTCTGAGTGACAACTTTCAAACATGGAAACTCAGGGCAGCTGAAGAGCATGTGAATGCGGGGTTTCTCTCATGCTGCTCAGAGAACTGTAGTTATGCAAAGAAAGCAAAGTTCTCCTTCAAAGCATACATTTAGTGGTTTACTTTGTCAAACATTGACTTCTGTGTTCAAACTGCCTACCTATGTAAGAAACAGCACAAAGAAAAGAGGGAGAACGAACAGGTGGAAAAATCAAAGAATTGAGATTTTCTATATACCAACAGCTGACATTCTGTAATTCTTCCTGATGTATAAAAACTGCTACCAGCAGTCCGTCCTCTTCAAATGTCACTGGAACGTCTTACTGACTGAATGTTGTGGATCTTCCTCAGAGATGGAGTAATACCCTCAAAGTGCTGACTTCTTCTTTTGTGCCTGATCCTCAGAACAACCCTAAATGTTGTGTTGTCTCCAGTTTCTCATTTGCCATCACTGGTCCATAACACAGAGTTAGACACCCCTTCGAGAGATGAATGTTGCCGACCGCTTGCTTCTCTAGTTATACCAACTTTAGTAACGACCACACGATAGCAATACACAGCGGTCTATGGAACCACAAACAAACGTCAACTAAAAAGCCACTCTATAGCCACAAATAATGCTCAGAACAGCACTTAACTTCATCAACAGTACATATAGTATCCCAGCCATAGCACTAGCCATCAAACATCTTTTTAGCTTTGCCTTATTTCTTAGCAAAGAGACTAAACACAACTCACCTACTCTCTTCCAGCAGCCACTTGTTTGTAGCAAGACCTCGGGCCAGTCCATTACGGACCGCTACAGGGTGACACAGCTCAAGGAAGAACATTTATAATCATTCCTTTATCATTTCCTTGAAGTAATAATCATCTTATTAATCATTTTGCACTGTAGACGCAGTAGTCCTCCCACCTAGCGTCCCGGTCTGATTGCATTTCCATGAAGTAATGATCATAAATGTTCTTCCTTGAGGGGGTGTCTAACTCAGTGTTTTGGTGTGTTTGACCCTGAATTAATTTTACGCTGGAATATCCCTTTAAGAGTCTTCCTTATATCCTTTTCATGCAGCACATCGCTTGGACACTGAGGTCTGTTAGCGGTGTGTGCCGAGTTTGTGTGTCACATGACCGGAATAGTGAATATGCACACCACACTGCTGCCATTATTGATGATACAGGAGATTTTAAAACAGCATATTCCTGCTTGGCTGGTGACCATCTGTTGGTGCACATTTATGCCACACGTACAGAGTAGTGTTGTGGAAATCACATGCAGAGGAAGATGGCTGAATTTTCTGTTCATTAAAAGTTACTATCTGGTGACATGACGCCTCCAAAACTATCTCTCACATCAACAGAAAGAAGTGATGAAATGTCAGTACTTCTTTGTGCTTATTAGCGTTGCTCCTCCTGTACTCTCTCCTCCTGTCTCTCTACTTTTATAAATGTTATAGTTTATAAGGAAATCAAATCACACTGCATATATCTGTGATAAATTCTGATGTTTTTTTTATGTTGCAATAAAAACTGCAGAAAAGACAAACACTGCAAAAGTAACTTTTTTCAATACGGTGCAGCCCAGAAAGAACATCGTCTTAAATCAGGAGTTGGATTAACTGTCTTGCCATCATTACATTGATGTTGTAAAGATGCTATAACACATAAACATAGGCTTCTGACATTGATGCATGGTGTATCAATATCATAAACAGGGCAAATATCACTCAATGTTCAACCCAGACATCAGGGCTTTCCTGCATAACTCTGTTCGATCACTGTCTTGATATAGTATTGAACTGTTCACTGCAGCATCCAGGGTTCAATACCTGCTTGTGAATTGTGGCTTTCTGATTTTGTTCAAACCAGCTTCCATCTATTAATTTCCTCTCTGGATTACCTTGTGCCAGGATGTAAAAATCCAATGACATTTCTCTTTATTTACATGAAGACAATCACGTAGGTGGAGTCATTGCTGTCACATACCTCAGAATCAGATAGCATAATATCTGATTAAGGCCTGAGTGGCACCATTCGTGAGGCAACAATGCAAAACAACCGCCATACAAAACACAAAGGGGTGAGTACACACTGACCTATGTAAGCAAACTCACCTGTTGAAGATTATTGTACAACTTGTAGTCATGACCAGTTAATGTTGAGAGTTTCAGCTTTACCTGGGCTGACAAAGTCCTTTCTGTAATTATTACCTGGCAATGTTGTCGGTTGGCAGTTTGAATTAGGGCTGGGCGATCTGGCCTCAAATCAATATCCCGAGATATTGAGCAGTTCACCTTGATAACAATAAATGGACAATAACTAATCCACAAGCTGCTCACCCCCTCCCACATTAAATTCGTCTACTTCAGCTGCCGCTCCAGCCGCTACTACTTTAGAACCGTCCTCCATCACCTCACCTGTCTTTCCCTCTTTGTTACAGACTGAATGGGGTGGAGTCACATCTCTGATGTAGGACAGCGTCTTTAAGGGACATAAGACCATAGCCTACCTACACACATCCAAAACCAACTTTTATTTATTTATTTATTTACTTGACACTGAATATACCGATACAAGCAAAATGACATCAGTTATTGTCATAAATTTCTGTATCTGTAAATTCTGGGTTTATCGCCCAGCCCTTGTGTGAATCCTCAGCAATAATATTTTGCATATTAAGACCTGAGACCTGAATAACTCTTGCGTTAAAACTCGGAGGCTGAGACTGGTCGTCCTTGAATGTGTGTATTTGTGAGTGTGTGTGTGTTTACGGTGTTTGTGCGTCCACTTACAGGCAGTGATTTCATCTTCCAGTTGTCTCAGCTCTTCCTCTATCTGCCCTTTTATCGCTGTCGTCCTTTCTCTCTGGTTCTGGGAATCTCCTGCAAGAGATAAAAACATGAGAGTGAACCAGCTGTCCTTAATCTTCTCCCTCTCTGCCAATCACTTGATTAAAATCATCATCATTAATGATCATTTATGAGGAAATACTGGGTAGAGCTCTGATGGCAGAATTAACACCACATTTTCCACATTCAGAAGTGTGTCAAAAACATGGAGGAGCACCTACAAGAGTAACATCTTTGACTCTCAGGTCGTTCTCTCGCTCTTTGGCACGACATGCTGAACCAAACGACACCAAAAATTTGAACGGTGCTCTCTCATCGTGTGCATACAAGGTATGTAAATTATTAACAGGGCACAGACTACACTGCTGGGGGCATAATGAACCACGTGAGGAAGAAAACTGAGACAGAGGCTGCATCAGAGTTTGACTTTCAGCTTTTATACTCACACAGGAAATACTCTGAATCCAGCCATTCAGCTTGTAATAGATCAGCATTGTTTGATAAAGAAAAGACACATTGTTAGCTGTTCACTCATTCATCTCGTGCTATCATGTTTATTTCCATGTGAACTCCATTAGTATCGATTTAAATAAAACTTAACTATTTCTTTGCAGCTGACTGATACAGGAGAGGAAGTTGACCGCCCTTTTTTCTATTCTGTCCGAGTCCCTGCAGCTCATATATGAACCCTCTGAGGATCACTGTTGGTTTTTCTGAGCTTGTATGCTGTTTCAGCATTGAGCCAGACAGCTAGCTGGCCAACTACTCTGTATTGGTCCACCGGCGTGTGAGTAATCCTGCGGTGATTACACATGACAGGCTGTCAGAAATTGGACCGGGTCAAGCGGAAAGCAGGGATCAGCCACTCCTCTTTTTTTTCCCCCGCCCATTTCAAGAATGCGTACAACAAAGAAAAAGGCAGGAAATCTCTCGCCTCTTTTCCATCTCCTTTCTGTTTGTAAAGCTCAAAACACTAAAGCATCTTTTTTTCATGAGGCTGTGATGATTTCCTGTGCAGACCCATCACCTTCACTGACCCTCCTGCTGCACAGACCGAGTTTCTTTTTCTTTCAAAAGTAAGGGATAAGTGAAAGTTAGTGTGGCCTGAAAATGTCCCACCACATTAAAATGTGTTATCAACCACTTAGTCAAATTTGGATCATTATATAAAAAAATCACCAGGTTTCAAAATCTGTGGGGGATACGGTTTAAAGGGATATTCCGGCATCAAACACACCATAACACCGAGTTAGACACCCCCTCGAGAGATGAATGTTGCCGTCCGCTTGCTTCTCTAGTTATACCAACTTTAGTAATGACCACACAATAGTCCAATCCATTACAGACTACAGCGGGGTGACACAGCTCAAGGAAGAACATTTATGATCCTTTCTTCCTGGAAATACAATCAGACCGAAACGCTAAGGCAGAAGAACTACCGCGTCTGCAGTGCAAAATGATTAATATGATGATCATTACTTCAAGGAAATGATAAAGTAATGATCACAAATATTCTTCCTTGAGCTGCGTCACCCCGCCTCAGCCTAACATTGACTGGTCGAGGTCTTGCTACAAACAAGCGGCTGCTGGAAGAGAGTAGGTGAGTTGTGTTTAGTCTCTTTGCTAAAGAAATAGGCAAAGCTAAAAAGATGTCTGATGGTTAGTACTATGGCTAGGACCCTATATGTACTGTTGATGAAGTTAGGTACTCTTCTGAGCATTATTTGTGGCTATAAAATGGCTTTTTGGTTGACTGTGTGTGGCTCCTCAGACTGCTGTGTATTGCTATCCTGCGGTCATTACTAAAGTTGGTTTAACTAAAAAAGCAAGCGGTCCTCCTCAACATTCATCTCTCAAGGGGGCTCTGCAGTAGTCATCGATATCTGTCAATAATCGATTAGCTATAACTACACTCTTAAAGAACTGTAGCGGCTGATGCAACAGTAGTGGAGCATGTTACATTGACCTAATGTGGGAAGGGGATTGGGCTGCTAGATTATGGCAATAATCCCAATTCCAATTATTTTGATTTGATACAGAGATCTTTAGATGCGTGTAGTTTAAAAAAAAAAAACTCTTTCATTGACATCAGCTGCATCAGCAACTTCCTCACACTCTTAAAGTTGTTGGGCTACACACTGATCTGAGCTTGAGATGTAGGGAAATGATAACTGTTCGAGGAGAGGGGCAGAGCACACACTCTGCTGTGAAGGCACAGAGGGAGAGGTGCACTTTATCCAATTTCATGTTTTTATGATCATCATAAATAAAACTATGCCCAATTTTAAAGGGGAATTTCTTTTTTTCCCCACTTAAATTCACAGTCTGTCTCTGCAGTAAAAGAGTGGCCTTGCTGACGGAAGGCAATTTGAAACGGTATTTCAAGAAAAACGCCAACAACTCTACAAACCTACCAAGTGAGAGTTAGCAGAGTTAGTCAGCAGCACATTTTTTTACCAGGCCTGACTGAGGGCAAGGTTTCAACACCAACATCTAAATGAGTCTGTCTCATTCTTGCGAAACACAGGACATTTGGTGAGTGCCAGTGTCTGTGCCAGAGGTCCACTAATGTAGAGAGCATGGACTGTACAAAACATGAATGTAGTTCTGGTGTTGTCACTCATTTGTTTCCTAAGTTTTGTAGCCCGTCTGTAGTGGTTGACGTGATGGAAATGCTCAAGACCTGATATTACTGCCCTCATAGAGCCTGTGTCTGGTTAACTTTCCTTTTTTCACAGGACTGTAGTAAACACCAATGTGGCAACAGTAGTGGATGTTGATCCCTGTGCAGACTGGCAACTGGGTCTGTGTACAATGCTGAAACTGGACTTCCAAATCACAGCAAGTTATTGTTGTTGCTTTTAAATCTTCCTTTTAAGTGACACAACTTGCCACAGGAGGAACACTTGTTCTTTAGAAATACAGAATCACATTTAGAGTGTAATTTGGAGTCTTAAAGTCAATATCAGAGCCTTTACACACTTGATGATCTGACATTGAGGTTCATCCTTGCTGAGTGAGTGTTCAATGCTTTCCCAAAGTCTGTGAGTGTGGAGATTAGGGCTGTGCACATGACTGACTTTCATTGCCTTGCAGATACACAAAATGGAAAACAGACATCCGGGTGCCTGGAGCTGCTCTGGACACCACACTGACAGAATCTGGGCTCACATGATTTCTATTTGTTTACAGTCATAAAGTGTCACGTTTCAATATGAAAAAGCCTCTGGATGTGTTTGGGTGCTGATGTGGAGACAGCTACACTGAGTTCAAGAACAGGTGGCAACCTGCAAACACACACCCTGAATATTTTTGCTTTAACTGCCATGCTTGCATGTGCACACAACTCTATTTGTGTGCTGTGTGAAAGCCTGAGTGTGACGTCTGCCCTGACATATGTGTCCCACACTGAAGACAGAGTGAAGAGCACAGAAACTGAGTGCCCTTGGCAGAAGCTGAACTGCAGTAATAAGGAGTGTGTCACCTCAGGATAAATTCATATGAAGCAATACCTCATAGCAGTTTACTCTGGATCTTAAAGAAATACAGTCTTTGTTTGAAACATTTCCTCTCACCTTGAGTTGTGGTTTGTGATCTGCCAACGGGCAGCAGTCCCAGGTAGTTGAGCACAATAAACTTGGTTTCATAATGAAAACCCTCAGGCACAGTGGTGGTGGTGGAGGCAGAGAAGGTGGAGCCTGAGGTAGCCATCGAACAGACGTGTGTCAGACTCTCAGGCACATACGTTCTTACAGTTAAAGCTGGACGTCTCACCTGAGAAAAAACACACAGAATGAGGAGGAAAATAACAATTTCCAGATGTAGAGGTTTAGAAAATCAGGATCTGTGTTTTACATAAAAAAAGAACATGTCTCGACCAGATCATAAAGATAAAAAAAAAACATAACTCATTATGACAAGTACTTCAGAAGCCTTGTTTCATGTCTTCCGATCAAAAACTCAGAAATAAGACATTTTCAATACTAAATACAACCATTTCTTAAAACATAAATACTGTTTGAATTCATCTGTGCAAGTTAGAAAAGAGGCAAAAAAAAAGTTTGAGCCTGATTTTTAAAAAAAGAAAAAAACAATGAACTACCACAAACATAAACAAGGCTGTTATCCAGCCCTTATGATTAAACCTTACAGTAAGCTAAAACACAGGGTTTATTGGCTAATTCAATCAATATGGCAAAAACAAGTGTGTTCCATAGGATGAGACGTAAGCTGAAATCAGCTGGATCCATTGTTGCCTTTTTGAGTGTCTTTAATACCCATGAGCAATGCAGCGCAAAGCAACAAGATGCAACTTCAAGGCCCTTGGTGTGTCCCAAATCGCATACTTCCATACTAAATACTTAAATGTTGAGTATACTCAAATCAAAATGGAAAAAAGTATGGATAGTATGTGAAAATTAAGTATGCAAAAGAACCCAGATGACATACTCAAACCGGTCAAGATTTTGAGTATCCGACTGTGGACACTCGCCTGCACTCATTTCAACGGTAAGAATGGCTGCGGACGGCTGTGGTGTCAGTGCGTCGGCGATGGTCGACCTGGGACCGCCAGCATTTATCGTTTCGAGTACATTTGTGGTGTAAACCGTTTTTTGTCTTTTACCGCTAACAGTATTGCGAATGCTAATGGTAGTTAGATAGTAGCTGCCAGGCTCCGCAGCATTACCCATGGCAAATAAAAAATAACCAGTGGGCCAGCAGAGCCTGTTCATGGACTATACAACCAGCGAGGCTAGCTAGCCTGTGAATAGAGGCAGAGTCAGCCATGGGGGTTTGTCTGCAGCATATCATGTCATTATTTCTTTAGTTTTTGTTCGTCTGTAATTTCCGGTGAGTGCGCACGCGGCAGTTTGTGATTTGGGACAGCACTGCACCCTTGAAACTCACGCACTGCATGATTGAGTACATAGTATGCTTAACATACTCAATTTAGTATTTAGTATGGAAGTATGCGATCTGGGGCACACCTCCTGTTTCTAGCTTTGTAGCTCTTTGCCAGGAGGTTAAATATTGTCCAAGCTCCCCCCCAAAGACTGTATATTTAAATGGAGGCCAGAAGTGTTCACGGACTCCAAGACAATTATTTGTAGCTTATGTTAACACATTGAACATGGGTCAAACTATACATTTAAAATACACATCAAATACATTTTAAGCACGGTTTGTGTCATTAGAGTCGGTTATTATCCTGCTGCTTCAAGAGCTTGAGTTCATTACTCCGTAGATGTTCAGTTTGAATTAGTTACTTGATTTTATAAAGATTGTCAGCTCTGATGTTGGCTGAAGCTCTTTTAAGTATTAGAATAAAGGAAAATCTTGATTTTGACCACTCCATTTATAGTCAATCATGGCTCATATGAGTCAATGTTTCAGTGTTATACATTTTACAGTGCAATTGTCACATACGTGCTGCAGCAATCAGTAAACATCAAATATTTTCCTATCCATCAGCAGGTTGAGTGTAAGCTGATATTGATCCTCAAAGGAGTGTAATGGCTGAATTAGTCATTTCTAGGAGAAAACAGTCGCATGTGGGTGTCTAAATCAAAAGTCATGCTGTAATCTGTTGTCAAACAGGAAAACAGCTGTGATATTAAACAAACATTACACTCAGTTACATCAGAGGTATGGTGGCTTAATGTCATACTGTGTCAGGTGGTCAGGGCTCACTTGCCCATCTGGCAGAGAGGCTCTGAGGCTGAGACTGATAGCTTAGAATCATTTTAGGTGTCTCTGGATCTGCATGGCTGTTAACTGCAAGCTCAAAGGCAGATAACCTCAAGACATGTCAATCTTACATATAGTACGTTTTGTACCTGCATCATACATGACACAATGCAACTTACATAACCCACGTGGTGGACAAAGGGGCGTGAAACGTCCTTCAGCTTTTAGTAAGGAAACACACCGCTGCTGCACTGCTCTTTTAACGTTTACAGGATATTAAACTACGAGCAACACACTCATTTATCAGAGAGAGTAACGTTCAAGTCTATTTTTCAAGTTTTTGGGAGCTGATAAGGAACCATGCGGGCTGAAAGCGACACTGAAAACGTCAAGTGTAAAGAATCCGGAACTAACTTCCGTCTTGACTTATCAAAATAAAACCATGTTGATTTATGATGTTTGATATGATTAGAAATGAAGCTTAAAAGATCAATTTAATTTGTTAAAATTGGAGAGTTGCAGTATAAGTTATTGCTATCATGTTTCGTGTTTCCAAAATTAAATTGCTCCAAAAGATAAGAAAACCTAGCTATGCTATCATATTAAATTAATAATCAGACATATAGCTCGTTGGATGTCATGGTATGTTACACGTGTGTGCTACACAAGAAAGTCATTTTTTGACACACAAGAGAGGTTTCTTTAACACATAAGCACACCTACAAGCTGCAGCTAGCTTAACGGTACACGTTTAATAAGCGATTTCAAAGTCGCAAAACTTAATTTGGACATATAGAGAACACAGGTTAAAGGTTTCTCACCGTCCTTGTCTGAAGGCAACCAGGTGCTGACAAACGACAGGCTGAAGGGCAAAATACGACCCAGAGCCGTGCAGAAGTGGCAGAGGAGGGTAGACCACCACTGGCGGACAGCAGTAGCACTAGCACACTGTGTGCTTTCAAAGCTGCACAAGTCAGGGACAACAGAGCACCAACCTTCCTGTCAGGACCTTCAACATAAGACGGGAATGTGGAGTCTTTTCTCAGGCACCAAGGAGACAAAGCTCGTTTGAATCAGTTATAGTCGTTTGAGGAAGATAACGACAGTTGAAACGGTTTCTAATGAGTATCCAAGCAACTCAAAATGGAGGGCGGATCAGCGTTAGAATTTTGCAGGTAACCAGCAGTGGACATAACAGTCAAATGCATATGGACTCCAGGGTCCCATCAAACTCTCCAAAAATCATTGGAAAGTGAATTTGGCCACCTGCAAGGTGATCAAAATAAGTATTAAAAATGTAGTCAGAAGATTACCTTTTTTTTTTTTTTTTTTTTAAATCTTTTATCTTTTTTTTATCTTTTGTCTTACATCTGTCATCTCTTTCACCTCTGTCTCACAGGTGTCAAACTCAAGGCCCAGGGGCCAAATCTGGCCCGTGGAACAATGGCCCACAAGATCATATCATATTTGTGTTATTACTGGCCCACCAGTATGAAGTCTGCAGATTTCCTCCAGTATAGTAATGTGAACTTTAGCACCATTATTGAAAATGTCCTTATTAAACCACGAAAATCTGGGAAAGTAAAGAGTAACCAAGATTTGAGAAATAGTCAAGAATGTGGGGGAAACAATATTTGGTGTTTTATTTCATGTTTTCAATTTTGCATTTCAAGATTACAAGTCAAACATGATTGGATTCTTTACACACAAAGGGGGTGTTCTTGAGTAATTTATTTAGTCATTAAATCGCGATGGAAATTTAAACTTCATTTTACCAAAAAGCTTAGAAAATTGTCAAATATGACTATGAGTACAGTTTATTTGCTCTGCCAAATATGGACACAGACTGTAAAACATGATAAGTCGCAGTGACATCAGTCATTAGTTTCTGAAGTGAGTTTTAAGAGTTGTAACTGTGGTCACCATTTGAGAAATACTGACTTAACCAAACTGTCAGTCAACTTACCAAGAGGGAAAGAGGTCTGGCTGAAGCAGACTTCTAGCCGCCCTGCTAACATCTATAGTGTGCATACCTGTCTGAGAAAACAGCTGTTCCCCTTATATGTCCTTAACATGTTTAAAACTAAGATCTTATAAAAATAAAATATATATATAAAAAAGAAAGAAAGAAACAACCCTCCTAGTTTGTTTGAGTAGAAGAATTAACTTTTTGGACCAAAACCTCTTTTTGACCCGACCTGTGAACACAGTCATGCCGAAGACAGGCTTTTTCGAATGAGTGTGTACATCTTTAGTGGATATTTAAAGAATTGCAGTTTTTAGCACCTCTTAACTGCCTTCATTTCTCAAGACTGAAGGCTGCCACTTGAATACGTACCACAGAGTCTACAGGTTAACAATGTCAGATTGGTTTGCTGAGTGCAGCTAACCTTAGCAGAGCTTGCACCACCAGCCTTTCCTGAGGTAAACCTCAATTCACGCGTGCAGGTTTTGCATTGTAGTTAAATAATAGAATTTGCCAAACTCAACCTACAAAAAACTATCTCCAATGTCAAGATAAAAATACTGGCAAACAGTGCTTCACTACTCATCAGTCATCTGTGTTTGTTTACATTTGGGTAGGTGGGGACCACAATATTAGCCTATGTCAATTTCCACTGAACAGAGCTCCATCCACAGCATGTAGCCTACTTTTAACTGCAACTGGCAAGGGTGATTGTTGTGTTGATTTAACATGCCCATGCTACTTTTTATACCCCAAAATTTGCCCTGTATTTTTCTATTTTAATAATTACAGATGGCTGTTGTGAAATCTAGAGGTCCTTTGTGGTAATATATTACATCACCAAATATTTTTTCTGTCTGCAAATCCTGTCATGTGAATGGAGCTGTAAAAAATCTATAAAATACTATTGACACACCCCCTTCATTTAACCCAGAGTCCCGAACATTAAATGTGACAGCCGGTTTTTATAGTTATCATAACTTAACTCCTGTGTTAGCTTTTCCTACGCACCCACCACGTTAAGGATCAGTTTGGACCCATGTCTTAAATCAGCTGTAAATTACACAAAACAATTCTCTATCATCCAATTTGGTTCTCATCTCTAGGTTACCTTGTTAGGCTTCATTATCCATGAAAATATTGCTTATCAAAGTTTTTGTAGAGGGCCGCTGTGTTTTTCTTTGTCAGTATACCCCTCATACAGACATCTGATATTGAACTGATCTCACATGTCTGGACATGCCCAACATAGTTTTTTTGTGCAGGGAAAAATGAGAATTTCCTAAATCTCACATGATTGGAAGAGGATCTAATGAGCAGGGTCAGTTTTTGCTCTGATTATTAGATATTGATCTACCCAGGTCAATGGCAAACCTAAAACGACAAGTGCCATAGTTTTAATAAGAGCATTTTATAATTTAGTCAATTATTATTTTTTTTAATTTTGTTGAAATAGAGGTTCTTGTCAAAGTCAAAAAGCTAATTTAAGTGGTTCTTGTACGCATTTAAAAACAAAAACGGGTCGGTGCAGGCCCTGACACAGGAGCAGGGTTAAAGAATATCTGTCTCTGACTTTGTTCTTACACGCGGTGGTGGGTGTGTCCTCTAACGACGTTATACCGTTAGTCCCCTTCAAGTTCTCCTCGGATGCTCGGAGTTCTGAGAACTTGTTGCTTCACCTGTGAATTCGGTATTTCAATACGCTTTACTTTGTCAAGCAGAAATAGCATGAAGGAGGATAGTATTAAAAAATATATAAACCTCAAAGTAAAAGTGGACCGCTGGAGGTGAAAACTGAGCAACGGTTGATACCTTACACCAGAGTTTGATAAATTCATTAGCTGAAAATGCGAGAAAAAGTCCGCAGAAAATGACCAAACTTATGTCAACTTGTCTGCTAAGTAATATTTCTCCCCTCAAATTCTCGACTTGATGATACCGTTTGGAAGAGCAGAGGAGATAGGCCTTCATTCGTGTTTTATTGATTGGAATGTTATATTTCCGATATGGACCAATTGAATGCGAGTTCAGTTTTATTCTGAAATCCTAGAGCGGATGTTGTATGTTGTCGCATGAAACTAAACGCCAAACTGACGTAGACCTAGCCAGCAGTGAAATGTTTTCCCCTCTTCTTACAGTTTCTACTCTACTGAACCGTGTAAGGGTCAGAGAAGACTTTTATTTACAAGCTTTAATAAAAACAAAGGATATTTGGGAGTAGTCATGGCGCTTACCGACGCTGACGTTCAAAAACAGGTAAAATGGACGCTGTTTTAATCGTAACGGTGAAGTTTAAACGCAGTTTTGTCAGTGTGTAAAACTTAGTGTAGCTGAACAAAACAAACGAGCTGAACTTCAGTGTAACTTATCTCTGACTCTGCATGTACATTTTTCACAGTTCAATGCAGATAAATACACTAATGTCACTATGTGTGTATAATTATGGTTTCCGTTATTTGTCATTTGTGGAGTGTAAATCCACGCGCAAAGTTAAAACCAGTCTTTCATACGAGCACTCGTTACCTTCTGCTGTTTCAGTCAGGATTTTAATAGAATCAGCAAACAGGTTAAAGTTTAGCAGAAAGCCTCTGTTCCTGCTTCACTTCATTTCTGCAAAGTCAGCTTCACAATAACCCAGAAAGTCTCTACAGTGACTTACTAACTGTAGACAATAAGTAGGCTATGTATAAATGATGACTTTAAAACAGGTTGTTCAGTAATAAATTAAGATAGTGTATAACTATCATTTTAGTACCTCAGAGAAAAGAATCTCAAGTTTACTTGAAACTGTCTTAAAATAGTTAAGAAAATAGTAAAAGTTTCTTAAATAACTTTCTCATACCTCCAAATGAAATAAAACTCCCCATGTGATTTCAAATTAAAGCTCCAATAGGGAACTTTCTGTTTATGTTGATATCCTGTGCACCCTAACTTTCAACCTGCATAACACAGACCAACACTTGACAATGAAAGCCGAATAAATCAGATTTTATCCTAAAGATAATGCAAGCCACAACAAAAATAGCCTTTTCTGAATGGCTTTTGAGCTTTTTGACACCATCAATTGCAGACATAACAGAGAATGATTTGAATTAGCTGGTTTTTTAACCTTCCGTCAATCATCCTGTCTGGCACCTCCCCCTCTAAATGGTTATAATCAACAAAAATTACTACAGTGTATCTATCAGCCTTCTTGCTGATGGTCTCTTTTATTGTTGAAGGTCACTAGTATCAGCTTCAGCAAGTTTCTCAACCAATGAAATATTCCTGACAGTGCCTGTGATTCGGACTACAAATGAAAACATGATTGTGAGAAACTTTTTAAAAGTAATGGCTCAGGATCTCAGGTAGATGAAGTTGTATCTTACAATTTTAATAAACTTTTAAAGACTGTGAGTCCTGAAAGTTATCGTACTTTAATATTTTAGTAACTAAGAATCTCAAATAAATCAATGCATACTGTATATTAAACTTCTTTCTTCAGGGAAAGTCATTTTTAAGTATCTCAAAACAATGACTTGGTTGTTTAAAATTATGAAAAATATCTTGAAGTACAAGTTCAGCTTGGTACCTCAATTTGTAAAAATCTTTCATGGAAAAATGGACGTATCATCCCAAAATAACAAATAAATAAATTATCAAATTGAGCAAAGTTCGACCATTTTGAGATAGTTGCCCATTCTTTGGCTCACAACAATATGATTTTGAGCTCCATAATTTGGTAAGTCATTGTCAGTTTTATAAACAGTTGTTATTTACATTTAAAGAGCAAACGTGATAAAGCTAAATGTCGAACCTATCTCTAACTGGTAAGTGTTGTCTGTTTTGTCCTTTCTCCTGAGTCAGATAAAGCACATGATGGCATTCATCGAGCAGGAAGCTAAAGAGAAAGTCGAGGAAATTGATGCCAAGGTAAGTGAAGTCCATCCGTCTGCAGTCTTGTGATTCTCTGTAGCATAGACCTGAAATGAGCTTTGTCATACAACGCTTCTGTTCGCAGGCTGAGGAGGAGTTCAATATCGAGAAAGGCCGCCTGGTGCAGACTCAGAGAGTGAAAATCATGGAGTACTATGAGAAGAAAGAAAAGCAAATTGAACAGCATAAGAAAATGTAAGGAATGAGCAGTTACAGAGCTTGTGGTGGTGTTAAGGGCAGTTCACAAAACTGTATATCCAGTTCACAAAATTTGAACAGGGCATATACGTGCCTGCAAATCTTTTTTATCTGTTCAGATTCTTCCTAATTTATCTGCAAATGAACCTTGAACCAACACAACAGGATAAAAAATGTCATGTGGAACTTGTTGATTTATGTCAGTTGTTCCTTTCCATAACAACATCCCAACAGGTGCTTTCTGGAGCTCACCTGCTGTATTGATTTGCACTGTGTTTAGATCACTCACTTCATCCAAATCAATATATAACTAGGTGCAATAGTCTTGCATTGTATGAAGTTTATCCAGACTTTACCCTATAGGGACAGAGAGGTAAGCAGGAGGGATTTAACTCAGTGGCTGGGCCTTATAGCATGCTGCTGTTTGGGTTTGTCTCCCTCCTGTCTGTTGGGGTTGCCTTGTTAAACTTTAACTTTTCTTCACTCTGCCGTCCTTACAGTTGAGTTTAGTGAAGGATTTGTAGCTAAACAAACTCTCTGGATCCTGCACTCCACCAATGTCTGAAATCAGTGTGTTGGAATGAAAGGGGATGCAGACCAGCTGTAGAGAAAAATGCTGTGTAAAATGTTCATGTCTGCAGCAAACTAGAGTCTGACCAGCTCTGCTCTTAGTTAGCTCTTCTTTGTAGTACAAAATGAAATCTGCTACAACTTTCATGAACATGAAAAAAAGCTATGGCACGGGAGACCAGTCCTACCCCAGACATTCTCAGCTGCCATTGTGGGCAAATAATCTTATTTGTTCAGCTAAAGTTTCTTTTATAAGTTTAAATGTGCCTCAGTTTTTCATGTTCAACCAAAATGCAGATCTGAACAGGTGGGATTATTCACATAATATACCGACAGCGATTTAAAAAATCTGTTTTTAATCTTCTCACCCACGTAGTAACTCAATTCAAAGCTATTTCTCTGCACTTCATCAACCCTCCTCCACAAACTATATTTACTTTGATTTTCAGCTATGAAACATTACCCCACAGCCTTACTGTGAACAGTTACTGCAACTTCCTTAAAACTCCAACTGTCACCACCAATTTCAGGAATAATTTTCTCTCATGGTTGATTTTTTTTGAGCTGGACTTTGAGTCATAGTTTAAGTTAACTAAGTTACACTGGTGTTAGACTAAGTGTCTTCCAACTGTCAGCACTTTGCTGTTAGAAGGCCTGTTTGTTTTTGCACTCTGCACAGACTGTACACACACACATGCTCTCCTGAGTGCAGGACTCTGAACTATAAATCAGGTCTGTAACGTACAAAACATTTTGACTTTTTCCAAGTTCACCGATATACTCTGGGTGATGATTCTTTGCTTCTCAATTTAACTGAGATTAATGCTGAACATTCTTGTGTTGTCACAGGAATGGCTGCTCAGTCTTCCCTTCAACAGTTGACATAGTGTGTTTTGATAACAGACATCATGTGCACCATGGGTTGTGTCATTAAGCAATAAAAAAACAATGAGAGCTAAGCACTTACCCTGAAGTTGCACTTCTATTCAGCTTGTCTGGCTGTCTGATTTACAGGGATATTCAGGCGTAAAATTAATTTAACGACCGCGCGATAGCAATACACAGCAGTCTGAGGAGCCACACACAAACCTCAACCAAAAAGCCACTGTATTGCCACAAATAATGCTCAGAACAGCACCTAACATCATCAACAGTACATATAGGGTCCTAGCCACAGCACTAGCCACCAAACATCTTTTTAGCTTTGCCTAATTTCTTTAGCAAAGAGACTAAACACAGCACACCTACTCTCTTCCAGCAGCCGCTTGTTTGTAGCGAGACCTCAGGCCAGTCCATTACAGACTGCTGCGGGGTGACACAGCTCAAGGAAGAACATTTATGATCATTACTTCATGGAAATGCAATCAGACCGGGACTCTAAGGCAGAGGAACTACCGCGTCTGCAGTGCAAAATGATTAATATGATGATTATTACTTCAAGGAAATGATAGAGAAAGATCATAAATGTTCTTCCTTGAGCTGTGTCACCCTGCAGCAGCCCATATGTCCCTTCAACTTATGAAGGTTGTAGAGAGTCGGTGTCAAGTTAGTGCAATATGAGGCAGCAACTCTGGATTGTGCGTGATGCAGACTACAGCTGCATGTTAGCTGCTGGTATCCTCTGATTTGCTCCCACTCCTGAGCTTCAAGTTTGTGGGTTTTGGGTTTGTGGGCACGCGCTCACAGTTTGCACACCTGCACCAAAAAATAGCTAAATTAAATGGTAGAGTAGTGGTCAATAGCCACGCTTCTGATCCATCTTCTCAGCAAAGGGGCTGAGCTGATCGGCATCCCCTGTGGGTGATACATGTACTATTGATAAGGACCTCCTACAACCCCTGTAAACAGATAGAATTCCTCTGACTTATCAAATTCAAGGTAAAAAGGCGTGTCTACATTTATTGTCTGGCACTGGAGTATCAATCTTTGCACGATAAATATCACACAGCTCTGTTTGCTGGAGTCACAAAAAAAAATCTCTTGACTTCATCCTTGATAACTAAATTTCTAGGATTTGTTGAATTCAGCCCTAAATCATCAAAAGTAAAAATGTGGGGTCCACTCTGACCTCACACTCTTCAGGTAGCTCAACAAGATGATGACTTGTTCATCGTGTTTGACGTTGTTGGTCGTGCAGAATAAATACGCCAAAGCCTCTTCAAACAGTGAGCATGAAACAACTGTCCTTCTCTCTTCTCCAAACTTTCATTTATTCCCCTCCCACTCCTGCAGCCAGATGTCCAACCTGATGAACCAGGCGAGGCTGAAGGTGCTGAAAGCCAGAGACGACATGATCGCGGTGAGAGATCAAATCTCATACTTTACTCATAACCACATGAACAGTTTAATTTCGCTGATTCAGGGATGTCTTACACTTCTCTGAATGTGTCTGATTATGGTATCTAGAAACAGAAATATTTCTGAGACATAAATGAACAAACTCAGTCAAACTCACTGTTTCCTCTGTGTGTTCTTCTCTCAGGATTTATTGAATGAGGCTCGACAGAGGCTTGCAGAGATTGTCAAGGACCCTGCCAGGTACTCTGTCCTGTTGGAGGGCCTGGTGCTTCAGGTAAAATATCCAGCTGTTAACACCGAAGAACAAATATGACTCGCCACTTGTGATATTTGAACTTTTATGTTTCAGGGATTTTATCAGCTGCTAGAACCTAAGGTCACCGTTCGCTGCAGAGAGGAGGATGTAGAAATGGTTCAGGTGAGATGGAGCTGCTCTATGTTGTGACAAGGAAAGCCCAGATTAGTGGAAGCGCCTGTTTGTCTTTCGTTCCACTTATGATAATTGTATGTGTTGTATTTCACATTGTTTGTCTTGCTTTATTTCTTGACAGGCTGCAATCAGTAAGAACATCCCAATCTACAAAGAGGCGGTGAAGATGAACATAGCCGTCAAAATCGACCAGGAGCGATTTCTCCCATCAACACTGTAAGATTATTGAATCTATTTCACATCAGCAGTTCAGTTTTCTATAAATCATCTCAAAGTTGTGGACTGTTGTTTTTACAGCTGTGGAGGAGTTGAGGTGTATAATGATAATGGGAAGATCAAGGTCTCAAACACATTGGAGAGCAGGCTGGAACTGATGACACAACAGGTAAAGTAACTGTAAAAATGAACTCCAAAATCATGTTTGAAATAACCCTGACTATGAGACAGGGGCTTTGTCTGATATTCAGGGTTAGGCATGTAGAGGACAGCATCATCCACTCTAATGTGTTCTTTGTAGGAACACTGCAGGGAATCCAGTTTGTCTTTGACCTCAGACCTTAGAAGGCGTAGAATCAGCTGCTCCAGGGTTTTCATGATGTGTGAAGTAAAGACCACTGGACTGTAGTCATTGAGTTCAGTTAGAAATTTTGTTTTTGGTACTGGCACAGTACAGGAGGTTTTCCACAGAGCAGGCACCCGCCCCAGCTGCAGACTCAGGTTGAAGATCCTGTGGAGAGGTTGACACAGTTCAGCAGCACAGCCTTTAAGCAGCCTTGGACACACACCATCCAGGCCATTCCTCTCACTGATTCCTCTCCACACTTACCGGATGTTGTTGTGTTGTAAATTCCTCTCTATCTTCTTTTTGTATTCCAGCTTTGCCATCCTCAGTATCTGCTTTAATTTATGTTGCTCTTGTTTGAGCCGTTCTTTGTTAAGGTCTCCTCTTTTTCTGGTTGAGGGAAAAAATAAACTTGGATGTATTCTTTTCATCATATTTTCAGATTTGAATTTGAAGTTTTTAATTTTTAAAACAAAATTTTGTTTTAAAAAGTAATTTATGAGAAATAGTCTCAGAGAGGGTGGGCTGCATGTAATCCAGGTTATCATTTTAGGATTGATTTGAGGAACTAAATGCAGCTTCATCTCTTTATCTGTAGAGGGCAGCAGAGGCCACTGAGTTTACAAGGTAGAGCAGTCGGAAGTAAAGAGTCTACAGACAACTTTATGGGTGGTTCTGATTCAGTTTACACTGTTAAGTAGTACATTGCTGCTATACTTGTGTAAAAAATTTATCTCCACACAATTATACCTTGAAATTTAAATCCTTCATAGTAGGTCAAAGAGTTTGGAGAAATTAAATCTAAATATATATGTCCCAAATTGATTTAGCTTCCCTCAGCAATGATGCCAGCAATTACTGTGGTCCAGTTGTCCTGAAAAAAAGATGTGTGCACAAAGCAAGGAAAATCATTCTCTTTGAAGAGAGTCTGAGCTGTTCTCTCTCTTTTTAGTCCAGCACAAACCTTAATACACAGTAAAGCTATGTGACGGTAGATATGGACAGAAGAACTTTGAATAGAAGATAGGAATATAAATGAGTAAGTGTGAAGTGTGACTGTCAGTGGCCATGTGTGATAGATGTCACATGAAAACACAGGTGATGGTACAGTTTGTGTTGTTTCCACCCATCATTACAGCTCGTGCAAAGGGGCAGTATGTTAAAGTAGCTAACAAATAGGCGTCCATGGTCTCCAAAACGAGTGTGAAATTTTAGATAATGTTTTAGGAAATACTGATTTATCTGAAAATTTACCTTTGTGATCATAACAGATTGAAAGCTGCATTTGTAATGCTTTCCTTTTAATGTTGCGTGTGTGCTTCTGTGTCCTCACTTCACACCTGACAGATGATTCCTGAAATCAGAGTGATCTTATTCGGTGCCAACCCCAACCGCAGGTTCATGGATTAACGATGGCTTTGCAGAGAGGGCAGCGCGTGCTCAGGTGGAGCATTTAAGGTGACACCAGACCATCACCATAGTGAACTAGAGTCTGTAGAACCACCCAGCAACACATGAGGTTTTGAGGAAACCTGGTTATCTTCAGGGGGTCTACGGATGTGTTTTCTATGAGTTTTTATTTTTGTATTAACGGACTGATAATAACTCAACAAGTGCACTTTTATTATGATTAAGTGTTCTCTTATTTTCCCATTCAAAAGGACTGCTCTAAATTGTAAGGGCATTTTTTGTCCCTTAATCTGTTACATGTTTTTTCGTTGCTTAAAGGTAATCAAAGCCACATGCATAGGTCACCAAAGATACATTTCTCAATGCACAAGTTTTCAACATTTTTGAGCCACAATGTTTATCGAAAAATAGGTCAGTGATCTTGTATATTTACCAATGTTTTTTACAGATTGTGTGCCAGTGTGTGTCTGCATGCATGGGCAGAAAAAGGATGTTTGCCATGACATATAAAAGCCAAAGAAATAAATGAGAGAAATCCACATGTATGAGATATCTTTATTTACATCTTGTAAACAAGCAGTTTACCTAGGCTATGTTCACTCTACAATGAGGAAAATGTAGTAGCCTAGATACTCTATCCACTAGTCGAAATGTGTTTTGCATTAAAAATGTAAAAAAAAAACAACAACACCAACGACAAAACTTTAATGCCACCCAGTGGACTTAAGAAATGGCAAACAGTTGGCAAGACAAGCTGCCATACTCCCTCCATGGATCTTACATATTAATTGTCCTCGCTGAACTGGACTCAAGAACCAAACCAGTGTTTGAACCCCACAGATTCCACTGAGCTCCCTTAAGACTCACAGTTTTGATCTTTTACAAACTATCAGCAATAATAAGGCTTTAATTGCAATTTTTTTGTTGTTGTGCGCACACCATTCGCAGCAACGAATGTTTTTAATGTGTAACTAAAGCGGTAAATCAGCTTCTCTGGGTTTTGTTATCTGAGCTGTGGAGAAGAGGAAGTCAAGGCTAAGAGACAGTGGCCCAGAAGTCTAACCTGTGGCCTTTAGGCAGGAAGTGAGCTGTGTGTTAGGGTATATTGTACTGCTAATACAGGGATTAAAGCATTACCGTCAGATTAACAAATGACCTTACAGACTCTGGCAGCCAGCACCTCCCAATCCAGTGGAGGCATCCAAGATTACAACTCAGACCTCACGGATTGAGTGGGAGGAATGCATAACAGGATAGGGGAAAAAGGAGATTGAGACGCTCTTGTAGAGAAACACGTTAAACGTTAAAATGATTGACATCTGAAGACAAGCCAAACACTAAGTTTGGATTCTGACATCATAGGTTACACAATGTCAGCTCTTGATGAAGACCGAAAAAGGAATTGTCACTTACGTAGGATGGTGCACAGGTTTGTTGGCATTTAAGTTAGCAGCCTTTCACAACACGCAGAAGGTCTCGTATAAACCAGGCAGAATAATCCCTCTCAGGTGAAAGGAGTAGCCCTGGATGTATCATTACAGCCCCATGCTGGGATAACCAAGACAACTTGGGACACACACTCATAGATTAGTCTTACACACACACATAAACAGGACCCTGTTTTACCTATGGAACCCTGCTGACAGCATGTAAAACCTAGAGAAAGTTGATTAGTGTGAACCCAGTGACCCATGTATTAGTTAAAACAGACCCTCTTCAAGCTTCCCATCATCCCTCCTCCTTTGGTTAGCAGATTGTGGCCAAATTTCCCTCTCTCAGTCGTCACCGTTCACCTAGTCGTCAATTACTGCAGATTAAAGCAGCAAATTATCTGTACAGAGACAACAAAACCTCCACCACTGGTGCCAAGCAATGCTATCCCAGCAACCCTAGCACCGTCTCCCCCACTCCTAGAAAGTAGACACCCTGTGCAATGCCAAAGAGAGGAGCGATGACCAGAGCTCGACACGTCGCACCCTTGAGGAATGCTGATGGGCCCTCTCGTGTCATGATGCGCCTACAAAAGTGCACAGGCAGGAGGAAACCAAGGAAGTTACTTATATTTCTCTCACCCATTGCAAACATTTAGGTTATACTTTTTGTCGGGGCAGAAATCTTACCGTGTGCAGTCAATGATTCCTCTGTACGTGTCCTCCCCTTCACCTTTTTGCAATGTCTGTAGACGAGTCTTGATAACTGTACAGAGGAGAAAGTCTTTACATCAGCTCAAATGGGACTGAAAGTAAAACCTGAAAAATTATACCATTGCAAAATAACAAATGCTCATGTAGCTGTTAGAGTCAAAAGCTGCATTGGTTCAATAATTACGTCACATATAAATAGTCAGTTTGAAATTACTCCCAACTTTTTTTTTTATTATTTAAGTAAAGTGAGTAAATTCAAGCTGCATATTTAGTGCTGGAAACTTCCACAATTCATGAATTAAATGTGTGTTTGAAGGCACATCTAGAGGCAGGTATCACAAATAAGCTTTGGCTATCACCCCTGAAGTTCAGGTGCATCTAAAATAATTTAAACGAGGAGGTTCAGTATTTAAAATTGTGAGAATTTCATACATTTCACGTAAACTAAAATGATCAATACTTCCCACAAGGTGAGTAAGTCAAAGTGGGTGATTGCTGAAAAGTCTTGCCGATTATAGAACGTTGACTAGCAAAGAGACGAATAGTAAGAAAAGATGCACAAGCAACAGTGATGACCAGATAGAAGAACTTTCTTCTGATGTTGTCTCAGGTTTAGTCTCCCATGGAGTAAGAGCCAGACTTTTGCTCAATGGTCCAGAGTCCTCTTGTCAGATTCAAATAAATTTTGCATTTCATCAACGGAAATCAAGACCCTAGAGTCTAGAGGAGGTGGAGAGGCAAAGAATCCAGTCTGTTTAAAGTCCTGTATGGAGTTTCTAGTCTATGGTTTTAGGCTCTATGTCCTCTGTTGCTGTTAGTCTGCTGTGTTTTTCCAATTCCAGAGTCAGCCTAGAGTCGGACAGGAGATTTAAGGGCTCTTCATGCCTCCATTGTTGACAAGTTTCATGGAGAAGCTCATTTAAATTCCAACAGGACTCAGCACCTGCCTATAGTGCCAAAACTACTAACAAATGGTTTTCTTGATTAGCCATCCAATTGGCCTCGCCTGAACCCCAGAAAGAATCTGTGTGATATTAATGAAGAGGAAGATGAGAAACACCTGACCCAAATGCACAGGTGAGCACAGACAGATTCTTCTACGCCCACAGCATCAATGCAATAACTCAACCCAACCAAGTATTTGTTTTGACACAGCTGTTTGTGCTTAGTACTTATCATTGTAAAAAAAAACATCAAGTTAACAAACTCTTCAGTTTCAGCATTTTGGAATGTAAGCACATTATGCAAATCCCACAAAAACATGTTGACCTTGAATTCTTTCAATGATTGTTATAAGTATATTTAATGCTTTTTCTTGAATGCCTCCTTCCTGTTGTGCAGTCAAGGTCTATAACAATGGTAGTTCTGAATGTGTGAACAGTGCATAGCCTTTGGATACTGCCACTAATATCAAAATAAGCTTCTTAGTCTTTGTAAACAAAGGCTGTTGTAACAAAATTATTAGGGGCATTACTTAAAGAAAAACAGTGTTTTAATGCTAATTAAATCAGCTTTTGATTGAATAAGAAAATATTATTTCGCCTGGGATGTTTCAAAATATTCACATATTGGAGTGCCAAATTAGACTGACAAATCAAGCTCCACTTGCTGCCCATACAGCCATCAAACGCATTGACATCCCACCTCTGTTCTGTCATTTTTTGTCATCAGTCTGTGTTTTTGTTCCACTCACCATCCAGCGGTGTTACAGCCACAGCTGCCACAGATCCTGCACTGCAGCCAGCCATAAAAGACTGCCAGAAAGGCGCCTGGGCCTGCACATCACCCTGTCCTGGCACACTTTCCCGGCCCAGAGCGTTTAGGTTGGCAAACAGCGGGAAGTATATCATTGAAAAGGGGACATCCCTGGAAATAGAATTTGAATAAATGATCAGATTAAATGAGGTGAAAAGGAAATTGAGTGACAGAAGTTGCGTATGGATTTGTTTAGGTATAGAGCAGGAAAGGGATGGACTGTAGCAAAGTGGGAGGGGCCACCAGATAAGGATACATGGCCATATTTAACTGCAGCACAGTAGCAGACATAGCTGCAGGAAGATATTGATTTGTCCTGATTGCACTAGGTGTCAGGAAATACAACTAACACTGTGTGAGTTATGCAATAACAAGGAAATTCATTAGAGCAGCAGCGGAGCTGAGAAAAAAACTGATGAACACAGTCTCAGTGGTTGTGGACGTGGAGGCTTTTGTGGTTGGAAATACTGGAGTGAAGTATAAAAATGTTACATTACGATCACAAGAGAGATCCAGAAAACAGTCTCTGTAGATTTTACAGAAAATTTCAACAGTAAATAAATGTGTCTCTTAGCTACTTGACAAAAATAGTTCCTTTCACCTACATTCAAGACAGAAAGCATAAAACAGCTAAATGCATTTGAAAACATTTTGAAGTATGGAAGAGTAATTTAAGATGTATTTCTATTCACTATATATAATCAAAATCTTAGTTTATAGATAATGATTGACTGTTATGCATTCACACCTATTGCAGTTAGCTCTGTCTTTTATTTATCAATTGTTTTAATGTAAAATAGTAAAGTAAATATGTGCATTGGCATTGATCTTATAGGAAAAAGGACAAGTATACCCAATTCAATATACTCAAAACAAGTGTGCATCTTTATGTCTGTGTAAAGGACCTCATTAAAGTGGCTCCTCCCCCTCTGTAGAGACCAGCCAGTCCTCGGGTCTTCAGCAGCTCCACAGTGATGCGGGTAGCTGAGGGCCGAGGTGGAGGGTTCTGTCGTGCCGGCGGAGGAGCCACTAATGACGGAGCTGGGCCAGGAGCAGCAGCCTGAGCTGGAGTTCTTACAGGCCTCTGAGCGGCTGAGAGTGACACACAAACAAACAAACCAAGGTTAGCAAACACATACAAGGACAACCTAGACTCACCAATGTTTTATTTTGTATTACTTTAAAAAAAAAATGGGTGAGTGCCGAGATCTTTTCAAACCAATATGAATTTTAGTACAGTGAATTAGAAAATAGTACTAAAAATAATAATCTGATCACAGACTCACCAAGCCTTCCAGCATCCTGCAGCTGGATCTTCAGCATCTCCATTGGAGTGGTAACAACCACCTGACATGTCCCAGCCCCACACCCCGCCAGGACCTCCCCCCAGAGGGGCAAATGGCTGCAAACAGTTTGATAAGTCATACATCAAAACCACTGTATGCATCCATAAAATCCTTCACAAAGGCCAGTACACAAGCTTTAGATATTGACTTCATCTGACAGCAATTAATTTACTTAAAGGATCATGTCAAAGCACACAATAGATCATGCAACTCAACACTTTGTACTGATTCAAACTAAGTCTCACATTAAGATCAGCTCTTGAAACAGTGATGAGATTTCATGTTGTGTTGATTCTGGTGACCCATTTGGACAAAATCAGTAGTATTTTCTGGGATTCGAACAACATTTACCATGAGCACTCTCACCTCCTGCTATTACAGTAGGGCTCTAATCAAAGCTTGCAGTTGTTGGTGAGGCAAATCATTGAAATAAGATTCTTCATATTAATGCTACTTTTCCTCTTAACTCAAGACAAATTTTTGCAGGATGCAGGGTGAATTGTTCACTGTGAGATAATAGTGATGTGCTGTGGTGTCTCAGTAAATATCAGATAACATAAATATACACACAGTTCAATTCTGTAGTCTTCTATCTATCTATCTATCTATCTATCTATCTATCTATCTATCTATCTATCTATCTATCTATCTATCTATCTATCTATCTATCTATCTATCTATCTATCTATCTATCTATCTATCTATCTATCTATCTATCTATCTATCTATCTATCTATCTAGACATGAAATTCTGTTCATAGGAATTCTGCCCTTTCACCTCGCAAAGACCTGATTGTGATTGTAGAATTTCTCTGTCTAACACAATACTTCAGCGTTAAGTATTCATCTTTTTCCTAATCCTGCTCCAATGTCTGCCATGAGTACAAAACATTGTTAAAAAACAGAGTTATTAAAAGAAAAATCCTGCTGCCAATCTTCACCAACAGAGCTCTCAACATAAACACTTCAGGGTGAGTGACTCAGCTGTTCTCAAGGGAAATCTGACTCAACCACAGACACTGAAATTCAGTTTAAAAATCTGACCATCTTGTTGCAGAAAATCTCCTTTTAAAGGCATCAGAGTAAGAATGATGCTCTACTAACATCAGTTATAAACCACTCACAGCATCTTTGAAACATTCTTCTGACTAATATTAGTATTATTGTAATATATACTTTTTGGAAACGTACACACGTTGGTTATTTTCAATTGTCAAATATTTATCTAAATAAAAAAAACAACATCTCTTAACTGCATCATATTAGATCAAGTTACATGAAACAAAGGTGATAATATATAACAATGTATGCATGCAACAGTGTTCAAATCTGAATGTGGAGTTAAAACAGTATTTTCTTTTGGTGTTAGATTAATAAAGATATCTGATTATATATAATCTAATGTCTTTTAAAGTTCCAATGAAACGATCAGTTACAGTATAAGGCACTGACTGCAAGAACCAACTAGAACACAGTGAAAACCTTTAGCGGCTAGTTTTATTTTAAGTGCTGTGCGTCATTGGAAAGAGAAAAACCAGAAAGAGCAGGATGAGCCATAACTGTTTTTATGTTTTACAGAAGAAACAACTTTGAGGCATGATTCCAAATACCTATAAAACCATTTTTTTTTATCATTGCAAGGTCAGACACTGACATGTAGTTTATAGTAATGCCAGACAGAATATTGAAAAACAACATGACTAGTACATATCCATATGTTGAAATTTCACATTAACTTTGACCAAAAATGAACTACACATCTCATTTGTATTTGAAGTATACTGCCAAAACAGCTTTCAGCGCTATTTACACAAGTTCCTTCTTTGTTCCTTTTCTTAGTATTTACAAATTGACCATAGCTGAAATTTATAAGGTAAAGATTGTGGTGCAAATCACCATGCTTTACAGCATTACGGATAAGTTTCTACTTTTCAATCAAGTTTGTTGCCTTTAATAGTCCTAACAGTCTGTACATTAAGGTCTCAGTCACCTGCAAAATGCAGGGCGTACACCATTATGTTTCTGCAAAGCACTGAAAGAAGCCCATCACTTTATTTATTATTGCTTGGCAACCACCATTTCACCCATGCAGAAACTTTCTAAATATTATGTCCAGCAAGTGAAAACAAAGGGGTAGAGCAGGAGGTTGGGCTTTATTGTGTTTTATTAGTTTGCTTATGAACTATATACAGTATGAAATGGCATTCCTTTTGAATAGTTTTTATTTTGAAAATTTGTGGGTATAGACTAATTGTTGTAAATTTTCTGTGGGCTATATGCCACAGATCATAATCCTGCACCCAAAGACAAGGTAGATGTCATAGAGGAACTTGGCATCATCAATTGACAATGCCAATAACTTCAAGTAAATTACAGACTCTGATTATCCAATGTCAATGCACCAAACCAAACACTGACATTCTCAAATTACCAGAAGTGCCCAGGTAACACTAAACCTGTGAGAACAGTGTTTTTGTATTTTTCCAAGGCAAAAGGTTCAGAGGGATATATTTGACTCCTTAAAGAAAGTAGAGTGAAATTTACTTCAAAATAAAAGATCATCAGAGAGAGGAAGTTACTGCTTTGTCCACAAGGGGTGGCAAAATCAACACAAACCCAAAATTCCACATCAAAGTAGCGTCAATTTGAGTGATATATATACTTGAAGGACAAAAATCAGTGTACCCGTCCTTTGAGAGCTTCTGTCTGAAGACATCATTGGCAGCCAGTTTAATGGCTTTTTCTGGAGTAACAAGAGTGAGGTTCACTGCAGCACCTGAAAAATAAAATCAGACCGCTGACCAGGACACACTGAGGTCTCCATGGAGTTACACAACTAGAACAATCCTACACAGCAGCTTATACCTGGACAACATGGGCTTATGAGTGGGGCTAATATGATAATAGAGCACTCTCAGGGAAACAACAGCGTAGGAGGAAAGATTAAGCTTATAGTAAAGCACACTTGTAGTGCTGTTTGTCACAGGGGATTAGAAATGCAGAGAATACCTCTGTAACATCCAAAATAGCCCTCTGAGCGAACCGTCTTCGCCAGGCAGTCCAGCCTTTCAAAACAAAGAGGAGCAGAAATGACAGTTTGTTGGTTTTTACATTCTTTAAGGCAGTAGATCCATAATCGAACCATGACATGTTCACTTCTTTTGCTGCTAACTCTGCCAACAGTCATTAAGATTAAATAAATAGTTAATAATCATTTAAAAACAGTGTCTTAAAGTCAAGGTTTAATGCAGAAGATCCTCTGCATAAGCCTTTTGTGAAGTGAAATCTTTAAAATATCTTGTCATCCCTGTTAAAAGAGAAAAATCCTGGGATGTTCAACTGGGGTTAACATAAATTTAATTTCAAAATAAAAGAAAGTTTTTACAATAAAGGAAATGGAGCAATCTTTAGTCAAGGTAGTAAAAATGTCAAAATAAAAGCATCACATGAGACAAATTCCAATCTTAGGAGGTTTTCTGTCATGAGCCTGGTGAGGTAAATTAAATGTAGCTTTGAACAAAATTAAAAATGGATAAGGATTTTTAATCAAGCCAGCAGCAAAGTTTATGGAGTAGTGTGTCGCTCCACTGTGTCTTCTCAGTCTTTGATTTGACTGGTGGTTTTTTGTTTATCATGACATGATTATGTAAAGAGAAAATCTGTTACTTTAACAGCCCTTGCCCTTCACAATTAAACAATAAATAAATCAATAAATTAAGGTCACATGCAGAGTCTCCATTCTGAGATTTCTTTATTATTATGAGAGAACTGTGTCTATTGATGCTTTGTCTTTTTGCTCCTTGAAGAAAAGAAATAGCCAGGTCTTGCGATTTGGTTCTTGGAGGGAGGAAATTATCCCGACCTTGTTTCCATGTCTGACTCAGAGTGGAAAACCACAGTCTGAAACGTTTTTGCCGGTAAACACATGATGACCACGCCTGTCCAACCGGCAGTATTGATGCTCAGCAGATGTGAGCAGTTCAAACTCACAGTCAGTATGTCTTTTAAGGACGCTGTCTGCAGGAGTGATTTTGTTTTTGAGCAGAACTTCATCTCAAGAAGAAGATATGGACTATGATATCTTTCTATTTCATTTGCTCAAATATTTGTTCAGTTTTAAACAAATCACTGTGCACAGTGTGCAGATCAAAGCTAACATTGCTGTTCATCAAAACACACTTATCGTACATAATCCCAAGACGAAGTTCAGGACAAACATACCAAATATGGGAAGATTGTTTAGTTTTAACCCCCCACGCTCTCAGATTCATCGTAAAACTATAACTTTGTCTTGTTTTAGCTCAAATTACAGATTGATGTTAGCAGGAATCATGTTTATAAATACTTTTAATCGAGAGCAGCAGAGATTTGAAAACAGGATGTTTGTATCCTACATTTGGATGTAAGAATAAACCTTTTATTCTTTCTGTATCATTCCAAATGAGGAAGCCCCTGTCTTATACGGCAGATTTATTGCAGTAAACCAGGTTAACCCAGGCCAGGGGAGTCCTACTCACATTCCTTTGTAGACTTGGACACCCTGCTGGTTCTGTAGGCGTGTCTTGGCCAGGTCAATAGGAAACACACATGTCACACCAACCAGGCCTGCCACGCCCCCATTAATCAGCTTAGCAGGGAGGCTGTGAAGGGATCAACACAGACACACGCACACATGCATGCATGCCAGACCCATGCAAACATCGTCACCAACACAAGACATTCCATTGACACGTCCATTCATGGACAGAAATAGGAAATAAGCACACAGAGCACACGCACACACAAACACACATACACACAAAGGTAGAATAACAGATCAACATTAACAGCTGCTGCTTGCACTGAGGGAAACTTTTTTGATTCGTCTTAATTATGCCAAACAAACACACACGGTGAAGAAAACCTACCTAACCTTCTTCTCCGCCATGCTTCTGTTTGGGCTCCAGGCCCAGGTCCACTACTCCAGTCCTCCTCGTCCCCCACCTCCTCCTCCTCCTTCTTCTCCACTTACTCTTATTTTTCGTCTTATGTTTCTTCTTCCTTTTCTTTCTCACTCTTGGGCACACAGCCCAAAGTTGTCACCTCAATCCAACTATCACCTGCCAACGAATGCCACAAATCAGATCTCTCAGTTTTTTAATGTGCAACAAGTGACCCCCTACTCATTCTTCTTCCTCCTTGTCTTTTTTGTGGCCCAGACAGGATTAGATACCTTTTTTTCAATTGTGCTCAAAACCACCAATGTTTGATCTGTGCCTTTGGGCCAGCCTTTCTGATGGACCTCACACAGAAACCCGTATCCACCACCTGTGCACACAAACACATGCAGACGATAAGAATGATAAAAGTTTCTCTCCCCTTTGTAACACACAGGTATTGTCTGTCTCTAAAGCCACTTTGAATGGACATTTGTGATGGCTTTATAGATTGGCAGGAGGGTTTGAACACAACAGAGACTCGGCACACCTCACATTCGCTGCGAGATCTATATAATCCAGACTGAATCATTCATAAAAGTGAATAGCAGCATATCCCAGGACTCCCATGCTGAGACAGAACATCTTGAGTCTCTCTAATCTGCAAGCTAAAGGGGATAGGGAGTATTTGATCCAGTACGGCAGGCAGAACTGAAAATGAAGGGCTTACTCTTATTCTTCTGCTGCTTTTGAATTTGAGCATTCATGAAGTGCTGAAAAGAGATTTGAGTTAAGGTTTTGGAATTTGTTTGACACATTATTTTTTTGTAATAGCACACTGTCTGGCTGTAGATGTGTGTATCGCAGATAGAATGAGTGCTGTTGAAAACTTATCCGATGTTCACAGCTCCTGTCTTCCTTTACTATGTTCTCTCTTGCCTTCATTCCTTCTCTCTTTTCCTTCTCTGACTTCCCCCTTTCCTTCAGCTCCCTAATTAATCTCTCTCTTAATCTCTCCACCTCCATTACGCCTCTATTTTTACCCCTGTAAACCTCACTGTATTCTCGACAGAGAGTAAGAGGCAGCCTGTGTATCATCATAAATCTTTTATTTGCTTCACATCACCTTTGCTTTTTCATCTCTTGATATTTTTTCCTGTCCAAGTCCCCTATACTCTGTCTTTTTCCAGTGCCGGATCCTAGTCACATTCTACACATGCCTTTCACTGAGCCTCTTTCTGTGAAACTTTCTTTCAGCTCAGCTTCATTCACACACAGTAGTGACCCTGCCAAAACACAGACAAGGGTGCCTCACCCCAAGCGAACCTCCAGCTCTCTCAGACCTCTATTTCCCCCTAAAAAGTGCGTTGTGAATCCTGCTCACACAGTCCGCACAGCACAAGCCCCACGAGACAGCTTTCCAAAAAACTTCATTTTCTCCCATCACAGAGACACAGCAAGTGAGCAACTGGATCTTACCTCTGACGGTGCATCCCACAGACGGGATCAAGCTGTCCACTTTCCTTTCACTCCAACAATGCGTGCAGCAATGGTAGTCAAGCGAGAACGATCTGAGAGAGCCAGCCGCCACTCAGGGGCCGTTGCACAAACACCAGCATTGTCCCGGTGCCTAAGTCCCTCCCTCTCTTGGTGACTCCCAGTGTGACACAGCCCCGGCAACACAGCTCTGCACTAACACAACTCGACATAAACTCATGCATGTGGAGCTTCTGCCACAACACACGCAACAAACTCAGCGAGGTTTAAGTAACCACATTTATAGCTGCCTTCTCTCCTCTTTCCAGAAGCACCTTTATAAATTTACAACTTGAAATGCCAAAAAAGGGGCTCCCCATCACTAATGAGCCCTCCTTTCAGCAGTCCAAGGATTACATAATACCTTTTTGCACAATGAATACCACAAATGTTCACAGACTTACAATTACTACCAAGGTAACAGTGATACTCCAATATTTTTACTACCGTTTGGGTCATTTTATTATTAGGGAACATGCAAATAGAAGTAATTAAAGGATGAGTGGTTATGTAAAGACGTCAACAAAAAGAGCATGTGACCACCACAGCAACCATTCACTGCCCCTAAAGTATTTTCTCATGAGCATCGACTGATGTATTGATTCCTGCTAATGAAAAAAAACTAAACAATTGCCATCAATGACCCTTTCAGCCATCTGCAGGGAAAGACTCATTGAAGATGTCTTTTTTCATCCACCTTTATACACTATAAAACACTTTGTGTCTCCACACACCGTTAATCTGTAGTGAAAACAGAAAACTGTTAGTTATCTGAATGTCAATATAGAACTTATCGAGGTGAAAGAGTATCTGTCTGTGTCCAGCCACTGTTGGCAGCTAGAGTTCAATTATCCAAGATTGTTTTCCTAAAGCAGAGAGAAAAAGGGATTGAACTCTGGCTCTAAAACCCAAAATAACCCAAATAACAAATTCTTTAAAGGTACTCAACACTTAAAAGTAACAATGCATTCATGTAACAGTTATTGACCAGTATCTAAACATAATGTAAATATATTACATGTAAGTGTAAATGCATGATCAGATTCATTGTCATCATAAAAGTTCAAATGTGGCTTTTTAATGAAAATACAAAGAAAAGCACATCAGTTTGACCAGAGTTAACGCAGATTTATACGATGGAGTCAATGGGCAGCATATATATTCAGCATATATAATAACAGCACAGCTCTGTAGTAAAAGATTAGGCATTATGTTCCACTATTGAGATGGAACAAGTGAGAAAAACTGTAACACTAAAAAGATAAAGTTCACTGTGTATTTCAACTACGTATTTCAAGTGCTCTTAAACTCCAAAGTCTTGAGAATGACTGGTAGTCTGTTGAGGTAGATCACAAATGTCAGCTTTCAAGTGAGATTTAAAAATGAACAGTTAGATTGGCGTGGCTGCCCACTGGTTTAATACCAAGTGTTACTGGATTGCTAAATTGCTTGTAACATGATGTCTTTACATGGGACTGAGATTTCTTCTGAGTGAGCCATTGCTAGACTGGCAGATATAACCACCAGTGTCCTTCACTGACTACTGCTCTTTCTTGTTGCTTAAATACAGTGTGCACAATAACTAAAATATACTTGTATTTGTTGTACATATAAAGTATATGTTGTTCATGATTTGACTCCATGTTGTTGGATTAAAAACTACTTTAAGGTCATTATGTCAGCTTGTGCACAGTACTTCTCATAAATATGATTACATATTTCACTGTCATTGCATTAGCTGATGATACTTGTGCATCCAAGAAGGTAAACAGGTGTCCCCAGAGAGCTTATAGCTTTCCCTCTAGTGCCACCTTCAGGGCAAAAGTTTGTGCTCCTACTCTAGTGTCAAACTCAGTACATTTAGGGTGATGAATTGCAGCTGAAGATTCTTGGTGCCTCTTTTATTGGTTTAGTTTTGGCTTTTAAATTTTGGTATCGCTGATGTATGTTTGATTTTTGGGGTGCATTATTTTTTTTATTCAGACGAAAAAATTCCTCTGCAAAAATAGAGGTTAATGTAATGATGTTTTAATTATACATGCCACATGTATGCAATAATAGTCAGGACACCAAGGGATTATCTCAACTTCTGTGTGGACGTGGTCTACCCTACCAAGACTGTTCGGTGTCACCTTAATAACAAACCATGGGTAACACAGGGGGTGAAGGCTGTTCTCAACAGGAAGAAGGCCGCCTTCAGGAGCAGGGGTAGGAAGAGGATGAAAGCAGCATAGCAGGAGGTGTGAGGGAAGCAAAGGATATTTACAGGAGGAAGGTGGAGCAGAAGCTGAAGGGAAACAACATGAGGGAGATATAGGAAGGTGTGAACACCATCACAGGCCACAACACCAAAACAAGAGCCATCCAGGGAACACTGGATAGGGCGAATGAACTGAATGACTTCTTTAACCGTTTCAATCAGCCCATTACCCCCCTCACTGCAGCCATTTCTCCTTCTTTTCTTCACACACCTTACCCCAGCCATCATAGTACCCCCTCCTCTTCTTCACCCCCAACTTAACACAGACCTTTCCAAGCATCATGGTGGACCTGGTCAGAAGTCAGCTGAAGAAGCTACACCGCAGGAAAGCAGTTGGTCTGGATGAGGTGTGTCTTAGACTACTAAAGACCTGTGCTGCTGAACTTGTTCAACCACCTCAACAAATCTTCAGCACATCCAAGAAGGACACATCCAGGCTGGAAAAACTGATCAGATGAGCTGGCTCTGAGGTTGACATGAAGCTGGACTTACTGGTGATGGAGGCAGAGAAGAGGACTATGGACAAACCACTGGATATTATGGAGGATGCCAGTCACCCTCTGCGCACTCTCATCATCAATCAGAGGTGCCTGTTCAGTGAAGGACTGCTACTTCCCAAGTGCAGGACCAACAGCCTGAAAAACTCCCTTGTTCCCCACGCCATCAGACTGTACAACACCTTGATGGACCAAAGGGCCAATGGTGGTGGACGACTTCTCTCTCTTCGTTGCAGGACAGAAAGATTCAGAAGATCTTTTGTACCAACAGCCATCAGGCTTCATAACTCTTATGTAAATAATAGATAACTTTTAGGGACACATTATGTGAGACAACAGACAATTGAATTTCCCTTCAGGGATCAATAAAGTTCTTATTCCTACAACTCCTCTCTGGGGTTAGGAGGAGGAGTAACGGGGAACAGAAGATGAGAAAGAGCAGTAGTAGTAATAGTCATAGTTAATGTATTATTATTATTATTATTATTATTATTATTATTTACATAATTAAAAAAATAGTTTCCATGTTATTTGTATTTTTTGTTATGTACTGTTTATGCTTTTCTGTGAAAGAAAATAAAGAGATGGTTAAAAAAAAAGTAGTAGCTGTTGTAGTAATAGTAATATGCAAATTTCCATACCTTTACATTTTGCTTTTTATACGTAAATGCTTAATTTATCTGGAGTTTTAGTATATCTCTATTCCCCCTATCCCCCTATATTGCATTCTTATTTCTTAGTTATTTGATAATTCTGTGTTTTTTTCTGTACATACTGATGCTCCTGGAATTTAAATTTCCTTGAAGGAACCTTCCTAAAATGATCAATAAAGTCTGTCTATTTTTATCTTAATCTTATTTAATGTTGGATTGTATTGCAGAGAGGCTGCTTGTCACTGCTGAGAGAGCAGTGTTGACATAATATATGCATTGTTCAGATATTGCAGTAGAGGGAGCCCCTGTGTTGCGTTTGGCTTAAACTTCCACTGTGTTGATGTTTACAAAAGCCTGATTGAGATTGTAAATTTACTGCCTGCTACGGTGATCTGTTGGCCCAACTTAAAGGTACTTAATCATGTTTGAAAGCTGTTATTGTAATGAAACAATGGAATGTTGTTGTTTTTTTTTTACATGGAAAATTTATAAAAGTAATTAAAAAAATTACTAACCTTAAATATCATGATATTTCGACACTAAAATATATAAATACAAAAAACTTACATGGCTAATACATGGCTATATTTGATTAATTCTCAATTTAAACGCATTCCCTTTAAACGGTCCCCGCAATATCACTCTCATAGGGTGCTGTTGTCTATGAACATTTTCACAAAAGACAAATATAAAAAATCGTGTAAGTACTTTCTTCAATATTGTAACTTCTCCATAAATTAAATCGTCATGCTTGGCACCACAAAGTGGGTTTTACTCATACACAGTAAAACTTTCAGAGAGAAGTAATCACTCCCCCCCGCGAAGTCGTACAGTGGTACGGTCCTTCCCATCTGTTCAGCTCCGATGAGGCTCTGATTGAAACAGATTGAAACGCTCCGCGGGTCGCAATGGCAACTATCCGAACTGGACGGCAACGGCAACTTTTTTCGTGTTTGTAATGTCATGGAGTCGTTGTAAGCTGGTTGAAAAACTACTTTCTGATGTGATAAACAACAGGTTTACAATTTCTTCCGTCCGAAAATGTCCCAGGGATGTACAGTTTCTGTGGAAGAGATCCAGTCTTGGTGGGAAGTCCCCGCCATAGCCCACTTCTGCTCGCTGTTCAGGACAGCGTTCAACCTACCCGACTTTGAAATAGAGGTAAATAACAGTTACCATCGCTTAAAGTTACAGCAGTGTCTTTGACCGTGGAAATGAAAAGTTGTTTGTGTCAGCTTTTTTGTCTACGTTGTTTGTTGAACGCATTACGAACTAATTGCCAGGTTTACCTAGCGAGTGTTTCGGTGTAAGCGGTGACCCTTTTAACTGGCGACTTTCAGACGAATGCGTTAGCCGTTGTTGTAACCACAACAGCCGTTGAAACATAGAAGAAGCCATCGAGATAACCTTTTAGTTTATTATTTCATTACGATATAGATAAAAAACAATCAGTTAAGTCGTACATGAAACGATAAATAAATTGTTAAACGCGATCATGTTTTCGGTGAGCCGTTGCAACTAGGACAACCACAGCGCTGAAAGTCCCCAGATAACCGGGTCACACTTTTAAGTGAAACACCGGCTTAGTTCTCTTCTATGAACTTCTCCTTCGATAACGTTACTAAAGCAATCCTGTTAGGTAACCCCAGCCAGCTTGTTTGCACGGCTAAGTGCTAGCTCTGACTGTGTATTGCGAGTCTCTAAAGTTGTACAATGGCAAGAACAACATTATGATTGAATTTCACCCCGGTAATACTCCGTTGTGCTCTGTTTCTTCGGACGTTTGTTTGACCTGTGTGTAACTTTACCAGAGGAGCCCCTGTTACGGGACCATGTGCCTCTGTCGTTTGTTTTCATTTTGAAACGGTCTCATATTTACTAAAATCCAAACAACTATATTATTTCTGCTTGAGGTGATTTGTTTATACAGGAAAAACGACATTAAACACGCGGGAACAAAAAGCAACAACCGATTCATTATGAGACAAATAGAAAATAACAGGGATTTAACTTAAAGCACGTGTTCAGAGGAAGCTAAATACCTCCAGCCTTGTGTTTATATTGACCAGTGACCTTTAGTTCAGGTCAGTTAAACAAAAATACTCCGGGTAACAGTGAATGGATGTTTCCAAACTCACGGGTGGCTAAGTTTTGTCCTTTTTAATGCATTGTAAAGGTATTTATTAGAGTATTTAGAGAGGTAAAAGGTGTGAAAAGTCGTGCAGTTTTCCAATGATGTTTTGCTGTAGACTGAGTGAAGTGAGCTACAGTGTCTTGTTTTCTATCTCTGTCATATGAAGTTAAGTTCAGTGTGTGAGGTTCGAGTTTATTGTCTTGCAGCCATCTGGCTTGGGTAGCCACAGGGACGCAGATGCTCTTCGGGCATTGTTTGCTCCCCAAGTCGTGTTTTGTTGTAAGAATCGATGTTTTTCAGCGCGTTTTCCGATATCACACAAGCCACAGAGTTAAAACGATCAACATGCTTTGTATTTTATCCCAGAGACAACGAAATTCACGACACTACGATGACATAATTCAACTTTACTACTCGCTTTGAACCCCCTTTTTCTTTAAAAATGAGTGCGGTTTTCCTCCGAACCAGCTTCGATCCGACATGGATCTGTTTCAGTGTTCAATTAGAGTGATCGGGGATCATTTGATCCATCGAGGAAGAATTGGAGAAATTGTTAAGGTCAACATCACGCATCAACAGTCCCCATCACTCATTCATCCCCACCCCCTTCTGCAGGGAAACACACGCAGAGAGCGCTTTGTTATTAAACGAGGTGCAGGCCAGATGGGGGATCGCATTGCGCCTAGTTTACATGAAAGTTGAGCGTCTTGTGTTGATGAATTTCTCACAAATATCGGCTTGAATACAGCCGATATTATAGAATACATAATAGAAATAGCTTTAGTTGATGATGAGTTACACTCTGGCTAAGAATCAATGGTTTCTGCTCGATTTTTACCTCACAAAGGCTCCTGTAGTTTGTATTTATTTGCATACTGATCCCCTTTAGTTATTGCTACAGTAACGTCTTTATCTTCCTGCGCTTCTTAGAAAAAGACAAACCATTCAAGCTCAAACAATAGACAACAACAGAATAAGATAGGTAATACAACAAGAGAAGGTCTGTTATTTCACAGGATCAAGCAATAGTGGGAATGTTCGTAGTGTTAACTGTTTGCTTTTTTAATTATTGCATTTCTCAATCTTTTTTAAAACTGATCTGGGTAAAATGTAGAGGTAATTAATTCCAGTTTATTATAAAACCTGACTTGATAGTCCTCTTTAAAGCAGTGCATATAGGCGATGTCAGACTTGTTTTCAATCTTTTGTAATGCGTGAGTTTAAACATGGTTTTAGGTTGTTCATGGGGGGCTTCTGTACTGCTATCATTACAGATATAATATATTCATCTTTAAACGGTTGACTAAGCGGATCACATGTTTGGATACACCCCCTCAGCTGGATTTCAAGGAAATATTGAGATGGATGTTGTAGTCTTACTCACTGACATCTCAATAAAACATCAATGTGGCCAAGGTCATAACGCCGCTGCGTCTTTGGGCAATTATCTTTAACTGCTGTTACATAATAGCTCAATGGTAAATGGGAAAAGAGGTTCACTCACTGCTTTAGGCTTTTGATTGAAAAATGGTAGAAAGTAACAGGAGAGATGCTCATCGAAAGTGTCAGTGCTAAAACCACGAAGGATTTGGGGACCAATATTAATAAATCTCATTGTTACTCTGTCAGTCATGTGCCCTTAAATTAGTCCATTTGGCTGTGCCTGAAATATATAATGTGTGTGTAGCAGTGTACAAGTTCATCTTCCCACTGCAGCCCAGCACACACCCCTGAATGAAAATGAGCATTGGTTATTGGATAACTGGATTATTGTTGATATAAAAATGCATGTGTGACGTTTCTGGATCTTACTGTGTGACACAAAAAAACCCAAGACAGTGGGTCATAATATAGTCGGCTGTATGCTGTAATGTTGTCCTGAATCATGCCATGTAGTTCCTTTATTGCTGGCAGCGTATTGAGCTTTCATATATGATACAGAGCTGTGAACAAACTGACTTTCTCATTGGAGTCATTGCATTGCTACTTCAAGTCTTCTTTCATCAACACTCATAAGATTAAAGGTCCTTACACACTGGGGCTGACACGAATGTAGAACGCAAAATTACGAAATATTCGGGGGTAAATTTTGACGGGCCTGACTATACACATGAAGTCCGATGCGATTTTGCGACTTTCTGGGGGGGGAAAAAGACGCATTCCGGGGAAGACTTTTCCCAGGGAAAGTCCCGCCTCCTTCGCCTCTGATTGGCTAGAAAAGCTGGAAACGTAATCACAAGCTCAAGCCAAACGGTCAGCACTTATAGCCAATCAGAGGCAATAAGCACGTGAAACTATGGTAACAACCGTTAGCACAAATGAAAGTTAGAACAAAGACGTTTAGCAAACTGTTAAAGCACACAAACCATCATCATATGAGAAATCCGATGCTATGTTGTCCTTCAGGTCGTTATCTTTGTAATTTTTGTGTCTTTTATCAAAATGCACTCTGTTCTCAGATACGTAAACAGTCAGCCGGTCAGCCATGTTGGATATACCAGCGAATCAGGCATCGCAACAACACGCAATCTGAGTGGTCAGAAGTGGACGCACAATATGTGAAACTTTAGAAAAATCGACCATGATCCGAAGAAATAAATGCCGCAATATTGCAGGACAGGAAAACTTCGCTGATGTGAACGCTTGTATTGACAGGATACAGATTTGAGAAAAAACATTGACGTCCTAAATAATCACGCGATAAAAACGGTCCCGGTGTGTAATGACCTTAACCCTCCACTTTATCTTGTAGGGGCAATTTGCATGCTCAGGTTTTTCAGATATAATGATGTATCATGAATTTGTGAGTTATTTATGAGTTAAGTTTTTATCGAATTGTGAGAGAAGTCAAACAAAATCAACAAAAGATTTTTTTTTTTTGGAGCCTCGCCATGACAGCCCTTGACAAAGTTATTGGCCTTCGTGTTTTGTGTCTGACATCACCAGTCTGGTGTTGATCTATTCAGTAATAAATGATTACTAACTTAAGCACTTACTGTCAGCCTGAACAAACAGTTTATTTGTGAATATCTGATTAATGGCTTTCCGATGTGTAAAAGAAGTAAGTGTGTTTTTCTTGCTTTGTTTACCTCCATTTATACTTGTGGTAGTTTATTCCTGGATTGAACAGAGCCAAGTGGCTTTCTTAGATTGTACTGTACAAATCCAGCTCCTCTAATGCTGTTATAAATAATTTCCTAGGCAAGGCAAAGACTAAATCTACTTAAGTAGCGGTTTTTATAGAGAGACTTTTACTCCTTTGGTAGCTGCAGGAGGCTTAGTCGCATTAAAGTGCATCATGACCAGATATCTGTCATGCAAATGCTTTTCCAAACATAAAATTCTAGTTATTACTTTGTTTGTAGTTGTGAAGCATGTAGGGTAGTACAATATTATGCAGAATTTTGGTCTTTTTTGGGTTTGTTTTTCTCATTTTTCAATAAGAGGCCCATCAGAGCTTACCCCTATGCAAAATAAGTTTGCATGCTCAATTTTGCTGCCGTATGCATCTCTTACATTTCTTGCATAAACCAGGATTGTGGACTGACTGATGTGTTGGTCAAGAAATAATGTGATTCTATTCTACCTATCAATACTTGCAGTTCTTCACTATTTTTCCAGGTCTTGTGGCTCTTTGGCTTTTATAAAGTTCAGCACCCTTAGAGAATAACTTCATTTCATTGATACCAAATAGTTTGTGTCTGAAGCTGAACATTTGGATCCAGCATGTTTACTTCCTGGTGACTTCAGTAGAAATAAAAGGAAACAGACAGACTAGTTTGTTTTGTTTACTGCCACATACCAGCAACAAGACAAGCTGGCCTGGGCACTGTCAGGAGTTGAACACTGCTATCTTCCTTCGCCTTCATCCTGACTTGTATGATAAGGTTGTTGTTGAAAAGTTCTGAGCCATTTTTCTTGTAAATGCCAAAGAATATTAATTGAGATTCTTTCTAGTTGAAAAAGTTTTTTCTTTTTTTTTTTCTCCTCTGAGGGATGCTTCTGGCTGTGCTTGTGTAAGGACGGTTGGGTAATATCACTCAGCCCCAGTTGCAATCCTATCTCTGCGAGCATAGGCTAGGTTACTCAAGAATCGGGGTAGAAAGGAGGGCAGGAAGTGGCTGTCATTTGTCATGACAGAGCGGGGGCCCACAAGTGTTTTCACTCTGTCCCAGGTTTTAGTGTCAACATTTGCTGACACACCGCTCGTTCTTTCTTGTAGTTTCAGAGTCTACTATCTTTATTCTTGACCACTGAATTAAAGACAGCAGGGTCAAAAAAGGTGACTACAGTTTTTTTGACGTCACCTGTTGATACGAATGTTCATGTGTGCAGGACTTGGTAGGTTGAAACCGTTGATGAAGCGTCTACTGTTACAGCTTCACCTGCTCTTTTGACTTCACAAGGACGCTTCTGTAATAAACACCACACTGAGGCCGTCATGTTTCATAGCCCCGGAAACTGCTACCAGAGTGCATATTGTCAATCCCAGAGGTCCAGTCAGTCTGTACCACTGCGGTTCTGTTGCAGCAGATCTTTTCTCTTCATGGTGCTGGTCAGTGATAATGTGAGCTCCCCTCAGTCTCTTTGGCTGGCCTCACAAACAGCCCCCTGCACATTGTTCCTCGGCTGATTCACTTCACTGTCCCTGGTTTCCACGTTTCTCTGGCTGTGTGTGAGAGTCGTACGGGTGAGATAAAGAGGAAGGAAGAAAGGCAGAAGAAGGGGTACGAGGGGTAAAGGAGAGAAGGGGTCTAGTAGCAGCCCTAAAGTGTGAAAGAGTGAGGTGGAAAAGCAGCCTTAGGGTCAGCACGCCTGTCCTCTCCGCCCGGCTTCTTGTCTCGTTCGTGTATGCTTGATTTCTTGGCTATGTATCTGTGAAATGATGCTTGAAATCCCAAAGCCAACATGTGCTGCGGGCCTCTGTCGCTGCATCCTCAGACACAGACCTTCATGCCAAAGACCTCTGTCCCTGTCATCTTCACTCTCCATGCTCCGTTGGCAGCCTGGTTTGGCAAACTGTCACCTTTTTTTCCTCATACGTCTTCATCAGCCGCCTGTCAACATCCCTGTTTTGACTTCAGTTGGCTTTGAAGATTTTCCTCAGTTATCTGGTGATCTGCGTGAAGGGCATGTGACCGGTCTAGGCTTTTGCACTGAATGTGAACATTTATATTTTCTTAAATTTCCAAAGCAGCATTGATGTTAGAGCTCCCTTATGTAGAGTTTGTTGCAAACGTAACGCTAAGTTAAATTAATAGGTCAATTTGAGACATCAAGACAGAGAAAATCAGAAATTACACCGTGGTGGGTCAGCAGAGTCTTCTTAAAATCAAGAAAAATGGCATGAAAACTACACAAGACAACTCTCTACTAGTTGACTTTCTTCTTCTATGGATGACTTATATTTGTTCTGGCTGTAGAAGTAGTAGAAAAAGTTTTACTTTAGCACAGGCATCTGGTTGTCAGCTGTCTTCCACTTTGATTAAAACATCTCTGCCAAGAAATCGAAGCATTTATTGCATGGAGTCCTTGTGATCTCAGATTTAACAGGAAGTTTTCATCAGGGTCAGAAGTTACTAAAAACCACCAAATCTTCTGGATAGATCGGCACAGTTTGGTAAAGACACACATGGTTTTTAGGATGTTTCCTCCTACTTGTAGTTATCTTTACATCTGTTACCATAAAATAGGAAAGAAGGAGGTTAAAAAGAAAATCCCCAATACCTTCAGAGTATACATAAGGGCTAATGTTGTCCATTCACAGTCATATTTTACATGTCAGTCACTGTATGGGAGTTGACAGCAGTGGATTTCAGCTAGCATGATCAGACAGGAGAGTCAGACACCTCGGTAAGAAAAGAGCTTTTCCCTCATCGGCCAGATTGAGTGAAGACGTCATTTCTGCAACATTAGTTCAGTCAGTTTGGATGTTACTCTCGACTATGTAAGATTAACTATTTTATATTACTATGCAGCAACCAAACAACGTAACAACTTTGGTTACAAAATAACTGTTTACAGCACACAGCTTTAGATGGACTTTACACCCTAACTTAAGAAACAGCTCAGACAGAACTAGTGCAACATGCCACAGGTGTGCCAACTCTTAGGAAGGTTGATTCAAGTTACACGATCAAGAGTTACTTTTTTGCTGTAGTTTATTTCGTCAAATACGACAATATTAGAGGACTGTCTGAATGCTAAAGTGGTGAGCTGTTGGGATTAAATCTGCCTGTCTTTTAAAACAGGTCTGGTTTCAGTCATGAACTAGCAGAACACGAAAAGAGGCCTGACTGCACCCCTTAGTGAGAAAAATGAGTTGCTGTAGAGTTGTGCAACTGCTTCCAGTTTTTGCTTGCTATCACTCTCTCTCTCTCTGGCCTCATTTTTTTTGTAAACATGTACGGCAACACTGAAGTCATGCCGACACAAGTCTGGGAAGGTACAATTCATAATTAAGTGTTCAAGTCAATTAAACTTGATTTGAAATGTTTTCATTGACAGGTCCTCAGCACAGAGTCCTTAATTGACTGATCCAGAGCAGGTGATATTGTGGATAAATAACACAGAAGGGTTAAGTTGTTGAATTACGTATAAGTACCTCAAAGTCTATTTAGTTTTTGTTCAGCTTAAGTTTGATTTCCATTACGCTGCTTTCTGTCGGTTATGCCTAAAAGTCATAACATGTTGTGCATCAATACAAAAGCAATCATCTCACTATTACAGCTCTGCCTTGGTGTCACCACCTCACCTGAACTAAAGAAGGCATGTCAGGATGGTTAAACCTGTCTGACACGAGTCACTTGTTGTGTACTCCCTGTCTGAAAGTGTAAATCAGGATACCTTACTTCATGTGCATATCTGGGGTTCATATCAGAAACAAGCTTTTCTCTGGTCCTTGTAAGTAACGTTCATGGCCTCCTTAGTATCTTTTTCTAACGAGAGTGGTTGTATTTACAGTGCATGACACAAGTACAAGTGCAGTTTTAAAGGTTGTGACAAACAAAGGACATGTTAGTGTAGATGGGATTGTGTATTTTTAGCCCTCATGTGTAGTTTCCCTTTGTCTTTTGGCCTTACTTTCATTTGCACTAAGTTCTGCGTCTGTGTCTTCTCCTCATACACTCTTTGAGGTCTGTTTTTTCAGTACTGGAAAACTGTGATGATAGCTTTACAGTATAGTGAGCCCCAAAGTCCGACTGTGAGTGATTTGAGTGGGTCACTGGGGGGTGTAACCGGTCCTCAATAAAAATGTTTGTTTTTATGAACAGTACTGTAAAAACATCTGTTATTTAACTTGGATATATTTTGCTCAAACTGATGAAATAAAAAAGTATTGTATTCTCTAGTAGCAGTAAATTTTAACTTTCGTCTACTATGGGGTCTTAAACATGTTACGTTTTACTTCCTACTTGAGAACTCACTGGTAATGGAAAATACGCAGATATCTGAATAATAGCACGCCCGAATACACGTTCCATTTCCAAGTTATGAATGTAGATTTGGAATTCCAAAGAAACTGTATGCTTATGTAGGGGAAAGCACCTAAAAATAGTTGTATTTAGAGCCAACACTAATTTGATTATTCTTTAAGTGTTAACAGCACTCTGACACCAAAATGTCTCATGTTGAAGATGAATGATTTTCACCCCTGCTGCTTTAAAAAGGGATTTCTAAAAACTCATTTTTAGGACAGAGCTGGAAAACAGAATATTTATGGTTAAGATTCCAATTTATTCCAACATCTGAAGATATTGTTCATATTTGTTTCTCTCTGTGTCTCATTGCACTGATGCTATGGGGTAAAATCATTTGGTGTGCAAAACTTGTTTTTTTTTATAGCACAAGTACCATAGCATTAGCATTATGAACATACAAGAGGGGAGCAACACCTTCCAGTACACCACCATCATCCACTACAACTTAAGCAATCGGTTTTCAGTTTTCAACACAAAGTCAACATTCAGGTGCTTTGTAAAAGTTGAGTATGTGGAGAAGCTGTTGTTGGATTGAGTTGCTGAGATTTTTATTCACTTATGGCTGGTCAGTGTATCTTGCACTGTTCAGCCCTGTGACATTGAAAACTTCCATTAAACGGCACTGTACTTTATCAAACAAGAGTTTTTTGAGGATCCAGGACAGCTTGTAAACAAGGCTTTAACCACAGAAAACCATCTCTGGAGAGTGGAGACACTTCTCTCTTTGTAACTCTCTCCAGGTCTTATCCTTTTTGCCATTCCCGGTCCCACGACCATATATCTCCATTATCATCCCTTTGCCCCTTCCCCTTCTCCAGCCCCTGGCATCACCATGACTAAACCCCAGATGGTGGGTCTTTTTTTCCCCCTTCCCCCAGAAGGGTGGAGGCTCTCCTCTCTGAGTGGGTGCTATCTGCTGCTGCTGCAGCCCTTCAAGGGAGGGGGCTCCTGTTTTTGTAAATCCCCTAGCATGATTGAAAAAGCAGATTTAGTCCTATTAGATTTGGTAAATAAGCAAGAGCAGGCTGTGTGTGAACACGTCCTTGTTTCTGTTGTCTGAAAAGAAAATGGATTAACTGGGAGAATAGGATCAAGGCTTTAATACTGCTCCATCATGATCCAACTCTGGACCGACACACCCCTATTTCTGATTTCCAGTTTTTGTGATTGAAAGAGTCTCTGTATTAACGAGGAACCAAAGAAGTGTTTCCAGTCTGGTTTCAAATCGATTGTTTTGGTTTGGGGGAAAGGACAGTTATGGTGCAGATGTTAAGATTTAGTCATTCTTTTTTTCCTGTATCTTCTTCAAACCTGGAGTCATACCTTCACCATGACTATTAGAAATCAGTGACTGAGTTGTTGATGATATAAAAGTGGGAACGAAGGTCCTCTGGCAGTTCTAGGGAAAAGATCAGACCTCTGAATGTACAACAATGATCCTTTCTCATCTCAGATCTGCAGAGTTCCCTCATGTCTGTCATCTCCTGTGTGCAGTCTATGTGTGCCTTCAGATCAGACCACAAAAAGCCCTCCAAACTTTTGCCCTTTCTGTGACCACCCTTCCAAGATCAAGACCCCTTTGGCATGTCTTTTTTTAATACCCTGCTTTGCATAAACTGTGAAGGAGGAGGAGGGGGGGTGTATTTAAGAATCTGGGCCCCTCCCCCAATTGTGATTGACAAGTGAGGGCAGCAGTACATGCATCAGATGGTTTCACATGGGGAGTGTGTGCACAGAGGGGGAGGATGAGGGGAATACACCGGGGTTTGTTTCAGCCAGCACCATTGTTGAAGCTCCCCATGGTTCCCTCTCTCTGTCTCCAGTCTGGGGTAGCATCCCTTCAGTGTATCTCTGTTAGTCTGTGCCTCTGCTGCTTGTTGTCAGAGCTGGCCCAAACCTCCATGGGGCCTGAAGCAAAATTTGATTTGGGGGCCCTCTGTTTGTGCCAATAATATTGATGGATTATGGATTATTATTTTTGGTTTTAAGAAATTCAACTGCATTGTGCAAAATTAGAGATGCACCGATTGCAATATTCTTGGTCGATACCGATTTCCGGTTTTAAAGGAGGTCTGACCTGCCAAAACCGATTTTTCCGATACCGATTTTCTATCTGAGAAATAATTATAATCATATAATAGACACCATATTTGTTTGGCTTGAGTACCCTTTCCCAATTTTAATTTAAGTACCCCTCTCCCAGACAACATTTTGCTTAACTGCAATTAAAAGCACAACTAATGGTAGGCTATATGCTATCATAACCCCCCTTTTCAAGAATAAAACCTCACAAATAAGAAATAGAGTGAGAGTTTCAACAGTGCCTCCTGAGCAGATTTATTTTCAACACTGACCATAAAATTCAGTCCAGTTTACAGGTCAATAACTAACTTACATTCAAACAACATTCAAAAACGTCCCAGCATTTGCCTGGTACAATGTAATTTATTGACTACCCCTCCAGTACCTCTCTCAAACGACTCTGGCAGCCCTGTCAGAAAAGTACCGCCTACTTGGTAGTTTGTACCAATCAACGCCTAAGACATTTGGAACAACAAACTTAATACGCCACTTGGAAAAGAAGCACCCAGGCTTGTTTAGCAAATATAAGGAATACACTGCCGCTAAGAGGAGGGATGCAGTAGATCGTAAATCTGGTTAAACACCGGAGTCCACGGTACAAGTTACCAAGTCGGGTGTTTCATCAGATTTACGAAGCCTTTATCCTGTACTACGCTAAACGGCTGGTCCTCCAGTGCCACGAACTCCATTATTTTCGTAGTGGTGGCTTTGGACTTTTCAGTGCTGATGTCGAACATAGGAGCCACGGCGGAGGGTTGTTGTGGTCGCTGCGACTCCGCTGCATCCCTCCTCTTAGCGGCAGCTTCGTCCTTATATTTGCTAAACAAGCCTGGGTGCTTCTTTTCCAAGTGGCGCATTAAGTTTGTTGTTCCAAGTGTCTTAGGCGTTGATCCTCCACGGCTGACTTTTGACGTGCAAGCATTACAAACAGCGTGTTTTGGGTCGCTCTGGCACACAGTGTCAAATCACCGACATGTTTTCCTCCTGAGTCTTGCTAATTTTTAGCAGTTTTGCTCAGAGCTGATACGCACCGCGCATGCGTGTCAGTTTGCTCGGGGAAAACCGGCAAATTACGACAGTGACCGGCCGGCCACCGGTTGGATATAAAACCGGCTTTTTAAATCGGCGGCCGATTTATCGGTGCATCTCTATGCAAAATGTATTTGTCATGAAAGAACAACAATTAAGTCCAATAACATATAAAATCACTTATATTTAAAAATACTAGCAAATTCAATTGTACAAAAAAAGACAATAAAATCAAATATCAAGCAAATACATCAATAACAGAGTTACCTGAAGCTAACTAAGCTAACTAAAACAAAAACAAATATAAAGTTATATAACTGGGTCTTGAAACTATGTAAATGTATTTAACTATGTGCAAAAGCCTTAGTACATATTCAAAATAAACTACCTTAATCCACACATTTGCTCTTTTTTTGTTACTCTGTTCTCCCTTAATACTTCACCTATTTCTTAAAATCTGTGCTTCCTGGCTTTTCTGGAGGCAAATTCATTTGACATCACTGTAAGCAATCCGATGTCCAACTTTGTTGTTGATACTAATCACTGACAGTCCACTCAGTCTTTCTTGTGCCATGGAAGATCTCAAGTTGTTCTTTATTAACTTGAACTTGAAAAAGATCAGCTCTGTAGATGCAACAGTCGCAGAGAGAGTGCAGGCTATCTGTAGAGCTACCCAAAGATTTGTGAACAGCTCACAGAGAGGGAAGTGAGCAGTTCAAATTGGGTGATCCGTGCTGTAGGGAGTTTTAGGAGGTTCTCCATCTCAGTAGCCAGTGCACTCCTATCAATATAACTGTTCTCCAAAGTCGAGTTTGTCTCCGAGAAGTTTGTCCTGGAAGAATATGTCCTTTTTCACATTGTTTTGCCTCCATCTACCTTCGCTTTGGGTGTGCAGTGCGTACTGTACTGCAGGAGGCATACATTGTATATCTATCTGTATCTAAATACAGATCTGTATCTAAATCTGTATGTATACCTCTGTATCTAATACATATATTTGTAATAAATATGTATATGAAATGGAAGTTTATAAGTGATCATAACTGAAGAGCTGTTATGTTTAAGCTGACACACAGCACTGTTCTTGTTGTTCATTTTGCCACCCATGATGTCGAGCCCAAGTACTTTGACAAGGTGCCTCTGACGGTCACATATTTCGGTGTTGTGATTCTTTGCACATGACAGCTTTGATTTCACTCCTTCTGTTTCTGTTGAAAATGTCACAGTATAAAATGATGGAGGTCAAGAGTGCATGCGTTGATCAGGTAGCGATGGGAGTGCTCATGCAGGATCAAATGACGAACTTCTTCAGGTGGCCGGATGCATTGATACACGATATATTTCAAATTTGAGCCACTCATTACGGATCATACAGGAACTTTAACACACAAACCTGAACAAAACCTTGAATACTGATACAAGGAGCCATCTAGTGCTTAAATAATTCGTCTATTCCCGATATAATGGATCTGCCTTTTTCATGACATGGAAGCTTAAGTCTGAGCATGCCACAAAAGCTAATTCACTCTTGTTTTAGACATCAGCACACTTAGAAGGAAGGCTTTAATGAGCTAAAGCTAACAAGTTTCATCGCTGTATCATCTCACATGATTGTTAAACATAGACTCAGCAGCTAGTCAGGCAGCACACCTCTCGACATGCTATCATCTAACCTTATCCACAGTTCATAAAAAGTCTGTGTCACTCAAAAGTGTCATTGTCCAGTTTTCTCAAATTCCAAACCTGCCCATTGTGTTATTTGGAAAGCTCTGCAGAGACAGAGATGTAGCTGCCCCTGGACCACCTACTAGGAGTCTTGTGCAAGGTCTTCATAGCACCGTATACATCTTAGCAAATGGTGCAGATCACCTGCACTATTTAACATTTCTGTATAGGCTTCTTGTATTTGCTCTTTCCCTCTTATATGTGTGTTTTAGGCTGTCTATTGTATTCCTTAACATACAGCCCAGGGACTGTTTTTCTTCCTACATGGACCGAGCAGGCTGAATTGAAGCTGTTGATGTGCGTGTGTGCATGCATACAGATGCATGTTTATGTAGTCAGAGGATGGGACTACTGGGATGACTGCTGAAGCAGGAAACTCCATTTTATATGGGGAAGTTGATGATGTGGTTTCCTCAGAGCTGGCAGTGGAAGCATGGGGGGCGCTGGGCTGCCTGCACTGGGTGGCCTCCCATCTCCTGTATGTAATGATCTTCTCCCAAATAGCCAGGCAGTCAGGCCAAGGCAATGAGAGCCCATCTGCCTGGAGAGAGCCTGTCTCAGGAAAGATCTGTTCACTGCCCTGAAACCCTTCACCCACAGTCCTGCCTCTACCACCACTCAATGGAGCCCGACCACCTGTCCCACCTGGCCCTGACATTGACACTAGAATAAAACCGGCCCCTCAGTTGTGTACAGCTATATTTAGTGTTTGTCACTCATTATTTCACTCCGGGAGAGCTGCTAATTTACAACAACTTGCAGTCACCCTTCCTGTTCACTCATTTTCATGAACAAATGGTGTCTTCACCCAGAGGCTCGAATAGCTCCATGTGTCAAAATGCTAGCTAAGGTAGGTGTGAAGGACTTATCACTCTGGCTCAAACAGACAGGTTGTAAATCAACTCTTGATTGTCTGGAAGAATCAGTCAACAAGTTTTTGTTTTGATGCATCAGTCAGATGTGTCCTACTAGCAAGTCGAAGATGTTGATGCTTTCCACTGATTATCAGATGAGTGCTACATCCTGAGGATGCGAGGGCGTTTTCCTGTGGTGTTATGGCTGCGTGTGCGTGTTTGTCATGTGGCAGGAGGTGGTTACATGTGGGGGAGGAGGGTGTTGTCAGATGATGGCTCCTGAAGGAACCATGTGTGAGATGAAAGAGGGAGGGGAGTGGGGGAGGAAGAATAAAGAAAGAAGCAAAAGAGAGGAAGAGAGGAGCCTTTACACAACAAACAGGCCTCCCTTCCCCCTCCAGCTCGCTGCTCACTCGTCCTCCAACTGTTGGTGATATAGACCCCGGAGGAGCTGTTAACGGCAGTGGCATGGAAAGTGTCTGCTGTGAGCGTAGCCAGAGAGGCCACCCCCCTGATACCACAGGCTCTGTGGATCCACAACAACCTTCAAGCTGCTGATACACTGCTGCTCTGCTTATCACAACCTCGTCCCGCTCTCTTTTTCACACTTACTGCCTGCACCAACCATACGCATATCTCACTTTTCTCCCTCTCTACAGATATGATTTGGACACATGATGGAGCCATGAGTGTCCACACAAAAAAAAAAAAAAAAAACACGATTTACTTTTATCTTCAAATGCAGATGGTGTGCTCTGCCTTGATGTCTCTGTACTTTTCAAAGTCAGCTCCTTTCCTACACTCATTTGATTTTTTTCTCACATCTCAAACAGCTTCCATCCTGGCTTTTACAGACTGAGGATTTGCTGTCTACAGGGAGACCCAACTTAAACAGGGCATCATTGAATCCCTGCCGTACTCTTGACGTTCTCTGAATGCACACTCGACTCAATTTAGACCACCTCTTGTGAGATTGTTGGTCCATGTGTAGGTTCACCAGCGCCAAATTTTCCCTGTTAATCACCAGAGTAGTACAGCACGGCATGTTTACAGTACAGTGTAGAGCTTAGAGCACTGTTTTCTTTCTTGCTCTACTCTTTTATCCTGTTGTTTTAGAGTTTTGGTCAAATGGGTTTTTTTAACTGCAGAACATGTATTGATAACCATGTCATACCAAGACACATTATCAACAAAGCCAGAAATCCAACCTAGTGTTTGCAGGACCCATGCCGAACAGGCATCGATGCTCTGGCCTACATGAGCAGAAAACTACAAGGGGAACAAAATCATTGCATTTTATCGTGTACATTATGGGCTCCATATAACAGGGTCAGTCCATCTCCTGATAATGGAGGTGTATCAGAATTACTCTTGTAGGACTTGCAGAGGGTAAGAAGACCAATGGGAGGGGCTTTTGCTTGAGTGAAATGGCTCAACCTCTGCGGATAATGCTGCAATGTTACTATTTGGTTCGTTTGCAAATTCTGAAAACAATTTAAATTGAAAATCTTACTTCAGAGTCTGAATTGATTCATTTGTTCAAGGGGATAACACTAGGTTCAGACTACCTGTGATGACATTTTCTGTGTTTCTTTCTCTTTTTTTTTTCTTATTGTGTCAGGCTTACATGATAAACAAGTCACAATTTTCTGGTGTAAAAGCTCTTTTATTAATAACAAAAACAAAATCTTTTAATGGTTGTACAAGATTGGCATAATATTCATATTGGCAAAAACTTTTAAAAAATCTGTTAAGTATTGGTAGATAATGAAATATACAGCCAAGAAGGTGGTGCATCATGTATCCCAGCGCCATCAGTGTCAAGCATTAACATGTTGGCTGTATGGAAGTACTTTTGAAGTGTTTGAAACGAACAGTAAAATAGCTACCAGTACTTGCACTGCTTGAAAGGTGGTGCAAAGAGGAACAAAACAAAAACCATTTTTAACACTCCAGTCATCCCCAAGTTTCAAAAGTTTCTGCAAAGTCACCAAACATCGTTTCAGCTTTGCCTAATTTCTTTAGCAAAGAGACCAAACACAGCTCACCCACTCTCTTCTAGCAGCCGCTTGTTTGTGCGGAGACCTTGGCAAGTCCATTACCGACTTCAGCGGGGTGACGCAGCTCAAGGAAGAACATTTATGATCATTTTATGTACTGTTGATGAAGTTAGGTGCTGTTCTGAGCTTTATTTGTGGCTATAGAGTGGCTTTTTGGTTGAGGTTTGTGCTGGCTCCTTAGACCGCTCTGTATTGCTATCGTGTGGTCGTTACTAAAGTTGGTATAACTAAAGAAGCAAGCGGTCAGCAACATTCATCTCTCGAGGGGGTGTCTAACTCTGTGTTACGGTGTGTTTGACCCTAGCTTAATTTTACGCTGGAATATCCCTTTTAATAATGATAAATCAATGAATTCATTGCTCTGAAAAACAGCCTCTAAGTGTGGTGGAAGATGCAGGTGTACTTGGATTGGTAACAGTAGCTGTATGCCATTCAAAACAAGTTTGAAAATATCTACATAACTGATATAAAAATCCAACGCAAATGTCATACATGGCAACGAAATTCACATGTAATGTTTATTATTGAGTTGTGCCCTAAGCATCACAACAGATTATCTTTTGCAACTGAGGTAGCTTTTAGCATTGTCGGTTGTTTATCCCCATCATGCTAATGACATAGTATATACACATGGTTGTTGTACACACAGAATGGCATAGATCAGAGTCGAAGCTGCCCCATGGATCAGCTTTTTTTGGCAGTGCTAGCAGGTATGTCTTCTGGAGTCAGTATATGATCTAAAGATGTGATGTGAGCCCGGTCAAGACCATGATCACATCACAATCATTAGACTATTACTATTATTCTATCAAAGTTACAAATTCTGTTTTCATGACAACCAACCCTTCACACCAACATACACTGATGCAGATGCATTACAAAAGCCTACTGATGGCAAAACTTTGTCACAGCGCTTTTGCTGAATTACAGTTAATAAAGGCACAATAGATGTGACAAAGTCTTGAGTTCCTTTTGACTCTTTGGGGCAAACATTTCTTGAAAAAAGAATTTTTTTCCCCCATCACTTCACTCAGTTATTTTTTGAGAATCATCACCAAACGCACTTTTCTGTTGAGGAGAACCTATACAGTCCTGAGCTGCAGTGGGGGACTGTGTGGAGGGAGAGGAGAGATAAGGAGGACAGAGAGAGGAAAGGAGTGGGGTGGAGAGTGAAGCGAGGGTGTTGTCAGGGGAATAATAGAATGCCTCAGAGGCCCTTGTAGACCCCAGGCAGCAGGACGGAATGGGTGTGGGGGGGTGGGAGGAAAATGGTGTGGAAGAGAGCAGTAAGAGGTTAAACCAGAGAGAGAGAGATGGTGGGGGAGTTGGGTGAGAGAAGTAGCAAATACCTTCAGGCTGAAAAGCTGATTGCAAGCCCGGCCCACAGAGGGGCTGTGGCGATGACACACCTTTTGAGTAAGCCTTGACTCAGCCTCCAATCTTTGTCCTGGTGTGCAAATACTGAACAGCCTGTTAGGTCACTGCAGTAGCATGGCAATAAATTTGGTAGTTTTGCTCAAAGATTGACAAGAGAGCTGATAAGTGATAAGCTACAAAGGGTATCAAAGTCTCATTGATCATTAATGCAGTGCAGCTGATGTCCCGCGTTTGTTTATGCCATTGAGACACGTGCGGGACTGAATGTTGGAAACAGTGTGTTTTCTTTTGTTGTTGCCAAAGGTTGTTGTGGGTTATGTCCTTGCAGTGTCAAAGTTTTGTTCCTACTCTGTGTATGTTTTTGCCTCTAAAGGGTTCCCACAAGACATGTCCAGCCACAGCAGAGCGTCCCTTATTGCTTCTCAGAAAGTAAAGTGTTAGTGTGTTAGCACCAGTCTGAGGAGGGCTTGGCAAGCTCGACGGATGGCTCAAGAAAGGGCACGCACACCACATTAATTCTCCTTCTTCCTGCCATCTGAGATGTTGTGTGGCACTTCAAAGGTGGAGCCAGGGCGGTGTTAATCCAGGGGCTGTAGCAAGCCCTCTACTCTGCTGCGTGGTACTCAACTCACCACTCTTTCCCCGGTCCTGGCCCCCAGCTTTTTCCAAGTGTGATCAAAGTGCAGTCTGTCTCTGATGGATGGGCTCTCTCTGGCCCAGAGGCGGCCTGACAGGGGACCAGGAAGTAGAAAGGAGTATGACACAGGAACCCTTGTTACATGCACAGATACACACTATCTTTCTATCCTGTAATAAGCAGAGCTAATGGCCAGGGGGTGCAGTTGGATCTGATTCGGTCTGATTTGATTCAGTATTTTCATACCCTAAATAAGAGAAAGGGTTTGACTTTTTGTCCAAGTAGCATGTCCTTGAATGTATTCTTTTTCCAAGGGGCAAAAGACTAAAATTATACACTTGGTAGAAATCTTGGCTTTTCTGTACATTCATCTGTTCATTCTTGAACTTAGTTCACAAATGTAGATTAACACTAAAATACATCAACACATCTAAGCACACTGCATTTACAAAGTATCAATCCTCTAAATTGAAGCCAATTGGAAAACACAAGTAAATAGAAACACACTGAACAACAGAGCTCATTGTGACGCAATAGACACAAGAGCAATGCTGCAGTTGAAAATGCAGTGATTTTATTAAAAAAATAAAAAACCTGTTGGCCTCCTTTTTTCTCCTCATGATGTTTCTGTCATAGTTTCATGCTGCCTGCTATCATGTAACCAATACTGTAACCACTTACAAAGCCATTCCTCTTAACAACACAGAAAGGCTGTAGCCCTGAGTGATAAAACTAGCTGTAGATTCCAGGATATCTGAAGACTTTGCAAAGTTGTGGCTGGAAAAGGTGTTTCATATTTAAGACTATTTGCACTGCTAATTGCTAATGCCAACCTCTTAGCAAAGGTTTGGTCATGAGGTCTTGTGAGGTCAGGGGCTGTGTGAACTGATGCCATCTTTGGCACGGAAATATTCTATTCTGACTCAACTGCAGTACAGCCTTTTCAGTGCTCACAGTCTTCAGTACAAAACCGCTCAATATCACCTGTTTTTGTTGCTTCACTCATGACAGTCTCAACTGAAGATAGCTCAACTTTTGGAACAAGCTTATCAGTGATGTTTCTTGATCTCTGACCAGTCAGAATCTAGAAGAAGAACAAGAACTTTATTTATCCTCAAAAAGAAATTCAATAAGGGCCAGGACTTCTGATGGCATCTTTGTCAACAACAATGACCAAAATTTATATGAGACAGAAAGAGACCTCATTTGTTTTCATGTGTAGAGCTGCTACTAATGCTGTATCAAGATTATAATCCATGGTTTGAGACGTTCTTTGTCAAATGAAACCGAATGAAAGCAAAACCTAAGTATAGAGAGCATTATAAAGTGCACCTACTGATTACTGTTTAGGGGAGCAGAGGTGCTGCAAGACAATTAATTGTAACCTGACAACAGTAAACGCCTGTGAAATGCACACTGAAAATGAGGTCCTGGGTACTGCCACCACATAAAAACAACTTGGTGGACATGGTCACTGAAATTTCTGGCAGACAATGAACATAGTGTCTTTTCTATAAAGCGAACATGCAGGCAGACTGATTGTTGAAAAGTTGTCCATACTTTTTATTCTGTAAATGTGACTTGATTTCTGAGGAGGAGATTGCAAATCACATTGCTGAGTTACTTTCTCATCATGGGTTTCTACATAGATTAAATAAACCACAAACTTCATTACAGTGACATCACCTTTTGATTTCTTAACTGTAACCCACTGACCATGGTCTTCATATTGAGATTTTTACTGTTGCCAGTCACCTGAGCTAACTTGACTCTTGTTAAAAGATCACACCTTTGATCCTGAAAGAAGTGCACACACCCGATGGTTGGTTTTCTAGATATTCTGATCCAGAAGTTCTGTTGTAAGAGTGAGATGAGGGAACCTGTTGATCTTCTCGTGTTTGCTCAGACATTTGTGCAGCAGTAATCTGAATTAAAACCTGTTTTGTTTACCCAGTTGTTGGCGTGTACACATATTCAAATCATTATCAGTACTTATCTATTTGGCAATGAGTTGGGCTGCACAGTGGTGCAGTGGCTGTTTCGCAGCAGAAAGGTTCCCGGTCCTTATCCCTGCCAGAAAAAGAAGTCTCTGTTTAGAGTATATGTTATTTGCATGCATGGGGTCTAGGCAGTGTGGATTACTCCCATAGTCTAAAGATGTGATCATTGAGTTTATTAGCAGTTCAAAAGGTGTGAGAGTGATTGTGGTTGATGGGATAGGTAATAGAGACAATGGATCAATGAATAGATGAATGGGTGGTATTGTTGTCTTTAAGTTTCAAAGTGGAACCTTTCAAGCAGTTGCAGATCCGTCCTCCATTTTTCATATGAATTTGCAGCTGCATTAGCTGCTGTTAAGACTTGGCTTACTTCAAAAGGTTCAGAGGGTCACTGTCAGCTGCAGAGTTGCCTCTAGATGTGTCATTGCACAGTGTGCATCATTTACATGGCAAACCAGGAATTGTGTTAAGTAAGCATGCAACTTTTTTTCTGCCTGACAGGTGTGCCCAGACTCAAAACAAAGCAAGTTTGGTACGGCTCCATCCCCACTGAAGTCTGTGCCAAATGCCAATTTGCGTGGCTTGGCAAGCAAGTTCGTTTGCATACCACTTGCAGACAGACCTGACAGGCATGAACTCTCACTTCCCACCTGTATCATAGTGTGGTTATTGCATTTCCTTTGTAATTTACTATAGTTTCAAATGAATGATGAATAGAAAACTGAAACAGACTTGCTGAAGTTGAACCCTTTGCAAAATTTGCTAGTATAGGGTGGTACCCGAAGAAGCTTATCAAACTGGGCATGGTCTGCCCCATGTAGCTTTGAGTGGAAATGAAGTTGCCACACAGAGTTCTTGAACAAACTAGTGAAGAATTAAATCTTCAACATGGATGTCAAACCTGAAGCGTGAACCTCTCGCTCACTGACGGTAGTCAGTGAGTTAGCTGCTGCTGTGTTGCTAACAGTCTGTTACGAGTCCATCCCTAAAAACTGTCTTGGCGGCTTTTTTCATTCCGACCAACTTCCGATGCTACAGTTGTGTTTCTGTAATTTTGCTATCATGGGAAAAAAATCGATATTTGAACATTTGTTAATCGTAATCAACCATCACGTGTCACATTGCAATGCATCAAAGAAAATGAGTCTGGTCCTTCCCAAGTTTTCTGCTTGGTAAAAGGAAGTTTTTTTCCTTGCCACTGTCACTCATATTGGATGAGATGGGTCAAATCTATCCTGTCTTAAGATTGGGTCTTGATAATATATCAAAGAATGAGTGTGGTCTAGACCTGCTCTGTTTTGGAAAATGTTTTGGGATAACGACTGTTGTGAAGTGGAGCTATATAAATAAAATTTGATTGATTGATTGATTGATTGAATCTTGGACCACTTCTATTTAATAACGTCAAGTGGCTTTTCCAAGTGTGGTCAACATAGCTTCATTCCTTCTCACAAAGCTTTATCCACATGCCAGTGCTGGTTCTGCGTTCCTGCAGTTAAGTGTGCCACTTTCATCAGACACAGTCTCCATAGCAACTTCATTCCATGTCTCCATTTTCTAGATCAAAATACTGACAAACCTCACCTTGGTACAAGATGACATCTGTACTTGTTTACATCTAGATGGTAGCGCGTTATTGTGTTGGTAATTGTCAATAATTGCCTTGGCTGACTCCGCCCCTTGGGTAACGGGTGGCTGGGCTACAGTTTAGACTCGGTCTACGACTGGCATTCTGGACCTGCAGTGTTAAAAATATCAATTTGCTTCATCAAAAAGTAAATCTGGAGCCAATGGGGACAGTGTTTATTGGTTTACTTGACTAAACAGATACAGCTTATTGGTACACCCCTGCACATGGCCCTGAATCACAAAAGGTGTGAGTAATTAACTGTGAAGATTTGACAGCTTTGTGATTGAAAAAGCAACATGAGATTTCGATTTCCATATACACCAAGATGCTCACACCAGTCCTGTCATAGCAGGCTCTTCTTCTATTGGAATGTTTTTAAAAATCCATTAAAGCCTGTCCTACTTTCCACTGTGAACACGATGATCTGTAGGCTTTTAAATTGCTGTTTCGAATGACCTCATTAAAATTAATGAACTGTTCTTTCTTTGAGTCATCAGACATTGGTGACTTTAGCTTCTGTCATCAAACTTGCTTGCCTGGTGTCTTTGCATAAAAGCTTGAGTCAGAAAGCAGGAACCGGCTTTCTTGACTTAACCTCCTACTACTGTTTTCTTTTCTAACCTCAAGCAGAAACGTTTAACTCATCCTGTTTTTCAACTTCTTTCTTAACCCTGCTCTGTTCCTCCCCTCCTCCTCCTCCTCCTGTTGTGTTTTTCATCGTGCTGACTTGTTGGCTCCTGGTTTCCGTCGTTCTCTGTGGCTGGGAGGTGTGTACGCTGACCTTTGTTGACCTCTAAGCTCGACCTAGTTCCTCTAGAGAGAAAGAGAGGTAGACTGAAGACATGAGCGAGTGCACGACAATCAAACCTGCCTCCTTGTCCTTGACTGTTCCCCCCCGTTGAACGTGCAGTAGTAGAATTGTGATTGTTTATGCGCCAGAATGAGGTCGGCAGATGCCTTTTTTCACATATCTACAAACTCCTGATGACTCTTCTGTCGATGTTTGAGTTTTTACTCCTTAGTGTTTTCCTGACAGATCCTTAGTAAGGTTTCCACAAGAGGCCAGGGTGAGGCAATGTATGAACAGGTAAAAGTCAGAGGCACTCACCTCGAGTGACTGGGTGGGGTAAAGATGTGTACCGATTGTGGAGAGTTCTTTTGCTTCATGCTCTTTGCTGCTCACCTTAGTTATCTGTGTTACGTTTTCACAGTTGTGTTTATATTTGGTAGAAGAATTTTCATACGTTTTGGAAAGATTTCTGACAGAGAGAAGCCCTCCCCAAGTCCATTTATGAACAGAAAAGTCCTGATATACTAAAGCTATAAAAAAAATGTCAGGAGAGTATGTGTCAAAGGGACTGGAGAGACAGAGTTTGGGTACGTTGTTAGAGAAGGGACCAGGAGGGGTGAGGAAAGATCAGCTGCAGTCAGTTATGTTCCTTTTCTAAAGAGCAACTGGTTGGGCTTCAGCCTGAAGGAGCTACTTTGCATCCTGCAAAAAGGGGGCTTTAAGTGAAATGGACACTTGGCTGACGGAGCACTTTACATTTGCATTTCTGCCCTCTCAGCCTCCTGTTCTCTCTCTTTTTCCCCTCCTGTTCTATTTCAGAGCCTTTGGGTATCATTTGGAATAGCGGTGCATGCTGGGAAGCCGTGTGGGGTGCTCTGTCTTGGTTGGTCAGCAGAGGAGAGGAGGAGGGGGGGCACGGCTGTGCTGCAGCTCTAGGCCCCTGCTGCCTGCCATCTCTCCTTGGTGCTTTCAGGTCTTTTCGAGTTTGCTCTGCCGGTTACTGCCGCTTCATAAAACCTGAATGGCTGGAACACAAAGCCAGGCAGGAGAGGGGTCATGGCTGAACTTGAACCCAGGCTACAGCCAAGCAACTGCAGGCAAACCAAGAAACTCAGCTTGCAAATTCCAACCATCCCTCCTGCTGTCCACCTCTGCTTGCTCACCTTACACTAAAACACCCATTGGTCATTGTGCAACCGAGCTTTGGCAACATTTCGTACCATGTTTTATTTGTAAATATGTGCCTTTGTGCTGATGTCTCGAACCTGTTTACCTCAAAACAGCCTTTCATGTATGCATTGACCCATTGCTCTCTTTGTTATGTGTGTAGGAGCTGGAGAAAGCCCTGTCAGAGCAGGACTTTGACTTCCTTGGGGACCTCATTGCTTGTCTTCTGCAAGGATGCTACCAGCGCCGTGACATCACGTGAGTTGTTAATTACTTATACTTACCCAAGCTGGGAAGTCACAGTGTGTGTGTTATAGCACACACTATGATGATTCATATTTGGAAAACTCACATGTTGAGAGTTGCTCACTGGACTGTAATTCCTGAACTCTCATACTTTTTGCCTGAAGCTTATCCCATCAAAGCAGGCATATGGCTCACTACAATCCAACTGAACCTACAGTCTGTCAGCTGATCTTAAAGGGATATTCCGGCATAAAATTATGTAAGGGTCAAATGCACCGTAACACTGAGTTAGACACCCCCTGAGACGAATGTTGCCGACTGCTTGTTTCTCTAGTTATACCAACTTAAAACGGCCGCACGGTAGCAATACACAGCGGTCTATGGATCCACGCGCAAACTGCAACCAAAAAGTCACTTGTAGCAACAAATAATGCTCAGAACAGCAGGACATATAGGGTCCCAGCCATAGCATTAGCCATCAAACATCTTTTTAGCTTTCCCTTATTTCTTTGGCAAAGAGACTAAACACAACTCACCTACTCTCTTCCAGCAGCCGCTTGTTTGTGGCGGAGCCTTGATGAGTTGATCACAGAGTGCAGTGGATCATTTTCTTTTAAGTACTAATCATCAAAATAATGATTTTGCACTGCAGAAGCAGTAGTTCTTCTGCCTTAGCGACTTGGTCTGTTTGCATTTCCATGAAGTAATGATCATAAATGTTCCTCCTTGAGCTGCGAAACTCCGCTACACTCTGCGGTCATGACTGAATAGAGGTTATTGATGTTGTATTTCAAGCATCTTTAAAATTCAAGAAATAAGGTAATTTTATTGATGTCCTGACACATGACAGCTGGAAAAAACACTTTTCTTCAGCTCTAACCTTAACATTTTAACAAATCCATTTTTAGCTATCCAATGAGATTATAAATAAACCTGTTAACAGATCTCCGCAGAAATTAAACTCAACATTCAGATGCTGCTAAAATGCAAGTACAAATGTTGAACCTGCCCTAGTTTAAGTTGAATAAGACTGCACAGATCCATGTCTTCATTTTGTCCTAACTGAAACATTTAAAGCACCTTGTGAAAACATCAGCAACACAATAGACATGAATAATTAGCGTCTCCTGTCAGCTTGATTTGTTGCTGTTGAAATATGACCAGTCTTTCAAACTCACCAAACTAGTCATCAGAGCACTCAGGAACCCTCGTAGGAAGTGTGAGTCACATGTACATGACTCGCTAAGGAGTCACAATTTACTCACCATATCCTGACTTGTGGTGAAATCATGCTCTTCCCGTACGTTGTTATAGAAGACCAAATAAGCCACTGAAACTTTTGCCTCTTGTGATCAAGCAACAGGGGAAAGTGAGTGTGGCGGGTTGATATTCAAATCCACAAGTATGACTTATCTCCTATTTGCCCCCCCATTTTACACACCTCCTCCTCGGGGCCCATCGTTAGAGAGCAGCACAGTGGTACCAGTGAAGCGATAAGCAGAGAGGCAGGAATGATCCAGTTTTTCTGCCCAGGCAACCGGTAACAGGAGGACAACCTGCTTTATTGGACTGGACAGGCGCTGGCATCCTGGGGGTGGCTGCTCAGCACTGGCCTTTCACTGAGCTGCCCTTTTCATCCGCACGTGTTAAACGCTCTGCCGGAGCGGGGGAGACAAGGGAGGGAGGATGTAGAAGAGGACGAGGGACGAAGAGAAGGAGAGGGATGGGGTTGCTAGGAGGAGGGGAGCCTGCAGCTGTGTGAAAAGTGCACGCTGCTCTTTCAAGATAAGCCATTTTCTCTGTCCCTCTTTCTCTGCGCTGCTGCATAGATGCTAACCCCTGCCCCAAAGCCCTTGTTCTGTTCAACTAAGTGTGGACTGAAAGGTACGGATTAATAGGCTAACCTGAACCGGAACCAGCATTATTTACCAGCTTCGACCCATCGTAGATATACAACCCCACTCCCTTTCAGAGAAACTATTCTTTTCTCTTCCAGCCCTGCCTCCTCTCTCTTACTGAGACTGTGGCTGTTTGAACTTCACTTGTTTTCTAAAATGCACTCTACAAAAGGACACTGGTTGATATTGAGACATTGTGTGCACACCAAAATTTGCAAATGAATCAGTTGTATCTATCTAAACTGACAGATTCCAGTGGACCAAAAAAAACTTTGTTGGGATTCTCTTTATAGGTTGTACATTGACTGGGTCTACGTGGACATGGGTTTTAGGACTAGTTTTGATTTACTTTTCTATAAGTATCCCACCTTTGACACCACCGGGAACTAAGATAAGCCCTCATCCCAGCCAAAAGACTGAGCGAGAACAGGATACAGTGGCCTGTATAAGCCATGCCCTTGTCTCTGACAGCTGCTGACTGCCTTTGCCAGGGTGGCCTCAGCCCAAGTGATGTAACGTCAAAACAAAGATGGAGACCGCAACAAGGACATCTAACATCTGGATAGGGATGGAAATTTCCACTTATCTCCATGTTTGAGTAACCAACTCACTCAATGAAAGAGTAGTCGAGTACTCTTAAAGTATACATTTTTACCATTCAACAAAGTTTTCAGCAAAGTTTTCTGCAGTATACTGCTCATCGGTTCTGCATAGGGCTTGGCGATACAGCCTTAAATCAATATCCCGATGTATTGAGGAGTTCACCTCGATAACTATAAATGAATGATAACTACTCCACAAGCTGCACACCCCCTCCCACATTAACTTTGTTTACTTCAGCCACTGCTCCAGCTTTTGAACTGTCCTCCATATCCTCACCTGTCTATCCCACTCTGTTACGGACTGAATGGGTTGGAGTCACGTCTCCAACGTAGGACAGCATCTTAAAGGAACATGAGACCATAGCCTACCTACACACATCCGAAACCAACTTTTATTTATTTTTTTGACAACAAACATACAGATATGGGCAAAATGACGTCGGTTATTGTTGTAAATTTCAGTATCAGTAATTTTTTGGTTAATCGCCCAGCCCTAGTACTGCATGTCTGAGGGATGTCCATCTCTAATTCCCAGTATTGACTAAAATGATAAGTGATGGCAACATACAACTCTGTGGTTAGACTTGTCCATGAGTCTGGTGATACATTGTCAACGCTGCAAGACACTCCCTAATTTTCCTGCTGAGCGACCCTCATACATTTTCCACTCCCGTAGTTGTGGTCAGCACACAAAAGCCTTCCCCTTCCACAAACTGAATGGGAGCGCGTCTGCAGCCACTGTTTTCATTAATAGCAGGTGAACCTTCTCCGCTCTGGTGTCATAGCACCAGCATCTGCTAACAGGGCCGGTCAGCGCTGTGATGCAAGATTGCCCATCAATCTGTCTCCACAGTCTTCTGCCAGAGTTTTGAGCATCAAACTAGCTATGATACACAAGTTTAACACTGCATACTTTGCACTGCATGTTATTGTTGTCCTTATTGTTAAGCTACTCCTACATGCTGCTTTTCCTGGTCACAGCTGACACAAGCATGTGCCTGTAAGCTAAGTTCTGTGTAGTGCAGTGGTTATCAAGTCCAGTCCTCGAGGCCCACTGTCCTGCATGTTTTGGATGTTTCCCTGCTCCAACACACCTGATTCAAATGATCAGCTCGTTATCAAGCTCTGTAATGGCTTAATAACGAGCTGATCATTTGAATCAGGTGTGTTGGAGCAGGGAAACATCCAAAACAAGCAGGACAGTGGGCCTTGAGGACTGGACTTGAGAACCACTGGTGTAGTGTAACTATACTGAAGTTTCTCAACATAGAAACTGACGTATGCTTTCCTATGATAAAACTATTTGACATAACGGGACATTTAGGTTGGCGCGATGTTGACTTTCAATAGTGCTAAGCTGGAACAGGGTACAGTGGTCTTAATTATTCTGAAATTTCCAAATTCTATATTTTTTGGTTGTTACAGGCACCTTTGGTATTTATATTTCATAAAGTCAAATAAATTAAGATGCAAGCTCTTATCACATATACAGTGGTATAAATTACAGGTGTCTTGTGTGCATGTTAAAATCATATCCTGAATAAGATGCAGCTGGGATAAGGCTCATACCTGGGATACTTAAGTCCATGTAAACACATTCAGAGTTGTTTCTATTAATCTTATAATCCGGTGGCAGTCTCACATAAATGAGTCCAACATCTCCTTTAGTTTACTTTATCGCTTGAGTTTGTTGGATCTGGTACAAGAAGATGTCAAAGCTGCTTTGTTTGTCTGGCTAATAATTTTCCTTTGATCTATTGTTGTTCAACTCATCATACTGCAATTGCTTTTCTATTTTCAACACCAGTCTTTTGCATTTAACCATCATTAACTTGACACTTCATTTTACACATGTCAAAAGGATCTTGTCCACGATTGTCATCAACTCTTATAAACGTGAGAAGTGATCCTTTCTTTAAAAACTTGGTTCAAATATATTACAAAACATAAATGACAAAAAGGACTGTCAGCTGCTTCATGTCTCTCTGCTGTGTGAAATGAAATATCAATAACATAAAAGTTTGTATTTTAGGGTTTAATCTGAGAATGCTTTAATACAGTTTTAATTTATACACAGATGTCACCTCCACAAACATTGGGGCCGCCCGCTCACATTCAGTCACTTGTCTGTTCTTCTGCTTTGCCCGTTAGACCCCAATCGTTTAGCAGCTACCTGGATGACATCATCAACTACAGGTGGGAGCTGGAAGAGGGAAAGCCCAACCCGCTGAGAGAGAGCCCCTTTCAGACCCTCCCTCCTCGCACTCAGGTTGAACTGCTGCACCGGCTGTGCGACTACCGTCTGGATGCTGCTGATGTTTTCGACCTGCTGAAGGTATATCCAGAGATCCATTCATGTGAATTGGAAACATTTTTCATGCATGCAGCCCATTATCATTTGTTTAAACTTTTAATTTAGACTTAGAATAATTGGATCAAAGCCATTTGTTTATGGGCTCAACTGAAAACACTATCAAATATCCTTTTAGTTTGATGGTTTTTCACCTTAGAGCATTGTATCCCATTAAGACCTCATGGTTTAAACATGAACTGGGTGGTGAATCTTTAAGTATCGGGGGAATATTTTATCCTTTGAATCATTTAACACGACTGGAGTGTTCTACTGTGGCCTGAGGAGGATCTGTAAGAGTTTCCTGTACATTTTCATTTGTAACCGACTTCTATCTGTCACACAGAATTTAGTTCAGCTCTTTATTGCACCTGGAAAAAAAAGCGAACCCATATTTTACCACTCGTGTATCTGTCCGTGGGCGATCACTTTCAGACCAATGTTTTTTCCTTATGACATAATTTTTTTTCTGAAATCATTTCTGTGGTTAAATTTATGAATGCACTCTGTCAGCCCCTGAAAAGGCGTCATGATTCATAGACATGTAGGTTACTAGGACTAAATGACATCACCAAGTAATGACTGACAGTTTAAAAATGGAGTCCTACACATGATGTGAGAAATGCCTTTTTCCCCCACCCACAACCCCCCACCAGGGCCTTGATGCAGACAGCCTGAGGGTGGAACCCCTGGGGCAGGATGGAAATGGAGCCCTCTACTGGTACTTTTATGGCACTCGCATGTACAAAGAAGAGCCAATCAAGAGGAAAGCAGAGAAGATCAGGTATGAAATACATTGTTTTGTGCATTCTCCACATCTCCGCATCTCTCTCTCTGGAACGGATGCTCAGTAAAAAGTAATGTTTTCTCTTTTACTAGTGCACAGGGTAAGTGTGTAATTGCAGAGGTAGTTTGACACTAATTTACAGGCCTGTAAAGGGTTAATTATAGAGGTCTCACATAGCTACTTACCCCTCTAAAAAGACTATAATTTTAAAGGGTTCCTCTCTTTTTTTCCCCCTGAAAGTGAGTCCACTGAGCTAGCATTTCCAGAGAAGAAGAAAAGGGGAAGACCACCAAAGAAGAGGAAACTGGAAGACCCTCATCTAAGGTGAGAAAACACACATTTGTTTGTTGTCACAGCCAATGGTGTACAGCACAAAAATGCTGAGGTTTAGCCGTGCATGTGTTGCACAGATGTACCTGTTTAAAGTAACAGCTGATACCACGGCTTTGGGCTGTACTGTTTTTTGGGAATGGTTACATTGGTGAGGACTAAAACAATCATCTTAGAATTAATGTAGTTCCTCAAACTTTTGTGTAAGCTTCAAAACTCACCGAGCTTCATTTAGTGATGTGAAGGTACAGAGAAAACACACAGATAACACAAACCAAATATGACAAAATTTAGAAAAAAATTACACTGCTGAAGTAAAGTGGTTTGAAATAGTCTTTATTTGTTTGATTTCTACGAAGAAGAACAGAAATTTTTTGTCGCATTGATTCTGGTTTTCAGATTTTTATAGATTATCCATGACCTGGACGGATAGGAGGAACCTCTGTAGGCAGATATAAGATTACATTTTGATTCAGCATCCACCTACACCCTATTAGTAGCATGGTTTTTTAAATAGCAACATTACAAAGTGACAGCAATGAATCCTATAAATAAATTCTTTAATCTATATCCTTTTTGTAATTTGTTCAGGGTTTTTTGTACAATAATTGTTCAAGAAAACTTAAAAAAATTGGGTTCAAGCCACACCTATTTTAGTTTTCTATAAAGACAAAAATACCTTTTGGTTGTACAGATACATGCACATGCACAGGTAATGATGTCTCAACACACCTTCTTGTGATTTATACCTTCCAGTGAGGTGGAAACCGAGGTGACTGAGGTGGTAGAAGAGAAAACTGAAAATGGACTGGAAGACCTGCGACCCAGCACAGGTGAGAGAATATCACCAACATGCACTTTTTCCTTTAATACATGCAGGAGTTGGTGTCTATACGCTTTATTTGAGTTTTAAATGAACATAAAGCTATAAAGTCTCTTGCTCTGTGTGTCTGCCAGGCCGTAAGCGAGGCGTCTGGTCCCTGGTGTGTGATACAGAGGAGCAGTGGGTCAATCTGGCAGAAAGCATCAAGGACAAAACCTCCCCACAGGATCGCCACCTCTACCGTGTCATCAGCCAGAACTTCCTGCCTGAGATCAGCAGCATGATCGAGCACAAGGTCAGACACCACAGAGACACCACAGCTATTATTCTCAATTAAAGCAGCAGCTCATAGCGCATTCGGTTAGACAGACTCTAGGAAGAGTGTGTCAGCCATTACCCAGAGCCTAGGTCTCTCAATAGCTGACTGTGATGTGAGTCTGGACCTGTTAATATTTGGCGTTTCTATTCTGATTGGTGGATTTTTCTTGCTTCTAGGGATGTCTGTTTTGAACCGTATGTTTCCAAGCTTTCATGATAGTTATTTTAGTGGCCATGGAAAGTCTGTAAGCAGTTGTTATAAATCATGCTGATAGACCAATTTGATCGTTTCCTTTGATAAACAACTGAGAGTAAAGATGCTCAGAGGAGGCAGCCCTAATAAGATTGAAGGGATACATTTCAGAAAATTGGTTGAGTTGTAAAAAAACAGATGTGGTCATGGCTGTTCCTAGCTCAATATCAGGGTGAAGTGGTACAATTGTATAATTGTGGCAAGGCTGATCTCATGACACTGTTCAAATTAAGAAAGTACAACATGATGTGTTGTCATTTTTGAAGTACAACTTTGTTTAGGGCAGCTGGGAGTCTTCCCAAGGAAACCATAAGCATCAAACATTTTTTTACACATGGATAAATACATTTATAAATGTAAAATAAATAAATAAATTCAATTAAAAAAAGGAGGGGATAGCATGCTAGCATATGAGTGATAGTGTTCTTTAGGTTTTGTCTGGACAAGCTGACTTTTGCCCTCCACATTACTTGGACCAGCTGAAGGACAGGCAAGGTGAAAAAAAAGCCAGTCTGAGCTCGTCCCTAAATCTTCACACAATCTTGGTAATGACGTTTGCCCGGGGCCTTAAACTTGAGCCTAACTATGGAGCACTACTGTAGATCTCATGCTAGTTTGGATGAGTCAAGGCTAAAGTTGTGACATCAGGCCCGGCCGTTCCTTACGTCAAGCTCGTTTATCTACAGTCTCTTTTTCTGGAATGTGTGTGAAATACCTCAAGAGGAAACTTTAGACCGGCAGTTTGCCCTCTTCACAGCAAGAATGAGTCAAAGCCAACACACACTTGCTCAGTTTTCCTCCCAGCTTCTGTGCAGTTTCCACTGGAATAATCTGAATATTACAGTGAGAGCTCACCCTGCCTGTCAGTAAAAGATCATTTTGCCCTGATATATGTGATATAACAGTCTTTCCCTGTCACCATCCAAAGCAAAGTTGTGAACTCTTCTGGCAGTTTGGCGTCAGCAGAGCGATTAGTCACTTAACTCTGGAAGTCATTGGATTTATCACTCAGCCGTTAGACTCACAGTCATTTTTTAGTCATTAAGAAGACTTGTCACTTTCCAAAAGCAAAGTATTTGTAAGGATAAATTCATAAGAGCAGAAAACAGTAAAGCTACATGATTTCAGTTTTGGTTGATCAGTGTGGACGCATTTAGGGGATTTGTGTGTATGATTTGATTCCTCTATTTCTATAAGCTCTTGTGAGGAACTTGCTGTTTGAGTTGATTTGAGCGCCCCCGGTGGACAAAGTGATGCCTCTTTTCTCTTTGCTCGTCTTGTCCTGTTGATGTGCAAGATGCTTTCTCTGATGAAAAGTGTCAGACTTTCCTATAAATGCCAAATATATCACTTATAATGAATATTTCCTGTTGAAAATCTAATTTAAGGCTTTTCCTTGCACCCCCACACTGGTTACAGGCATTAAAAATAACATTAGAGGAGGTGTTGTTTCATCACTAGTTTTAAACTTTCACTGGAGCTTTAAGGGATGGAATACCTCCTCAGTCCATTAGGATTCGAAAAAGAAATCAAACAAAACAAGACAACTATTTCTATTTACAAGTGCTGTTTCTAGCTGCTCGTGTCTCTAAAACAGACTTTTTAGCTGCTTAGGAAACAGACAATTATTACTAATTCCTCTGTATGAAGAGAACCACCGGGGCAACAATTGATCATCTCTTTAAAGCTGAGTAGGTGTCCAAAAAATAGGTCAACATACGGTATGCCAGAGAAAAAAATCTTTTTCACACATTTTCCAAAGATTCACTACGAGTGATGAATTGGACTGATAAGCAAAGAGGTGAGAGGTGTAGCTACACAAACCACAAGTTCCTCAGAGAAAACGGTTTCCTATCTAGCAAACAGTAATACTGACTAATTAGCATGTTCAAGGAAAAGAAGAGTGAGGTGAACAGAGTGCAGAGCAGCCGCCTCTGCAGAAGTCAGCCAGTCAGCAATGAACAGAAAGGTGGAAAATCATAGTTTGTAGAACATTGGTAGCCCAGTGGCTAAGGAGGAGGAGGAGGAGGAGGGGAACAAAAGAAAGTGGAGAAATTACCAAAGGAAAGAAACCAGTCAATAAAGAAAGCAAAGGAAAGGAACCAGTAGATAGAAAGAGGAAGGAAAAAACTGGTAAGCAGTACTTGGAAAGGACAAGACATCTTAAAGAGAAACGAAAGGAGAAGGACTGAGTCAGGACAGGATTTTTTTTATTGAAGTTTGTTTAAACTTTAGACAGAAAAAGGGGAGGGCAGCTCATCAAAGCCAGAGACTGAGAAAGATTTAAAAAAGACCCACTCAGATTCAGGGACATGTGATTATTTTTTCTTGTTGATGACAAATTGTCGACGGCAGATTACTAACCTTGATCTGCAAGTATATGTAGGTGATCTTTATGTTGACTGTTGAATATTTCCTTTCTGTCCATAATTTGATCACTTCTTGGAACCAGTTTATAGCTCTGGCTCATCCACAATTTTAGGTGTTTAAAATTATGGTCATAGCTCCACTTTTTTACTTTACTCTGGAATTACACGGCACATCACAATTTCATGGTTTTTGCACTGTGAGCCTTTACAATAAACTGATTGCAAATGTCTTAGTTGGCTGCAGTAAATAAGAGAAATGATCCCAAGTTAAAAAATTAATTTAGCATACGTACACTTGACTTTACATGTGGGATGGAGTCCAGAGTCTACAGGCCACAATGGTTTCACACCTTTTCAGTCAAATGCAGTCAGAAGAAAACAAGCTTCCTATCATCAACTCACCAATTCATCATGGTTACAAGTGGAAATAAATGGATTTGGATTGTTTTATTTATATATATTTATGTTTTTGTATTTAAGACTAAGGATCAACATTATGCAAGCACAAGTATCATGTGAAAACATGGACATGGCTTTACTGAAGTCACCCACTGGTTTCTGTAGTGTTGATTAAGTTTATTGATGACAGTTTCCTTTTTGGAAAAGCCAACTTTCAGCCTGCCTAGCAACAGAGTCCCCACCTTTCAGTCAAGTCAGCCATTGCTCTATCTTTCAAACTATTGGGTTATAAAAAATCACCCCCTGCACAGTGTGTGTGGGCAAAGAAATGAGCTGTACAGATCCAAATAGTTTTTAAACCAGGCTTGAAACATCTTTGTTTTCTTTGCGGTAAAGATTTTTTTGTTTGTTTTTTATTGTAATTGGGCATATGTGGTTTTCAGTGCTTTTGGAGCCGGCCTTTAGTGGACGCTCAAGGAACTGGCTTATCTTTATTTTAGAACCAGAGGCTGCCACTTTGTTAATCATGAGATGACTCCATGACACTTTGTTAATTATGTAAAAAGCAGAAAAACATGGACATGTGAATTTTCTGCACTTCATAAATTTGAATGTGCTGCCCTTTATATCTTAATAGGGTTATTCAAATGTTCATGCACACTTGATTTTTTCTCGGAGTGCAGACCTACTGGTGTGTGCATTTAAGCATGTCAAATACAGAGTGTGTGTAGCCACTTGACTCCCTCCCCGCATGTGTCTCAGGCTGCTGTCACCAGCCATTTCATGGGGCACTGACAGCGGGCAGGAGCTCACCTTGAGGCAGGAAGGAGCCTCTTGAATGACAGCTCTGCTGCGCTGCAGGATTCTGTCGACCTCTCTAAGTGGTGACACCAGAGGACCTCCATCCTTCCCATGTTGGATGGAGGGGGGGGTGGAAAAGTGGGGAGGGATTGTTTAGCCTGAGGATATGCCAGCGCCTCACACTAAGATAAAACAGAGATGGAGTGTGGACAGAATTGAGGGCGCAGATCATGAGCAGGTTTTTCTTCTGCCTCTCACTCCACACCCACGTCTTCCTTCCTCTTTTCCCCCCACATCGGCACACAGGCAAACGCCTCACACAGCTGTTTTCATATTTTCATATTTCAAATAGTATGTTTATGGATGCTGAAGAGCCCGGCTGTGACACCTTTCAGTGCTGTTGGTTGACATTAATTCACAGTCAGACTCCCCTGATGAACTCTGACATGAGCTGCAGAGGCTGAACCCTGATATAAACAGCCTTTAAAGTCATCTGCTCAGAGGAGGAATGTATTGGCTGGTGGTTCCCCTCTTTCATTTAGCACTTTATTAACTGATTCCCTTATGTTTCATTGACATGGATTACGATGATCGTAACCTGCTGGTTTGCACACTGAGGTAGGAACAGAAAATATGTGCAGGATTGACTGATTGTGTCATTTCATTGTGAGCACAGCTGAGTTTGAAACAGGACAGCACACACTTCCCTGTAATTGCTCCTTTGTTTTTCTAATGCTGCTAATTACCAGATATTATAATTGGAGTCTTGTCAAACACAGGGCTTAATTTTCTTGTTTTTACCCTGATGTTCATGTGTTAACCTCGGGGAAAGAAGGGGGAATTCATGCAGCAGCAGACCGAGGGCGTCTTGGGGGATGGGGAGAGGAGAGCCAGTGACCTCTCAGTACTCACTGCTCCTCCACAGCTCCCCGGGGCCTGTCAGTGTGTTGACTCGTGAGTGGTTGTCTGTGTATCTGTGCGCCTTGAAGACTCAATCAGTTATTTGTTGGACTCTGACAGACAGATCCATAAATGCTATTTGAGGGATGGAAATATATTGAGGATGTATATTGACAATAACTTGCCCTTTTATTGTCTCAGTGGAACATTTTTGATCTTCTGCTGCTGTTTGTTATGCAGTGGTAGGATGTAGTAACAATAGATTGAGGTTTCCTCTTTAGAGCAATATGAGCATTTGCAGTTTACACTTGGCTAAAGTCTGGGTCTATGATAACAAATATAAAAAAACAATTCAAACGAGTAATCCTTTCTTTTATTTTATATTTGTACAAAGCAATATCACATATTTAACAACACTTTGATTATTTTACATATTTTTTCAGACCTTTACATGCACATGTACACAGATATAATAATAATAATAATAATAAAAAAAATAAGTTAAAATTAAAAAAAATAAATAAAAATCACATATACAGAAATAAAAAGTTAAGCATCCCGGCTCATGTGCAGTTTAATCAGCCATCATTATTTATAGGTAAATACATTCGTTATACACTCGAACATATATTTATGCATACCAATCTTCATTCATTGCCTCTGCAAGCGTTCAACTACAATTTTAAAATGTGCTTGCACTTCAACTGTAACCTCATGACCAAATCTTTCTTGTATTTCCCATCATGCAAGTTAATGGTGTAACTTTTGCTTCAGGGATCAATAAAGTTCTTCTTATCTTATCTTATTGACATAAGATCTACAGAAGCCTAAAGTGAAACTTTCTCCTCCCAACACTATGAAGGTAATGAAAAAATCTGCTGTCAGTGGGGTCAGAAATGTAATCCAGATTTGATAGTATTTGTCTTTTTGGTTTATCAAAGTGCAAGTCTTTTTTTTTCCCATTTCAGGCATAACCAAAATGATCCCAGAGAAGTCATTTAATGTTGCTTCTCCTGGAGTGACCCGCTTTGATTGATTACTTGAAAGCACTTGCAGCAGCTTTGCATCACTTCTTCTCAAAAACTGAACCTGACCCAGATAGAGACTCTCAAAGTTCAGGGGCACTTGTATCTTAGACACTTTGTTTTGTGAAAGCCGTTTCAGTACAAACTCAGGTTAGCACAATTTAAGAATAAATGACTGGCTTCAATCTGTGTCTCTTCTTACGATGAAACTGTGTTGTTTACCTGTTTAATTGAGTTCTCAGTATGATGTCTGTCATCATGATTCAGCCGGATGAAGCTAAGACAGCTTTCAGTTACCCTCAAATAATTTGGTGCCAGTTTAGTGATGAGAAACCTGCTTGTTTGATTCATTTTGGGACATGTTGCACACACAGGTTTTGTGTGGAAAAAGAGGAACCGCAGACACACATGAAAACTTGTAATTTAAAGCTATAGTGCACTCTTGAATATTTGTACATTCTGAATAATGTCATTAACAGTGTTCGGTGCAGATGGAGTAGAGGGTTCCAGTTTTGTTCATGTTTGCAGATTATTTTTGTTCTTTTCATATCAAAAGCTGATCATCTCGTTTTGTTTAATTTCAGGAGCGAGAGCAGAAACAGAAGCTCCTGGATCCAAACCCAGTTCGAATGTCACAGCGGTTCTCTGTGAAATTCACCAACCTTGTTGAGGATAGGGTGAGTCTGCACTCTTCTGTGAATATGTCTCCACTCATGTTCTCCAAAAGACCTGATTACAAACATTATTTTCTTGATTTTTTTTGCATAGCTACTGACATGTCCATTTAGCTACCAGCTTTGCTTTTTTCGTTGTTGATGTTTTTTGTTGATGTCTCGTCTGTACTTTGTGGTTCTGCATGCGTGATATTTTTAAAAATAAGAGATAAAGGGATTCAACTTTTAGCGGGATGTTCATCACAGTTTTGTTTGTGTCGATCTCAGGATGACATGAATGCCACAGCAGAGGAGGACAAGAGGAAAGATGAGGAGCTGGACAGACAGGTCCTGCTGGCCGAGCAGCGACGAGAAGAGGAAAGACTTTTGCAGGAGGAACTACAGAGAGAAAAGATGGAGAAGATCAAAGCCGTGGAGGGTAAGACGGATGGTTGTGTTGATGGATGATACATAGACTGAAAGAGTGGACTCTTCCCTTTGTGCTAAAATTCATTTTTCTTTCTAATCGCAGGAAAGTGACACAAAAATAAACACGCATTCAGATTGCAAAGCTAAAAATCCAGGTTCTTAAAGGGGTGTTTTCAGCTTTCTTTTCTTCAACAACCTTTCACAGCAGGTAGAATCTTTCAAACTCTTCTTCCAACTCAGGGAAGGGAAGAATGAATTTCACATGGTGCTCCACCCGCGCTTTCTTTTCACGCCTGCACCGCTGTGGTTCAGCTGGTAGTGGTTCAAAACCTTCAGTCGCAGCCCCTGGAAGCCTTGTGATTTATGTATAGTACAGAGAGACTGTGAGAGGGAATGTTCAGGGCCTTTAATCACAGGATCACTCCTCTTTTTCTCCCTCCCTCTGATGTCATCTGTCAAGGGTTAATGAACTGCTGATTGTGCTTCAGTGGAGGAGCCTCATTAATGTATTATAGATGAACAGCAGGACCTGGGCTGCTCTCTGTGTGGATTGCATATGAAGAATCCTCCCTCAAACCTCTTTAATCCACACAGCAGGGGAGGTTGGCAGGCCTCTCATGTTAAAAGATAAAGCAGCAATACATGTGCACTCTCCCTGCTCTGTTCTGCTCTTTTGATCAACTGGGCCTAAGGAAAGATGGCCGGCCAATCTTTCTCTCTCTCTCTGCTTATCTGAACAGCTGTCTCTGAAGACCAAAGCCTGGATTTCATTGACTTTCCTGATAACCTCAATAGGCAACAAGCACAATTTAAAACTGCAACTCCGGAGCCCTAAAAGAAGCAATTAAAGCATTATTTACCTGCGGCCTCCAGAGACTGGAGTTATTTGTGTTTGTTCTCCTAATTGTCTCCCGTCTTCATCTTTTTTTTCTTTTTCTTTTACAGAGCGAGCCAAGAGGAGAAAGATGCGGGAAGAGAAAGCCTGGTTGCTGTCTCAAGGAAAAGATCTGCCGCCTGAACTCCTGAATCTGGAGCCCTCTTCCCCTGTGCACAGAACACGCAGGAATAAAGAGTTGTAAGAGGCTTTGAACATTTGACTTTTTTTGGTTTTTAAACAAGTCGAGGTTGAAGATTTCTAAGTTTCATGTTTATCGTTTCAGCTATGAAATCGATGACGACTACACAGCTCTTTACAAAGGTATGCTTTCAGAGCTTTTCTTGAAGGGTGTAGCATTCATAAACCTTCATAAATATCAATGTTTTATTCCTTACATGCTTTCCTTCCTTACAGTGCTTGAAGCCTTAAAAGCCCATAAAGATGCTTGGCCTTTCTTGGAGCCTGTGGATGACTCCTATGCCCCTAATTACCATGAGATCATCAAGGTATAATTGACAGGCAATGATTGCCGACATTTCACAGTGATGTGTGGTGATTGTTGAATATTCTGACCGCATTAGAGTGGCTTACATTTTAAGAAAGACAGACACAAAGGTCTGACTTTTGCTGTTGGTCGTCTCGTGCTTTGAATACCCTCAGACTCCCATGGACCTCTCCACCATTGAAAAGAAGCTCAATGACGGTGACTACGTTGCTAAGGAGGAGTTTGTCGCCGATGTGAAGCTCATGTTTGAGAACTGCATGGAATACAACGGAGAAGACAGCGGTAAATGAACACAGATGCTCACACATTAACCATTCGCACTCAGAGAATCATTCTTCATCCTTTTACAGCTTTAGAACTTCAGTAAGAATAGATGATCGCATTAATGTCGATGTGTTCATGTTTTAAGAAGGAGGCACATGGATGAATTTTTGGGGTGAGAGTGGGAGAGAGCAAAAGAAAAGGGGCCACGCTCGGTGCTGTGTAGGGGCCGGGGCCAGGGCAGCCTTGACAGTGATTAATGAGGAGTGATTGAGCTGTGCTCCAGTGCTCAGGGGGATCTGAGCCCTGCAGTGCCAGAGAAACATTCCAGCCCCTAAGCCCCCTGTCTGGAGCCATCCATCCAACTGAATACTCTCCCCAGAGACAAGGGGCGGAGAGTGGTAAGGGGGCCCAGGGTGGAGCAGGGGGAGGAGGAAGGGAGTGGAGATGCAGGGGTTGACCTACGCCCTCTGACCTGGTCAGTCGGCCGCTGGGCCTAGAACAGAGCAGCAAGTGTGTTTGTTGGTACGTGGCCTCCATATTGGTCTGAAGTATTTATGTCTGAGTGTACGACCTAGAGATGGAGAGACGTGTTATTACTAAGTGGTTGCAAATTGCCCTGATTTGATGGAAGATGCTGCACCAGGTGTTTTTTTTTTTTAATCTAGAATGACACATTTTCAGTGTTTTGTCATTTCTGTCTTAACTCATCATCAAATTGAAAATGTGATCATATAAAATATGATTTTTTTTAAACTAACAAATTCTTCAGTTTTAACATTTGATCTGTTGTCTTTGCGCTGTATTCCAGATCTGTTTTATCCACATTTTACACAGTTTCCTATCTTTTTTGGAATTGTGGTAACAGAGATGAAGACGATGTTTTTGTGTATCTAAACCTTTGTGTGTTTTATCATTTATGTGAATCTCTTTACAGAGTATACTATCATGGCAGAGTCTCTAGAACGCTGTTTCAGCCGAGCCTTACTAAAACACTTCCCGTCGGAGGATGGTGACACGGACGAGGAATTTCACATCGAGAGAGAAGACAAGGACCGCAAGGACAAAAAGCGCAACCGTGGCAGCAAGCATGGAGGACCTGAGAACTTGATCAAGGCCACTGAGCAGGTCCAACGGAAGAGGAGCTCCCAAGGGGGGAAAGGCAGTAAACCTTCAGAGGAGGAGGACTACAAACCCATCCGACCACCTCCTCCTCCTCACTGGGCCAATGGTCCCCCTCACCCCCACAGCCTTCATCCAGGCCAGCAGCACATCCATGGAGGAGGCATCAGGGGCATGTACCACCCAGGGCAACAGGTATCCCTCAAGGAGTCCACTTTTCAAATCATTTTTTATTCAATATTCAAACAGGTTTTTAAAAACACAATCTTTTTTTTCTTTGCTTACTGTCTAAAATATTTAAAATGGTGATTTATCTCTATTGTCATCCCAGTTCCATCGCCCTCCTGGTCGCCCTGGCCCTCATGGTCCCCCTGGTCCTCACATGTTTGCCCAAAGAATGGCCATGGATCCCCGCTTTGCTTACCCAGCACACATCCCCAGACATGGAGACCCTGGTTTAAATCGTATGCCACACAGTTTTAATGTACAGGTAAGCACTTGTAATGATGGCTCTCCTATACCTGTTCTAATCATGATCAACTCTGTGACCTTGTTAACAAGGATGTTGATCAAAAACCTGATTGGGTTTGTTTTTCCCCCAGCATCGCATGGCTGAAGGGCATCAAATGGGTCCACGGTATCCAGTGGGCCCAGACCCTACCCATCAGCAGCCCCCACATCTGCAGCAGCACCCATACATGGGCCCCACTCACGGGCCATCTCTGGGTCCACGTCCTGTAGCCATGCAGCCTGGACCTCCGCCTGAAGCCAGCATGTACCCAACCCCCCACCGTCCAGAGAACCACAACATGCACGCCATGGGCAACAGATTCTCAGGGCCAGAAGGACCTCCTCAGCACAACTACCCAGGCATGAGGCCACCTGGTATGGGACTGCCCAACATGTGGACTGATATGAATCACCAGGAGAGACCTAATGGGATGCGCATGCAAGATCCCAACATGGCGAATCAGCGCAACTACAGTTATGGTGGTGTTCCCCCCCCAGTGGGGCACAAACCATGGCTTGAAGCTGCCGGGTACCCCCACCCACCTCCAAATGCCCAGTATCAAATCCCGGCTGCCGTCAGCTCCCCGGGGCCCGTGTCCTCCCGTCCCCCTGTTCCCCACCCAGACTCCTCTGGCAGAGCTCGCTTGGCTTCCATGTTGGAAAGCCCTGAGATGCTGGCCCTGCAGCAGCTGTCAGCCTCTTCTGGACCCCCTACTGGTACCCCTCATCAGCACATGAGCAACTTTCAGCAGCCTGGGCCCCCATCAGGAATTGGCAGCATCCCAGCTCAGCCCTCTCAGCAGCCTTCGCCTGCCCCTGAGGTTCAGCTGCTGCGTCCTGCAAGAGACAATGGGCCAGACAGCCAGCCCTCCCAGCAGACAGACATTCAGCCCAAAGGTAGATCTGACCTTCTCTCTGAGTTTTTCCTCAGCCCTCAATATTCCTCATGAAGAAATAAAATCAGTCTTTTACTCCATACAGCCCCCACCCTTGCCTGTCCGCTGTGTTTCAAATGAATTTCCAGTTTGGTTTTAATTATTTTCAACAGTCAGTGGCAAGTTGAATATTTAGTAGTGATTTTTTTTGCTGGGTGGCTTTAGGGAACAAAAGAGATGAAAAGTCGTCAGCTAAGCTTTTCTAGCAGGCCTAAAAACAAGATTGCTGCTCTGCCATAAATGAACAAACTCCAAGAGAAACAGTTAAAAAATGACACAAATATTGATTGATTAATTGTAGCCAACGTACATCTCCAACTGTATAAGGGTTGGGAAATGTTTAAAAGTATAATATGAAGCTCGACCACAAAAACACTAAAAGAGTTGTGTAATAAAAACACACAGAGAATCATGTCCAAACTACATATCTGCAACAAGTTACCCACTGAGCATTTTTTGGTCTAAAAAAGCGCTAATAGATGCCTAAATCTAGCCTAGACGACTGGTCTAAAATCAGGGTACCACAGGTCTAAAAATGAAAGTTTTTTAGTTTAGACTAAATCTAAATGTGGGCTATATCTATACTACACTGTATATTGCTCAACGGCTATCATAATTACTTTGGTTAAGTACTTGGAGATCAGTTATGCAACTCACAGTTGCTTTTTGAAATAAATTATTATCGAATAATGGGTAAAAGTGCAACGTCTAAATTCTGTCTAAAAATGTGAGGGATCTAGACGGTTGAAATTAGGTCTAAAGAAAAAAAAAAAATAGATGTCTCATAGCTGTCTATTGCTCAGTGGGTAGTGACATACTTTGTTATAGAGAGAGCACTCCAGAGGTAAAGATGGAAGAAGGTTCACCGCTCTGAGGGGGACTGAGTAAGCTAACAGAACAATTTTAGGACTAATGCTGGTGAGCTGTGACTTTCAGGACCTCAGGTGGCTCTGTGTTTAACAGGCATGACTCTGCAGTAGAAATCTCTGCATGGGCTCAAATTTACTTCCAAAAACAAGTTTCCCTGAATTTTGCTTGTTACTGGATTCGCAAATGCAGGATCAAAGTGGATCATAGAAAGAGGAAACAGTTGTAGTGGAAATTTGACTTCTGACAAATCAGAATTTGACCTTCCTTTTGGAAATCATGGATGATGGATCCTCTGCTTTGATGAGGAGAAGGACCACCAGGCACACAGATCAAGCTCCATTAATACTTGAGGATGAACTGCCTCCCAGCAAATGTCTTTTTTAGAGAAGTCCATACTATAATACTGCAAAGAAACACCAAACTATCTGACCTGCCTGCAGCCCTGACTTGTCACCCAGTGAAAGCTTCTGGCATATCATGAAACAAAAAAATAGGAAAAAAAGAGACCCTAATTTTTTTTGAAAGCTGAAATTGATTTTCCTTTTTTGTTTGATTGATTTAAATTTATTTTGAACATAAAATTAGTAAAGAATACAAAAACAAATGATAAAAAGTTATCTATGTTCAAAAAGGAGTGGGAAGAAGTCGAAACTTATCTAGTCCCACCCCTTCTCCTACACTAATGATTTACATATATATCATAATATTATATCATAATATTAAACATCATGAAAATAATAGCAATAAAGATAATCACCATAATGAAAACAAAACAACAACTAAACAATAATAATAATGATAATAGTAACTATAATGTACAATGTTCACCCTCTGTATGCATGCACCTGCATCGATGTGAAAGGACTATGAGAAGAGAGAGAAGAAATAAAGGACTAACAATAACAAAACAATAACAAACAAAACTTTCAGAAAGGACCGGTTAATGATGTACATTAATATAAATAGAAAATATTTGTAAAAAATAGAACAATCCTCTTTTAAAACTTGAGGGATTGCTCTTTTCTGCGCCTGGACCAGTCTTGTTAAACAGAAAGGCGACTCCACTTCATGGTAAACATGCACCTGTCCTGTTTTTAAAACCTGTTGCATCAAATTTAAACGAGAATCAATTTATCATTGAACAATCAGATTTGATGTGTTTTCTTTGTGTTATTTTCAATTTATGATGTGACGTTGTGTCAAATCAAACATTATTTTAAGGTTTGAAAATGACTGACACCAACTCTTATGGAAGTGGGTTCTACCTTTCTATGAGTTTGCTACAAAGATCTTGATATGTTGTGGTAGTACTGACTAACATGTGTTGTCATCTAATCTTCAACAAAAGTCCATGTCCTTCTTCTCTTTTTGACTCTAACTACCCTGTAATTGTTTTTGTTTCTCCTTAACAGAATCCTCGTTAGAAAACACAGTGGCTGCAAGCACAAATTCAGCTGAAGCATCATCACACAGAAGCACTGTTTCAGCTCACCAAGAGCACCTGTCTATCCAAAGCCCCACAGGAATCCACTCTGGCTTACCAGAGGACACGCGGAGCCCCTCAGCCCCCGACTCAGGCAGATCACGGGAGAACACGTCTGTATCAGGACTCAAACAAAGTTCTTCAGAGAGTCAAAAGAAAGACAGAGATGACCAGAGACAATCTGTCAACTACAGCCCCTCCCAACAAGTTAGTGCCAGTACTCTACAGTCCTATGTTCATGGAAGGAACAGCAACTCCACTGGTTCCTCTTCCCCTGACCAGCCTCAGCATGCACAGAACAGTCCACAGCAGAAATCTCTCCACACGTTACCTCTACATCACAACGTTACGCTCCTGCATGGCGCAGCATCTCAGAATTCAGTTCAGCACGTAGCAGAGAACAACTTTCAGAACATGCAGAATACTAACCAGCAAAGTGAACACCAGCAGGGCACCCAAACAAACCCCCCTCAATGCCCCCCTCAGCGCTCCCCCCAGCAAATGACCCAGAACACTCAGCAGCACAATCCCCTTCCTCCTCCCCAAAACATGACTCCACAGTGTCCCACGCAAAACAACCCCATGCACGGGATGCCACAAAGTGCCACACAAGAAGCCCATCCTGAACCCCCTCAGCCAGCCCCTCTCACCTCCCTACCACCTAGTCATCCTACCCCTCTGCTACCCCCCCAACCCAGCCCTGCAGACCACGGAGATCAAAGACCCAGTGAGCCTACAAGTAGACCAGGAACAGACAGCACTGCAGCTCCTCCACAGCACACTGTGATAAAACCTGGACCTCCAAACGGGGTTTATAAACAGCAGGCTTTCAGCCCCAATCAACATCAGACCTCACTGGTGGGAAGGTTTGATGCTGGTAACCCAGGTCTGCAGGTTCAGAGGGGGCCGGCACCCCCTCACTCCCAAGGCCAGGCAAACGGAGCCATGGGCCCATATGGCATGGGGAACTCTCCAAATCCTAACTACAGCCAGACAAACATGAGCAGGCCCATGCCTCCGTCTGCTCGCCACCCTTATCATAATCAGGTCATGAACCCCCTCCACAATCCTGCTCACCATCCGAACTACCATCAGCAGGGAGGGCCCGCCTACTCCTACCACGTACCGGGCCAGCAGCACCCTCAGGCACACCCGAATATGTACCCCCCTCATCAATACCAGCAGCAGCACTACTACCCACAGCCACATCCCCAAGCTCAGGCCAACAGCAGGGGGAGCTATCCTCCAGAGGACTGGCTCCACTCCCAGTACCAGCCTCGCCAAGCAGTGCCGACCAACACCCACGTCCCTGCAGCCAGAGCTCGAGGAAATGGTCAATCGAAGGAGAGCAGCGTGTCCCCGTTAGGCTCTGAGGGCTCCAGCAGTGCTTCTTTAATGTCTCCTGGATCTATGTCTGAAGTAGGGCCTCACCCCGGCAGCTCAGGGGAGGGGAAGAGCGCAGGCAGGGAGCAGGCAGGTGGAAACAGCCTCGCAGGTCAGGCTCACGCAGAGCGACCCGAAAGCCCTAAAGAAATCCTCGACCTCGACAGCCACAACGCTGTCAGTCGTCACCGAAGCACCCAGCCGCCTCAACAACACCCCCTGGCCTCCGCTGCACACATGGTGTCCGGCTTCATGTACGACCCCCGCGCTGTGCACCCCGGGATGCAGCAAGGCGGAGTCCCTCCTCCACACATGATGTCTCAGGCACGCGGAAACGCAAACGGAGCCCCTTATTCCGGCCAGCAATACCCAGATCCCGGACGATACGCCACCCAAAGACCTCACCCACACCTGATGGAGGCGCTGCAGCGGCCCCAGCAACTGCCCTACTCACCAGGTCAGACACGCATGGCCATGTACAGACACCCTCGGCCTGTGGGACACTTCCAGGGCATGATGATGCAGCAGAGAGGACTCGCACCAGAACACTTCCTGCACCCAGGGTACGATTGCCGTTAAAAGCCCGAACCTTTATTGTACTTGTACCACTACTGCACTCTTGTGTCTAAAATATCAATATTATCATTTACACACATAAACTGTTTTGAGTGAGGTTGGCACTTTCATCCAAACAAGACCAACAAACTAAAAGATGAGCTGTGAGTCTGACTGATCTATCAAAATAAAAGCCTCCTGCAGAGTCTAAGTCAGGAAGCAGACATTTATCAAAACAAATCTGGATACAGAAACAGCCTGCACAGGTTCAGGTTTTTTTTTTTTCCCACAGCTGACCTTCAGCTGTAAAAAAAACAACATTGCTAACAACATTTATTGTGTTTTTTCTTGATGATGGCAGGCAACAGATGATGGCAGCTCCAGGAGGTCCCAGCAGCAAACAAGGAGTGTGACGATAACCATGTTAGTGTGAGTAAAGTTTATATCTTGACAAAATAACGCATATTTCACAGCTTTGAGCTCATTTTAAACATTTCCAATCAATTCAGTGCCTCTAAGGGATGCGTAAAGTCAGAAAAAAAGGATGATATTTTGTCTTTTTTTTGCAATCTATAAAGTAATATGAAAAATTGACAGGAGATTAAACATTGATGCATTTTGTTTGCATGCACATTCATTCATAATTTAAAAATTGGCAATCATAGTTGTGTTATTCTGAGCTTTTTTCTACGAGACTTCTACAACAGAAACATGAGAAATCTTGTTGTCTACATCTGTCAGTCAGACTGGTGCAGAAAAAAAAGAGTTTTTAATATGATGAATTTTAATATTATGTAGAAGTTGATGTTGCAGCAGGGAATTATTGCATTGATTAGAAAATCAATGCATCGATTTTGCAACAGAACACATCCTACATGTCTTCTGTTTGTACCTTCTGAGACAGCAACAGAAAACACAACTCTGAAACTTTGGCACACAATTTCAGTAGCAGGATATAACAAAGAACCCCAAAGAGGTTGTATGCGTTCACCTCATGAAAATCCACTAAAATAACTTTATATTGAATAAAATTATTTCTGTTAATAGATGAATACCTTAAAACTTAACAGTTTTATTATGTGAGTTTTTGCTGTGAAACTATCCAGCTGTATAAAAGTAGACTCATCAGGTTAACCATGAAAACAGTTTGTTGTACTTCGACACCAATGGCTCTCCACTACTTGGATTATCTGCAAAATTTAAAATGTCAATTTACTCAAATAGACATGCTTTCATGAGAAGACTCATATCATATATGACACTGTTACTGCACAACTTTGATTTTAGGACTTCCTAACATAACAGCACATTCCCCCCAGCAGAGGGTCTATATAATATCTGTGAAAGACATCATCAGGGAAATCAAGTGATGGTACATTACAAAGCTGAAACTCTGTCCCAAATCTGGTCCCAATCGGGTTGAGTTTGAAATAACTCATGGTGATTTAGCCGAATTAAGTGTTTTTTTTGGGGGGGGACACAGAAGACTGTAGGTTAAGGCTTTACAGACCCTGTTCAGCCTCTAATCACCCTTCATGGTGTACCCCTCAAGTTTGGCCTCTAACAGGAAACACTGCTGTTTTGTTAGGCGGCCCTTAAAAGCCACACACTGCATTAACTAGATCCAGGACAATATACAGCATACAACAGGAAAACACGGTGCTTAACAAGCCTGTGTGTGCTGCTCATTCTCCTCTGTAGTACTTCACTGTGGCAGCAGGGTTGCACACATTTGAATGAAAATGAGAATCTGCTCAGGTTTTGTTTTACAGAAAGCATCAAAATAATTTTACTGTGTTTCAGTCAGGTTGCTGTATCCAGCTGTGTGTCTGTTTAACATGTGCAATGATTAAGTAATGTGTCGTATAGCCCCAGTGCCTAGGGTATTTCTTCTTTAGAACCAGGACATGATGTGAAAACCATTGACAAAAATGTGAAACAAACAAAGAAATGAAACGTTGAAACTTTTCTTACTACGTGTGTTCATCTTATGGATGTTGACTAAAATTTTCTGCTCTTTTTCAGGCATGTTTCCATCAACGGAGAAAGCAGCGAGCCAAAAGTAGGAATACATGGTGACAGAGACTGCAGGAGGAAACTTTATTTCACAGACATCTTACTGATTTTCTTACACTGGACAAAAACTTTTTGCTCACCAATAGACGTGAAGATCCAAGCTTCCAAGCTGTTGCTTCCACACAAGCGTTTTTAACTTGGACTGCTTTGCAGAAAAGAGGACTTTTAACCACTAGGCCAGCCTGCCAAATAAAGGGACACTGCCTTTAAGAACACTGGACTGCCCTCTGCTCTTTTTCTCTCTGTTATGAAATATAAACTGAGCTGTGAATCTGCAGACAGAGCCGAGGAGGACTGTGATGAAGACCAGAGGGATTTTTATTCTTCGTTTTCTCTTCCAACCATATCTCTAAACTCAGGTGTAGAAAAGGAGGTACTAAGTGACTGTCACCAGACCCAAGTCAGCTCTCCGACTCCTTACAATTGCCTTGGTTTCCTTTGTGAATGTATGAGTGAATGTGTGGATGAGTAGGACACAGAAACGCTGAGGCATAAGCCGTCCTGAAAAAGGCCCATTTCCACTCCCTCACTGAAGTGTTTCTCTAGTTATGGAGCAAACACGCAGAATATGCATCTTTTCAAAGCTGCCTTCATTTGGTAAGAATGTCTTGAACTTGCAGAAAGGGACTAACAAAGATGGTGCAGTTTGTATCCAGCTGCACCTGGCTCTCTGTTATGCACTAAAGCGTTTGTTAGTCTTGACATCTTGAAACTGAGTGGCCTTGGATAGTCTTATTTTAAGTCAAACACATATATGATGTAAATGTATCCTTACCTCTTGTCCCAGATGAGGGGGGGGTTTCTGAAATTCTCAGCCCTGACTTTGAGCTGGGATGTGCACATACACAAAAATCACATGCATTTGATCCCTTTGTTGTTTGTAGGGGTTCATTTGTTGCATTCCAGCTCCAAGTTTGATGCTCTTTGTTCCTTTGCATGGTTCCTTCTCTGAGTGCTTCCTCTTCCCCATGTTAATAAGTAACATATCCTCAGGGTGTACAGTTTCTATATACGGGTATTTTTCTGCATGATTAGAAAGAGGAGCAGCATAAAGAAAGTGAGACTGGAAGATCAGTCCAGCTCATGTGAAGAACTAAACACTTTTTGGGCTGTTGTTGTTAATATTTGGCTCCGCACACTGCCACCTGGGCTTGTTTTATTTACGTCTTACAGTTGGCTTGAAGTGAGATGGATCAAATTTAGGTTTCCTACATTCCTGATGTCACTGTTAGTCAAGACTGTCACAATCTACCTCATTTAATGACTCTGTGGCATCTACGGACTCCATACATTTTATAACCGGCTGATGATTTCAGCACCACTTTGATTTGCAGGTTGAAGTCATGGTGAAATGGCCTTACAGTGGTGCAAAAGCCCTGAAAAGACATTAACCCATTCTGTTCACTCGGTTTTACTGTGAGAATGAGGAAATTTGGGCTGTTTTCTCTAAGATCTTGACTTTTCTGTCTCTTGAAAGGACAACACTGGTTTTCTTGTGATTACCATTGCACTGCTGTAACTTCTGAACTTATTTCCCCTGAGTTGCAAAACAAAAAACAGAAATAATTTGATTTGTTTTGTAGATCACCAGATAAGTACTCTAACACTTAAACCAGTGGTTCTCAAGTTCAGTTCTCGAGGCCCACTGTCCTGCATGTTTTGGATGTTACCCTGCTCCAACACACCTGATTCAAATAATCAGCTCGTTATCAAGCTCTGTAATGGCTTAATAACGAGCTAATCATTTGAATCAGGTGTGTTGGAGCAGGGAAACAAGGACTGGACTTGAGAACCACTGACTTAAACCAAACTGGGCTAAATCAAAATACTGAGTGCTTTTACACAGACTCCCCTATCCCAGTTTTGGTCGGTTTTCACAGTGTCCTGTTTTTGTGTCCTTGCATGCCATTTGCCTCATATCCCCATTTCAGAAACTGGGATACGCCCTTATCCTCTTAAAAAGGAAATTCGTTGTGATGCATCAGCTAAATTACAGTGACAATAAGAGAGTCTTACTTCTGTAGCGACAAAGAGAGTTTTCTGTCACTTATCAAAGAGTTAAATATGACTGGAAGTTTAGATTGGAGAGCAAAGCACAATATCCCTATTCCTAACCCTGTCCTGCCAGTCACTGCTGCACTCATTGCTCCCTTATCTGCAGCAACGGTTTTAGGCTGACCAGGAAACAAGTATGTATCATATAACTAGGTTTCTTTGTGTGCATCTAAACACCATACCCTAAAATAAGATCAGATCTAGTGTACAAAAGTCCATGTAAATTAATCAAATCCATCATAACAGGAAAACTCTATAACTTTGACAAAGCATGAAAATAAAGTGCAGACCCTACAGGACAGTTATGAGGTTATCACATGGAAAACAAGCTTTTTGAGATAAATAAGTCAAGATCTTGAGAAAATTGTGTGAATTAATTTTATGGATGCACGTCCTTTTGTGGCTTCGGTACAATACCCACCACCCTGGAAGAGAAGTCTTTTCCTTCAGCTGGTTGTGTCGAATAACTGACCGTCAACAAGATGCTGAGTTGCGACGCAGGTGTTCTGTAAAGGAAACAATCCTTGAAAGTGTTCACTATTGTTTAAATAGACAGCACTTTCACTCTCAGTTTCTACACGACATCTTATCTGTATGATGGACAATATGACAAAATGATTATACTGTATGTCTGATATGAGGCTCTGTGAGTGGGTCTCTTTGGTTGTACAGGTTGCATGATCTCCTGCCTGCAGGTTGTAGACAGAGTAGGCTGATTTCCAGTCTAGGGGCTGTAATAGACCGCATAGTTTGGCTGTATTGTTGGGGATTTCTATAGCTGTAGGCATCTTTGACGTTGTTGAGGAAGAAGATAAAAATGGAGAGTGATAGAAGCTCTGATAAAACTTTGTAAACGTGTCACACAGGACTTTCTATTTTATGAAATAGGGAATTGTCTCATTTCTTTGTGGGTCGGACAGGGCCACTCTGGAGGTAGTGTGCTCACTCTTGCTGTCTTATTTATGGAGGACAGTTCTGATTTTAACTCTGCCAGGTTGTGATACCGTCTTATGGTGAACAGGTGTGTGTGTGTGAGAGAGCGTGAGAATGAGAGAGTGGGTGTGTGTTTCTGGTGTGCGGAAGTGACACCAGATGATCAGAAAGTGTGTGTTTAACTCTCACTTTTTACTGCTGTCATCCCTCTGCACTAGTGAGAACATTTTAGACATTATTAAATGTGAATCATATTTATTTGCTCTTTTAATAATTTTTGTACATTTTTGGACTTGTTTTAATATAAATGTGGTGTATGTTTCTTTTTCTCTTGATGTTGTGTTTTTTTGGGCAGTTGTCTTTTACCTCAGTAGCATGGCAGCATTGAAAAAGAAGACCTGTACTTTTCATTTTAAGTGACGTTTACAAGTTCTTATCTGACTGACATAGATTATTTTGGAAATGGAATGGAGTATTTTCTATACTGTACATTTCTTAGAAATAAATAACTTTTCTCAAACAAGAGCTTGTTTTGTCAGTGTCCATTAGGTTATTTTATCATAAAAAAAACACTTTCATCACTGATAGTCACATGGCAAAAAGAGCAGATCATTGTATTTTCTGTTTCTGTTATTCTGTTATTTGTACAAAAAAGGGTGGAATATTAGTGCATTAATCAAACACATCACCTTTTATTAGTGCTCATCCTCTTCACAAACACGTTCCACAGATTGTACACACTGTGTGTTTGACCTTTCTCTTGTCTGCAGGAGTCAGCGCTACGATGTGATGTTAGGTTTTGAAGGAAAAACACCACATAGCTCCTCAGGCTTTAATCAAGGGGCTCTGTGTGAGCTAACAAGTAATTATTCTTTTGTTCAGGCCTAATGAGGACAGACTTGGCAGATGCTGCATGGAGCGGTAATTATGTCCTTTAATTGAGCCTAAAGAGGAAGGTTTGAAAACAACATGTATCACAGTAAACAAACTGCATTTTAGGAAACATTAATGCAGTAAGATCTTGTACTTTAGGGTGGTTTTTTTTTATCTTTTAAGCTTTCCTTGAAGGGTATACATTTCTGTAGATCAATAATGGTCATTTATAACAAGAAGTGTAGGTCTCTAATAAAAAGATGTGTTTTGATATGACAAAAGTGAAGCGCCTAAATGAAAAAGTTTGGACAAATTTGTGAAGAGGAGAAGCATTTGAAGTTTTACAAAACATCAAAACTCTTTTAAAACAAATAGTTTAGATAGTACGTTTATAAGTAGTTTATAAATACAGGACATTTGTCTTACCTGCCGAAACAAAACTTAATAACAAATATGCACAGGGTCCTGTTAACCAGACATTAAAAAATATAAAAGATATAAATATTTTCTCATACGATTTTTATTTCCCTTTGACTGTCCTGTGTATTCTCATTTTATCACTAATGTAAATTCTCATAAATGGCTATTAGAATACAACACCAATATCTGCATCAGTGTTATATTTTTTAATACCAGTGATAATGTAATTTTAAACTTGACATCTCTAATCTTTATCTGACTACGCAAAATTTGACAAAATCACTTTTTTTCCCCATCCAGACTGCAGTAAGACCAAGTCCTGATTCAAAACCCCAATTTCTAGGCTTCTTAAAAAGGCCACAGTCTCTTTAAAACATAATTTCAGATTTGTGAAACAATTATTCTATTTGTAAAAATAGAATAAAGAACTTTTTTTTTGTCAACCAATACCCAATTTTTTAAATCTGGCCTATATCACCCTAAATTACTAACTGTATTAGTGTTTTATTGAATCTGTATCCTCTCTTTAATGAATACAGTTGAATTTAAATAAACATGGCATTGGTGTCATGAAACCGCACATGGTGTGGAAGTGAAAAAGAAGTGAAATCACTTGTTTTTGTATATTAAAAATAAATTGGTAAAGGTAACACCTCTCTGAACCTGTTTTTAAGAGACGGTAGCCTTCCTGTGAATAATCCAGGCTCAACCATGAGAAGTGAAGGGGTTTTACAATAGAAGCTTTTCGTTTTTTTATTTCTTATTATTTTAAGAAATCACACTTTGTGGATTTACAGATACAGCATTGAGGTTTCACAATTCTAAAACTTTGCTTTAAAGCCACACTTAAGTGCCTAAACCATAGACTGTAAACCCAGATCTGAGAGGCATGTAGGTTTTGTTTGGATAGGGTGTTTGTCAGAAGTGGTCCAGAGGTTGTTGGTGTCATTTCAATAACAGAATAGTTTCAACAATTCTAAAACCATGCTTAGAAAAGTCAGAGGACTTTCTAGTGCTGGTCTGATGTGTCTGGGCATGGTGGTTTTGGAGTCCTGTGATTCATATACAGTTTGTTGATCGTCCCTTGACAGATTTGACCCGTCAATCAGGCTTGCCGGCTTCTATTTACAATCTCCTCCAATCAAATGTCTTCGGACAGAGTTTTGACCAATCGGAGAGAAGAGGCGGGACTAAACTCAGCTCAGCCTCAGTAGCGTTTGCCTGAGTAAGGGAGGAAGTGTGTAGTGATGGGCATGGCAGTTCTTTTAGATGTACTGAATCACTAGAATCAGATCACTAAAAAGATTCGTTCAAAAGATTCGTTCACCGAATCACCGAATCATTCAGCGCTTGGCGGGAGGAGTCTGCAACTCCGACCTCCTGAACGGATACACAGCTGAACGGTTCAGGATTCGGTTCCAGGAGACGAAAGTGTTTGGCTTTACAAATAGGTTTGTAAAAATGGACTTCTTTATAAGTCATGACGTTTTAAGTGTACTGTACTATGGTATGCTATTTATCATGTCTGCTCAGTAAATTGGGTTCAGTGAGTGATTTTTTCACTTTACATTTATCAGAATTCACACTGAACATGCACCTTTCCTTGCAAACTGCTGCAATGATAGGATGCTGTGGGTTTTATGCACTACCTGTTATATGCCGTGTCCTATTGCATGCAAGTTGTTGTTGGGGCAATTTAGTAAAAAAGAAAAATTGTCCGACAAAAATGATTCCAGAGAGTGCAATTCAATGCGTTATTTGTTGTGATTCAGGTGTTGTTGCATGCGACCCTCGGTCCTTCAGTCCTTGGCAATGCTGCGTGCTAAAACAGCTACACTGCTCAACTTAAGTGAGACACGAACGAATCAATTGAGGGAGTGATTCGTTTTTTTAAAAGATTCACTTAAAAGATTCGGTTGTGATAAACGAATCGTTCGTGAACGACACAACCTAAGAAGGGTCGCAGACATGTCTTCATAAACAAACCTCTTTGTACCTGAGCGCTCTTTGGTCGCAATCTCGCTGTGTGACACGGAGTTACTGAGTAAGATCTGACAGAAAAGACGCTTCTTGATGTGCTGTCGAGTGAGTTTGACCGCACTTGACCGTTTTAAAGTGACTGTCAGCAGGACTGTTTACCAAACTGTCTTCAACTATCGCAGCACGAGCCGAACCAACCGTCAACGTTAGGTAGGATTACAAACCTATATTGCAAAAACTGATAGTTACATTTCAATCTCGGTTTATTGTTTAGCTTGTTTACCCCAAATTAGTCCGATTGTCCTTCTCATACAATCGCAGCTGAGTGATCCTAGCTTGTTGTTCGCCATTTTTCTGTGTTTGGCACACGGTTCATCAACTCATGACAAAAGGGAAACGATGTGTCTCTTCAATGAGTATAACAGGGGGATGATGTGGTGCTAAAAATGAAAGTCACTGGGTGATTATATTTTATATTTAAGCGGGTTATTTTTTTTTTCCAGCTCAACATTCATGTATGCACCAGCATGTTTTCCACTAACAGTAAGAAATTCTGATTTGTCTTCTCTTCCAGGTTTTTGTTTACCCCTGATCCCTCTCATAGCCAGCAGCACTTACTGCTGAGAAACCATGGCAGCCTTACCACATTGCCCCCTCCTGGCTGTCTCTGGTCTGCTCCTGTGCTGTTTGAGCTTCAGCCTGTCCATCCCAGACCCCCAGCTGAGAGAGGCTCTGATGCAGCTGGAGGCCTCCATGCAGACAGGTGGGCAGATGGTTTTGACGGATGCCGAGCAGCGTCTGGATGCTCTTCTGTTCAAAATGAAGCAGGAGGAGATGAAGGGAGAAGACTTTCCTCCTGCCATGCACTTCTTCAGGGCCAGGCACCTTATCAATAACAGCCCCATCTTCAGTCTGCTGCAGAAGATGCCCAAAGGTATGTTCAGGCATGGAAAATAGATCTATTACACACCATTCACACATAGAGCAATGCAAAGTGTGCTACGAGGTCCATAAACGAATATAACAAGCAGAAAGACTATTTAGAAAACATGACCCAATGTAGCTGCTGACAAAACCAACCAAAATTAATACCTATACCTTTTATGACCTACAAGGGCAAACAAGCCTATGTGCAACAAGACTGACAATCCCTCTGTGGTTTTAAATGTGGCAGCATAATAAAGTAAAAAGTCATCAAAATCAACAGACCAAATTTTCTACAGGCGCTTTTAGTGAAAATAAAACATTTAAAGTCACAACATTTCATAATATCAGATAAATAAAAACAGTAATTTTATGTAGAACATATGAGAAAAAAACATAGAATACAGGAAAATCTAAAAAATTAAAATCAGAAAATTAAGAGAAAGATCTAATTTTCTGTCAGTTCCTCAGAGAATGAATATTTAATATTTTGGGCTTTTTTTTTTTGTAAATCTTAATTGTTTCAAGCATTTTCTATCGGCCTACAGGTTAAAATATATATGTTACAAAAACATCCAAAATATCAGCATATCATATTTAAGTTTGTCTTCATCTAGTTCAGTCCATGCAACCACAGTCACGGGGGAAGTTGCTGACTTGACACTTGTCCACGAGTTGATCATGCTCTCCCTCCACAAGGAGGGGAGGCTGACTTCAATTGTCAAATTCCTGTAATCAAGAGTCTCATCTGGGCTAAAAGAAAAAAAAAAAAACAGTGGACAGTTACCACCAGTTACTTAGGTGTTCAAAGTCCTGTTTTCAGATGAAAGACAATTTTGCGTCTCATATGGAAGTCAAGGTCCCAGAGTCTAGTAGAAGATCAGAGTGGCCCAGGGTCTAAGGTGCTTGAAGTCCAGTGTGAAGTTTCCACAGTCTGTGATAATTTGGGGTGCCATGTCCTCTGCTGATGCTGGTCCGCTGTGTTTTATCAAGTCCAGAGTCGACACAGTCTAAAGTCTACCAGGAGATTTTAGAGACTGTCATGCTTCACTTGCTGAGAGGCTTTATGGAGTTACTGATTTCCTTTTTCAGCACCTGCTCACAGCTCCAAAACTACTTCTAAGTGGCGTCATGAATCCCATAGAAAATCTCTTGGTTATTGTCAACACAAAATGAGAGACACCCAACCTGAAAAAACAAACCAACTGAAGGCTGCTATCAGAGCAACCTGGACGTCAGCAGAGCACCAGGCTCATCACCTCCTGCAACACCCCACTGATGCAGTCATTCATAACTAGTGAATGTACAGTATGTCATTTTGATGGGATATTTCCATACTTCAAATCCTTTTTTACATGAGTTTAGAAGATAATCTAATAATTCAAGATACTGGATTTCTGATTTTCATGACCTACAAGCCAAAATGATTCAAATTCAAATGTAAGAATAATCCAAAATTCACCTTTTTGAATTCAAGATTAAAAAAAGAAAAGAATTATATAAAACAAAACATGCTTCGCTTACATTTTGTTCAGCTCAAAACATTGCAAGTCAATTTCTATTTATACTGAAGTGTGAATCACGCCTTTCCGCTTTTGACTTTCTGTTAAATGCTGTAAGAATCATTCAGTTATAGAGTACCAGTGTCTGTTTCTAGACTTACCCATCAGCTGAACTTATTCTACATTTTATCACCTGTTAGTTCCCAGAGGTTTCATCTTCACACGCAAAAAGAAAAGGGGAACAGAGACCTATACGTCTCAGTTACTGAATTATTTGACTTCTTTGGTTCCTCTTTTTCTTCACACGGTTTCAGTCCATCACAGCAGCGTATGCCTAACTCTTCTTCCTCTTTAATTTTCACTTGTCAGTTAAAATTTTCATTAGTTTGGTGAATTCCCAGAATTAGACTCATCAGAAAGAATTTTTCCTCCACTCACTCCCTTTACACAGGTAGTTCTTGGTGGATTTGTGTTTTACATCTTCATGAATATTACAGAGGTTAACTTTTCTTTGAAAGAGGAATGAAATGCTCTAAGAATAGAATGAATGAAAACACAGCTTCAGCTTTGAACATGAGATTAAATACTCTGATGGAAACTACCAAAACCAAAAAAATACCCTGAATCAAAACAAGATAGTGTAAGTGAACAAAACCCTCTGAGACAGTTCAACTTCCCTTTGTCAAGTTTCACTCAAATTTCAGTACAGGCCGACTTTATCATGGTATCATCAGTCTGAAGTCACCAGTGCTTTTTTGTAACAAAAATGTTCCACTCTTACTTCTTTCCTGTCAGTAATTTTCTCAACAGTTTTTTTTATTCTAGAGAACCGTATCTAATATATATATATATTCACATAGTTTTAATAAGTATAAAAAGTGCATTTAATTCAATGAGCACTCTTCTTAAGTATCACTTGTTTATTTGTTATTTTGTCACTCAGGAGGAGCTCTCCATATCCACGACTTCTCAATGGTTGCAGTTGAGTGGTTGGTGAAAAACGCGACCTATCGTCCAAACTGCTACATGTGCAGCACAGATAACCGCTCTATCAGGTTCATCTTCTCATCCCAATGGCCCAAAGCTCTGCCTCACTGCTCTCCCTGGGTGCTTCTGGAGAACCTCAGGGCAAAGATGGTCAACACCACGGAGCTGGATGTCAGGTGACTTTAATTTAAGACAGACCAAACAACAACAACAACAGCATAGTGTACTAGGATCTCAAGACTGTACATTTGATAAAACTTATACATTCCCAATTATTATAGTTTGATGCTGTGTTCTAGTCTTTAATATATATTCAAATGTTTTGAGTTTTGATTTCAAGCTGGTTATTGTGGGCAGATACCAAACATCTAATGAGTAAGAGAGACAGTTTGATTTGGTTAGATTTGCAGGACATTCAATTTTTTTTTTATTGATTGGTAACACATGCAATGCAGCATGAAGTTACAGCTTTAAGTGCATTATTTTCCAGGAATTTCTGGGTCTTTTTCACAGACATTTAAAGGTGGGGTAGGCAGGAATCCATTAAAGAAGCATCTTTTTTGTGGTGCATATACAAAAAAGCTTTTAACACCATCAATACTATTAGTCATTAATGACATTTGTAAATATAATGATATCGCTGTGTTTTGTTCTGTCTGTGTAGTCAACATTTTAACATTTTTGAGCGTCCCACTCTTTCTGACTGTAAACAAAGCCGTTCTCCGCCTCCCCCATCCTGATTGGTTGTGAGGCAGACACTGCTCCCCTGTGTCATCTGAGGGGAAAACTGGTTGGGAGGGTTAGTGTTTACATTCAAAAACTGGCACTTCCTCAGATCCTGCCTACCCCACCTTTAAAGCTAAAGATGTAGTTTATGGTCCCAAACTACTTTTTTCTTTATCATAATCATGTTTTCACCTTTGTGTTTACACTTCCAGCATCATGGGAAACCTGACACTTTTCACCTATGAGGATCCAGAATCTGTGTACCCAAGCCAGGATGTGGTGTGGGACCGGTTTGAGCAGGCCTTCCTTGCAGTGTGGGGTTTGGTCACGTATGCGCCTGTGTTCAGGGATTATTACTATGAAGGCCTCACCCAGTTCTACAAGGACAACATCATGTATCTGGAGCTGCGTGCGTTACTCCCAGAGGTACAGAAATGAAACAGCAGTTGTGCAGGTGTGATCTCATGTATTCTGCTAGATGGGCGGAGCTAGAGCTAACGATGAACTTTAGTACCAGACATTGATGCTCGCAAAACATACAGAGGGTAACAAAAAAGTATGTCATCTGCAACCCTGAAAAATATTTAGATCATGTCATTTCTGTGTATCAATAAAAACAAACAAACTAAAAAAGAAATACATGTTGTTTTAGTCTCGAACTTGTCCGTTTATATGTTTTATGCTAAAAAGACTCTTTGCACTCAGATATACGAGCTGGATGGGAGCACTCATGACATCAGGTGGACTCTGAAGACCTATCAGGATGTCACCAAGCAGTTCACAGCAGAACACCCTGACTTCTTTGGAGCGAGAGTTATCTTCACAGTCCACAGGTGACTCCTCTGACTGTCAATACAAATGACTGTATTTATCAGGCAGGATTATGTGCTGCTTATTGGGATGTTTTGATATGTAATCTCATTTCACCACCCTTTGTTTCAGGGGAGTTAATCTGACCAGGATGGTTGAAGTGGTAAAGGAAGCTATACAGCTGCAGAGCGACCTCCCAGACATCATGGCTGGTTTTGACCTGGTGAGAAGCAACAGCAGGTTTTTGGTTTTTTTTGTATGTTGTTTTTCAACTGTGTTTTTTTCTTAACAGAGTGAAGCACAGATAGAAGTGTACAATATGTGGGAGCTGATATCTCTGTCAAGTTTTACCAATTTTGCTGAAACTAATGATTCAAGACTCAAAACAGGTTTCCTGAAAAATTCATGATATTGAATTTTCATGACTTAAACCTAGCACCTCTCGCTGAGTCAGTACATCAATTATTGTTGATAAAATGCCAAGTCATGACAGAAGTTATCCCAGGGCACCTTATGAATAAGAACATAGTTGTCTTTTTAATCTAATTTAACAGGGACAGTGTGCAACAACACTGTGTAATATTAAAAGAAACGTTACAAGGTGGTTGCACCAGATTTAGACAGCTGCTAATTCCCATCTGCGGTGCCAAAGGGATATTGGGCAGTAAGCTAGGTGAACTGGGCCCAAAGCTGGCAGCCTGAATCTTTGGTTTCATTCAGAAACAATAATAGAAAAAAACTTTGATTTAGCAGCCAGAAACCCTGAGTAAAAACAGACTCATGGTGAACAAGGTCCTTTTTTCTGAGGGTATCTTTCAGCTGTCCTTGCTCTTATTTGTGTAATTTTATTAGACTGAAAAATGCTGAACTTTGTGATCTAGTCACAAGACTTCATCTTGCTCTCTGTCAGCATTGTGGGTCTTTTAAAAGGGGAAACAGTTTTTGGTGGCTACTCCTGCAGCCTGGAATTCGCTGTAGGAGAGTGTAGCTCTGAGAGAGTTGGTATGTTTAAATGTCTTTAAAACTATAGTGACGATATTCAAGGAAGATGCATCAGGCTGTAGATGCTTTATGGATTACTGTTTGTGTGTAATTGTTTGTATGTTGTTGCTGCTATTCTTGACCAGGACACTCTTGTAAAGGACAGTTTTAATCTCAATGAGACTTTCCTGGTTCAGTCAATTAAAGGGATATTCCGACGTAAAATTAAGTTAGGGTCAAACACACCGTAACACCAAGTTAGACACCGTCGAGAGATTAATGTTGCCAACCGCTTGCTTCTCTAGTTATACCAACGTCAGTAACAACTGCACAATATTAATTCACACAGGAGCTACATGCTCAACCAAAAAGCCACTCTATAGCTACAAATAATGCTCAGAACAGAACCTAACTTCATCAACAGTACATATAGGGTCCCAGCCATAGTACTAGCCACCAAACTTCTTTTTAGCTTTGACTAATTTCTTTGGCAAAGAGACTAAACACAACTCACCTACTCTCTTCCAGCAGGCGATTGTTTGTAGCAAGACCTCAGGCCAGTCCATTACAAACTGCTACGAACTGCTGCAGCTCAAGGAAGAACATTTATAAACAGTTTTTCATGGAAATGCAATCAGACCGAAACGCTAAGGCAGAAGAACTACCGCGTCTGCAGTAAAAAAATGATTAATGTGGTGATTATTACTTCAAGGAAATGATAAAGTAATAATTGTAAATGTATTGCTAGTGTGCGGTCGTTATTAAAGTTTGCATAACTAGTGAAGCAAGCAGTTGGCAACATTCATCTCTCGACGGGGTGTCTAACTCGGTGTTACAGTGTGTTTGCCCCTAACTTAATTTTTAATATCCCTTTAAATCAATGAATAAATAACAGCAAAACAACATTCAATACTGGTAATGCCATTAAAGGAATGAGTGCCTTTATAAACACGTTTTAAACATGTCCTACGTAATAACAGGACTCTTGTTTTTCTTATCCTCCTCTCTGTATGCTCAGGTGGGTCGTGAGGACAGTGGCAGACCCCTGTGGTATTTTAGAGAGGCTTTGTCGCTGCCCGTAAAGAAAGGAGTGACACTCCCTTTCTTTTTTCACGCTGGAGAGACAGGTGAGCTTGTCGTTCACCTGTGCATGAAACAACAGCATCTATTTTTTTATTTATTTATTTTTATTCAAGCATGTAAAATACTTAAAGTATCAGTGTGCCGCAACTCATGATCAAACGGAGCTGAACTTTTTTTCAGAGACTGTAAGAAAAGAATAATCATTGTTAGCATTCAAGCGTTTTATTTGTCACACTCTTTAAAAAGTCATTCATAAGATCCATCGCACTGTTTAAAGATCATCACAAAACAGACATGCTTTCTCTCGATAACACGCAGATCTGGAGGGCTCAGATGTGGACCAGAACCTGTTGGATGCCATTTTATTCAACACGACTCGTATTGGTCATGGATTTGCTCTGCTGCGCCACCCTGTGGCTAAAAGTATGTCCAGAAAGAGAGGGGTGGCTGTGGAGGTGTGCCCCATCTCCAACCAGGTACACTACTGTTTTTTGAACCTGTGGGTCTTAACATGTTGGGTCGGGAACTAAAAGTGGGTCGAAGGATCGTTTTTTTAACGGTGTTAAAAGTCTGATCTGTGTCTCAAAGCCTCTGTGTGGAGTTTCTGACAGGTTGTAAAAAAAATTGGAATTGTTAGTGATGTCTCTTTGTGACTTACAAAACCAAACAGGACCATAAACATCACAATTTTGCATTTATGTTAGAACCAAATGTTAAACAGGAGACAGGAAGTTTCTTGCAGCAGTTTTGATTTTAAAGGACAGTGTGCTTTTAGTAGCAGGAGGGTAATTTATTCACACTTAAATACAGTAGGTGGCGGTAACGCACTTAGTAAGCAGCTGTTGAAGACCAGAAACAATTCATTTGTCTTGATTTCTAACTAAAAGGGGATTATGTCTTGTGACTAGACCATTTAAGGGTCTGTGAACAGGACTGGACCATGAATATTCTGCAGTCTCTGGTGTAATACTTTAACCAACAACAGTGTAAATAAACTGAGATGGTATTTCATAAACATACAGTAAATCTCTCTCCTTATCCCCTTTAAGGTGCTGAAACTTGTCAAGGATCTGCGAAACCATCCTGCTGCTGTACTCATGTCAGAAAATCACCCCGTGGTCATCAGTTCTGACGACCCTGCCATGTTCGGGTCCTCTGGACTCTCCCATGACTTCTATGAAGCTTTTGTGGGCTTTGGTGGGACCAGTTCTCATCTCGGCTCCCTAAAAGAGCTGGCTATGAACTCTATTAGGTGAGGATCAGCAGAGATATGTTTTCCTCAGAAACGTTAACACGTTTCAACAGACTGCTCACGAACACGTCTTTGTCTTTCAGGTATAGTTCTCTGACTCCAAAGCAAAAGGAGAAAGCCCTGGCGCTGTGGCAGAAGAAATGGGAGAAGTTTGTCTCTGAAAATGTTTTTTAAGAGGAAATAGAAGTCTCTTTGAAGACTCCTTGGAGACTGATATACCTCATGCTGAAGGAGAATCATAACGCATGAATGAGAGAAGTCACTTTCTTGCCTCTGCTGTAAAAACTGTCCAAGTCACTATAAAGTGGAACTGACTGGATCTGTGACAGATATCAGGCAGTGTGGAACAGCTGAGCTGTAGAGCAATGATCTGCTCTACACATATAAGAGAGCTTCAGTCTCAGGAATGTTTGTGTGGTTTCTGTTAGGACTTTTGATGAATTTGCACTCTTGGATATGGGTTTGATTCTGAGGACAGTCACAGTGTCGGGCAATATTGATCGGATTGTTCAATGTATAAACTCCTTAATCAGTTTGTGTGTGTGTGTGTGTGTGAGTCAGCTGGTGCTTTTTAAAAGTTTTGTAGACAGCTGAATAATTTGTGTGTAATTCAGCAGGTTTTCTACCGCTCTTCTTCAATTTTTTGTCTTTTTACTGGAGAGGAAATATTAAGATTTTTAACTAACAATGGTGTCTACAGTCTACAGTTGACCTACACTCCTGCTGTTTCATCTCGTTCTATAAAACCATAAACAAAAACCATGACAGAATGTACACATCACTCTTCACATTTTTAAATCAATAGTGAAAATCTGAGCAAAAGTCAGAATTAAAATTCAAATTAAAGACAAACGATTTAAGACCTGACTCAGTTTATTTGTTGTTCATCTAGTGCAGCACTGTTATCAGGACTTTCAGTCACAGGTCCAGTTTGTCCTCCATTATCTGCTGCAGGTGTTGAACTGAGAGAAGAAGCTGTTGTCTACGCCTCCCCTCTTAATATCCGGTTCCCTTTCAATGATACAGAAGCGGTGTCAGACAATATTCCTCTCCCTCCATGAATTAACTTGGGAAATGGTACACTGTTAGAACTGACCTTTGTTTTTGAATTTCAGCCAGTTGGACATTGGAGTTGTCCAGGTGTTGTCTCAGCTGCTTGTTCAGTCTGGCCTGCTGCCTCTCAAGCAACATCGCTGCACGAGCTGAATCCAGACGGACACGATCAAGTAGCTCCTCCTCTTGTTTTTTCTGCCGTTCTATCTTCTACAGATACACAGATACAGCGCATAAATACATTTTGAAGGCAGAATTTCCAGTGTTGGTTTTTCTTGTTTTACCTTTTTCTCCTCAACTTGGTTTTTCTGGAACTGGATGACCTGTTGTGGGCTCTCTGCAGGGACTTTATGTTCACTGTCAGGGTAAAAACCAGGCACACCCACCATGCTTTCCACAGGTGAGGTGCCTTCCCCTGTCTGGTGGGTTACCTGACGGCGTTCCTTCTCTGCAACCTTTACACATTCAGATACAGTAAAATAAGAGAAGGCTGATTGAACATGTTGTTAATGCACCAAAGAGTTTAGCTCAAGAAACACTTTCTCTTTGATTTCTTAGCTATACATTTGAGCTATACATTTATATAGAGCTAGATCAAAGTCAGTTACACCACCTTCACCTGACAGTCTGAGGGAATACCAAATGTCTTACCATTGACAGGTTGAACTCTTTTGTGGCCACAGCTGCAGCTTTTCTCCTCTCAGTGTTGAGGCTTTCCAGCTCCAGAGCTCTATTCTCCATTTCTATTCTGTTTTGGTAGCAGCGCAGCTCTGAAGGACACAGGACAAAAAAAACAAAAAAATTTAAGCTTGAGTTGTGTGTGAGTGAGAGATCTTTGTCCTGTGTGGTATCTACCTTCCAGCTGTTGTTGATGCCTCTCTGATTCACGCTCACTCTGCTGCTGCATCAGCCAACCTCTGAGCTGCTCTTTCTGTCTCTGCCGTCTGCTCTCACTGTCCGGATCCTCACCTGCCAGGCCAGGGAGCATGGCCTGTACCTCACTTAGCTCTGTTTTTCTTTTGTCTGGGTTGTTCAGGTCAAACTCCCGCTTACTACAGGGCTGCTGGAACTGATGCCGGTAATTAACAATGTCTTTTTCCATTGCACGCTTCTCCTTTACTTGCCTGTTATGAAGGAGGCTAGCCACTTTGCTGCTATGGAGCATTTCAGCATCTAGATAAAGAACAAATCAAAAACACACAAATTACAACCATGACTGTTCTTATGCATTATATTTATTTGTGTTTATTTTATTTCACACAAACACCACCCTGATTCCAAAAAGGTTGAGATGCTATGTAAACTATTGAAAAAAAAACAAAAAACATATTAGGTGTGCTAATCATTATTAAAACCCAGACAAACAACAGTTTTTAGTCTCAATGTCTAGTAAAGCTGTAAGTTTTACATTTGATCTTAGTATATTTTTGTGAAGATAATTTGGGTTAACAAGTGACAACTCTGAACAAACTCACCATAAGCATTTTGTTCCTCTTTTGCAGCCTCTTCTAGTTTCTTCTTCTCTTTTATTTGTGATTCCAGGACTTCCAAGTCGAGCTAAATGTTTTTTCACAGCACAGTGGTTAGACATTTGCTCTCACACTTGCCTTAATCATCCTTTTTTTCTACATTTTCTCTTAAAATTAGATAATTTTTCTAATGCAAGACTTGCTTGACAAGATTAATATTCTTTTTGTACAAAAAATAGGACTTATTTCCTTAATACAAGGCTGTTGTCCTTTCTTGAAAGTCCTTTTTTGCAGTGAACTTATTAATTGTTCCTATTATTTTGAGATTACTGAGATGACTAATCTTGTCTATGGGTGTTGGGGAAAATGCAGGCTTTTTTCTGTTTCTTTGAGCTCTTCTACCTAGAGTAGGCTATGAGTTGAGATCATCTGTGGATCTTAACACATAAATGACTAAATAAAAAATGGCATAGTATCTAACTGTCACAGGAAAAAGGAGAACTACATGGGTGTGAGACCACTCTGATTATGATCTTCCCCTTTCATGACCAGTTTTTAGAAAAATAGTCTTCTAGGACCAAAAATCCAGATTCATGGTCAGGTTGTTATAGTTAAATGCATATATTGTTTTGGCTTCAATGGCGTCATAACTAATCGGCTAAGAGTTGTTTTTATTCTCTAATTTGATTTTCATGACAACCCAGTCTCAATTGAATGTATTTTCACTTATTTGACAGTTTATTTTGTCATAGTGTAATCCTTCAAACTCCAGAATTAAACGTTAAAATCCACTGGTTAGAGATCCTCGGTTAACTCACCCCGATAGTCCTCACTTTATCGTTGAAAATCCGCTCTTTTCTCTCCGCCTCATTGTTTTGTCGCCTTTGCAGACTCGCCCTCGCAATGCGGTCTGTTAGTGTCTCAAAGTTGAACATTTTCACTCAAAAATATCTTGTAATATTTTGTCTCGCAGGACACGTTTCTCCTGTCACAGGAAAAAAAAAAAACAACCAACCAACCAACCAAACAAACAAACGGGTTGCTAGGAGACCTCAGGTCGTGAGTGTTCGTAGAATGTCGGATTTCTTCGTGATATGCCGAGTTGTGCCTGTCTGCTGAGTCCTTATACCGGGTTCTTTTCACTCATAGTCCCCGACAGGTTAGCCCTAATTGGTCTTTGCTGTCCTCCATTATCCATGATGGTAACACTTTACAATAACCATGACTTATAAATGGTAAACAGACCATTTATAAATAGTAAGCAGATAGTTTATTGTTTAATCATCATTTATAAATAGCATATAGACCATTAATAAATTGTCAATTTTACAATTTTAAAAACCTAACCCTAACTCTAACTCTAACTTTACAATAACATCTAAGTAATGTTTATAGATGGTTTATAAACCACTTATTAATCATTTACAAAGTATTACAAACATCAGTTTTAACTTTACAATAACCATCTAAGTAATGTTTATAGATGGTTTAAAAAACAAATTTTAACCATTTACAAAGTCCTACTGACACACATTTTAATCTAGATGTTTTACAAGCAATATTTAAACCCTATATGAACCTTTAATAAATACTCCATTAATAATTAATGAAAATTATTAATCATAATTCCATTGCTTGTTAATGGTCAAGTAACTATTAACTTACATTATTAAACGAACTATTTGCCATTTATAATTGGTCTATATGCTGTTTTTAAATGATTAAACATTAATAAACTATTTACCATTTATAAATTATGGTTATTGTAAAGTGTTATCTCCATTATTGCCTGATAATGGATATGATAATGCCGGGCACCTTCAACAGAGTTTCTAACTTATTCAAAGAGTTAGAAACATTCCTACCAATAATTAATATACATGATTCTTTAAATATCAAGAAAGATGAAGTCTGCTGTATAAATATTAGCAGGTTATATAGAGCAGCTGGACGCAATAGTGGCCTTGCATCCAACATCAGGCAGCTCTTCAGCCAAAATACCTGGTGGATTACAGCACAGATCGTAATTCGACATATATCTCTAGATGGTTCTGTATAAATCACATTTATTGAAATATATATATATATATATATATATATATATATATATGTATATATTTATTTATTTATACATATATATATATATTTTCTCCTTCTAAATCTCATTCACCTGTGAAGCCCCTGATCTGAGTGATTGCAGCCTAAGTGCCTGAGAAATGGAGCCCTGGTAAGCCTTGGCTTACTCTACTGTAACCATAAGTACAGTCCCTCTCCCTCTTCCACCCTATTACTGTTGTGCCACCTGTGTACAAATCATAGTCAAACACAGACCTCTGCCTCCAAGTGAATTCTAGTGGTCTGTAGTCAATCAAACAATCACAAAAGTGAAAACATGTCCCTTCTCCCTGTAAGAATGGCAAAGGTAAAAAATGGAGATAATGCAACATTTTTTTTCAATATGTGAGCTATTATTACATTATGAGCATCATTAGTATGACTAATAATATCATAAGTAACTGCATTATGTGCAAAGATGTTATTTCATTAAGCACTCATGATTTTATTACATTATGAACTTTTATTACTTTTAAGTTATTACAGTATGAGCTGTAATTACATTACGAGTTGCTATGCACACCTCTTATTGAAAACACTGTTATGTTTCCAAAATTGTATGTATTAATCTATGCTGCGACTTCTTTGTATCTTTTCTTATATGTGCTGCAAACCTCTTATGATATGGCCTGCAGGCCAAGTCACCCTTGTGAAAGAGATCCTGTTCTCAATGGGTTTTTATCTAATGAATTTAAGGTAAAATAAAAATGATAAAATGACTCAGAAAGCTGGGAGGTGAACTTGTTCATGGTCACATTATTAAAATGGTTTAATGATGTTTTGGATTTCCCATCTTTGACCAGAGCATTCCTTGATCAGAAGTTTTCCTCTCATAATCTCCAGACATCTTTTTGTCTGCCTGTTCTTCAATTCTTTGCCCTGGAAAATAAAACACATATCACATAATACACAAATATCAAAGTTTTCAGAAACACGTGCCATCATAAACTCATCTATTTTCTTCTGTCTGAGGATTTGATGCACTGACACACAGTTGAAACCAGAAGTTTACATACACTTTATTAAAAGGCACATAACCTTTTTTTTCTCACTGTCTAATATTAAATCAGATTAAACTTTTCCTGTTTTTGATCAATTAGGATTACCAAAATTATTTTTATTTGCTAAATGCCAGAACAATGAGAGACAGAATTTTTTATTACTTTCTCGAGAGTCAAAAGTTTACATACACTAAGATGACTATGCCTTTAAATAATTTGGGAAAGTCTACATCTTTTAGGGCAAACCCGAAACACACTGCTCCTTTATGTAACATCATGGGAAAAATCAAAAGAAATCTGCCAAGATATCAGGAAAAGAACTGTGGACCTACACAAGTCTGGTTCATCCTTGGGTGCAATTTCCATATGCCTGAAGGTGCCACTTTCATCTGTTCAAACAATTGTAAGTAAGTATAAACACCATGGTAATGTCCAGACATCATACCACTCAGGGAGGAGACGCGTTCTGTGTCTCAGAGATGAACGTGCTTTAGTCCAAAATGTGAATATCAATCCAAGAAAAATCCTATTGAAAATTTATGGGCAGAACTGAAAAGTCATGTGCGAGCAAGGTGGCCTACAAACTTGGCCCAGTTACACCAGTTCTGTCCGGAGAAATGGGCCAAAATTCCTGCAAACTATTGTGAGAAGCTTGTGCAGGCATATCCAAAGCATTTGACCCAAGTCATACAATTAAAAGGCAGCTACCAAATACTAATGAAATGTATGTAAACTTTTGACTCTCGAGAAAGTACTAAAAAATTGTCTAAAAAAATTCTCTCTCTCATTATTCTGGCATTTAGCATATAAAAATAATTTTGGAAATCCTAATCGACCAAAACCAGGAAAAGTTTAATCTGATTTAATGTAAGACAGTGAGGAAAAAAAGGTTATGTGCCTTTTTATATAGTGTATGTAAACTTCCAGTTTCAACTGTATATTCTTCTACATAGACCAGGATTCTCTATGTTCTGTCTCCTCTTTAACTATCTCACGTCATTTTGATAATAGTTTATTCTGCAGTACCTGTGTGAAGTCCCAGTAAATCCCCATCCCTTTCTGCATCGCCTCTCTGCAGTTGTACAAACCAGGCTCCGATTCTTTGTTGCCGGTGTCTGTTAAACACCGGTTATCATTGTACTTGTGGGACTTCATGCCACCAATGTAGAGTTCACCAGTCTTGCGAAAGAACGTGTGCTAAAAATGAGAAAAAGTTCAACAACAGAATATTGCCATCTTTGGCTTTTCTCAATGTCCACACAATGTTTTTGACTTTCAGTTGTTACTTTTAAAAGCCTGATAATGGATCATTTAACGTACTTGGGGTCCATAGTAGAAGCAAGGGTAGGCGATGGGTGTGTGTCCTGGAACAGGGCCTTGGTCAATGCACATTTCAGCATCAAGATTTTTCATCTGTAAGGAGTTTGTGATTTTGTGTGTGAAAGTTTTCTGATTCAGTTAAAACACAGATGATTTATGAGGGAAATGAGCTGATACATGGTGGATTGTTCTGTTTCAGATGGTATATCCTGTACTCAGTAGGGGGCACAATCTGTCCAGTTAGTCAAGTTCAGTATAAAGCATGATTGGCATCTTTGACTGACATAATCGGGGGGGACTGAGCTTCGTCAGAGTTTGTAATCATGCAGCACAATGGGGATAAATGTGTTTATAATGTGGATGTGTGCGTGTTTGTACTTTCCACAGAGACTTCAGTCTGCAATAAAGTTACTATATTTTACTGTGTGTATCATATCGTCACTTAACCACTTATTCCTTTCTTTTAATTCTAAATGAACATTTTAAAACAAAGACCTTTAACAGCTGTTTTAAGACAAGGTCTCACATTTGTGGAATAAAATTTTAATCTGCAGGCTGGTCTCCTAGTGTAGGGAGAAAAAAAAAAAAGAATTAAGCTTACTCCTCCGTAGGCGAGTAGGTCATCCCAGAAGTCTAACTTGGGATACACATTTTCCAGGTACCATTTGAAAGGTTTGCATTTCAACCTTTCTCTGAGTTTTTTCCTCTCCGAGACATCCCCAATGTCGATTCCATGATTCTTTAAAAAATACATGTAAAGGTTTATTTGGGATGTTGTAATAGACAGAATTACAATGCTTCATGGTAGTTTAACAGATGAGGGACAGTGAGAATACCCCCAAAATTTTACTCCTTAAACTAAAACTTGTAAGCTCTTGTGAGTTTAAGAGATTAGGTGCATGCAGTACGCCATAAAAAGGTTTAGAGTGCAAAGTACCTCAAATGGTAAATTCCATGCCAAGTTAACATTGTGCTTATATTCATCCATCCAGACCTCTGCAACTCTCAGGGCATTCCTCTTCATGGCCATACTCAGGTCAGGCATGTAGGGCTTGTGGGCTCTTTCAATGTGTGCGATCTTTGAGCACGGGACTACTTCAACACTGCCTCCACATGTCCACACCTAAAAAAAGTGGAAGAAAAGCAGACAAAATAATGCTTTTACACTGGGCATGAACCAGACCATGGTTCAGTTTTTTTCCAAGACTGGTGGGGTTTTGCTGCGGGACTTGTGAGTTCCAAAGTGGGAGAGAAAATTACACTAAAACCAGAAACTGTGAGCTTGTTATTGCTAAGGCTTGCGCCATCACGTGTAAGTTTCATGTTGGAAAGGTGAGGCTTACTCACACGGATCCCCAGCTCGACATTTTCTCCACCGTAAACTTTCATCCCCTCATCAAGAACTCCGATTTCTCCAAGGTACTTCCGATCGGCTACTAAAATGCCCATGACAGATGGACTCCTGAAGTCAAAACAAGGTACTCTTAGTATCCATAGTCCAAACATGTAGTGCAATCAGAGTGATCCCAACTTACTTTCCAGGTAGCGAGGTGTCGTTGAGTTTGATATAGTCAGGAGAAAACCCCTCATACATACACCATAAAGCCCAGTCAAAGGCATGCGCTGCTGGAAGGTACTGGATCACCTTGAGGTCATCGAAGTTCACTCGGTCAAACACAGGAGACACCACCACTGTTCGATCCTTTTTGATCTGAGTCAGCATAGGTTCAACCCTGAGTGAGGGGAAGAAATGAACAAGTTCAACCACAACATACATCCTTGAACCAAAGAAGGGCTTCATGTGAGTCTGCATGGGAAAAATTTCATCTAGCAGGAACCTCTGTCCAAAGTGACCTAGAACTCAAATTCTAAAAAGGCTGTGAAAAAAAAATGCAGTTTGTCATGGTCTTGCTGAAATATGATGGTCATTGTCTGGGTGGCAGCCTATGTTGCTCCAAAGCACTCTGGTACATCTCTCCAACTCTTTTTATGTTTTGGTGTTCCTGTCCCAAATTTTTGTAACGTGTTTGCAGACATTAAGATTCAAAATGAGAATTTTCAGCATTGACATGTTATGTTGTCTTGCACTTTTTTTGGACGATGTTGAAATGATTTGTGAAAAATAAAATCTGGTTTTCAAATCAACTTTTTCCACAGTGTCACAACTTTTTTGAAATGGGGTTGTGGGTGGCAAAGATTTTCATCTGTCTAATTCTAATAGACACTGAAAGGCTCTGAAATAGTTTTTAAATGTGGGGTTTCCTACAAACTTAAATGTGTTGAGACAGCTGTGCATCATCAGTACCACAGGTTGTTTTAGTCAAGAGAAGAAAAATTCTGCTATTTACCACTTTTTACAACTGCCACAGAGCAGCTGGTGCAGAAGGAGACTTGTTGGTGACTAACTGTTATTGCACCTCCCATGCCTTCTCTTGTGCAAGAGCTTAAGCCATCTATACCTCCCTTGCCTCAACTTGTGCAAGAGCTTTAATCCATCATTAAGTGGAGTTTTCTCAGGTTGTGGTTGTGCTGGAAGTAGATGATGGCTGCAAAAATACCTAATTGTCTCTACAGGGCGGTCCTAAAAAACTATCCAGCCCGAGGCAACAAATATTCTTGCAGCATCTAAGGCCTAACCACTTATTGTTCATTAAACTATAACTGAACTCTAAACTAAAACGTCAAGGTGCAGTAGAGTACAGTAGAGACATTTTCACCAGTCTTACCACATCTGATGCACTTCGATGTGCGCGTCCAGGATGGCCACCACGTCAGCAGTTGCCGCTCTCCACCCTGAAGCCCTGGCAAAAGCGAGGCCTTTCTGCTCTGTGTGCCGAACTCTTATAAAATTGAGACCCGGGTTCTGCTGCATCAGTGACTTCACATATAAGTCCAGATCTTCTTTTAGATCCTCTGGATTAAAAAAAAAAAAAAAAAGACAGAAGAGCGATTTCAGTTAAGGCAAATTTCACATGCAGAAGAAGACATGTTGTACTTTTGGAAGGAGCTGAGGTTTGGGTACGGGTTCTAGCCCGCAATCTTAGCTCAAAAGCTCAGAGTTGGAGTTTTCCATGGGGAACGAGAGAGTCACCTCCTTGCAACTTTGGGTTGCAAAGGGAAAGACTCTGACTGTTGAGTGCACCAAATAACTGTCAACTGAGCACCACTTGGTAGTGAGTTGGATCAGACAGCAGGGGAGGCTGTCAGACAGACCTGGCAAACCCAAACATGTAATGAGAGTGAACTGAGGATGTCTGGTGGAGGCCCCTGTCTGTGAAGTCTCCAACTCTCACATCTGGAAGGACTTTGTACACATCCCATGGGAGGTTGGGGACATGTAGTATTCAATATGATGAAATCAAATTGCCAACAGTGTTTTTAAATGTGTAAAATCACACTAGGAAACAGTTGGGTAATAAGGTAAGCTCTCTTACTAAGCCTCCAGTCAATGTATGATTGCGTAGTCAGAGACTTAAATAAAACCTTTATTTGGAACATTGGTAATTGCATGTTAAGACAAGTTCATCCTGTTTCCACCCTATAGATACCATATGTCTGTGCGGTATTCTTTATGTCTGTCTATGTGCGTGTGTGTGTGTGTGTGTGTGTGTGTGTGTGTAACCATCCTACCATTAGAGCTGTTGTCATCCACCATTATTATCTCCTTAAGCAGCTCTTTGGGGGTTCGGTCGATGATGCTGCGCAGGGCTCTCTTTAGAATAGATAAAGCTTCATCCAGGTAAATCAGCACGACTGCGAGACTCGGCAGATCCTTTGGATATATCTTATTCTTACACCTGTTGAGAAATCCTGCATTTTTAAGTAGGAACATTGACTTTTTGTATCATTTATGTGCAGTAGGAGGAGTCATCATGGAATGAGTTTCATGATGTTTCTCTGTGCAGAACAAGTAATGGCAGTCTGACATGAGTGAAAAAAAAGAGATTTAATGTGTACCTTGGATCTCTGGTGTCTGGTAGTGCTCGATCCAAAGGAAGACGGTCACTGAGAAAAACATTGTACCCGTACTTCACAAACAAACTCTGTGCCTCTCTTTGGTCGTCCTCAGACAGATTGGCTCCCCATTCCTTGAATAGGGCGGACTCAGGGAAGAGCTTTTTAGATTTTTTATCTTTTTGAGCCTCTTTCTGGTCCTTGATTTCTGTGTCACTTTGCTCTTTCTGCTCTGGCAGTTTTTTGACTGGTAGCTCTTTGGCCTCTGAAGACTTTCTGTGAATGTCCCTGTCCTCTTCCAGTAGTTTCTGCATGGAATCCTGTTTTTTTTCCAAAGCACTGAGTACTTTGTCTTGAAAGAATTGAGGCAGAGGCATGATCACTTTCTGCAATATTGAGCTGTAGGCTGGGAACAGTAACTAATGTAAAGATATGGTTTCATCTAAAATCCACAAAAATTACTTAACAAAGGCTTCTCTCTACCCAGAAAAAAAGCACCAATTAAAAATTTTCTAAAATATGAAAATATAAAGTATTGAGTGTGTCAATCCTCTTATTTTAAGTGCAAAAGCTATGAAATACATTCATATTTTCACATAATTAGCAGTGGGAGAAAATGCCAAATTCACCCTCAAACAAGCCAGACAAAACCACGAAACGAGACAACAGAAAGATACTCACAGATACCATTGACGATCTTCTCTAGGTCAGAAATAGCCTCCATCCCGCGTGATGCGTCTAGGTCATTTCCAGTCCCCACTAACTGCTCATGTCCACCCTTTAGAAACACGCCAATGTAAATTAGGAGCCCAATACTCCCCAGCGTAAGGACCATGCGCTGCAACGGCGGCGCTCTCATAATGGTACGATCACACTTGTTGACCCCGGAGAGAAAAATGATCCTCAGAGGAGATGCTCACACTCTGTACTCACAGATAACGTCAGGTGAGATTTACCTGTCTCCTGAGGGGATGGGCATTGCAGTATCTTTCAGAGGGAATGACAATCACGTCGTATATGAAGTTAGGTGCTGTGAGTGAGCACAGCTCTCCTCCCACGGGGTCCAGATCAGGCCCAGGTGTGACCAATCTGCAGGCTGATCTCACGATCTTACCTGCGGCTGCGTGATTGTCTGGCCACCCCATAGTCCTCAAAAACTACTGCTGATTATTGAAGAGTCAGACGGTGGACTTGGCCGTCAAAGTAATAGAAAATGTTAGACTTAAACAACAAAACTGGGCTGTCAGAATTATATGTTCCCAACAGTGGAGGGTAGCTCCATCAGCAACAATAGCTACTATTTTTCTTCTTCAATAAATGTTTTTTTTTATTGCTCTCAGAGCCTTTTTAGCCGAAAAATTCCAACCAAAATATCACAAGAATAATTTTCGGCCATAATTTAATATGAAATAGGGTCGAATTTGGGAGAAAGAAAATAGGATTTCGAGAGGGTACAGTTGCAAAAATAAAGTCCCTGTGTTTTAATACCGTCTGTGTTTCAAGACGTCTGAAAATAAAATTGTAGTGGCATATAAAGCGATCAGAATCAATATCATCATTCATAAATGTAACATAATGCATTGATACTTATAACACCAGACACCAGAGATCCATTAATACTTATAGCAGCAGACACCATAGATTCAAGGTATATTTTTAATGCTTTTTTTTTTTTTTACCCATACTGTCATTACACTTACTGAACACAAAAATATCATGAAACCCATCCCATACTGACACCCCCTACTTCAGAAACCTCCTTAACACTCACAGGGACCCAGTCATATCAGGTTGTTTTGTGGACGCATACAAAAATATGAATTTATGCGTCAATAATTCATCTATGAAAGGGTCAAGGTTCAAGTAAAGACCTCTGATAATTTGGGTCTCTAAAATCTCCTGGCAGACTTAAGGCTGTGCTGACTCTAGACTTAATCAAATGCAGAAAACCAACAACAGCAGAGGTCATGGCACCCCAAATCATCACAGACAGTAAAAACTCCAAGCTGAACTCTAGTCTCTATGTGACGTCAAGTGTAGATCTAGAATAAATGACTGGATTGAACCTTTCATCTTACAAAAACGAAGTGAAAAAAAGGGATGATTGTCTGCACACGGTAAGCTATTTGTGGCATGTGAAAAACAGGTGGAACTATCCTGAGGCAACAGGAAATGTCATGACCTGAAGCTGCATTGTGAACTTTTAATGAACAGCATGTACTACTGACAAATCAGAAGAATTTTAAAGTAAGAAACATTTTTCTAGACACTTCCATTTTGTTTGCAGTTATATTACATTAACAGTTTATACACTGAACTAAAAACTGGTCACAAGATGATCAATCCTCCAGCTCTGTCCACTGCACTGCTGGATGATAAGCTGATAGAAAAGGTTTTCACCCTGGGCGACCTCTAGACATCTGTTTGTCACGTTGTTTCTGATGGCTCCCCCCTGCAAAAGTTTTAGCAAGAGAGAGAAGTTGACAGATTAGTGCTTCAACTAAATAACATTGATTTATTTTGCGCCTCCCATTGGCAGTATCTAGAATTAAAGCTAGAAGTCTACCATTTGGAATAAGGCCGTTATAGTCCTATGGTCCGATCTACGCAATATAAAGATAAAAAAGAACAAAAAAAATCCATTCAGTATATCCGCTGGAAAAAGGCATAACAATCTACCAATCCGACCCGGAGTGGTCCGTGGGTCCATCCAATCCCCTGTCTCCCCTGCTCCGCACCATCCCGCCGCCCATGCGGGAAGCGTAATGGAGCCGCAGAAGACAAACACAAAAACCAGGAGGCCGATTCTTGGAACACGGAGGGGAGGGGTGAGCGAAGGGGGGGCAGGCTGCGATTTTAAAATCTGTCTCAACAGCCAAACTGGTTTTCAGATTATAGACTATAGCTTTAAGTAGATTTGCTTGAGAACATTTTTGAGTGTCTGTACTTGAACATCCCGTGTTCTCCATGTGGTTTGTGTAAGTGATATTGCCGTACCTGTGTCTCAAATGTGTCTAAGGTTGAACATGGAGCATAAACAGTTCAGTTAATCAAGTGGTGGAAAAGATGACCACAGCAGAGAAGGAGGACGATTCTCCACCAGAGTACCCATGGTTATATCTTAGGTCAAGTTTGAGAATTTTGTCAGGAGGTATGGATCCGATCCTATTCCCCTATGTTTCCATTTGCTTTGCTTTCACTGGTCGTGTTATTGCTCCTGTGTAGGAGCCGTGTTTTCTAATTGGACATAAACATGATAAACAGGCAATTTTGACTGCACTCACGCATAGTGTTTTAAAAATGAGTACTTCTCTATTAATCTGACTGAGCAACTTTCACTTGTTTGAGAGTTTGACCCGGAAGATCTCTACTTTGAATAAAAGGTTGGTGTTGTATATGTTGTCCACCACTGGTAGTTTCTGAAAAGATGCAGCATTCACAGATAACTCATTTTGCTAAACTGGAGTACAAACAAAGTACTGGACTGTTTATCTAGTCAAGACCTTACTTGTTTGAAGTCCCAGTGCTGATGAAGCTGGTTTTGTTTTGCCACCTGACAGTCCTGCAGGGAGGGAGTGCTGCCAGAGCCTGGATCAATCAGGCAACGGTTATTATTATACTTATGAGATCTGAGCCCTCCGATTATGATTTCCCCGTCTGTGTTGTAGTAACAAAACTGGTAAAAAGAAAAAAAAAAAAGAGTGTGTGATTCACTAATCTCGTATAAAGTTTTTAAAAATCTCAGTAGGGGTGTTTTTTGGTTTATCCTCTGAGATTACCTGTGGCTGCATATTGTTGCATTCGTACAGGATTGGTATACTTCCTGGAACAGGTCCTTGGTCCACACAGTACCTCTTGAGAAGGGTGTTCTGCAGCTGTGCCAATCAGGATCATGCCAAGAGATTCATGACTTTACGGCTGGTATTTTAGAGATGAATTATCCACAGACAACAGAGTAACATTACAAAAATAACATGTTTTACCAGGTTAAAAACAACTGATAAAGTTTCGTTAAATCATTTATCAAGGCTACATATTGCAGCACAGAAGCTGGTGGTAATTGGTCCACAATTATATTCAGGGATGAGACTAGGCCCATCGGCAAGAAGCTGACAAGGAAGAAAAAAACGGCACCGATGTGATTACTTGTGACTTTTACAAAGGAGTATACCATGCTTGCAATATGCAAAACCTGTGCAACAAGAACTCAGAGAGGAGGAGAAATGTCCTCCACTTTGCACACAAGAAAGCTAAAAAGTCATCATTGAAAAACAAGCAGGAGCTGCACCCTGCAGGGGTATTCAAGAAGGCAAGAGCAGATTAAACAGGCATTTGTGAACTGTACTGCACTTAATAACCCACCTACACTGAAGAGGAACAAGGATTTCACCTGCTATGAAAGTAAATGGCATATGCCCTGTTTGGTGTGACCTCTACACACATTCATTGTCTGATCCACAACAGTGTCAGTGACAGAAGTTTGACTTAAGACATACAGATTCCTGACATCAATTCTGTACAACTGCTGAGAATGCATATTGTAAAAGAAACAAACAAATTAAAGTTTAAGAGGTTTTCTGAGTTTTTGAGTGAACAATAATGATTGCTCTAAGAACTAGAAAATGTTCAGACTTAAAAATACTAAGGTGTAACAACATTTATCTGTAACCTTACAGGTATCAGCTACAAAGGGCAGGTTATAATGGGTTATTTTGATTGGGTTTCATGCATCCTCAATTTTCATAATATCAATTCTTTTTAATAAAGTAGTATGGAGCCAGATCAGGCTCAAAAGTATTGAAAAAGTAGTGTAAGTGAAAAAATAAAAAGTGAAGTGAAAAAATAAGATTTGAACCTGAAAAAAATAAAATGGTACCTGAAAGTCTTGAATTTCGAAATTGAACTTTGAAAAATCCCAGAATGCATGAAAAAAATCTGTTCAAATGTAACTTTGATTCTGTTTTTTAATACTTTTGAATAAATTACTTATTTCTATTTTTCACTTCAATGTATATTTCGATCTTTGAGTACTTTTTTTTTCGATTGAATTTTATTTATTTATTTCAGATTCAGATCTTATTTTTACGGATTCAAAACTTTTTTTTCGGTTTCAGATTTTTTTTTTTCAGATTCAGATCTTCTTTTTTCAGATTCAACTTGAAAAGTTTCAGGTTGACTTTTGAGCCTGTTTTTCCGTGGGGGCGGGCCTCGACTGAGAGGGGCGCGGTCTGCCATGAGTGACAGGCCTCCCCCTCCTTCCCCACCCCATCACCCTGCGTTCAGGAAGTGGCATGAATACACATTAGCTTAGCCTACAATTAGGCTGTATTGGCTGAATGAGATCGTGTTGGTTCGTTCCACTTTAGTGGTGCAATATAAACTGTGATTCATTAAAAAGCTCAATTGATAGCAAGTACTAAAAAAATATATCTACTCATGCCGTCCTGTCGATTTTTAGTAATCAGTGTTTCGGTGTCGAACTATTTCCCCTCTGCGGCGTAGTGATACTTGCACACACGCAATCGAATATGCAGGGGGTGAAGCGATTTTTGTCACGTGGACCAATAGGAGCCGAGTCTCGTTGCCTTAGCATCAGAAATACACAAACATGGCGACGACCGCATCTCGGATGGGGACGGTTTCCGGTTCCGGACGCCGTGGTGGACAGCACGTGGATGGCAGTCGCGGGCTGAGAGGAGGATCGTCATCGTGGTTCGGTGTGGGCGCGAGAATTGAAGTGACTGGAGTGTATGAATGTACTTCGGAGGATAAAGCAAAGTTACGTCTGAGATTTAGCTGGGTGAATTAGATAATCGGTCAGATTAAAATAACGTTAGGGTTTCCGGGGACGGGTATCGACCGACGGCCTGTATAGGTCCGGACCGGTGCCCGTTACCTTGCTTTCTTTATTTCTTTCTTTCTTTATTTCTTTCTTTTCTATAACCTTAGCGGATAGGGATGAAAGGTAGGGGTAGGAGGGGATCTAGGGCCGGGAGGGAGGATGGAAGTGTAGGGAAAGGGGATGGGGGACAGGGGAGAGAAGGAAAGAGACCAAGAACGAACAGTCAAAATTCATCGAATGAAGAAGACATGGAGAGTTTTAGTTCTGAGGGAGAGAGCAGGGAGGAAGGAACTAGGTTGGTTATACGGTTTGCTGAGGGAGGTGGGATAGGGAAAATGAATCCGTTTAAGCTGACAAGGGAACTGACAGGGAAGTGCGGAGAGCTGAAGTATGCGAGGGTTTTGGGAGACGGCAATTTAATTGTGGAATGTTCAAGTGATGTACAGGAAGCCTTGGTGAGGAAGTTAACTAAGGTGGGTGAGAGTAGAGTGGTGAGGGTAGTGCGGGTTGGAGTGCAGGGGAGAAGATGTAAGGGAGTGATTACTGGGATTCCTATCGAGGTAGGGGATGAGGAGTTGAAGGAGAAGCTACGTGCTAGGGGCACGGGAATTGCCAATGTTAAAAGAATGACAAGGGGTCCAGAAAAGAAGACAACCGAGACAGTGTTGGTAGAATTTGAAGGAGAGGTAATCCCAGATAAAGTTTACCTAGAGTACATTAGCTATTTTGTGAGGGCATTTATACCGAAGCCGATGAGGTGTTACAAGTGTCAGTCATTTGGCCACATTGCAAGATATTGTAAGGAGAACAGGAGATGTGCGAGGTGCACTGGGGACCATGAGTATGGGAAATGTGGGGAGGGTACCAAGCCAAGATGCTGTAGCTGTGGGGGGGAACATAGTGTCACGTTTGGGGGTTGTCCAGTTATGAAGAGGGAGGCAGAAGTTCAGAAAATCAGGGTGCTAGATAAGATAAGTTATGCAGAGGCAGCAAAGATGGTAAGACAGAGGGAGGAAAGGTCACAGGGAGTAGAGGAGACAGGGGGTGGTGGAAGAAAGGGGACTTGGGGGTTGGGGAGAGAGCAGTCAGATCAGGATAGGATAGGGATAGACAAAAGGCAGTTAATAGTATTTATTGTGGCAGCTATCAACTCAACAAGCAAGTCTACATCTAAGACCACCAATATACAATATATTGTGAAGGCAGCAGCCGATCATCTGGGGATGGAAGGACTAAAGTGGGAGGAGATAGAGGCAGAGATTAAGAACCAGAGTCGAAGCCAGGAGGTAGGAAAGTCACCTCATGCTCATGGTTCGGGTGCTGCAGTGGAATGCTAGGAGCCTGATGGCTAATGGACAGGAGATGAAACACTATATAAGGAAGATGAAGATACAGCCAGACGTAGTTTGTGTTCAGGAAACTTTTTTGAAACCTAGCTTAGATTTTAAGGTTAGTGGGTATATGACAATCAGGAGGGATAGGAGTGAAGAAGAAGCAAGAGGAGGGTGCGCAATATTTATTAGGCAGGGTATTTCTTATAGGTTGATAGAAAGTGGGGAAGAGCAGGAATATATAGTGGTAGAGTTGTGGGAGGGAGGGGAGGCGGTGGTTATAGTTAACTACTATAATCCAGGGGGGAGGTTAATATTGGATAGGTTAGTTAGGATAAAAGGGGTTGATAGACGAAAGGTTATCTGGTGCGCAGACTTTAATGCACATAACACTTTGTGGGGTGGGAAACACACAGATGTAGATGGTAGGGTAGTTGAGGAGCTAATGGAGGAGAGGGAATTAGTATGTTTAAATGATGGGAGAGGGACTAGAATAGATGTCAGAACAGGAAATGAGTCAGCTATAGATATTACATTGGTATCAGCAAGTTTGGCAGGAGTCAGTAAATGGGAAGTGTTGTCAGGAAAGTCGCTAGGTAGTGATCATTATTTAATCATGTGTACAGTAGGGGGAAGAGTGGAGGTGGGGGCGGGTAGGGGGCTCCGGAAATGGGTGTATAGTAAAGCAGAGTGGAATAAATTTAGGGAGGTGAGTGAGGGTCTACTGGAGGTAGTTGATACAAACAGGGATGTGGAAGAAGTCAACAATAGTGTTACAACAGCAATAATCACAGCAGCAACTCAAGCTATTCCGAGGAGCAGAAATGGGAGGACCAGGAAGTTAGTTCCATGGTGGTCAGAGGAGTGTAGCAAGGCAGTGAAAGCCCGAAATAAAGCATTCAGAAAGATTAAACAAAACCATACTATGGCAAGTCTGTTAGAATATCAGAGAGCACAAGCATTGGTGAGGAGAGTAGTTCGACGCACAAAGAGGGAGAGTTGGAGACAGTTTTGTAATGGTATAGGGAGAACAACACCAGTAGGAGAAGTATGGGGTATGATAAGGAAGATGGGAGGGGACAGGAGGGAGTGGGAATATCCTGTAATTACAGAGGAAGGAGAGACAGCAGTAAATGATAAGGAAAAGGCTGAGATGATAGCCAGGGCATTTGCAAAGGTGCATAGTGTAGACAATCTGACAATGGAGGGGAAGAGGAGAAGAGAGATGACTCAGAGTAGATATCCAGGTGCTCTAGACAGGAGGACGGATTCAGGGGGGAGATAGACACCAGATTTACTATGGCAGAGCTTGTGAGAGCGGTTAGGAAGGCAAAGCCTACAGCTCCAGGGGGAGATCAGGTAAGCTATGTAATGCTGAAAAATTTAGGGGAAAAGGGGATGAACAGGATGTTAGAATTGTATAATAAGGTATGGGAGGAGGGAAGGCTACCGAGTGTATGGAAGGAAGCAGAGGTAGTACCGATCAGGAAGCCAGGTAAGGACCCATGCTCTCCTTCTAGCTACAGGCCAATAGCTTTGACTTCGAACATTTGTAAAATTATGGAAAGAATGGTAACAGAGAGATTGACATATGTGCTTGAAAAGAGAGGTACGCTGGCGAGATGCCAAAGCGGATTTAGAAAAGGTAGGAACACAATGGACGCAGTGGTGAGACTAGAAAGTGAGGTGAGGAAGGCGCAGGCAAATAAGGAATCTGTAGTGGTAGTGTTTTTTGATATAGAGAAGGCATATGACATGATGTGGAAGGAAGGATTACTGATTAAGTTGCAGGGGATGGGGATTGGGGGCAGAGTTTTTAATTGGGTAAAGGACTTTTTGAATGATAGGAAGATTCAAGTTAGAATAGGGTCAGAAATATCTAGTAAATATGAAGTAAGGAACGGCACTCCCCAGGGGAGCGTAGTTAGCCCACTATTGTTTCTTATCATGATTAATGATGTTTTTTCAGAGGTACCAGCAGATATAGGAAGCTCACTGTTTGCAGATGACGGAGCACTGTGGAAGAGAGGGAGGAACACCAAACATTTAGTCACTAAGGTGCAGACAGCGATTGATGGGGTGACAGAGTGGGGATTAGATTGGGGGTGTAGGTTTTCAGTAGAGAAGACTCAAACTATAATTTTTACCGGGAAGAGGGTGGGAGTAGATGTGTCATTGAGTATGTATGGTAGGCAACTGGAGAGGGTTGAGGCATTTAAGTATTTGGGGGTGGTATTTGATAAGAGGTTAACCTGGGCAGATCATATCAAGCGGGTAGAGGGTAAGTGCAGGAAAGTGTTGAATGTGATGAGGTGTCTTGCAGGCAGAGAATGGGGGGCGAGCTGTGATGCATTAAAAACAGTATATGTAGCTATGATTAGGTCAGTTATAGATTATGGGTGTATAGTTTATGGATCAGCAGCAAAGTCCCTTTTAGGAAAGCTAGATACGATCCAGACAAGTGCATTAAGGATCTGTAGTGGGGCCTTCCGGACGTCACCAGTGCCGGCAGTACAGGTGGAGTTGGGTGAGATGCCGCTATGCCTGAGGCGCAAACATCTCATAGCAAACTACTGGGTTAGTTTAAAGGGCAGCAGTGGTACCCACCCCACAAAAGGAGTGATAGAGGAGTGTTGGGAGGAGGGGAAAGGTAAGAGGGAGCATTTTGGTAGGATGGGGAATAGAATAACAGCAGAGCTTGGGGTGGGGGAGATGGAGGTAGACCTAACAATAGTGTATCCAGCAATGCCACCATGGAGAATGATATGGCCAACAGTGGATTGGAGTGTAATGGGAAAGAAAAGGAAAGAGGGAGGACAGGTAAGCTTGGTCAGCGTAGTTAATCAGCGCCTGAGGGAAGAATATAGCGGATTTGTTCAGGTATACACGGATGGGGCAAAACAACCTGAGACGGGGGTGACAGGATTAGGGGTAGTGGTGCCATCGAGAGGAATTGAAATCAATAGAAGGACATCAGACGGTCTAGCGGTAAACACAGTGGAGATGTTGGGGGTGATGATTGCACTGAAATGGGTGGAAAAAGTTAGAGTAAAGAGGGTAGTTATATGCACGGATTCAGCATCAGTTTTAGCTAGCATTAGATCATTCCATTCAAGCAGCCGTCAGGGTTTATTATATGAAATATTACAGTCAGTAACAAGAATAGTACAGCAGGGGGGTCAGATCAGTTTTTTATGGGTTCCAGCACATATAGGGGTGGAAGGAAATGAGAAGGCAGACGTGATGGCTAAGGAGGCGGTAGGGAAGGAATCAGTGGAGCTGAATGTTAGGTTAAGTAAAGCGGAAGTTAAGAGTATGATATGGGAAAAGCTTATTCAAATGTGGCAGAAGAAATGGGAGGGTGAGAAGAGAGGAAGGCATCTTTATAAGATTCAAGAAAGTGTTAAAGTTAGGAGGTTGGGTAGTGGACAGAGAAAGGAAGGGTCAGCATTGATAAGGTTGAGGTTGGGTCATTGCGCATTAAACAAAACACTGAAAATGATAGGGAAACACCAGACTGGGTTATGTGAGGGATGTCAGGTGGAGGAGTCAGTGGAGCATGTACTAATGGGTTGTAGGAGATATGAGATGGAAAGGGGAGAGATGAGAAGTAAGTTGAGGGAATTGGGTATGCAGGACTTTACACTAAAGGGAGTATTACAGATGGGGGACAGGGCACATGTGAGAGTGTTAGTCGAGTTTTTAAGGGTGACGGGGTTGATTGATAGGATTTAGTCAGTAGGAGTATGAAAGTGTGAGTGAATGAGATGGGAAAGGGTGGTGCACAGGGGGTTTTGCATAAGAATTGCCAGAAGAGGGCGGTAATGCACCGTACACAAGAGTGCCAACTGCCGTTAAACTAGAAGAAGAAGAAGAAGAAGAAAGACCGCATCTCGCAGCGAGAGGAAGAAAAGAAAAGGAACAAAAGAAAACAGCCTTCAAAAGTGCATAAAAAGGAGCGAAACGATGTTTTATGCATCGCGGCTTTGAGAAACAAGAACGTGATGCAGCCGCGGATGGTATGGATGAATGGTATTGTCTATGCAAAAATGCATTGAACAAGTAGCACCAGCGTATTTGAACGAAATTCACTTTCTAGGCACTTTTTCCTTTGTCCCAATACAGCCTAAAACCTCGAGCCAAGTTTCTTTCGCGGAGTTTCCGATGCCGTGGATGTGGATGCATCGGCGATGCTGCGTTAAGGGTTTGACTGACCCGCGGCTGCATCACGTTCTTGTTTCTCAAACCCCTTTTGCAAATAAATCGCTTGTAGCATGTTATGTGAAACCCAGTGTCATCAGGAACATTGTCAAAGTCGATATCAACGCAAAGTTTCTGCAAGGTCCTTTGTCTCACCCTGTACAGAAAGCCACTTTCTAATACTAGTTCTGTAAGTTTCCCGACGTGTCCTTGTAAAGTGGAGAACGTCTTCACTCTGGACAGATGCATATAACATCGTTTCGCTCCTTTTTATGCACGTTTAAAGGCTGTTTTCTTTTGTTCCTTTTCTTTTCTTCCTCTTCGCTTGTCTCGCTGCGAGATGCGGTCGTCGCCATGTTTGTGTATTTCTGATGCTAAGGCAACGAGACTCGGCTCCTATTGGTCCACGTGACAAAAATCGCTTCACCCCCTGCATATTCGATTGCGTGTGTGCAAGTATCACTACGCCGCAGAGGGGAAATAGTTCGACACCGAAACACTGATTACTAAAAATGGACAGGGTGACATGAGTAGATATATTTTTTTAGTACTTACTATCAATTGAGCTTTTTAATGAATCACAGTTTATATTGCACCACTAAAGTGGAACGAACCAACACGATCTCATTCAGCCAATACAGCCTAATCGTAGGCTAAACTAATGTGTATTCATGCCACTTCCTGAACGCAGGGTGATGGGGTGGGGAAGGAGGGGGAGGCCTGTCACTCATGGCAGACCGTGCCCCTCTCAGTCGAGGCCCGCCCCCACGGAAAAACAGGCTCAAAAGTCAACCTGAAACTTTTCAAGTTGAATCTGAAAAAAGAAGATCTGAATCTGAAAAAAAAAAATCTGAAACCGAAAAAAAAGTTTTGAATCCGTAAAAATAAGATCTGAATCTGAAATAAATAAATAAAATTAAATCGAAAAAAAAAAGTACTCAAAGATCGAAATATACATTGAAGTGAAAAATAGAAATAAGTAATTTATTCAAAAGTATTAAAAAACAGAATCAAAGTTACATTTGAACAGATTTTTTTCATGCATTCTGGGATTTTTCAAAGTTCAATTTCGAAATTCAAGACTTTCAGGTACCATTTTATTTTTTTCAGGTTCAAATCTTATTTTTTCACTTCACTTTTAATTTTTTCACTTGCACTACTTTTTCAATACTTTTGAGCCTGATCTGGCTCCATAAAGTAGGTTACAGAAAACCTGAAATTGCTGTGGCTGTAGTCCAGGCTCCCTGATCTAAAACTCTTAAATATATATCAACACAGTATTGACTTAAAAAATTACTCTTACCAAACCGTACCCCAAAAGGTTGTCCCATGGTGCCAGACTTGGATAAACGTTATCCAGGTACCACTGGAAGGGTTTACATTTCATCTTTTCTCTGAGTTTCTTCCTCTTTGACACGTCACCGATGTCAATCCCGTGATTCTGTTTGACAAAGTTAGAGTCAGATTGTGGATCAGCAGAGCAATGTTTAAATGTATAAATACAAAAAGAAGAGGGGTAAGGGTCACTTTGAGGACAGCTTTTCACATCAAACTGGCTCATGTGTCATTTTGTTTTAACACAGAAAAAAATCACAAGCAGTGAAGTAATGCAGTGATTTGAAAAAACGACTGCGTGAATGTCCTGGTAGACCACAACTGTGACAGTTAAGGTCCTTTCACACCAGGAAGTCAGTATTTTTTTTCCGAACCCGTATCCTGTCAATACAAGTGTTCACATCAGCGACGTTTTCCCGTCCAGTGATATTGCCGCTTTTATTTCATGGTGGATTTTTCTAAAGTTTTGCATACTGTGTGTCCACTTTGGACCAATCAGATTGCGTGTTGTTGTGACGTCAGATTCACCGGTATATCCAACATGGCCGACTGGGTGATTGTTTATGTGTCGGAGAACAGAGTGCTTTTTGATAAAAACACAAACATTACAAAGATAACGACCTGAAGGACAACTTGTGGCGAGTCATAGCGTCGGATTTCTCATATGACGATGGTTTGTGTGCTTTTACAGTTTGCTAAATGTCTTTTTTTTAACTTTCATCTATGCTAAGTAACTTTAGCTCGTAAGCTAACCTGTTCAGGTACAACATACCATATGTATTTTCACTGTCTCAAACTCAACTAGAAAAATTGCATTTCCTTGCAGAAAATGCGTGGAAATGCTGAGTGCTGAAAGCTGAAAAAGCAATGCTAAACTGCTAATAAAACATGGAGAAAGGTATAAATGTTAAAGCTGTTGAAGGGGTGAACAGAAATATAAGTTGGATAATTGATTAATTGGTTGAAGGACAAATAGTATGAATATGCTCTATAAAAGGAAATTTTATTCATGCTGAAAGAGGCTAGAAAAATGTCGAAAATTGCACAAAGTTTGAATGAAGAAGGAAATTGCCTTAAAAGGCAGGAAGGTGAGAAGTGGCATAAGTTTAAATTGTAGTACTAGAAGTAGTATGATAAGAAGTCAAGTCGTGATACTAGTAGTCATGTCAGCAGTATTTTTTCAATTACTTTTTCAAGCCCAGAATGGTTTCTGTAGCTCAAAGTTTGTGGGTGGAGATAGGTGGTGAAGCAGACACATATTAACTGTGTGTACAAGCAGCTGAACTGCAAGGTAGACCTCATAAAGCAACAAGTACAAGAATGTGTGTGTGTGTGTGTGTGTGTGTGTGTGTGTCTCGTTAATGACTGCATCCTAAACAGCTGTGAGATCAAAGGCAAATCACTAACCAACTGTTTGACTGAGAGGTGCTGAACTGCAGTGAATTTCAGCCTGTGAACTTCTTCACATAGCGTGATTTCCTTAAGTCCCAGAATGAAAATAAGAACATCGTACGAATCCTCCGTCCTTCATGAACACAATGATGTGTTTTTCATGTCTGTACTTCGAAAAATGAGGCCACAACAGCGAGTTAAAAAAGTCTGAGCCTGAGCGATGATCCGGATTTTCTTGGAGAAAAATAACATTATGGTCAATGGGAGAGATTTCCGCCTTTTTTGGACAGTTGGTCACCTGCTGGCCAAGGGGTACGATTTAATGATTTGAAACCTCTTTTGTGAGAAGCAGGACACATATACCTCCATTTTGATGTATTATTTATGGCTGTGGAGTGAGATTTGTGGGCGTGGGAGCGATATATTCGAGCGAGGTTCTGTCGATCAGAGACGAGGTCTGCGCTCTAGCTGATGACATCATCACTCTAAACTCTCCAATACACACCCATTATAAAGCTTGAAATTTGCTGAAAACCACAAGTTGCTTAAAGCTAAATTGTGGAAAAACTGTAGGAGATAGCACAAAAAAGTCAATACAGCATATTTGGAGGAGAAGATTGTGAACATTTTGAAGCAAAAATGAGGTCTCTAGGTGAAAGTATGCTGAAGTTATAAGGCTGAGAAGGTGGAGGAGTAAAAGGCAGAATTTGAAGATTTCCCCATTCATTTCAATGGGAAAATTTTTTGCACAAAAAGTCAAAAATATCAAAAAGTATAAGGGGTTGAAAAGTGAAAAATACATCCGCACTATTCCTGAAGGAGAGGAATAGTTTAAAAGTTGAACGGTTGAAATCGGACAAAGTATGGAGGAGTTGAAAAGTTGCAAAAAAGGTACGGAAGAATAATAATAATAATAATAATAATAAAGAAATAGGAGAATAACAATAAGTGGAAATGCTTAATCAGCATTTCCACTTAATTATGTTGCTGTCACAGCACCATTAGGTCTCGGTTGTTTCCTTATGTTTATGGATTATAGTTTCATGTGCTTATCTGGTACTGGCCCCGACTCAGTACATGCTATCATGACAGAAAGCCATCTCAACACTAGTGTCTAATCAGAACTGAAAAACACTCAGTCTGCTGTTGTGTCAGTCTTCTCGTTTCCACCCGGGACGCGTCTTTTTTCCCCCCAGAAAGTCGCAAAATCACATCGGGCTTGATGTGTACAGTCAGGCGCGTCAAAATTCTCCTCCAAATATTACGTAATTTCACATTCTTTATTTGCGTCAGCCCTGGTGTGTAAGGACCTTAAGCCTAAATGCCCTTAACTAGGACCCTAAATCTCCACCCACATTAAAAACAAATATGACTCTGTAGTGGAGACCACTGCATAGGTTCAAAATCACTTCTAGGGGCCACCTCAGACCTTTAGAGGAAGGTTCCAGGCAACAAGCACGTTCTTCTTGTAGTCATCCAGCCAGATTTCTGCAGCCCTCAAGGCATTTCTCCTCATGGCAGAGTCCAGATCAGGTGCATACGGTTTAAACACTCTCTCAATGTGAGCCACTCTTGAGCAAGGCACCACCTCCACACTGCCTCCACACAGCCACACCTGCGGGCAGAAATCCAGTGGTGATTGGTAGGGTTGCAGATCTTCAACTATTAACAATTTTAACAATGCATCACGGTAAGATAACTGCTTTTTGGTACTCACACGGATCCCAAGTTCAACATTTTCTCCTCCGTAAACTGTCATCCCTCCATCAAGCCCACCAATTTCTCCAAGGAAGTTTCTGTCTGCTGCAAAAATTCCCATGACAGAGGGGCTCCTGGGAAACACAGGCCTTTGATAGTCAATGTCTTAGTAGGGGAGAGTGGGGTAAGATGAGACGTTTTTCATATTTCGGATCACCACATCAAGGCAATCATAGTTTTGTCTGTAACTAGTGTATCTGCATATATTTCAGGATGTTGTGCATCCCTGCAAACCAACAGATTAAGTGTAAACATAACTGAGATTAGGATGAATCATGGGATGAATGTCGCAGGATTTAAAGCACTACTTCAAAAGTCTGAATATACAAATGTGGCAATAAAACTTTATGCAATCTCAAAGGACTAAAGGTTTAACCAAACCCTGAGGAGAAAGTTTTACATACTTCCCCGGCTGAGAGTCGTCCTCCATCTTATACCAGTCTTGGTCAAAGCTTTCATACATGCACCACAAAGCCCAGTCAAAGCCATGGGAGGCTGAGATATATCCCTCCACGTGAAGATCGTCATAATGGACCTTATCAAACACAGGAGACACCACAACCGTCCTGTCAGCTCTGATCCTGTCCAGCAAAGGTTCTGCCCTGGAGAGGAAACCGGAGAGGAACAGCATAATCACCTCAAGAGGAGGTCATTAAAAGCGGTACTGTTGCAACCATTTGTTTATTTTCTTCTGTATTATCACTGGCACTGTGGATAGTCCCTCAGGGCATTTAAAGGCGGCACTGATCTTGACAATGTGATAACTGTGATAATAATGATGATGTTTTCACAGCATAATCCCACTGCTGACGTATCGTCTTTGTGTAATCATGCCAGACATAGGAAGAAGACAATTTGAAAGATATTACTTGACTTTCATTGCAGGACCTGGTGCAACAATGAAGGTTTAGACTGAGTTGAGCTGACCTCCAGTTAAGATGTGAATTTGAGAAAGAGGACTAATCACAGACAATTTGACTTTGAAAGACTGGAAGTAATCGGTGGATTTTTATGATGCGTTTGGATTAAATCTCATAGTGAGGGCCAGGTAATCTCAGAGGATAAGCCATCCTTAACTTTTAAGGAAGTATATGTCTTTGTTTTGAAGATTAACAGTTAACTGGGTTCTATTTGTCATCAACTTTTCCACCTCTGCTGGTAGTGCATAAGCCCTGTTTGTGAGCCTGAGACATTACTGACAGTTTTGACAAGACAATAAGGGAAGAGAAGAGGAAGAAGAAAGGTTATCAAGGGTGAGATGAAATTTAAATAGTATACTCTAAACTCAACTTTACGTACCATCCTTCTGCGACTTCGATATGGGCGTCTAATATGGCAACAACATCTGCTGTAGCGTGCTCCCAACCCGTGAGCCTGGACTGGGACAGGCCCATTTGATGCAAATGTCGGATTTTCTTAACTAGTCCAGGCTGCTCCTTGTTAATCTGACTGATGTAGTCTTCTAGAGGTTGTCCGAGGTCATCTGAAAATGTAGATCGCAGTTAAATCTATAGATTAAGGGGTATGGATGACTATGAAAGCCATACAAATCATTGAAAAAGCTTTGAAAATGTAGTGATGCTGAGTGGTAGTAAGTGCTTTTTCCTTGAGGTTAGGAGAGATGTTTGTCAGAATACATGGTTAAACTTACTGTATGTGCTGCAGTCATCGACCAGAATAATCTCCTTTAGCAGGCGCTTTGGTGTTCTGTTGATGATACTTCTTACTGCTCTTTTAATGACAGAAAGAGCTTCGTTTACGTAGATCAGCACCACGCTGATGCTCGGCAGGTCCTTTGAGTACTTCCTTGTTTGACACCTGTTATGATGTGAGAAAGATGTAAAATCACGGGTAATTCTTAGCTCATTGTCATCTGTGGTGGCCGTCTGGTCAAAAGGTTACCTGCTGTCTCTTGTATCAGGAACGCTCCTGTCTAATGGCAGCTGATTGCTCAGGAAGGCGTTGTATCCGTAAAGATGAAACAGAGCTTCAGCCTCCTTTTGTTCCCCCTCCGACAGGCCATCGCCCCATTTAGCAAACAGGATGGAGTGTGGATATAACTTGGGGAAAACAACCTTCTCTTTTTCTGCGCCCACATTTGTTAAAAGTTCTTCGGAGGCGCTCTTCTGATGAGGTTCTTGGATTAGCTTTGCTTTGAAGGAAATGTTCATAAAAAGATAGATGGGATTGACAATGGAGATCATCAATTTAATTCACTAGAAATTTTTTTTTGCCTCTTTCTATTTGTTATTTTGAGCTCTAGGTTTTTCAATACTTTATATCTGGTAGGGGTGCTAACTTTGTCTGGGCAGTAGGCAATCTTGGATTGTACAAACCCCAATCCCAAAAAGGCTGGGAGAGGTTCAACAAAAGACTGGAAAAATTGGGGACTGCTCAAAAACACCTGTTTGGATCTTTTTCTGAGGTGAACAGGTTTATTGGAAACAAGTGAGTATCATGATTGGGTATAAAAGAAGCATCGTTCACAAGCAAGGATGGGGCAAGGTTTGTCACTTTGTCAACAACTGCGTGAGCAAATAGTCCAACAGTTAAAGGTACAGGTGAAAGGTACACACAGGTTTAGGAGCATCATATGCTGTCATCTAAGCCATGTCTGTTTCAGGGACGTCTCTGCTTATTACGGCAAGACAAAATCAAGACAACAGCGTGACTTTATCAAAGAGGGTAGGGACTATACTGGCCTGTCTGTCCTGACCTGTCTCCCATTGAAAATATGTAGCCTATTATAAAGTGCAAAATGATACACAGAGGTAAACATGACACTATCCCAGCTTTTCGAGAACATATCGCAGGCATCAAATTCAAAATGATTGAAAATTAGCAAAAAACAATAAAGTTTATCAGTTTGAACATCAAATATCTTGTCTTTGTCGTGTATTCAATTGAGTAAATGGATTTGCAAATCATTGTATTCTGTTTTTAATTCACATTTCACACAATGTTCCAACTGCACTGGAATTGGGGTCTGTACTTCATTCATTTGCCTATTTGAGTGGGTGACTGTGGGAGATGGTGCTTGTTGATCAACAAAATGATCGTGAAAACTCCACACAGTGCCTTTAATCTGAATACAATCTGAAGCAACTTGTAGTCCACCACCTTCAGCAGTTAAAAGAGGACACAGGCTGTCCTAAAATGATCAGAAATGTCCAGAGAGGACTCCCCCAGATTTAAATCATTGCACTAAAACTCAACAACATGGACGTGCTAAATGGTGGATGAGGCTTTCTGGGAAAGACAGTTTACATATTTAATTTACATTTTATTAAGGCTTTCTGTTTAAACTTAAACTCTCTCAGCTAAGTGGGTCTTTCATGTGCAAGATATCTCAACAAACTGGTTCCTCTTATCACTTTTCACAAGTTACCTCGCTATTATATTTATAGACACTCCTTTACATCTCGTAGGTTGTTTTTGACATTGAACTCACTTAGCTTGTTTAGGGTGTGTTCTATCCTGTCAAGTTTCCTCTTCACAACTTCTTGATCCTTGAATCCATCAGAAGAGGAGTGAGAAGAGGAGTTTGACCTCCAACTTGCAGAGAAGTAAATGAAGATGTAAATAAAAATGAAAAAGGCTCCAATAAATCCAGCTTTCAGCACACAAGTCTTCATTGTGATCTCTTCTCTTTCATTCTGTCTGGCATGGCAGCAACTCTCAGATTTACGGCTCCAGATGTTTCACAAGGAGCGTCTTATCTTTTAGATAATTCTGTCTTCAGCTGCTTGCACCTTATTTAACTTTCTTTAGTCTTTCAGTTTATATTCACTTCATATAGTTAAAAAACTTTGAAAAGGTTTACATGGAAACAGACTGCTGTTAAAACGGACATAACATTGACATATAAATGAATGTTTGCTTCACTGAAAAGGTAATCTTGTAGAAACTTGCAGACAAACAGCGGAACAGAGGTTTCAAAGTACATGTCTGTATTTACTTGGTTTATTCAACCACCCCCTGATCAGTGCACGTTTTACTGTTTTATGATGTCTAATATCAGCAGACTTTATCATTGCCCAAGGGTTGAGTATAAACTCTGGTTGTATGGGTACCAGGTTCAAGTGTTCACATGTATTTCTGAATTTTTCATTAACACACAAGATCTTTCCCTGGCAGCTGTATAAAAATAGATTGGACGACCTCAAAATGCCACCCCTACCTCCTGTATGCATCTTTTTCTTTTTTCTGGTTGATTTGCCCCTTTCTGTCTGTTTTTATTTTTGCCTTAGTTGATGTTTTAATCCATCCTTTTATTTATCTTATTCATTTGTCTGTGAGTATTTCTGTTCCCTGCTGTGTTTTAATGTCATGAACTAAAACTCCTCTCCTGTAAAACTCATTTTGACAAACTAAGTATATAACCTACATATTGTGCGTTAGTCCAACAATCTGTATCCATTTCCGATCCATTTCTTATCTTTGCTGACTTTATGGAATTATAGTTGGGGGTTGGGAATGGAAAATTTCCTGAATCTCTTGTTGCATTGTTTACTGTCTAGTTAACTTGGGGATGAACTGCTGCTGTTTTCCTCTCACAGCAGCTGTAACATATATGCCAACTGTACATTTATGACTTTAGTCCTAAAATATTTCCTCTCTGTTGCTTCCTCTCAATGTGAAAAATGTCATCCCCTGGTGGTGACCTCTAGAATTACACCTAGGGTGAATTTGGAGGCGAGTCAGAGCACTTTGATGCTGCGCTATTATCCATATTCCTCCTCTGCTAGCCAAAGAGGAAGCAGAGGAGTGTTAACGTCTCCAGCATGTCCCACCTCACTACTGCGACACCATAGATGGAGGTCGAGCAGAAAAAGTTCACTGCTTTTTGTTTAGTTTAAACTTTAAAAAGTCTAAATCTGAAGTGTGCTGTTGAACCACCTTGTCGAACACAAACATTCTGGGAGGAGTGACAGATTCACTGTATAAAAATAATCAAACTTGTCTCTAACAGCCTCTTTGAATTTGGTGGATACACAAGTATCAGCATTTATCTCAATCCGTCAACAATAACGGCAGAAAATTCGTAGCAGGAGCTTAAACAAAAGTAAAATGATGAAAAGTCAAAGAAAAAGTGAACTGGACAACAAAAAACAAGGACATCCTTAAAGGATAGTTTTATTTATTTACACAATATAGTTTAAGAGCAGTTGGACATACATCTGTTTCCCCAGGTGATGCTGGGAATTTGTTGGGTGGTTTTAGTAATTGACAGTTTTGGCAGGTTTTGCCTCATCCAGGTCAGCTTCAAGATAGCGGAACCCACGGTGGCGACGCAGAATCTCGATAGCCTTTTGCTCTACGGTGCTGGGAGTGATGCCAAGATCCTCCAGACCAGGTAGTCCAGGGTACTTCATGTCTGTCAAGTGAAACTGAAAATACAAGCGCAAGTCAGAAGTACAGTCTGCTTACTTTGGGAAAGTAAACCGCAATTCTTAAAACTTGGGAGACCAAAGTTATGTCAGTGGTAATTTTTTACCCTTTCGATTTTGTCAGGAGATGTCCAGGGCTCAAACGGGCTCATAGCGAAAAAGGAAGCAGCAAGGCTGAAAAAACGCAGATCATTTGGAGCATTTAATCTTTAGTTTTAAGTGGATTACACAGGGTAACACCATAAAAATAAAAGCTCTTGAAACTACACAAGTATAGTGCATTCATTTAAGAAAAAAAACCTGCTCTGAATTCACAAGAGAAAATCTCTGAACTATGAGAAGGAGGTGGTGGTTTGAAGCTTGAGTGGGTTATTTGAAAAGATCCCTGAAAAAAAAAAAAAAAAAAAAAAAAACATGATTGAGACACTTACTGATAGAGAGGGCGGGGCAGCGGGTAGGGCAGAAAAGCTCTGTGTGTCACTGCGTAGATGTACTCGACCAGATCATGTAGGAGGTAACGGTTGGGCCTAGACAAGAAGGAGAAACAGGACAAATCTATTAACAGAGGACAGTTTTCATGTTGTAATTCTGTTTGTTTTTTTACTCTTTAATTTGCTGAATTGTGGGACACATGTTCATAGGGTGCTAACCACATACCCAACTAATGCATATGTCTTTCCATTGGCATCAGGGTCTCTGACAGCGTTTATGATAGCTTTAGCCACATCCACCACCTGTAAGAGGACACAGACTGATGATTTAATGTCATCAATGTGTTTTTTTTTATTTCAGGTAAATATGACTGATGTAGAAATCAAAGTGCATTTGAAAGAGGAGGAACACTTATCCCCCCAAAAAAATTCCACTGAGAATTAAAACTATAAACCTGACATAAGTGGACAAATGAGACTTTTGGCTATGTGGTTGTTACACAAGTAGGGCTGCACAAATACAATGAAAATGTATCAATATACTCGCAATATGAGCATCATTAACAAAATGCAAAAATCATTTAATGTGTACAATCCATTTGAACACACTCAGAGTATACATACAAGTTTACCTGAAATGCTGGAGAACAAAATACCCCAAAACACTCAGACAAGCTGTTTTACCTCAGTCAGCCCAAAGCAACTTGTGTACAAAAAAACGTCATGTAATTTTAGAACAGGAGCATGTAAATAATGTATTATGTCAAAGACTGTGTCATTGTACTTAACACTCTGACTCATGTTGCACACGTCAGCATTTTTTTGTTTGTTAACAACCATCAACCTTGTTTGAATCTGTCGAGCCATGAAAGCTAAAAGCTTTATCTCATAACTGTCATTTAAATCCTAATCCAGCATGCAGGACCCGATCGAAGCGTGGTGGGGTCTGCAGACTGAGGGGCTTTATTTCGTTGTGTTGTTACATTAATAAGAAGTGCATCTTGAGAAAGTGGTCACTGTGTTTTCTGCTCCTCTTTTACTGTCAAACCGACTTCTACAACCTCAGTCTGACAGCTTCAGGTGCGTGAAAGAGTTGGATGTTCTAGTCTGCAACAAGATAACCAAAGAAAAGTGGGTTTTGAACTTCTTGATGCTCAGTCATAAATATGCATCAGGTGAAAATGACAGGTTACGGGGTTAGTGAGGTTTCTGAGGGGTAAATTGAAGAAAAAGAGTTGTTAAAAAATGAATTGGGTAAAGTGTAGCAGAATTGTTTGTCTGTTTTGAGGTTTAATAAGGAGGCATTTTATCTCCCTAAACATGTCAAGTTTTATTTTGCTGCCGACAACAAATGTGAACAAGAAAGAAACTTCAAAGAAAGTACGCTGGAGCTTAAAAAAACTGAAACTCCAGCAGACACATCTGACCTTGAGTGATCTGAAAAGATTTGAGACATTTTCGGATTTAGACACTGAAGCTTATATAGATACGATCAGGGCAAGTGAAGGACAATGCCAGTGAAGGGTTTTCTTTATCTTGGGTTGGTGCGCACTGATGGAGGTTGCTGCTCTGGGTGCAGAAGAACAAGGGAGAAAGAGAGGCGTTTTAAAAGAAAGAAGGCAGGAGAGAGGGAGAAAGACGAGGTTTTCTTGGTCTCTGGTCTGTTTTTGATGCACTGCTGTCTGGGGGTTGTTGTTGTTTTTGTGGTTGTTTTTTTTACTAGCATTACAACAATTTCTCTCAGAGTTTTGTTGTCAGCATACCAACCTCTTTTAAACTTGTTGCTCATGTTGAAGTTTCTATATTTCACACTTAAAACAATATTAGTTTGCAGATTTAGCATTTGATATGTTGTGTTTACCCAGTTTTCACTTAAAGATACAGTTTGAATAGTTATTTAACAATTATATTCTTTCAACATGTTAACCAGCATGTTGAATAAGCATTGAAACTCAAGTTGAATTTGGGGTTTATGTATACAGAGCTTCCACTCTATCCTGGTAAACCTGTAGTTGTAGAGTTGACTTGTCATTGAAAAACATACCCTGAAGCCCACAGAAAGGATCTGGGTCACCAGTTTTTCATCCTAATTTTAATTTCTACGTCTGAATCTTTTCTCAGAGTTCTAGTGTAAGGGTCAGAGTTCTGAAAAAAATTGTTTAAAAAAATCAGACAGTCAAACTCAAAAAGTCAAGAGTTAGAAATCTATGAAAATCCAGATCATCAGATCAAATCATCCTGAGCTCATATGGGTTCGAAAACAAACACTGATGTCCGAAATAATAGCACAAAAGAAACGCTCCTGGTGTGTAAGGACCTTTGAGAATAAGAAGAATAAGAAGGACTTTATTGATCCCCAAAGTTGTCTCACGTAATATGTCTATAAAAGTTAGCTACTATTTACACAAGAGTTATAAAGCCTGATGGCTGTTGGTACAAAAGATCTTCTAAATCTTTCTGTCCTGCAGCGAAGAGAGAGGAGCCGTCCACCACCATTGGACCTTTGGTCCATCAAGGTTTTGTGAAGTGGGTGACCCATGTTCTTGAGAATAGACTCCACCTTCCTCAGCGTAGATCTCTCCACCACATCCCCCACTGAGTCCAGCTTGAGTCCAACCACAGAGCCAGCCTTTTTCACCAGTTTGTTAAGACGGCTTGCATCTTTGTGTTTGATGCTTCCTCCCCAGCAGACTGCAGCGTAGAACAGAACACTGTAGACACCACAGACTGATAAAACATCTGCAGCATCTTATTACAGATGTCTATTGATCGGAGTCTTCTCAGGCAAAAGAGGCGGCTCTGCCTCTTTCTGTAGATGTAGCCTATATTCTTAGACCAGTCCAACTTATTATCCAACTTTAGGGTCTATTATCAACTTTAGGGTCACCAAGGGTGTAAAAAAGGGTGTAAAAACACCCTAAGTGACCATGATTCTCTGTAAACATGGTCTATATGGTCAGATGTTCTCTGAATGGGTCCATTAGACTCAAATACACTTTAACAGCAGGTTTGAAAAATACATGATTGTTTTAGGGTGTGGTTTTGTTTACATTTAAATGTAACCAAATCGAATGTAAACAAACATCAGGAGATACACATACACAGGAGCAATTCCATCATGACATCATCATGACATCATCATGACATCATCAGTAGTGAATGTATTTAAGGAGAGCGGCTGTCCAGGGTAGGATCGTTTGAACCTTTCAGCGAGTGACTGCACTTCAAGAAACAGACAAGCGAATCTATTAGCAGCAGAACTCTAAGACTAGAAATCGTCAAAGACAATGTTGCGATCAACCCGACCAAGGTTGACTTGGTCCTTCAACAGGAGGGACAGAGAGATCGGGGAGCTCCGCAGGAATGCGAATCTGCTCGCTCAAGAGCTGATGAGAGAGAGGGAATCCTGTGAAGAGGAGAAGAACCTAAGACTTCTGCTCTGCCTGAAGATGGAGGAGACCAAAGACAAGCTGGTCTTACAAAAGAATCACACGAAAAGGGCTTTTGACAAATGGAAGGAGACCCAAAAAGAGCTGGACATGCTAAAAAAGCACAGCTCAGAGGAGACCCTGTCCAAACACAGGATTGCTCTGAAGGTAAGGGACAAGAGCAAGAGGATGAAGAGGAAAGATCTTCATGATGATTACGAGGAGCTAAAGGCGGCACACAGTGAGGAAATTAAGAAGATCACTGCACAAGTTGAGGGTATGACTAAAGACTACATGGCCCTTTCTGAAGAACTGGGTGAGATAACCATCTCATACCGCGAGCTGAGCTCCCAGTATAAAAGTCACCTCACTTCTGCGAGACAGCAGGTCGAGACTCTTCAGCGTGAGCAACAAAATCAGGCTCACCTTCAACAGACCATCCAGAGTCTGAGAGCCGAATTGGACGCTGTGCATCTGAAAATGACAGAGGAGACTGCTTTTCTGCAGCAGACAGCTTCTGAAACTGAGAAGAGATACAGGACTGAGCTGGAGGAGCTAAAACAACAGCTCCAAATCCAGAAAGCCAGTATGATGGACTCTGATGAACTGGTGGAAACTACAGGACCTGCAGAAATAACATCAAATACCACCAAACCACCACCCTCTGTCTGGAAGCAAACCAGATACTTCCTGAGGTCAAGAAAGCTGGAGAAGTGGAAAAAAAAACAATTTCATTCAAGTTAAAAAGAACTTGAAGTAAAAAAAAAGAAAGAAAAAAAATGAAAAAGAAAAAAAAAATGAAAAAAAAAAAAAAAAAAAAAAAAAAAACCCTTGTGGTTTTCCCTCCCATGGGAGGGTTTTTACTTCCCCTCCTCGAGCTACCACCTTACCGTGGTGGAGGGGTTTGCGTGTCCCATTGATCCTAGGAGCAATATTGTTGGGGGCTTTATGCCTCTGGTAGGATTGCCCAGGGCAAACAGGCCCTGGGGTAGGGACCAGACTAAGCGTAGCTCAAATAGACCCCTCATGATCGACAAAATATTTAGCACCAAGTGTTCCTCGCATGGATGTGGGGCACCACATCATCACAGTTAGCGCCACTGGTTAGAGGCACCAGGCAGGGATGGTGATACTTAATGCTCCCTGGCTTGGTGCCTGTATGTTGGGGTTCACCCCAATGGTAGAGAGGGTAGCCTCCATTTGCCTTCGGGTGGGGGGATGGATCCTGACTGTTGTTTGTGCTTATGCTCCAAACAGCAGCTCAGAGTATCCACCCTTCTTGGAATCCTTGGAAGGGGTGCTGGTGAGGGATCCTTCAGGGGGACTTCAACACCCATGTTGGCAATGACAGTGAGAGCTGGATGGGCATGATTGGAAGGAATGGCCCCCCTGATCTGAACCTGAGTGGTGCTTTATTGTTGGATTTCTGTGCTCATCACAGACTGTCCACAATGAACACCATGTTCAGACATGGGTGTCCATATGTGTTCCAGGACACCCTGGGCCGCAGTGCGATGATCAACGTTGTGGTCGTGCCGTTGCTTATGCGGGGTGGGTTCAAAGATATTCAAGCTGTGGCCTGCATTATGTCCTGTAAGGTCATCACACTGCTCATGATACCATATACCAGAGAATAAGGATTATTTTTCCCAGTAATCCTTGAATGTCTTGTAGAGGCTATTTTATAAACTATATATCATCACAGCTAGTTTTATTCATCCTGTCTCTTACTGAGGAATGTCAGTGTGGAAAATAATGCAATTTGTGTACCTCAGTTTATTCCTCATATTCATACAGCACCCACTCTTCTCTTGTGTCTCACTTTAACTTAAAAGCTGTCCTGGTGTTGTTCTACATAACCATTGGTAAATAAGGCGGAAAGCGGTTACTTGCTGCTTCTCCATCAGTTTAAATTTCTTGACTTGTTAGCAGCTGTTTGCAGATAATTCTTGCATAAAGTTAGTGCAATGGTAAAGTTGATTAGAAATCCTGAGGTGATGATGGAAGAAAAAAAAAGTGCTACCATCAGCATAAAGAAACCTGCTTTTGTATTAACAGTTGACTCAGCTGTCTACAGGCTCAACGTAACAAATTGTGTCATTCAAAGTTCAACACAACAAATTGAGTCATTCATTACATATTAAAATTTAATATCACTATTACTTTTACCGAAGTTTTAGAGGACTTGTTAATCAGTACTTTTAGTCACCCGATTAAGTCAAACTTAGGTATTTTATTGTAGTTTACACAGGAGAGACAAGACCCCAAACCTAGGCTAATTATACAGCATCTCTTACGTAGTCTGTGTTTTTGTAGTAACTAACAGTCGACTAAGGTCGACTAAAGGTCGTAATACTCGATTTATTTATTACTACCGCAGATATTGTTTCCTGTAGTTCTTGATACGCAGAAACGAAATGTTATAAATATAACTTCTGTTCCCTGAAGGAGAGGAACGAGGTACAACACATATAGTATGGGATATCACGCCCCTGCGTGACCTGACTGAAGACACCTTTATTCACGCCTTTAAGGCAGATGATCTGTGGTGACGTCTGGGAGGCTCCGCCTGCACATATATACGTGTAACACCACAGTCATCCTTCAGTTCGATAGCCGCTCTTCACCGAGCTCTGCCGCGCAGCGGGGCAACCCAGTGTTGTACCTCGTTCCTCTCCTTCAGGGAACAGAAGTTATATTCATAACATTTCGTTCCCTTTCAGTCGATTCACTCGGTACAACACATATAGTATGGGACATATATACACGCCCCGCAGAACAGCCACCGAACCGAAGTCAAAACCTCCAAAACTTTTAGTGCATTGTAGACCCAGCAGAAAGGACAGCGTGAGCCACCGAAGGTGCTGTCACATCCAAACGGTAAAACCGAACAAAAGTGTGCGGTGATGACCAACTGGCTGCAGTGCAGATATCACTCACAGAAACCCCTTTAAACAAGGCCCAAGAGGCCGCCATTCCCCTGGTTGAATGTGCCCTCACACCTTGGGGCAACGGGAGACCCCTGCTGCCGTATGCTAAGGAGATAGCCTCCACAATCCAGTGGGAAAGCCGCTGCTTAGACAGCGCCTTGCCCTTGGCTGGATTAGCAAAACAGACAAACAACTGGTCACATAAACGCACACTCTGAGTGCGGTCTATGTAAGTGCGTAGTGCACGCACAGGGCACAAGGAATGCAACCTCCTCTGCTCCTCAGATGCAAATGGAGGGGGGCAGAAGCTCAGCAGTTCAAAACTCATAGAGCTATAGGCTGTGGGGATAATCTTAGGTAAATACGCCGCGTTTGGACGCAATGTAGCCTTAGATCCATCCGGAGTGAACTGGGTACAAGAGGGATGCACAGACAAAGCATGAAGGTCGCCCACTCGCTTTGCAGACGTCAAAGCAAGTAGCAGTGCAGTCTTGTATGAAAGAAATTTCATGTCTGCTGACTCAATAGGCTCAAATGGGGGTCCACCAAGAGCCTCAAGCACCAACCCTAAATCCCATGAGGGAACACTGGGTTTAAGAACAGGTCTTAGCCTGCGGACTCCCTTTAGGAAGCGCATAGCAAGAGGGTGAGCGCCTGGCGTCACACCATCAAAGCCAACATGGCATGCAGATATAGCCGCCAAATAGACCTTAATTGTTGAGAAAGAGAGACCCTTATCCAGCAGGTCCTGAAGGAATGTTAAAACATCCACAATAGAACTCTGAAATGGGAGTACATTTCGGTCCTGACACCACTGCTCAAACGCCCGCCATTTATAGGCATATAGGCCCCTAGTAGATGATGCCCTTGCACTCTGGATTGTTGCCACCACATTTGGGGGCAGACCCTGAGCCATTAAGTTGGACCTTTCAACAGGTAAGCATGTAGTTTCCACAGTTCTGGGCGCGGGTGAATCACCTCTCCTCCCGCCTGGGAGAGGAGGTCCCTGCAAAAAGGGAGCTGCCAGGGCCTCGCTACCAGCAGACTGATTATCTCTGCGTACCACGACTTCGCCGGCCAGCGAGGAGCCACCAGGATCAGGGAGAGCCCCTGCTGGCGCACCCTCTCCAGAATGGGCAGAATCATTTCCACTGGGGGAAAAGCATATAGCAGCGTGTTGGGCCATGGGTGAGCTAGCGCATCCATCCCCAGGGGAGCATTGCAGTCTGTTATGGAAAAGAACAGGGGGCAATGAGTATTTGCTCTGGAGGCAAAAAGATCTACTTCTGCCTTGCCGAAGCGGTCCCATATCTGAGCCACCACTAGTGGGTGCAATCTCCACTCTCTCACAAGAGGACCCCCCTGGAGAGAAGGTCTGGTCCAAGGTTTAAGTGACCCGGAATATGTGTGGCTCTGAGGGACAGAAAATGAACACTGCACCATAGCAACAGATAGTGAGACAGTTTTAACAGGGGAAGAGAGCGTGTCCCTCCCTGCTTGTTTATGTAAGAAACCACGGTTGTGTTGTCCGTCCTGATCAGAACATGATGGCCTGTCAGAACGGGACGAAAGTGCTTCAGAGCTAAAAGGGTAGCTAGTAGCTCCAGGTAATTGATGTGGAGTTTGCATTGTGCTGGCGTCCACACACCTCTCACTGCTGCGCCCTCGCACAGAGCCCCCCAACCCCTCAGGGATGCGTCTGTGGACACCACCTTGCGAAAAGACACCCTCCCTATCGGAGATCCCTGTTGTAGAAAACCGGGTTCTCTCCACGGGAGAAGAGCCGACATGCAAGACTGAGTTATCGTCAGCCTCCTCTGGAGGTGACGCTGCGCGCACAGCCGGTGAGACTGAGTCCAGCGTTGAAACGCTCTCATTTTTAACAGTCCGAGCGGCACTACAGCGATCATAGATGCCATCATGCCTGTCAGCTGTAAAATCGTCCGGAAACACAGTTTGCGTCCCAACTGAAATTGTGCAAGGCAGCGGTGAAACGCAGCCACCCTGCGTTCTGACAGACGTGCTCGGCTTGAAACGGAGCATATTTCCAGCCCGAGAAATGATACCTGTTGACTCGGAGTCAGTGAACTTTTCTGTAAATTTACTGAAAAGCCCAGTGTTTGGATGTGCGATAGGGTCAATGACAGCTGAGCCGCTGCTCGCTCTCTGGAGCTCGCGATTAGCACCCAATCGTCCAGATAGGCTAAGATGCGAACACCTTTCTCCCGTAGCGGAGCTAATGCCGCCTCGACACATTTGGTGAATGTTCGGGGGCGAGTGATAAGCCGAACGGCAGCACCAGGTATTCGTAGGCTATGCCCTCGAATGCAAACCTTAGAAACTGCCTGTGGTCCGGATGAATTGCTACGTGAAAGTAAGCATCTGTCAGATCGATAGTTGTAAACCAATCTCCCGGTCTGATCGCGCCCAGTAGCTGTCTGAGTGTTAGCATCTTGAACCTGTAGGTTCGTAGGTATTTGTTTAACACTCGCAAGTCTAGGATAGGACGGAGCCCTCCTCCTTTTTTCGGAACAACGAAATAGCGGCTGTACCAACCTTTGTTCGTTTCCGAAGCGGGAACAACTCGTATCGCTCTCTTGTTCAACAAGTTGTTTATTTCTTCCCTCAGCACTGCTGCTGCTTCCTCTGCTACAACTGTGTGTATTACAGAGTGAAAGCGAGGCGGCCGGACCCTGAACTGTAAGCGGTAGCCGATGGCAACAGTTCTCTCTACCCACGGTGAGACTGCGCATGCGCGCCACCGAGAGAGACGAACAGTCAGTCGACTGACCTCCAGTACTGTGGGGGAGGGGTTGTCGCCCCCTAGCGTGCCGGCTGGGAACGGCAACACTTTCTCGCCCAGACTTGATTGATTCATGATGTTTTGAGAACAAAACGAAACCTTTATTTGATTCAAAGAACGTACATTTGTGACATTCACACAGTGAACAACAGGCGCCATTATTGGGGCATGTGTATGTGAGGGGGGTTGTGCTTGGGAGACTGTGTTAAGGGAGTGCAGCGCCTCTCGGGACCGGACCCCTGAACGAACTTTAAACGCGGCCTCTTTGGCGGCAGAAAATGAAGGGCGGCAGTGTCTCCGTGCTGCTGGCCCTCTCGAGTCGATCCCGAAGCTAGGATGACTGCTGCTTCTTCTTCCTGGGCGCCGAGTCCCTCCGGAAGCTCGGTGGCGGACCCTTGTTCCAAGCCGAAGGGCGTGGGTTCTGACCGGGTACATGTCGCTTCACCGGCTGGGGCCCCAAGCTGGCGGGCGCTGCAGTCCTCTTAGGGGGAGGCGCTGGTGCCGGTTTGTGCGGATAACCCTGTTGTTTGGGCCTCGCATCACGCCTGGGGATGATGCTTCTCAAAGCTTCGGTTTGTTTTTTCCTCAGCTCAAACTTAGCTTGAATGTCGTCGAGGGACTGCCCAAACAAACCGCTGGCCGACACAGGCTCGTCCAGATAAACCGCTCTGTCCCTCTCCGGAACGTCGGAGAGAGTCAGCCACAGGTGCCTCTGCGCCACCACCGTGGAAGCCATGCCTCTACCGAGAGACAGCGCTGCACAGCGGGACACACGGAGGATGTAATCTGTGGCGACCCTAGCTTCATTGAGGAGAGGAGTAAGCGGACTGTCAGGAGGCATACGCGAGCCGAGTTCTGCCAGACACATAGCTTGATATGTCTGAAGCATAGTGACGGAGCTCAGTGCACGAGCCGTATTTGCCTGTGTCCTGTAAATTTTATCCAGCTGTGACGCTGAAAATCTACAGTGCTTGGATGGGAGCGTGATGGGGCCACCGACACCGTGATTCTGGGCCGGGGCCAGATAAGCTGCCAGGGACGCCTCCATAGGCGGAGGGTTCACCAATCCAGCTTTTTCAGCTCCATCTAGATCCAGAAACTGTCCACAACCGGGCACTGTGGCGCGGGTGGACAGCGGCTTGTTCCATGTCGAGGTTAGTTCCGCGACAAAATCCGGGAACATAGGCAACCTGTTCTTAACAGTCGTCGGTTCGGGTGGGAGAAAAAACCCTGTGAACCGCGACGGTTTTTGAGCTGGTGGAGGAGAGGGCCATTCTACCTCCAGTTTCTCAGCTGCACGGCGGTACAGTGAGAGGAAGGATGTGTCGTCCAGATCAACCGGCGCAGCAGCGGCGGCATACTGACCTGAAGACAACGGCTCCAGCTCATCTTCCGAAAAACCCTGCACGTCCAGGCCGATGTCCAGCACGTCATCGTCCTCCTGGTAACAAGCTAGCCCGGATAGCGGCTGGCCAGCGCCCTCGGAGGGGCCCGGCTCAAACCCAGCTGACCCGTCAGCACACTCCACATGGTCTGCCCAGCTTCCAACTGAGCCTTCGACCAGAAAGTCCTCACCACCGGACTCGGACGAAGCCGGGTCTCTGGACTCGGAAAGGAGGGGGTCGTGCAGCGCAACAGCGGTTTTTCCAAGAATTTTCTCCACAAACTTGACCCGCCTTCCCAGGGTTGAGCTCCGAAGCCGGTGACAGGACTCACACGACTCGGGCTCAGTCAACGCCCTCCTGGCGTGGACAATCCCCAGGCAAACGGGACAAGCCTCGTGAAGATCCTTCTCGTGAAGGGAGAAGCCGCACCCCTGAGGACAGGGGCGAACAGAAGACTTCGCCTTCACCTTCATGGGCTTAGAGCTCATAACGAGACTCAAAAGCTGAACGAAATTAGCGCTCCGCGGGTAGCCGTAGGCTAACACCAACAGGGGCAGTTGAGCTAAAGTCGATCAAGCAGTAGCCAGAGACAAGACCAGGCTAATTTAGCAGCAGCTAGTTAGCCCGACTCGGTGTAGGTGTTCTCAGCGAGGTGAAGAGCGTAAGAACTGAAGGATGACTGTGGTGTTACACGTATATATGTGCAGGCGGAGCCTCCCAGACGTCACCACAGATCATCTGCCTTAAAGGCGTGAATAAAGGTGTCTTCAGTCAGGTCACGCAGGGGCGTGATATCCCATACTATATGTGTTGTACCGAGTGAATCGACTGAAAGGGAACCAGAAACATTTCCTTAATATAGAGTTCAGGGGATATTACATCTGCAATGTATAATCAATAATGACTTGATCTTCATGAGTGAATATGACTTGTACATTTAAAGAGAACTATTTTTAAATTTTGGTTCAGCAATAGACATTCGTAGACAGGCTGGCTTCTGTAAAGTTCAGTTTAACAGCTGTTCTGTAATACTAAAAAGTCTTATTTAACTCATCAACACATAACATGTGATTCAAATGATGCGCTTGAACCGAGAGGTTGCTGCAAATCTGGTCTCTCTGTATTACCTGTAATTTTTTGTAATTTATGCTAGATTTTTTTCATATTTCTGTTTTAATTTTGTTGGCTGCTGATGAAAATTTTCTCATGTTCTGCCTTATGACAAATGGAACAGAGCAGGACCAAGAGTAGTAAAAAATATGAGACAAGTTGAGTTTTGTTAGAGAAAAATAGGCTTAAAAACATCAGATATAAAATAAACTATTGTTGATTTGTCAAATTAAACAAATGAACAATATTTTTGTGGATTAGTGTCCTGTATTTTAAATATGACTAAAAAACACTCCAAAAGGAAAACTTGTCACAATATCAGTTTCTGTGCCAATATCATACAACCAAGTCTAAAAAATGGCACCCAATCCAACACCACAAACTGCATCTTGAAGTCAGTTTAGCACCCACCTTAGGCTCCATAAACATGCTAAACTATTTGTTATGGTTCTGTAAGGATGGATGACTTCATAGTAAAATAATCAGTGAACAACATATTAGTTGTTCTGTCAGCTGAACACTGATAAAATGGTAAGAAGTTTGCCTTTTTTAAACATGAAACATAAATACAAATACAGCCACTCCCTCCCAGGAAACTTACATAAACCGGCTGCTTCACAGTCTTCTTCCCCATTGCCATGAGTGGAATAGCATTACCAAACCAGCGCATGTCTGAGGGAGGATAAAGTCAAATTTATCATCAGACAAGCTAACACAGAGACAACAGTAGACCAAACGCTTAAAGCACAGGGGAATCTCAACAGGAAAGCACAACCGTCAACAGTGTGACTTTTTGAGTCTCATTGTCAACAGCCATGTCGACATTCTGATAAATCACTGTCTACGAGTCTCTTCAACATACGAACACTTACTTGCGTAGTAGTTGAAGAATCGATCCTCCCTCCCAAAGACCTCAGAGGGCTTCATGATGATGGCATCAGGAAACTCCTCTCTCACTGCTGTCTCTCCTACAGCCTGAAGTCAACAGCAATAGCAATTGTATTTAGATTGTGTTCAATAAGCTCAATCTGCTTCACGTTGAGGGTAAAAACAAAAGTATCACAATTGCTGACACAACATAGAAATCAACATTTTCAGCCAACTCACATAAGACACACCGCATAGCAGACAGAAAATGCACAAAGAAATCCAAATAAAGCAGGAAAACATCGCCTCGTAGTTGTGATTGCCTTCTTCTTCTGACAGTTTGTCTCAGAGAGACTGACCTCAGCAGCTCAAGATCCTTTACTGTACTCGCACCGGATTCTAGGGGTGATAAAATGACCTCCATCTGATGCCCTGAGCAGCTGGATAAGGGTGCAGAGGAGCTGACTCCCTACTTTTAATGATTTCAACAGTGTTTCTGTGCTGAACATGCAGTCAGTGAAGTGTTTTGACGACTGGAGTGACATGTCGAAGTGGATGCGTTTCTGTCAGGACCCTGGCTGCGGGGTTTTGGATTAGTTGCAGCTGCTCTGCTGATCGTTTATATAACTCTTCATCGGGAGCACTGAATCCATGTACTGTCAGCTTGGAACGCCTTGGATACCTAGCCTGACTGGGCCATCCAGTTGCGTGAATCATCTGCCGTTCCTTCCCACAATATAATGTTGTGGGAAGGAACGACAAGTGATTCCCAGGCGAAAGATATAATCCCTCCACCTGGTCCTGGGCCGGCCATGAGGTCTCCTCCCGGTGGGACATGTCCGGAACACCTCTAACGGGAGGCGTCTAGAAGGCATCCTAACCAGATGCCTGAACCACCTCAGCCGACTCCTCTCGATGTGGAGGAGCAGCGGTTCTACTCTGAGCGCCTCCTGAGTGAAACCCATTTCGGCCGCTTGTATCTGTGATCTCGTTCTTTTGGTCACTACCCAAAGTTCATGACCATAGGTGAGGGTCGGCACGTAGATCGACCGGTAAATCTAGTCTTGCCTTACGGCTCGGCTCTTTTCTTCACCACGACTAATCGGTTAAGCGTCCGCATCACTGCTGACGCCGCGCTGATCCGCCTGTCGATCTCCCGCTCTATCCTACCCTCACTCATGAACAAGATCCCGAGATACTTGAACTCCTCCACTTGAGACAGGACCTCCCCTCCGACCTGGAGAAGGCAATCTACCTTTTTCCGACCGGGGGACCATGGCCTCTAACTTGGAGGAGCTGATTCGCATCCCAGCCGCTTCACTCTTGGTCTCAAAAATGATAAATTGAAGGCAATAAGGTTTACTGTCATACTTCGAACAGTCTAACTTCACTAGCAGACAGAAGACGTATGAGGACAAACTGTCAAATTGGGGGCCAATCTGCAAAGTAATGATGTCGTGAATATTTCATCAATGGTCACTTTCTGTGAGTTTGAAACTGTCATCCTTTGGGCATGCATCTCTGAAGTTTGATGTGCACCAGTTTGCACAATGAACTGCGTCAGAGCAGCAACTGAAGATTACGGAACTTAAAAAAGCAATCCCAGTACAAACTGCTGAAGAGAAACAGAGATCTTTTTGCTTGACTGTAAAGACAGAACTGCAGTGCTGGTTGGATCTGAACTCCTCACCTTGTTCCTTAGGTATTTGGAAGGGCTGCGGATGTCAGCGTTGAGGTGAGACATGTGAATGAACTTTGTGATACCGGCCTCTCTGGCTGCCTTAGCGATCTGCTCAGGGATTTTTACAAAGATGTCCTCAAAGTGATAGTTCCTTTACACAAACAAAAGACAACACATATCTTAAAGTCAACTGAAGATCATTTTTTATGTAATCTGAAATTATATTTATCAGATACTTGGTGACATTTTTCCAGCATTCACATGTACCTTGTCTCCCACTCTCTGCCCACCAGATTGATGACAACGTTGGAGTGCTCCAGTGCCCGTTTGATAGAGTCCTTGTTCCTGGCATCCCACTCCTGCAGCAAGAAGGAACAGACAGGAACAGATTCTGCATTTCAGCCAAGGCTTTAAATGTGAAAACACTTCATTATAGGTTCTTCAATCAATGAGTGCTGTTAGCCTGCCTGTATGGCTACAAGTGTCTTACCATGAACATGATTTGGCCCAGATCACCCATGGGCCTCAAGTACATGACGTCATACTGGTCATTACGGTGGGGGATAATAACCTGAGAGCCAATACGACCTGCAAAGCATCAGAAAATAAACACTTATCATCACATCTTTTCCAGCTGTTATCAATTCACAGATGTTCTTTATTCATGAAGAACTTTAACCGGGTCATTTAGGTCTGCAAATTGGTTTCAAAACCTCAACCTTCACTCACATGCTGTCTGTGTCTTGCATCTATACAACTGTATTTTTTTAAATACTTAAAAATGTCCATCTTGGTTGGGAATCGGTTTGGCCTTGTGGTTAAGTTGCACTCTCCATGTACAGAGATTATAGTCTTCAAGCAGGTGACCAAGCAGCCCCTTTCCTGCATGTCACTCCCCATTCAATATCCTGCTTTTTGGCTCTGGCCAATGCCCTATCTTCTCCAAATAAAGGCACAAGGGCTCAACATGTGACTTAAAAAAGAAGGAAAAGCCCATCATCTCTGCATGAAACAAAAAACACACTGGGTTGTGATAGCTTTGTATGACAGCCCAAGTAGTTAAATGTTCAAATTTGAGGATTGGTAAGAGTTTTGTGGCCTTAAGGTTCGACTGGATCCTGGAAAACGTTTAACAAAACCTCCTTCATGCAGTTAACATCACCTCAGACAACAGTAATTTAAACAGATAATCATATTTTGTATATTTGAGACAGGTTGTAAGTGTAATATTCTCCAGCTCATTTAGTACTACAAAAGATATCTGATCAATATGGAACAAATATTCATTTGCATGAGGGCCCGACCGATTTATCAGTGAGCCGATTAAATCGGCGAATTTTAGCTCATTTGAGACTAAGCGGTAATCGCCCAAAACTCGCAGATTTTCGCGGATATTTTCAGAAATAAAATGCGGAGAATAAGATTCGCTTTCACTTCGAAAATGTTCCACCATTTGAAAATTTCCCCGACTTATCCTGTAAATGGCGCAGCGACCTCATGACAATCTTCATCTACTAACTACCTCACAGCAGGGTGACAGATCTGAAGCAGGCAGCTCAGGGGCGCATGGAGGCGAGTGGTCCGCCTCAACGGTAAATGAACTAGTTTGTGAAGTAGACAAAAAGTCAACAAGTTTCAGTTCAACCCACTTTACCTTGTTCCCCGCTGTGCTGGTCTCGGTCACGCCAAGTTAATGGTGAAACACCATGTAATATGCAAGCTAAAGTTAGAGTTAGCCATCTGCTATTAGCCTTGCTACACTGTTAGCCGTGCCAGTAATGATAGAATAAACAACAGTACACATTATGTGATCGAGCTACTTCTCTTACTGAGGCAGCTGCATGTCTCCAGATGAGACCAGACCGGAATTGTGTAACGTGAGTTAAGACGCGGAGGCACTAATCGGCGGGGGGTTGTTGAAAATGCTTTTCTGGTCCGAGTTTGATTCATGATAAATACGTGGAATATTACTGAGATGATCAGTCGGTCTTCCTGCTGGCGTGAAGAGCAGTAGCCTAAATCAAGAAGAGCAGTAGCCTACAGTATATCTACAGTATATAGTGTACTGTGTATATCTACTGTAGATATCTACAGTATATATATATATATATATATATATATATATATATATATATTTACAGAATATATATGTATTTTTTATAACTTATAGAAAATTAAAAAAATCGGCTGATTAATCGGTAATCGGATCCCCTTCCCCTAATAATCGGCATCGGCGCCAAAAAAATCCATATCGGTCGGGCCCTAGTTTGCATTTATTCTTCTTTCACTGACCCAGTCTGTTGACAACATATCGGCCCAGAAAACCGGTAGCACCAAACACTGTTGCTGCTATTCCACTGGAGGAGGAGCGTCCTCCCTTCCCTTTAGGGATGACGGCATGGTGCAGCTTCCTCTGCTGGACTGAGGAGACGGACGCTGCTGACAGAACAGCAGGGCAGCAGCTACCTGTTGACAGAAGAGCAACACAGACAGTTTGATCAGTATGAAAAAGAAAGACTTGCTTATTTGCTGTTTAGGTACACCTCACTGAAACGTACAAACCCCTTCCTGGTTAGTACAAAAATAACACAAAAATAATTATTGATGGGACTTTTTTTAGAGGTGATTGTTGCTGTAAAACATTATACTGTAGAATGTTATGAGCGCTAATATTGTTAATGTAAGTTGGATTACAGAATACTCATAAAAACCAGAGAAAATGGACGAGCCTTTGCAAGTTTACTCATTCTATGGCACTCTTGCATTGCACAGTTGTGGTAGTTTATTTGTCACTCTAAAAATTACTCTTGCTTTGATAACATTGTGCTCTAACATCACTTTGCATACGATGCACAAGCTGCAGACTTTCCAGTTTCTAGTTTTGAGGCAGAATCCAAGTGTTTTGCACAGTAGTTTCCATTAACTCAGTATGAATGTGTAAAACAATGAATGTAACATATTTGTGAAGCTGTTTAAAGGGATATTCCGGTGTAAAATACCCCCCCCCCCCCCCCCCAAGAGATGAATTTTGTTGACCTCTTGCTTCTCTAGTTATAACAACTTTAGTAATGACCGCACGATAGCAATACACAGCGGTCTGAGGAGCCATAAACAAACCTCAACCAAAACGCCACTCTATAGCCACAAATAATGCTCAGAACAGCACCTAATTTCATCAACAGTACATATAGGGTCCCAGCCACCAAACATCTTTTTAACTTTGCCTCCTCCTCAGACTGGTGTGTATTGCTATCCCTTTAAAGCAGTGGTTCTCAAGTCCAGTCCTCGAGGCCCCCTGTCGTGCATGTTTTGGATGTTTCCCTGCTCCAACACACCTGATTCAAATGATCAGCTCGTTATTAAGCCATTACAGAGCTTGATAACGAGCTGATCATTTGAATCAGGTGTGTTTTTAGCTTCAAACTATGAAATCAGTTCACTCAGGTCAGATCTGGACTTGCTGTTCTGGATCAGTAGCTGGACCAAAGCAGTCTGCACTGAGAAAGAGAGCTGTCTTTGGCCAAATGAAGGAAAGTTTCACCAATCAGAATTTCTACTTTGAAGAGTCTCTGACAATATATAGCAGATCTCTAAAACGCAGGTACTTGAGCTTTAGTTCAGGAGCTGATCCAACGTGGTTTTGAGAGAGAAGGATGAGTGTGTTTTCCTGGAATAAAGTAAAGGTGTCCCGAGTCTGTAGCTGTGTTTTCAAGTCATTTCAGTTCAGATCTGACAACACTACGTAGGTTTGGATCAGGACCTGCTGGTTTGGGATCTAGACGTGGCTCAGCAGTCTATCATCCTATGTTTTAAGAAGGTTTTAAACTCCCTTTTACTGTAATTAATTAAAACACACCTGTTTACAGTTTGATACCGTCATTTACTGATATAGAAGTATAATACCTCTGAGCTGTTAGCAGAAACCAGCTAACTAAAGCCTGTTAGCAAGGTCACTGCAGCAGAGTCTTCAGTCTGACTGTGTGTGTGAGTAAGAACTAGACGAGTTTAAAGATTTACAATATCTAAAGTTAACTAAATATTGTTTTGAAAATATCTAATGTCCGCTGTTTTCATATAATACTCACTTGATATCTTTGGAAGGGCACTCGCAGGACGGCTAACTAGCGCCACGGTCGCCATCTTTACAGCTACGGCATAACGTGTTGGCCAAAATAGTCGAAAGTCAATTCGTAGCTGCAGCGTCCCACACGCTCAAAACAAGAACAGAAAGTGGGGAAATAAAACAGCTAATAAATGAAGATGTACGATTAAATAAAACTAACTTTATCATGGAAAACTGACGGCAATCGTTAGGTAGGGATTTATTGGGCTGAAAGGCTTTTTGAATTTAAGTAAAATGTTACCTTCCGCGATCATCCAATTATTTGTTGTGATGAATAATGAATAATCATTCAAAAATACGAAAAATTCACATCTAGTTTATCTGCATTTTATACATTTCAAGTGACTGAGAAATTATTAATTACAACTCTCTTTTATTTAGTGTCCCCAAAGGTCATAATACACAATCATCACATAAAAATACATAAAAAAAACAAAAACAAAACAAAACACAGAATTATATCATACAACGCTTTTTATATTTTTAAAGGTGTTTTACTTAATTTTATTTATCTTATTTTATCAATATTTTATGGGTCTCGTTGCAAAGAATATATATATTTGTCAGTTTATGCTAAATATATTGTTCGGATTATGCAAATTTGATGTTGTACCTTCCAGTGCATGTACTTTAGTAAACTCATACAGTTCTTTTGGTTTAAAAAAAAAAAAAAAACGCATCCAGGCAAATTTCTAACCTTCAATATTTAGTATCATGCTTAAAAACCAAATATCAAGTATTATTGTGCACAAAGTAAGTAAGTTCTTGGTCCTGCTGTTCCTTAAAACAACAGAAGGTGGCAGCATGCTACATCCAGCCAATCAGAGCTTCTGCAGCTGTTTTTATGGTTGAAGTCATACAGTCTATAAATGCTCTATGATCTGGGTCAAAAAATCACTTACTTTCCATAAAATGTCTGTTCGTTTTTGACCACTTCAATTCAGTTGTAAATGAACTTTTTCCTGGAGATCTTCTCTTATTCATTGATTTATTTTAGAAAATGTTACAATAATATTACTTGACCCGAAAATCACAGATATAGATGTAAAAATACTAAAATAAGATCTTTTTTTCCTTGCTTTTCCAGGAAAAGTTTATATATTAAAACAATTCTTTAGATTAATATATATATATTAAACTTGTAATGTTTTGCTCCAAATGAAAGGATTCCATTTAATGTATCATTAATGTACACTTCCCCTTGGCTCCTTTGATTTTGTTTTAGATCACTTATTTATGTATTTCTTTATTCTAACATATTTATCAATTTTATTACCTTTCATAAACTTAAATCTATATTTTCACCAAATGTGATGCCACTTTGAATTTAAATTATTGCAAAATCAAAAAAAAAGAAAGAAATATAATCACTTGTACGGAGCTAAGAATGTCTGAGTTTTGAGTAATACTGATGTATGAATGTGTGTAAAGAAATCAGCAAAGATTTAATCATTTGAACTTTTTCTTTTAGTTGTGTTTAACATTATTATACTGAAAAGTGACAGGCTGCAAAATATCTAATTAGTAGTCATTGATATAATGTTTGCTTATTTATTTAAGCAAAAAACCTTATTGTACTTCACTACAAGTGCACGTGTTACACTGTTGTTTCATCACAGTCCACTAACGCATACTTAAACTCAGGTTAAGGATTAAATGATGAACAATGAAAGCACATTCTTTCTGAAACAATTTTTTATTTAATCAAAAGAGACATAAAAATGTGTAGTTTTTTTTCACTTTTCTCATTTTCGGTACAATCCACCCGCTCTGCATCTCTAGCTGCTAAGCTGACGGATAGTAAGGGTGTGAGTCTCAGATTGAATCTACATAAACTGATAATAAAATCACAATTTTTACTTTAACAAGTGATTCATTTTGTTTTTCACATTAATCTAGAGGAGATGTTACCCTGCCAAATAAAGGGATCCTGGCAGGTACGTCTGAACCCAAAAAATCCAACACAGCTGTGTACAAGCACGATAGTAAAGTGCAAGATTTCTAATACTGCAAGGCACAAACTATCGATAGGATTGTCTGTCTCTAATATAAAAAATATGAATAACAAAGACATACAAAAAGTTTTCATAGAGAAACATCACAACAAGTAAAACCTTGTCTAACCCTTCAATAAATATCTGACATATTTTCTTCATATATGTTTGTATTACACATAGAAATAAGAGCAGAAATATATACAATATACTCTATTACAAATTCATATTTCATAACTATTGAAGTTAATCAATAAACATTTATGAAACATTTTACATAATAAGTAAAATCATTTATAATCAGTGTCACCAACTACAACTACTCTTGAAACAATATGACAATTATTTCTTTGATTACTCGATAAAAAAAACAACATTTTGGCTCAGCCTTTATTGCACACGATGCTTCATATCACCATGAGAATGACTAAAATGATTAAAATGAGGCTAAGATGTCTAATGAAAAATAAAGATCTCAGTAGTTTTCTTCTCATGCACTTTTAAGATTTGACATATTTTCCTGATATGGAAACAAATAGTTTATGCCGCATGAAACCTTTTCAGTATTTTAAAGGTTTTGATGCACAGCAAAGATCAGAGACTTTCTGTGACTTTAATTTTTGTGACTTTAGTTCAAAAATGAAAATTGGATGTTTGATTCGCTGTCAAAGGAACACAAAGATAAGATTGCATACAGAAAACAAGGAAAAAAAGACATCCATTTTTGCTGACTCTCTGTGCTGTGTCTATTCATGTGGGAATGTATTAATTCCCATCCCAACAGCAAAAACATCACCTCTCCAACTCTGAAGCTAATGACATGGATGTAACTCCTTTAAACTGTTTTTCTGGTCTTATGAGTCCAAAAAACCAACATGGCAGTATTTGTAGTCCATCAGAGATCTTTAAATTTCCAGTGTAAGCAGAACCCAGACAAAACTTTCTCTCAGTCCAGTTGCAGCGCCTCACTTTCTTGGAAGTGAGAAACAGAGTCTGAGTAATCCTGTTTCCTAAATGTCATAATGCAGCACAGCTCCTTCTCGCTGTTACATGATCGGGGGTAAACACTGAGACGGCTCCTGGCTTTCTTGTCTCTTTGTTCCTGTTTCTTCTTGAGGCTTGATGATGATGTGAACAGGCCTCTCTCCCCCTCCTCCTCCTACCTCCTGGGTCTGGCTTTCTGTGGAGATTTTACCCTCACTCTCACACACTTCCTCCTCTGCTGAAGCTCCGATGGGCCGCAGACGCTCAGCGGGGGCCATCTTTGTTCCTGATGATGAGGTGTCTCTCTTGAGCTTGTCATTGGTGCTGCTCTCTGAGCCGTCCTTCTCTGCTGGAACACGGACACGAAGACATTAAAAGACATCTCAAAGTGAACACAAAGCACCTGAGAGTATGTGAAGACCAGAGCACAAAGCTATTATATCTCTATGGATTATTTTGACTCATTCATTTATATTTAGTGAGTAGTTAATATAATGGAGCCACTCACCAGTTTTGCTGTTAGCCTGTTTGTGGAGAGTGTGGTCATTGCTGTTTTCCGTGCTGGTTGAACTGTCGGTGGTCTTCTTCACTGCTGGCCTGGTTCTCGGCCGGACTTTGTTGAAATTTCCCTCCAGGATCCACTCGTGCTGCAGCCCCTCATCAGGAGTCATGCGCTTGTTTGGATCCCAGCTGAATCCCAGAGAAACACAAGAAAAGTTTGTAAGTCTGTTATGTGAGCTGCAACAGAGTACAGTGGCAGAAAAGTTGAATTAACACGGGATGTGTTCGCAGAATGATATTAAGTTTAGAGTGAACGTACGTGAGGCAGCGTTTGATGAAGTCTAAGAACAAAGCATCATTTGTTTTCAGAGCAGCCGACAGCTCCTTTGAGTTGGGTCTCCTCTTCTTCCCCTTGCTGTTGGTGATGTTTCGAGGGTTTCCTTTTGAGTCTGTGCACAATCACCAAACAGCACCGATGTATTAATATAATGTAAAAACAGGAGCCATTTTCATATTAGGCATGACATTTACACCTCTGTAAAAATATATATATATTTACAGATAAAAGTATTGATAAAACTTCTGATATCAGAAAAGGTAAAATAATAGATGTCAATATGGTTAAGATATCGAATAAAGAAAAATAAATAGATTGAATTCTCACCAAAGAACAGCCTCCTTCTTGATGCAGACTGGACAAAATCATTCGGAGGCAATCCAAGAACCTAAATGATATAAAGTATTTCAAGAAACTTTACATTAACAATAGGTATAAAACAGACTATGGGAACTTTTTTGTATTTATTTATACATTTATCTACTCATTTTCTTTGCTTTTCTCATTTGGTTCTTTATCTACTTTTGTTGCATTAAAATGACTGATAAGGGGTAAAAACAAGGACACAAAATCAGTTCATCCCACCTCCATAATGCAGGCGATCTGTTCCACTTCACTCTCTCCTGGGAAGAGAGGATAACCCGTGTAAAGTTCAGCAAGGATGCACCCCAGACTCCACATATCGATGGCCATGCTGTAGTTGTGACCCAGGATGACCTCTGGAGAGCGGTAGAAGCGACTCTGGATGTAGGTGTACACTGGCAGGGAAAGAGGATAGCGAGGTAAATTCAGAAACTGTGAGAAACAACTATTAGGCTTCACTGAAAAACACCAGAAGAGGTGGCGTTAAGGTGTGCCTCAAGTGGACATTTAAGGTACTGCATTTTGTCTTTTGCATGGGCCTTGGAAAATAAAAGTTAGAAATTCTGCAGAATGGGTCAGCTCTGGTTAAAAAAGGGGCCAGCAGATTTATTGAACTGAATCTTGAACTGCTGATCAGATTTCACAGCAGATGAGGAGAACGTAAAGGAGTGCCAATCAGGCTACAGGCGAAGATTAGAAGTCTTTAAGACCAAATGAACCATGTGAAACTTTACACAAATCCCATGCAGATTCAAATTGATTCTAATGTTGTTCTTCTCTGTATTCAGTTTGTGTTGAAACTGACATTTTTCCACAAATAAAGTTACTAAACAATAAATCATTTCTTTTATTTGAACCATCATTTCTGCCACAGCCAGATAAAAATAAGCAGCGCTATACGTTTCACTCTCTCACCTCTTTGTTGTTCATAACAGCTTGAGCCAAAGTCGACCACCTTGATGTTTCCTGGTCCTCTCTGGGACAGAAGGATGTTCTCCTGTTGGCAAGTAGAAGAAAAAGTTTAAACCTGATGCAGTACTGTACTTAACCACAAGATAGAGCCAATCCTACAATATGGGTCTTGTGGTAAAATGACCAAGTCTGTGATTGTTGACATCTCTGAATTTTAGAAACTGAGTTGACAGAAAGTTTGAGTTCAGTACCGGTTTGAGGTCGCAGTGGATGATTTTCTCCCTGTGCAACATCTGCAGGCACTTCAGGAGGGCATGGGTGAAGCGACGGATGAGAGCCAGACTGAAGCCCTGGAAGTTGTTTTTTTTTATGAGCTCGTACAAGTTCACCCTGATGACAATAAAGAAAGTTTGTTTGAAATGCTTTATAATAAATGCTTAAAATAAAAACTAAGATATAAACTCCTGCTGTCATATATCAGTCCAATGTCTGTCAATGTCCAGTTTGCTGTGACTGTGGCATTGTTTTGCATTGGCAGGTCTTACAGGCGCATCATTAGTTATTTCAGTCCGTAACATATGAAGCTAAAAACTTCTCACACAAGCTTCAAAGTAAAAATTAGGACTCCTGTCATTGTAAAACATCAACAAAGATAACTTTTCCCTTTGCTATATTTGAATGTTGTTCCTGCACTTCTAAGGAAGAGCTCAATAAAGACTCACTTATATAACTATGTGCCACATTAAGAACATCTACATATCCTCCAAATAAACACTCCGGAAGAAGAAGACTGCCCAATTTGACACCTCACATTACCTCCAATAAAACACCTGCTGACTGCCAAATTCAAACCTGAAAATAATCTGTGATTGTGCTCAGAGGCATTGCGAGAGGCACAGGATGTTTCCGCCTGCTTTTTCTCGCAACTTGTGAAAGGCGTTAACTTCTTTAGACTGTGTAACCTGAGCCTTCACACCATGGAGCAAGAGGAGGTAAGAGATAGGGCTCCAATCAAGGCCTTAACTAATGGATTCGGTGACGGTAATGTTAGACAAGGTGGCAGAGCAAGACGTCCTCTAAAGGTCATTCAGCCACAGTGATACACAAAACTATCTCCACTCAAGCAGAGATCTGTTACGATTCGAACATAGACGCCTGAACGCTCACATGGATCACCTAACTCCTGATTGACTGCAGTCATGTAGCGTTAAAAATGATGAATAGAGATGAGAAAAGAAGCTCTTTTAAAGACCAAACAATGATCCAACCCCTGAAGGACGATGGCTGCCCTCGACTGCCTTTGACCAACAGAATCATTATGCAGCTCGTCCTTATAGTCGCCTGTAGACCTGTTTAATTACACACAGAAAGGGAGACAGCAAACTGACCCGAGGAGCTCGAAGGAGATGCAGAGGTGATTCCTGAAGTAAAAGTACTCTTTCATGTGGATGACATTGTGGAGGTTGTCTTTGTCTTTCCTCTTGATCACATCCAGGATCTTTAGCTCCACCAGAGCTTGGTGATGAAACCTAAAAACGGATACAGAAAGGTTAAGCAGACTGACTTTATTGTGTTTGATTAAAAAAACTGCTTTAAAAAGTTTTAAATGTCTAAATTTGTCATTTTTTGTTGGTCAGTTTTCTCTGACAGAGGGCTTCCTTTTACTGGATATTTCCTAACTTCTATGATGTACTTAACATATTCTCCCTCGTGCAGACCTCTGCTTTGACAGTTTGCACCTATTTTGTTTCCTGCATTATTGAAGAAGCAGAGATGGCTCCTGCTTCACACCTGCAGGACTCAGGTATTAGCTGTGACCCTCAGTCAGGGAGCACACACCATTAAATACCCACTTTTATGTGGATTTTAATGATTTAGTAAACTCCTAATATGCAAAATGATCATGCAAAAAAAACTCTTTGCAAGAAAATTACACCTTTAAAGGTGCAGTGCATAGAATTTAGTGGCATTTACTAGAACAGACCTGTTAGAAATAGAATATCACATTCATCAGTATGTTTTAATTAATGTATAATTTGAACTGATTGATGTTTTTGATGGTAAAATGCATGCTAACATGAATCACAGGGGCATCTTGTCTTTCAAAGCCATAATAACTTCACCCGCAGGAGGATTGAGCAGGTTGTGTTTAATATGATTTTACCATTAGATATCGGTAATCTTACCATTTCTAATCTGTGTCTTCAGTGCAGTGGTTCATTTTTTAGCATGTTATTTTCCAGCCTCCCCTTTTTTTATTGCATTGATAAGAACATACATTCATCTGCTTTACAGCTAACTTTCAGACATGTTCTTTACTGACAAATTACCGCATCTCTGAAATTATATGAAACATTTCTAAACATAGAAGTGAAACTTCATAGTGCGACATTGACTCAAAAACCTACAAACACTTTAAAAATGGAAGCATTTCAAAGTGACATTGCTAGGTGCAGCTTCCAGCTGGTATTATGTGGGTGATCCACAGTTAGTGGAGGTGAAACTGAGAGTGAGATATGACTCATCTTAATTCTTGTTTTTAGTTTAGTAGCTGTGATGTTTATTGTAGACTCACTGTAAGTCATTCATTTACCTAGCAGTCCTTTGAACAACATGGCCTTGCTGTGCTAGTACTGCAAAACTGTGTGAATTGTTTTTGTTAAGCATGCATGCTCCCCTGACATAAATCTGGGCCTTCCCCGGGGGTTGGGTATGACTGCTTTTATGTGAGGGCCGTCTCATTTTATAAAGCAAGTGGATGACTATTAAGACGTAAAAGCAGTAATGACTGCACATCTTTGAGGAAAAGCTTCAGTCGAAAATCAAACTTGATCTGAATAAAATGAACTCCACCAGGATGAAGTGTTACCTTTTCTTATTGCGAATCATCTTAATGGCTACAAGCTCATTTGTCTTGTGGTCCAAACATTTCAGGACCTGCCCAAAGGAGCCTTTCCCGATCACTTCCAGTACTTCAAACCTGTAGGCGATGTGGTCATGCAGCACCTGGGAAAGCAAGTAGTAGAGAGCTGTATTAACATAATGTACTCTATGTATTAGAGTGCTGTATTAATATAATATAATGCACGTATACAACAGATTTGTGACCTATATAATCAACCCCTCTGCTGTTTCACTGTTACTGCTCCAATAAGCCTGTGAGCTCTGACACAGATTTGGGTCTAAACAAAAGTAAGTCACCCAGCTTTAAACAGCTGATCCATCGCATACTGTTGGATAAAAGTCTGCCTGTCAGTCATCTGATTTATACAGGTCACTGCAGCTGGGTGTTAAAGTGTCTGCTGAACCCAGATCAGTTTATTGTTTACTGTATTCAACAATGAACATCGGGGTCACGTCTGCAGCTGGATTAAGGTCACAGAAACACTTCTGGTCACACATGGAGAAGCAGTTGGCAAGCCTGTGCACGTTTTCAGTCTAAGTTTTAACTTTAAATGCATTTCGATATCATGTTTCAGCAGTTATATGCATGCATGTGTGTTCTAAATGATTCTGGTATGACCCCAAATCAACATCAAACCTTGCCTCCACGTGCCTCCACATATATTTTATCCCTTTATTGCCTTTTTGTATCATATTTTCTGGGTATAATTTGTGGTTTCAGGCACTAAAGGGTTCAGTTATTTATTTTGTCATCTATAATGGCTAATACCATGTTGTTTTTTAAAATGCATTATTTTGAAATTATATACATTAAAAAATGTTTATAATTTGGTGAAAAGTTCTTTTCTAAGTTTTTAAAATGATTGTTTAAAACGATGTTGAAGAGACCAGCTGGTATCTGGAGAGTCTGAGTAAAAAAACTGTCAGCATGGGAAAAAAAAAAAAAAACATTGAGACGTAAAGGATCAAAAGCAGGTACAATTAAAGAATAAGCTTGCATGTTTACTCAATGCTGCAAAAAGTCTTCCTTTTCTCTTTCTCTGTGCTGTCATCTTGGTTTCCCTGCACCTTCATGATGTAACTGAACCGCTCTTATAACCACACACACAATATTTTTAAAATTCTCCATATAATACGGTACCCTGATGTAGCTCCCATGCTCGTCATCATATCCTGAGTTTTGTGGTGAACCTTGAGAACCTTCGATCTTCTGAGAACCCAGACCCAGGTACCAGATCTCAGCGTAGTCCATGATTTCCTCCTGCTCAAACTCCGTCAGCCGGTCTTGGAAGTTCTTCAGTGCCTCTGCAACAGGAAGTAAGAGGAGGAGGAGGACGAGATGAGTCACTTTCATATTGATCACACCTCTGCCAAGAGCAGAGGACTATGAACAACAGACTTGAATGCCAGCGGGCTATTTTTACAGCGTCAGTGGAATAAAAACTGCTCCTTGGTTACATCTCAGCTGAACCCTTAAAAGACTCAAAATGTAACAAAACCTCTTAATTAATTATATAAAGCAATCACAAATTTCATACATGCATAAAACTTTATTTGGCCCACATGAAGAAATTTTGCAAATAACCTCGAAGGACAATTTCTGCTAAGTTTGGGAAGAGAAGGTAGCAGATAAAAGTCAAGTGATGTTCACATTGAGAAAGGACTCTGCTTTATACTCTGACGGTGGAATAAGATGCGGTGGGTGGCAGAGGTAATCTCCTGCTGTGAGGTGCAGGTTAGGGCAAGTTTCTGAAAATTTCAGGGCCAGAAGATGTCAGAAGTTTACGTGTGAAAGAGGCTAAACTCACCAGTAGGGGACATTGGTAACCTTTGACCTTCATAAGACTTTTCTTTCTCCAGCTTGTTGCTGATAATCTTGCTGTTTCTGGAGACTGAAATTTTGTCCAGTGTTGAACCAAAGCGCATGGTGAACTGCTGGGTGGGCTTCGGCCTCTCGTCCTGCATCAACAAACACACGAAAAGAGGAGAGCCTCAAATAAATGAGCTGAAAACAAACTTTGGTGTGACTTTACAATGTTTTCTCAGTGAGTGTTGTCCTGTAACCAGTACATTTTTATTTTATTTTAAAAGCTTTATACTCTGTGTGTGGAGATTACAGCCTTTCTCTGCAGAAATATCAAGAGACACTTTGATGCAGAACAAGTTACAGCATGCAGATATTAAGCTGTGTTTCCATCAAGCAGTGATCACAGTTTGGCTCTACTGTCAAAAGTTGGGAAAGGTACCAAAATAACAGAACTTTACCATCTTACTCTTCTGAGATGGAGCTAGGGTGGACCATTGAGAGTATGTTCAGTTATTAAAAACAAGATCAAACAAGACCCCTTGATGGAAACCCACCATGGCACACTGTCAAAGTCTCACCTGGTGTGTCTGAAAGTTGTTTTGCGTCCCTTTAATGGCGATCTGGGGAAGGATGTTTTCTGACTGCTGGTGCTGGTTTTTAGCATTGCTGACCACCACCTGCACCACCGGTGGCTCAAGCTGAGGTAACGTCCCCACACCGGGCCCAAACTTCTGCAAACCAGAGGGATAGTTTGGATGTTATTGCCGTCAGTGAGGAAGAGACACCACAAAAGCAACATAAAAAGATGCACCAAAGACACAAAATCGGGTCAGCCTGCAGAAGAAACAAGAACTTTTTCAAAAGTTATCTAAAAGCCAACTTTTTCAGATAAAAGGACACTGACGTCTAGATGAGGAAAGCAGGGAATATTTAGTAAGATGAACAATAAGTTAGCCAATTTCAACAGCTAGAAGGCTTTGAGATGGTTTTCTGTAGGGAGTATCTCACTCTGCCTTTCTACGCAGAATAACAAACACAAAAAACACAACAAAAGCAGCTACAGAGAGAGTAGGTCAGCAAGTGTCACATCTAAAAGTATTATTCTTTTTACACTGTAGCTACAAGCGCATTACAGACCCCTTCATTTTTTCATGAGCATGTGTTTGTGTTGCCGCTGCACCTTGTCAGTTTGGGTTTGTGTTTTCAGCTGCATCTCTTTCACATGCATTTTGTCCGTACCGGCTCAGGTGACTGGGACCTCCAGCTGCTGGCGGCTGGAATTACTGATCAGGGTGATCGTGAAATGGGGACAAAGCCTGTGAGGCTGGTGCCTGACAGAAACTGTCTGTGGAGTCTCTGCAGGGGAGGAGAGGAGCAGCAACCTGCTTTTCTCCTCCTGCCATCCCGCATGCTCTGAGAGCACGATTACATGTGTCACAGCCTTGGCAGGCTCATGATGATGGCGGTGATGGGGAAAATTAGACCTCCGCCCCATGCCAAACTCAAGGAGAAATAGGAGATATCCTACAGACAGAAATTGCTGTCAGGAGGGGCATTACTGAGTTTATCTAAGATTTGTTGAGTGGCAATTTTGTGTTAACTTTTAAGAATTCAAGAAGAAGTTACAGAAATGAAATAGACTGGGAACACATTTAATTCATTTTAGTAGCCCCTCAGGAACAAAGAGCTTTCTCATTCATACAGGACAGTATCCTGGTATTTACTCTCACATGTAAAGAGGTGCTGCAGGATCTGCCAACATGGTTATAACGGATAGAGATAGAGCTAAATATAGTTGCGAGCACCTGCCACAACAGGCAAAGGAAGTAAACACTGTTATGTGGTCCTACTTAACGGGGGGCATGCTGCTCCAATAAGATGCATGGGTATCAGGGGAAGTCCATGATGCTTCAAGCCAAATAATCACCTTTGTGAAGAGAGGTGTAATAGTAATGTTTGATTACACAGCAGGAAACCCACAAATTAAGCACGGGTACTATGTCCTCCGAGTAAAACATGCCATGTTAGACTTGATGTGACTGTAATTCAGCCTAATATTTCATTTTTTAGAAATCAGTTTTGCTTAGTTTTGAGTTTTTGTGATTTAAATTTCATCTAAATGTTGTTTTTATGTCCCGTTCATTTTGTTTATGGCTTATTTTATCTTTATCCTATATCTTATCTTGACCTGTTTAGTCCTGAGCGCTGTCATCATTTTGTTTAACATGTCTTGTCTTTTGCTGTTTGTTTGTAAAAAGAGGGTGACTAACTCACTCTTAACCAAAACAACCTCCAGGCACAAATAACGTAAGTATCTTGGGTTTGTGGGTTTGGTCATGCAGCAGATGGTGCATCTTGCAGGAGGGAGGCACTGACCTGTGAGCAGGGTCGATTCGATCCGAGACGGTTGCCTTCTGATGGGATTCTGTGAGGGTGAGGGAAGGCCTCCGGTCGTGACGTCTGTGGGAGGAATGAGAGCATTTCATTACATAAGACCAGAAAAATGAGCTCCGGTCATATATGTGTGCTTTGTTACTATTTCTGTTTGCCATCTTATTTCTTATCTACAGCTGAACACATTTTTCACCACGTTTGAGCAGTCATGTTAAATAATCATGAAACTGCCTCTAATCTTCCTGCTCTTGGACTCTCCATCTATTCACAAACACATGGCTCGTGGGCAGCTCAGCAACGCTGCAGCCAGACGAGCAAAAATAATGCACCCTGATCTTAAAATAGATTGCAACTGTAAAAAAACCCAGCAACAACGACCCTCTCTCTATCTGCTTTTCCTGACGCTCAGAGCAGGTGTGTGAACATGTGCACGTCCATGTGTTCAGCAGTGAGTGCACACGTGCCTCAGAGCCGCTCTCCTCGCCTCGATGTGTTAAAGGAAAATGATGAACGTTGAGATAAAACAACAGAGTTCTGGATATTCTTGAAATGAAAGGACCAAAAGCATTTTGGATGATTGTGCCTGCTGTTCTGTGACCAGGCCAGCTTGTGTGCCTCACTAATCCATGGGTGAGCGTACAGCTGTGTTAAGCACCAACATATGGGTGAAATAAAGCTAAGCCCCATATGGGGATCTGTGTTACACTCGCTCTGCCAGTCTGGCATGCAGGGAGGGGAGGCAGGCTGGGTGAGAGCATTTTGTTCACAGGTGCATGTAGGAAACCTCTGATTTCAACGGTGTTATTGTTCTCACTGATCGGTGAGACAGCAGTGATGTCCAAAAGGAGGAGGAGCTGAAAGTTGCTGATCATTTTTACTGCTCTTACTGACACAGGCATAAAGTAAACCAACTCAAGGTAAACAAAGGTCCGATACCATGAAGCATGATGAGTAACAGCAGGGGACATGTAGGTCAATGTGGCATGTTGTCTTCTGAAACATCACCTGTGCAGGTGTGCTGTAAGCCTGTCTAATGAGCACTGAGCCAGCGGGAAGCCAATGACATCAGAACATATGCCCAAGAGCCAAAGAAAAATGGTGACAGCGACCTTTAAATCCACAGTGACAACAGAGTGTCAGTTTGAGTTTAAGACAATAATGAAGGCCAAATGTTCAGTCAGCGACGTGAAGTGGATGAAAACATCTCTGCACTTCTAATCTTTGTTTTCACAGTGAGCAGTAATGATTTCACTGTTTAAGATCTAAAAATGCAGGATGAGTCAGTGTCGTTGTTGGTAACTTCACTGAAAATGTATGTTTGACACGGTCACCGATCATCCCTGTGTGCACCTGATTTACATCCTGCAAACATTAAACAATGTAAACCAAAGCTTACGGGGACAAAATTAAATAAATTAATGGGTCAGAGGAATCAGAAGTCTTAGCAACTTAGTGAAGCTCTGCATCCACTTGAGCTGGGGTCTTTACCGGAGGTCAGGTCATCCAAGCAAGTGCTTGAGAGCAGCTTTGACTCATTAAGGCCCTACAGGGTTAGTTGGTCAGGGGGTCAAAACAGGCAATAAAACGGTGGGTAAACATCAACAAAGTGTAAAGTTGTATGCACTTATGCTATCAACTATCAGACATGCGTGCTATTGAAGCATTATCATGCTACCCTGCTGTTTTCATGCCACTTAACACCGCCAAGCTGTTAGCTGTTGGCATTGGGTGTGACCACAGGGGAGGATGCATGCTCAGTTAGCGTGAACATTGATCAGTTCTTGAGAGCAAATGTTTGCAAAGTATCCAAACTAGTGAAACCTGTTAAAAAAGAATAATTCACTTGCAAGATCTAAAAACAGCGAGAGTTAAATTTACATCGGTTTCCATGTAGGGAGAGAGAAATACAGCAGAACACATATAGACTTACAGAATCTGTCAGCACAACAAACGCTCAAATAAGTAGGTTGAAGAACGACTGAAATAGAAATGGATCAGATTTTTCATAACTTGGCGTGCAGTCAGGAGAAAGGGGTGGAATACAAAAAAGGCATTCAAGTGGGATAAATTGTGAGGGAGCATTAGAAATGGGAATAACCCTCTTTTCTGCATCCCAAAGTGAGGGGAAACTTTGCATTGTGGATTAAAAAGAAATAAGGGAGGGTGTGCTGAAATGGTTTTGTTTTGGTTTGTAACAGCAGGGATAGGTCTACCTGTGGAGGGTTTCACCCAAAATGGAACAAATCTGGAGTGCAGCCCTGTATCCAGGCAAAGAAAGTTCATATTCCAGAGAAGGTAGACTCACTACAGAGAAATATTAACGTGATACTGTGAAAGATGAAACTGTCTAAATGATAAGATTACCAGACCAGCACTGCTATTGTTGAGGTCATGAATATAAACACAGTCAAATACAACCAAAATAGAAAAAAAATGCTTCTTTAATCAGGGAACTTTCACACAAATCAAAGTGCCTCACCTTGTTATTGATCTCTGGCAACATTATGCGATATCAGCGCGAGTCTCTGCAGCTGTTTGACAATCCAAACTCAGAGAAGAGAGAGATTATAAAATCCAACAAAGAGTCATTGTATCCAACTCTGCTTGGAAACACCAGGGCACGCTTTCCTCCACTTCAACTCCGCGGAGCAGACTGAAACGACACTGATGAGGAAAATCCCGATGACTGATCAGATCCACCAAAACCTGCCGTCCTCCCGGTTTTACGCGCACGAGGTGAATGTGCTGTCGTCACGGGGGAGATTAACGAGCGAGGCAAGCTGTTGAGGGTCTCTGCGCCTTGACGCGTATGCAGCTAAGACACTGAGGGAGCCACCTGTTCAGGTTTCTGCCGCTGACAGCTGGGGCTTTCCCGATATAGATTTGTTTTTACCCGTTTGCTGCCGTCCACCTACACCGTGCAGGATGACTGATGCGCTCTACAACACCGACGCTGCAGCTTCAGAGAGGTTTCCACCGACGCACGCATCGTGGCCACACTTTTCCTATACTGTCAAGGTCCATGAGGGCTGTTCTCCCTCTCTCTAGAGTGGGAATATCCATTGTCAAAGTGGTGTCACGCAGTGTCTTGCGATCCCGGTGTCTCACATTTTACCAAACAAGTGAATAAATCAGACTGTGTCACTCAGGTGTCTCTTGAGTGGAAAGCTGAAAGTGTCCACAAAAAAAAGATTTCACGTTGAACGAAATGATAGCGGTGTACACAAATCACGTTTTCCTTTATGTTTTAAAATAAGTCCAAAATAAGACACTAAAGACAGAGTTTCTTAGGCAGGCAAATAATTCTCTTTAGTTAAAAACAAACAGGAGGGTCTCCACACATTGTTCCACCAAACATAGAGCCAATAAGATGGAGTTTAGGCCACAAAGGGTAGGGGTTCAAACAAAATAGAAGAAGTATGATGCATTCAACAGAGCTGGAAGGATACAATTTTGCAAGCAATCCACTCACAAAACAAACCTGCACGGATGAAATCCAAAAAAAGACAACTATAAGCTTGTGGCATCTATAAACTTAAGCAAATAAAACACAGATGGCTCCTTCTAAATAATCTGTACTGAGAAACAAATCCTGGAGGACTCAAAAACAGCTTCTTCCCTCGAGCCATCAGCATCTTAAACTCCCATAAACCAGCTCCATCCCTCAAGATGAGGTAACAAGTGCAATATTACCAATGTTACTGCTGTTGTGTTGATTATTATATCCTTAACCTGTGCAATACATGTCCATATACATATATATATATATATATATATATATATATATATATTCAAACACACATACATATATATTTATTTTTGATATTTCTCTTTGGTATTTATCTTTCTATTTTATTCTTATACATATGTTTTATTTTACTGTTCTGTAGAATTCTTGTCTTGTTTATATAGTACCTTCTTTCTTACAACTATTTGTACTTTTACTACCTTATTTTCACTTGTCTATTGCACTGGAAAAGAAGAAGCTCTCCAATCTCGTTGTACTTTTAGTATGATGACAATAAAGGACATTCTGATTCTGATGAACAGTGCAGATGCAGGTGACAGATTTGGATGATTTTGCATTACTTTGTTTTTTTTTTTTCATGTTTGATTTGTGCCTTAAGATTTGATGTATGTGTAAATAATATCTAGCCCTCTTTTTAAGTCCCTCTCCAACATGTTTTACAAACAGCATGTCGCTGATCTTTCTGAGATTTTATTTCATGTTCTGAGGAATAAATCAGTCTGTCCAGCAGGGGACTTCTCCTACCTCCCAAAAAAGAAACTTCTCTGAATTAGCAGGAAGGCGTGCTTTCCAGATTTACATTGACGCAATGAAAATAAAGATAGGAAGCAACAAGATACTGGCATCCGTGCATGACACAGTATTTGCAGCTGTACAGATGCCAGTCGATAGGGACGGTATTTGCATTTGTTATTTGCATCGCATATTTGTACATCAGCATTAGTTAATTAAAATTCCAATCTCAGGACTCACTGGGAGTACAGGATTTAATGTTAACCATCAGTCTGCCTGCAAACCTCAAAGGAAAGTAGGCTGTCAACAGGCGTTTGTGTACTTTTCTGCCTGAATGGTTGCGTGTGTGTCTGTTTGTGTATCAAGGAAGGATTGCGCTTCTGCAAAAGGAGTTGGTCTGTGCATGAGGAGCACCAGGTTTGTGGTAAGATGGGAGTTAGGGTGACATTGTCTTCTGACATCCTTGAACTGATCTGATACCAAAAGCAGCAACATGAAGATAAGGAGAAACCCTTGACAAGAGGAACAAAAGCTCACCATCTCAAAGCGACTGTCCCGTTTCAAGAATATTAATTTGAGTGTATTAGCATTTAAAGTCTGCTTTGGTTAGACAAGGTTCAATTGGTGCAGTGCAGTCTTCTTCTGAATCTCCAATGCACCACATGCATGACTAACTGGACACCATCCCAAGACCAACAGGCCCACGAGCCAGCAGGGAACTCAAGAACACCCCTCTAACTGCGTAGGTTTATGCAAAAAGAATTATCACTGCTGAAGCCATTGAAACCAGTCAAAAAGCCGACCCCTATATTTAGAGGTCTGCAAAAGTTTCCTTTCAAAAATAGGCGATTTTTTCTAGGAATTATAGGAAAGTATCTGACGGATTAAAAAAAGATTTACAAGGTTTCCAGTATCATATGAGATATCCAGTGTTTTATGAGGCGACCAGAATTTACGGCCTGAACACAGCGTTACTATCTCCATGTCAACACAAAGTTAGATCATTTGTTTTCCAATATGATATCACGACCACAGGGGAGGAAATCAACCAGTTGCTTTATTAGATGAAGAGCCCAGAAAGGAGAGAAATATGATGAGGTGACAGCTGTTATGCAACTGTGGTTGCCACTTCAGTAATCAGCCTCAGCTTTGGAACAGGATGAGCTGAGACGAGCTGCTGAGAAAGCTGCTCCTGTCCCTTAGTGCACTCTCTTAATCGGGCTCATTATTCTTCAATCTGCTGCTGCATTTAAGAGGTAAATCATTCAATGAGCTCTAAAAGATCATTGAGCTAATTCTCAGGAGGAAGGGCACACTGTGTTGTTGCTAATAAGCCCAGTCGACCCCTGTTGGTGGAGTGGCCCTTCAGGAGGGTGGACAGGAAAGCCCTCAGGAGTGGGCGGCTCTTTCAAATCTGCCCTGATTAATAATGACAAGGACATCAGTAGGAGGTGATTGTATTATACAAGTTGGATTACCACCCCACCACAACAAATCAGGTTCTATAAAAACTTGCAGCCTAATGGGGCGCTCACACCAAGTGCAAGTAAAATCATCAACTCGCACAATTCTTGTGTATCTAGGCGCATGAATGAATAGTATTTACTTGCTTCATTTGCGCGTCAACGATAATTTCAATGGTAATTCCTGCCAATTCAACTGGCAGGATCAAGTGATAGACCAAGGTTTTTTTTTACAATTTACCAGGTAATCTGACCTCTTGACTCACTTACCTCCAGATGAGCTCCTTTTTATTCCGGTTTCGGTACTAGAAAGAAAAGGCATCATATAATTCAGGGTACCCACACACCGACATGATCAGTTTGTCCATTTTAGGTACTAGTGAACAACCATCCATTTTCATACGTCACCTGGCAACCTACGTACTGATTGGTTATCGTGAAGCGAATATCTGCTCAAGTTGAGACATTTCCAGCTCCCGCCCAATTCGCATCATTCGTGCCGCCAGAGCAGTAGGAGCGTCTAATCACGTCTCATTCATTTGCGCAAAAGTTTTTACTGTATTGAGACAGTAAAGCGCAGAAAATCGTTGATGAAGTGCTGCAAACTGCAGTTCCTTCAGTGGCCACTTGAGGCTGGCTCCAAAAGCACCAGAAGCCACATACACACCTATTCCGCAGATTACAACTTTGAAAGACATAAATATACAACAATGCAATTTACCTACTTCATTCACTCCATTACTTTTCACAAGATTTGACAAATCTTAACTCAAGTGAACCACTTGTGCCAGGACAGCCAACCAGCATGGAGATTCCCTGGTAACGTACGTCAACAACCGACCAGAATGAGGTTCATTTATCTGGAAAATGGAGGAAAAAATGATCATAGCATGGCTACATGAGCTGTAGGATAGAATTTGTCTTTCCTGTGGTAACAGAAAGAAAATGACCGCGCCAAGAAGAAAGTGCGTGCAGAGGTTGAATTATCTGGTAAAATCACAAATCCTTGCTAAGTAGTCAACCTCAACCCTGTTTGATGTAAACAGACTGAAAATGCATGAAGGACCCCCCCAACCCCCTTCCCCACTGACATTAATTCATTTGTTTGGGCACTCCTCAAGATACGGCCTACAAATGGGTCATTCACATGAATTGAATAAGTCAACACCAACCATCCCGATGTTGAAAAAACAAGTTAAATAATTAATTTGGGTTTGATAAAAACACAACATCAGCCATAATTTTCTTTTTTTTAAAGACAATGTAATCTAATCAAACCAAACAAACCAGACAAATCACAACACCTCCACCTTTCCAAAAAATATATATATATATATACAAAAAAAAGAGGGACCAAAGCATTCTGCTGTCAAAATGGACATTTCAATGTTGGCCTTAATGGAGACTCAAAAGAAGTGTAGCCTTTTTAAAAGAGGTAAAGACTTTTCTTTGTATTAAGGACATAAAGAAAATGGTTAGCACCGAGCATACTTGGGCTTTGGGCTGTTACACAGGGTCTCGGTTTGTTTCAGGGTTTAAATATCATTAACCTGGAAGCAAGTCACCCGGTGTAAACCATGCCGCAGTTCGCATGTGAAAGTCATTACGCTGTGAGCTTTTTGTCACCAAGGTGACGAAGCAAAGAGAAGTCACAGAGGCAAACAATACAGATACAGTTGATCTCACCATGGCAACCACATATCAGTGGAGAGGGGGTTACCATGAGTGTTTCTTACACAAGCCCAAATTAGAGAAACTATATTGACTGTAACAGATTCTGAAATAGAGGCTTTATTATTCTCAACAGACGAAAAACAAAAACATACACATAAGAGAGAGTGAGAGAGGATCAAAGTGTGATCCCATCTTGTCCCTTTACCAAACATACCTCAGGTTGGACCCTTCTATTCCGGCCCCAGCAGCAGCCCTGGAGGAGGCTAAAACCACAGCAGGCAGGTGAAGTCCCGTCTCCCCACATAGCACACCTCCCCCATGCTGCCAGGACAACACCTGAAGTTCAGCTCAGCCTCTGGACACCATCTCGCACCCTGAGAGTCAACTCAGCAGGTCAGAGATCAGATAGATGTGCCCCAGTGCAAACTGAAGGATGATGATGATACATTGGCTGCATTTACTCCAACCATTATGCTAACGCCTGTGTGTCTGGATGTTGTTGTTCTTTGACTCCATTGATAAAGAAATTCCTCTTGAAGTTCACAGGACTTTGATGGCATAAAAGTTCAGTAACGCAGAATATCCATCGGCATCTTCTGATGTGCAGAAATCCTGAAAATGAGTGACTCTTACATCCAAGAACTTCCAGCAGTTTGTCATAACTCTTCTCCACACTTCTCTGCATCACATATTCATTCTTTACGTTCCAGATCTCTAAGCCTCTTCCCCTTCCTTTCTCAGGTTCCTTATATTTATTTTTCTCTGCTCCGGAGCAGACAGACACAGAAAGCAGCTGCAGACAGAGAGGATGCGCTAGCGTATTCCTGCTAATATAAGTGAGGGAGTGCTCTCTGTCTTTTCTGCTGGTGACGTATGGATGGGACTCGACAAGGGACCCATCTTGATCCGGAGATGCAGCAGCAGGGGCTGGGTGCTTATCTTCCTGTTGAGGGGACCTCTGGGGGTGCAGGTTAGGAGAAGGGAAAGACTTACAGTAAAAACAGATCCCTGATTCTCCCAGGAGAGCTCATCATGAGGCTGAGGAAGTCAGACAGCAGGGAGGAGGTGCAGCTCCAACAGGCCTCCCACGAGGATCCACAGACAACTTTCCCGTTGGCGTCTCACTTGCCATTGTATCTTAGAGACAAAGCCAGTGGGGCTGTCAGCTTCCCATCCCCTCTCTTTCTCCTCTACTGTTCTGCACCTGCTTGGCTGCTGTTACAAACCCCTGCGGGATGCTGCAGTCATGCTGACAAATATTGTGTTTACAGGTGAAAGCTTATCCCACCACGCCCTGGCTGCTCCTGGCCTCCTGCTCACTGCACACAGCAGTGAGGAGCTTCAGAGTCTCCAGCAGACTGTAAACTCTGGCTGAGAATGAAGTTTATACTGTAGGAGAATTAAACAGTCTCTGCACCTTATCTTCTGTCAATGATTTTGTGATTTACTGAAGGTTATAGGTGACAGAATATGAACTGTGTTTGATATCTGGTGGATAACAGAGCTGAGTGACATCTGAAATGTTTATTTTCCAGAGCACATGTCCTCTTGGTGACTACATGTATCTTTGCTGATATTACTTCTGCCAAGGGACCAAAAATAAAACCAGTATATCAACCTGTTTTAGTGACAGGAAAAATGTTGCTATTCTTGTAGCATGAAGCAGCGGGCTGCTGTATTTCATTACTGCAGTGTCAGCTGCTCCTGACACATTTATGACACAGTGAGCTGCTGTATCTCTCGTTTTTTGACCAGAGGAAGGAAATAGCACTTTGCAAATACTTGTTAGGGATCTGTGCTTTGTTTAGGTTTTCACTTTCAGCCAACTTCCTTTTCTATTTCTTATTTACCGGCAAAAGTATCTGTAGCTTCTTAGATGTATTCATCATACTTTTTCTTTTTTTTGACTTGGGGCGATGTCCTCTGATACCGTGTGTGGCACTGGCCATAAATGCATGTAAGCATGTGAGCACTCGGTGTCCTCGACACAACATTGCCCTCAGCAACAGCTGATGGCTCTCATTCAAAAATAGTTCAACTTTCAAAACTTTATTGAGTTAATAAATATTGCTTCTTTACCACTGACCAATCAGAATCAAGAAGGGGCGGGATTTCTCTTACATCAACCATGTATGCAAAAGGGTGAAGGTCTGCATGGAGGGGAAACTGCCCACTCTTGCTTTTTTTTTCGAGGTGCAATTTTGTAAAGCTGATGAATCATAGAAAATGTGAAGCTTACAGAGATTTGACCATCTTTACTGAAGGAAACAGTGTGTGGACAACTGTGTTGAAGGACAACTTTTATAATATAGCAACAGTAAGTGCTCTCCTACTAAAGTCAGAGCAAAAAATTGAACTTGCAGGTTGCTTCAGAACACCATGCCTTTTTTAAAGCATGTGAAAAAGAGGTTTCTATATGGTATAAACGTAATGGACAAATGGATAAAAAACCAAGATGGTGCGAAGGCAGGTACAGACTGTCAGAGAAGAAAGAAATAAGCCCTACAGTGTCCCTGAAGCAAAACAGCATGACTTTTTTTTCCCTACGTAAAGATCTGCATGACTTTGAGTTAAGTCCACAATGTGCAGAATCTGTGCAACCGTGAAGGTCATCTCGTCCTCTAAAACTGCTACCTCCTGTCATGTTAGTTTGGTTCAGTAGAGGTGTGAAATGGCTGTGCAAGTACGTTATCTAGTATAAGCTTGTAAGCTATGTGCCACTTGTTATCTCAAACTGAGGAGCCTTTTCAGTCAAAGTAGCACAACTTTTTCATGTTACCTGCCACCATTTTCTGAAAGTACATGAATGAGCGAGAGTTACAAAGTCATGCTGCCAAACTCACTGTTCTCAATACATATTCCAGGATGATTTGGCTGAAGAGCAGTCACTTATTCGACTGCTAAATTTGTACATACTTGTCTTATACACCTTTGTTTTTTATCTAAATTCATTTCTCCAAACTCTGACTCACAGGACTGTCCGTCAAGCTTAAAAAGCCACACCTTTCCCACATACTTGAACCATCAGGTGACATCCACAGAGAGTAAACGGCAGGTGGTTGGGCAGACTACACCAGGCCAGATGAGTTAAAGCGGGAGCAAATTACCTCCTCTCAGAGGCTGTAACCCGGTGCCTTACATTCTGCCCGGCTCTGGCTAATTGCTGCCAGCTGCCAAACAAGGCACAGCGCAGCAAGCTGAGGTGCCAGCCAAAACAGACTGTATCAGAGTTTCCCAACGTTTGGCAGAGAGGACTGTGGATAGTTTGACCTGAGTGGCAGGTGCATTGCAGCATCTGCACTTTTAGCTTCTCAGTGACAACGTGACAGCATGTGAGATGTGGGTCAAGTTCACGAGTTGACACAAGTGAATACATTAACAGGCATGGACGCAATTACAGGCTTAACTAGATTTACATGTGATAATTTATGATGGCTGGTGATAAAAACTAGTCGGTGCAGAAATGCAGTTTAATAAACGGTGCATGGCGATAACCTGTCATCCCTGAATCCAGCTGCTTCTGATCATAAACTCGGAGGACAAAGACTAAGAGGAACACTTCTTTTTACTAACAAACGGCATAAAGTCACTGTTAAGGTCAATTCTCAGTTTCTTTCTCAGGCTGTGGAGCAGAATATTTCTCAGAAATCTAAAACTGATCCTCTGCTATAAATAGGTTCTTGTCTAGGCAGTCTCAGTTCCAGTGAGGGTTCATATTTGCAGAGAGGCGACTGACTCAGCTAAAGCGACTGTAACAATAGCAGCTGACAAACACCGGCACTCAGTCAGTGTATTAAAAGAACATCCAATAAGCTGGTATTCTGGCCTTATTATAATCAAATCAAACCATGAGGGTTTGTCTAATTATCCTTCACCTAGTCAAAATAACTGGGTGATTTTGGGGGGTGTGTGTTTCTTTGTTGCAGTAAATCTGTGCGCATGTGATTGTGGATTCAGACAAAGCTGGAAATTAAGCAGAGCTAAAGCCGCGACAAATCTCATTAGCCATGTGGAGAGGCTCACTCCACCGCCTTGAAGAGGGTGAGTCAACAAAAAACAAACTCCTTTATTTATATTGTGACCTGCTGCAGGGACAGCAGTGATGGCTTCATTAGGAGGGTGTGAAGAAGCTAACGCACCACTCACAGTCCCCCTGTGAACTATACTGTATGTTTGCTGTGTAGCTTCAGGAGTGGGACATGCTGTACTGCTGGAACATATTAATATACGGGGTGGTGTCGGTGCCTCACATGACATGTAGCTGCTGTGTGACATGGAACTTCAAAGTCAACGGGGCTGTATTCTTATACGCCCGACATGAGCTGTTGAAGGTGAACCGCATGAGTAAAAGGAGCCATCTACAGCCCTGTCTGCACCTGAACCTTTTTCCTGCCTGTTGCCTGAAAAAGTCAAAAGGAGTGAAAACTATATATCCTGTAGCGTTCTGAGTGTTAAGAGTTTTTTTTCTTCCTTGTCTACTTAGAAGACAATGGAGGCCTGCCTGGCTTCAAAACATAAATATTAAATGTGTTCAACATTTCTAATCTGAAATCTTTATGTGTGGGGGATCCCTGAGGACAACCAAGCATTAACTCCAATCATAAAACAAGCTGACAGAGGAGGGAAGCACAACACATGTAACCAGGGCTACGATAGTAAACACAAAGCAGGAAGTTAGATGGATGTCAGATGGATGTCAGATATAGAACCCACGGCGATATGTGGCAACAACATGAATGTTTACTCAACGTGGTCATTAAGACACACTGATACCAAAATGAAAACAGGAGGCATTGGAAACAAATTGCCACTGCTTTGGATGTACCAGGAAGCTAAGTAGCTAGTAATTGTTAGCTCTGCATTCTGCCATGTTTGTTTATTCTTAAGTCACATTTGACTGCAAGAGATGTAACAAAATTTCCAGTTTTGTCGGTCAGGTCTATAGGACCAGATCAGTCATCATTTGTTGTCATGTGTGGAGTCTTTGCCATTTACGAAATGGTTTCAGATTTTAAAAATCTTTTGGTTTGTGCCAGGCTCTACCAGGAACACAAGGAGTCCAGTAAGCTGGAGGTCAGTTGTATGAATGAACTAGGGTGACCATATTCTGAATCCCCAAAAAGAGGACACGACTACACGGAGACGGAGTCATGGAGGCGGAGTCACAGAGTCGGGTATAGTTAATTTTGAGAGTATTCCGTATCGGATTGAAGGTTTTTTACATGCTTCTAACGCAATAGGTCTACGCAACACAAAGTCAAAACTTCCATACAAAACCCCAGACATTGGAAGGATTTTATAAGCTCCCCTGGACAAAACCAGACAAGGCCAGACAGCCCCCCCAAAAACAGGACATGTCCGGGTAAAAGAGAACGAATGGTCACCTTATATGAACAGAATTCCAGCGGTGGCCTTGAGACAGTGTCAGAGCAACTGGGTGTTTTGGTTTGGAGCAACCCTGTAAAGTTGGGCCTTTCGGCTGAAAGTTTTTTGTTTGGCCTCCTAGATAATAATTTTTCATTACAATGGCTGAATGACATCATCATTTGATTGCATGAATACACCTCAATCAGCGCAAAAATAGCCCAGAGGTTCTGTCTTAATGCTTGCGATTTACGGTTTGCACGCTTGGCTTTGACCTGCAAGTAGAACAACAATAAACGCATCAGCTGGGCAGTGACCAAAACTCTACAGAAGAGGAAGAAGAGAAGTCAACAACATGAAGCTGCTGTACTTAAGAAAGGTACAGAGAAGTAAAGCCCGTATTTCACCATTTTCATTTCACACTCTGATCAACCTGGAAGTCATCAAGTAAAAGTGAAATATTGTTTAGTCATGATTTATCCTGATGTTTTTGGATGCTGGATATGTGTTCACAATGACATTGTTTCATCCTCTGTGTATCTGCAGGTGTGTTTGTGTGGGGCTGTTGATGGAGGTGGAGTTGGAGGCTGACCTAGAACTGCATATTTGTGTCAACCGTGGCGCCCCAACATACCACCTACGCACAAACAACACATAATCCTCCTCTGCTGTATTACACATGACAAACATTTCATGCCCTGTAATAAACTCTAAGCAGACACACCGTCACACCCTGTCTGTCTTTTTTTTTTTTTTACCCCTAAACCTCAGGCTGTCATCAAAATGAGGCCGCGGGTAACGCTTCTGTGACTGTTTTAGAAGCACGTTGATATTAAAACAAAATCCTGTTATCTGAAGAGCGTATCTGAAAAAATTAATCCCTCGTTTTTGCAGAAATAAAAGAGACAAGACTTTTAACTAATCCTGTGCCCCAATGTAGTCCACCTTAGAAAATAGCACTCAGCCACACGGCAGTAATAACAGCCCTGTGCTCAAATCAGCCTGCACACTGAACTCTATTCTTGACCGCTGCTTTCTCATCTCCTGTCCTCTCTCATCTCTGATTATTTTTGCATGACAGCCTTATAGAGAAGCAGCGTTCAAAAACACATGACCTGAGGACAGTTACTAATGCAGCAAGAGATGGGAAGCGCTTTCTTTTGCCTGTGCTTAACATAATTGTTTGCAATTGACTTTCATAAATGTTTTTATTTCTAGAGCGATGAAGAAATGAAAGAAGCAGAATCTGCTCTGTGAGGTGTCAATAAAATTAATGCAGATACTAAAACCTTTGGTGCTTTCTTAATGCTCCTAAATGTGTAATGATAAATACAAAAGCATAAAAACTTCAAATGCACGTGCTGACAAGATGAAGATTTTGCAAAAGTCTCCACCAGTTTTTTTCAAATCTTGGATTAAAATCAAAATAAACATTCATCCTACAGAAAAACTTCATCATGCAACACTCAAAAACATTGAAGTCCACTTCATTTCCCACCAAGACCTCCACAAAATTCCATGAACGTACTTTCAGAGCAACATTAGCAGCTGTTGTAACTTGTCAAAATACCACTGCATTGGAAATCTTACCTTGTCTAAGATCTTCGTTTTTCCCTCCCTGGAGTGAGATCCAACCCAGGGCCCCATATCAGAGTATAAATGTTAGTTTAATGAAGCCAAACACATAAAATGAGCGGCACACTTGGAGCTAGTGTGGCGTATGGTTTGCACGGACTGTGTATGCCATTTCTCAGGCCTGCGTATTTATCTCCATAATCAAAATGCATGTGTCATGGGTTTTGGTGCTAAATATGCTTACAACACAGCAGGGTTTAGCCCGTATCATGTACAGGTCAGGTGTTGACCTGAATGCCCCACACTCTCCCCTGCCAGGTCTGAGAACCCGAGGATGGAGGAGACGCACACAGCCAGCCGGGTCTGAGTGATGAAAGCCCGGCATCTCTGGCAGCCCCGGGGTCGCACACCTTGTCCTGTCCTCAAATGGCTCTGATGTTGGCCCCTAATGAATCATATCAACTAGGCAACACTGTACAAATCACCACATCGCATTTCCATTTTTAATCTCCCGGAGTCGCCCCCTTCGATTCTCCCTTCTTCAAACCGCCCTGCCAGAGCTAAAAGCAGCTTAGTTACAGCGAGTCACTGACCTGTGCCATCACTGTCCATCTCCCCTCACCCTGCCCTCTGAAACCTTTATCCGTCTCCTTAGTCCTACAGAAGTGATAGGCAGAGGGGAGCTTTGTCGCCCAGGTAAGATGAGCATTGTTCACCCTTCCTTTGACCCCATAAACACTAACTCTCCTGTCACCTTCCACAACAATCTCGCAAGGTGATCCACCTTTTGTCACCACCTGCCCACAAAAGCCCAGACGTCCAACTAGATTGACACAGACAATACAGTGCCTGCAGATTGTAACAATTAGTGCAAATTACAGTTAATCTGCTGACATGTGCAGCAGATGAAGACAATGAGGACTGAGACGCTTGTTGTCTTTGAGTGCCAAGATACAAGAGGCTCTACTGTTCCATGTAGTGTCACCAAAACACAACCGATAGACAGCCTGTAAAGAAGATCCCGTCTTAAGCTCTAATGGTTTTATCATCCAGCTCAGGTGTAATCTACCCAGCTGGCATTCAGGTCTTTCTCATTCAACAGATGCTGCAGGTTTATACTGACACACTCTGGCCTGACAAACCAACACAGGTTAATCAGATTATTGTGATCAACATTATGTAACACCATTAGCGCTCTCTATCTGTGCATACATTAATCATAATATATTATATCAAAATATTAATTATATAGTGATGATAAAGGACTTTTTTTGCATTTTCCTTGCAAATCTTCTCCTCTATTCAAAGTCAGTTGGAATAAGACTAAATTCAACCTAATTTCATGTAATTCTTTATGTATTTGGTTCAACTGGTTGACAGTTTTTCAGTCAAGCATTGTGCACTCAAACTGTTCAACCCTCTTAAGTTTAAAGGACACCAAAATTTAGATTCAATTCATTACTTATCATTATTTGCATGCTCTTTTTGTAGCTCTGTCTTAAAGGCACAGTGTGTAAATATGAGAATATTTTAGTGACATATAATAGTCAGATTCAGATTTTAGAAGAAAGGCAAAACATCTCCAAGAACCCCAACGAGTCCAGAACTGGATACGTTTGATTAATCTTCAGATTTGATGACTTTTTGAATCACAACTGTGTCTTTTGGGAACTGAGTTAATTTTGCATCACAATTGATTTTATTTTCTTATACTTTGCAATGAACTGACTTAAATTTTTCGTTATTTTGTCATCATGAAATTTCTATTTTTATTTGTGATGCACTTTCAGCAGGTAACTCCTCATTGTGAATCACTTTGTGCAACATTTCTTAGCAGACATTATTTAATTGATTTAATAAAAACACTGCTGATGGTTTAACTGACGCTCATGTTATAGAGACCTTGTGCTGTAGCAGCATAATACTATAAGTGTTTGTAAACTGGCTGAAGTTGGTTCAGATTTACCACGAATCAGAGAGTGTCATAAGGTAACAGCAGCGGTATCCTCTTATATAAGTTCATTTTAGATAAGGCCTCACACATTATTACACAACAGCCAAGCCTATGGGGATAGAAGGAGAAGGTGCGACGGGGGAGGACGTTTGGCATTCCCTGTTTAGCAGCTCTGTGTTGCATGAGTCACTGTTAAAGGAAAACAGACACTTCATGTTAGCAAGCTGGCACTCATTAACAAAACCTCCCTGGGTATCTGTTCACCCAGCATTCTTTGTAAATCCAATTAATGTTTATCAGACTCAGGGAGTGTCTCAGCACGGCTGTCCTTACTGCAGTGTCACCACAAGAGAAACCCACAGCTGAGACTCTGCAGCACTGGCAGACTTAACCCGCGTGAGGCTGAGTCTGCTCATGCTCCACAGCCCTGTGCGGACCAGTGGGAGTGAAAACAGCCATCCACGGCAGAGAAGATGCTGCGTGCCTGGGTCTCTGACAGAATGTGGAGATTCACATGTTAAGAAGCACGGGCCATGTGACAACAAGCCAGAGGCTCTTCTGTTTGCACACATGAACGCTTTCAAGAACATAAATATGAAAGCAGCTCACACTGCTAATATGACATTTGCTCTCGCGCATACACGCACACACATATGCAAGTAGACATGAGAAGAGGATATCGCATGGGGGGTGGGGGATAGATTTCCTGCAACATTAACTGGAAGCATGTCGGCTCCTGTGTATGCAGTCTGTTCAGCACATGTCCTCAGTCAGTGGTAGCGATAATGTAACTCAGTAAGACTTGGTAAGCTTTAGTGGACGTGTTTTCTTAGTGGAGTATCTATGTTGCTCACAGAGGATACAGCACAGACAAAATCAGAGTGACACCAATAACAAAGCCTCTCCCAAACCAGGATAAACTACCACAATGATCTTCCTCATGATGATTTATACTGGTACTAAAAATACCTGAAGCTTAGTCACCAGATTATGCATGCACCCCATGAACAGGAGCTGCAGTCTTCCAGTCCAGGCAGTAACGGTTTTATCTTGGCTATGACTATTTGTTGTATGTAAACACCCACTCTTTGCTCCCCACATTTCCTGTCTCTCTTTAGAAAATGCCCCCAAAATAAATTTTTTTTTTTAAAAAAGGACTATGTGAAGCGGTCGAATGCATAACAGAAAATGTACAATGTATGGGCAGTCAGAAGTCCCGTCTTAGACAAAGTTCGCAGCAACATTACTTCAGATTTGCAGCTCTAAAATAATGGGAACTATAATCAGAGCGACCAGTTGTAGAATAAAAACAGTAACCTTAATACAAGCCAGAGATAGAGGTAGAGGAAATGAAGTCTTTCCATAGGCCCCTCTTTTACTGCGATGACCGAGGTCAATAGCTAACACTATATATAAACCTTCTAACTCCACTCTGGAGAAGGAAGGGACTATTTTAGAAATTAACAGTGCTAAATGAAAAAGCCAGCATTCTCGACGATGACATTTTAAAATGTTTTATCGGATAATCTTACCCTCCAATTGATAGGACAGCTGGCAGGAGAGAAGGGAAATATGAGGGGCAAGGAGTGGGGGATTGATTTGCAGCAAGAGAGTGAGTCTAACTTATGACTGCTAAGGACTAGGGCTTGTATATGTGGGGTATGTTTGAACCGCTAGTCCAACAGTGCCCAAGAAAATGCCAATTTTCAGTACGACAAATGATACTCTTAGTGGCTCTGTAGTATAAAAGCCCAGGTGTTAAACTGGCCTGTATTTGTCAAATATTGGAAGCATATGGCACATAGACTGTATATGCTATGCACAACTTGGCTCCCCCTTCCTCCGAAGAGCTCTTAGTATTTCCAGGTTTTTTCTCCACTTCCTCTCCGGCCGGACGGCGCTTGGCTCAAACAGTGTATCTCCTGGGTGAGCTTCATTATCTACGTACGTTCATAGGCTGTATCAAGTGTCAATCATAGAAAACTTGAACCCCCCTATAACTTTTAAAAACGGAGCTGTACAGAACAAAAAGGACTTGAGCGCAAAAAAGTCTTACAATAACTACATGTCAACATCGCAACCAGGGGGGAGAAAAATTTATCTTTTGTGTAATTGATTTCTAAAGTTTGTCCACAGCTCCATAGAAATTGCTGGAGGAGGTGGGATTTATGACCTATACTGCAGCCCGTCACCAGAGGGTGCTGTTCTCACAGTGGCTTCACCCAGCGAGGAGGCAGACACTGTCCATTCTATATACAGTCTATGTTAAGGCGCAATATAACACATAAAATATGACAAAAGAGGCTTTGAACTGATGAGCAGCATAAACTCTTCACCAGTGAAAATGTTCAATGAGAATATGTTTTTCATAGATCTATAAAATTCTAGTTTGAATACTTGAAATGTTTCTTTGTGCTTGTCCAGCAGCTATCTCTTCCATATAGCAACGACCTAGAAGAAATACCATGTCTAAGAGTGTTGTTAGCGACCACTCAGAATCAAGAATTTCACAGTTATATAATAAATACATATGAAAGTCTCCTTGATGTTGTTTTCTATATCAGTACTCCCCAAATGTCATGTCCTATTAGATTACTTGGTTGAAAATATCAGTTATGTAATACAATTTATAAACAGAGTCTGCAAAGGGGCAGTGTGAACCCTGTGCTCCTGGACACTGATATCACAGAGGCATTAAGCAAGAGGTGACCACCCCCCCTCCCTTCCCCCTCTCTCTCTCTCTCTAAATGACAGGCTTTTATTCAGAGGGTCCGGTGTCAGCATGGGACAAAGCTGTGATGAGAAACCCTATCAGGGGCAGGGTTCATCTGAATAATGGGGCGGCACGCTCCCTACTCCCCAGTCCCTGCTGGGGTGAAGCCTGGGCCATGTGCATGGGTCTACCCTCTTAAAAATCACTCTGGAGCAGGTAACAGCATGTTCAAACACTTATCATAGTCATCATTTAACAAATTGCCTGACATTGCATGACAAAGATCCTAGACATGATTCATTGCAGAAAAACATGCAGGTTAAGCAAATGTTATTATGAAAAAAGCATATTTACTCATTTGTAAGAAGTAGTAAAACAACACTGTTTTGTTTGTAGCATGTACTGTCATAAATAAATGGATGCAAGATGAGGAACCAGATTTTCTGAAATCCTGTAGGTCTTAAAAAACTTCCCAGCAACATCATTAGAGATGTATATTTCAGTTAAGTTCAGTTTGATTTGAACATTCTGACATTTTGTGGTTTGAAATCACATCTATGTATGGCTACATCTTGGTATAAAACTGGTTGATGATTTCATATGGGCAACAGTCAGAACATTATGCCTGTAGGCACTTGGCTTACAAAACAGTGGGTCTTTGGTTCAGGTCCCAGTGTGGACCAAAGCTCCTCTTTGAACAGATAATAATAAATCTACCTTATTTATATAGTGCCAATACACAACAAATGTTTATTAAAGTTGTAAAGACCCAAGCCTTGAACTTGTAAGATCAGACCCACTCTTATCTCACTGTCATCCACCATGAGTGAAACACTTTGCAGCATTTAGCAGATTACAGTGGAGAAGAAGAACTTCCTTTAACAGGCAGAAACCTTGAGCAGAACCAGACACATGTTAGACAGTCACCTGCTGACACTGTGTGTAGGTTTTGGAGAGGGGATAGAGGGAGATGCAGAAAGAGAGGTACTACAGGAGATATATGGATACTTTGTGCTGTTATTTTTTCTCTCCTCCCTATACTAAACTAAAGCCATTTGTTATTTTGCAGATGAAACATCTTTCCCCTCACCAATGGGCCTCTTCTGGAGCATTGTGGAGCTATATGTGGCTTTCAGATACTTCCACATATCTGAAGTAGAGTTCTTTGCAGCTGACAAGCTTTTGTCATTGAGGCACAGCTCACATTTCACTGTGACCTTGTTCTCTTCCTTTATGCCCAAGACTTGAAACATGGGAGTCTCCCCAAATAGTAAATTAAAATGCAACACCATGCATCAATTTATCCTGTGCATTATTTGTAAAGCAACAACTGTGGTTTTTGGTTCATTAATGACATCTTCAATCTTATCAACCACAAAAGATCTTCATTGTATTTTACAAACCAAACTCAACTTGAGAGATCAATATGGAGAATCTGGAGAATCACAGAAAGCTATGAATCCTGCATAAAAATAAAAACACACCAAAGCCACAAGCATGAATGCCCGAGTATGAGCCATGTTCATGCAGCATAACATAACACATTATTGGGAGGATCTGACATCTCTTTCTGTTATAAAAAGACAGTTAAATGTCAAAGGTGGGCTTCCGTGGTGAGTCATGCAGTATCACGTAAGAGCTAGAAACATGAAAACACTCTCCCTGCTGCAGTCTCCAGGCATTTCACATCTTGAAGGTTTGTGATGCTTCTGCTGAGAGCAGCTGCTTGCGTCTGTATTTTGTGATGACGCAAATCCTCTCTATCGATATCCGATTTAGAAAGAGGGGAAATCTTTTGAACTGACACCCCGGGGTCCATCACAGCAACAGCTCCAAATGATGCCTCTAATACGGGGCTTTCCATTACACCCTGGTATATTATGATTTTATTATCACGAGCCTCTCTTGGTTTAACAACCTCTGGAGTGCTAATGATTCTTTTTTACAGCTAAGATCAAATAGACATTTAAAAACCGTGCTGGGATCTATCATTAATGGATTAGCTAACACATGCAGAATGAGGCTCCAGTGAAAGTTCAGTCGGGGGAATTTCATTTGCATTTGGCACTCATCACTCATACGCTCCCTCATATATGCATGAAGCCATCCTCATCACCTGTGCACACCTAACCTACAGCACTGCAGCACAGCCTCGCTCTGAGCCCAAAATGTTCCTATTTTGAATCCTCCGCCTCAAAGTCATCACCTAGTCCACCTCATCAGCTTCAACATGTCATCATCCTCAGACTACACCATTTACTATCACCTCCCATGGTACACTACTGTAGGATTGACATCCTCTAATCACTGTAGGGTTCAAATTTCACAGACTTATGGTGCTTTTTTACCAAAAGCACGAGAACTTTACGTTTATTGGCATTGTTTGAGATACTGTGGTGACTTTTGCGTGTCTTTCAGTCCATGAAATACCCTCACTTTCACACACATGGCACCAAATTGGCCCCATTTTGTGTTAACCTGACTGTTTAACAGTTAAACATATACACAAAATGGAGTTCATTTCACATCCATCTGGGTAACACCGTAAGACAGTATAATGGACAACTTGGTTCCGCCTTCTGCCAGTATACAGATTTGAAGCCAAAAAGCTCTCTGTATTTCCGTTTTCTTTCTCCACATCCTGAAACCAACATTGCGCAGTAGCGTTGTACTCACTCTGCTACTTGCGCAGTAGCATTGTGCGCATTCGGCAAGTGAGTCGCCGAGAGTTGCTGTGATGACGCTCGGCTAAAACAGTGTGAAGTGTGGAGTAAAAATGGAGCTGTACAGAAAAAAGCGGACTTGAGCACAAACCTGTATAACAGTAACTACATGTCAACATTGCAAGTGGGGGGGGGGGGGGGGGATTATATTCTGTGTAATTAATTTCTAAAGTTTGTCCACAGCTCCATAGGGATTGCTGGAAGAGGCGGGATTTATGACCTATACTGCAGCCCGTCACCAGAGGGTGCTGTTCTCACGGTGGCTTCATCCAGCAAGGAGGCAGACGCCATCCATTCTATATACAGTCTATCATAACACCCCATAAATGGATTTTGGTAAGAGCCTCATTTTTCCACAATAATGTTATAACTCAGTTCTTAATTCATTTTTCAGAGTGTCTCTGTTTGTAGAGCCTGGATAAACCCTGAGCCCAGGTTTATTCAGTGTCCTCCTTAAACATTCACTGAAGGACTAAGGAGCTTCAGTCCCTCCTGCACTATAGTCTCTGGCGTCATCAAGGCAAATGCGTCAGGGCTATAGTGTAAATTAACACCTATATAAGTCCTATATAAGCTCAATGAAGAAGATCCAAGCTGTCTCTAAGTCTCTAATCCCCTTCACACAAGCCGGAAGGAGGTGACTGTGTCTAAACTGTGTGAATGTGTCCTCATAGTGCAGAGCTGAAGTTGTTGAACTCTCCATGTAGAGGCAACTACAGGGTTAAGCCAGGTGGCATCAACGCCAACCTCAGATGCAGTGTGTGAACGCATGTGACCCTCTAATGACCCAGGGTTGTGTGGTTTTGTCATCCAACTTTTGCACATAGTAAAAGAGGAACCTATCTGAGAGTCACCAGCCAAGAACATCACCATCGGCAGGCAGAATATGTTCCCAGTAAATCACTTCTGCTGAGTGCACACAATCACCCAAATAACATTTATTTAACAACCTGCTGGGTCTATGCCTGGTGTAGGGTTGCTTCAAGGCACATTAAAACATGGCCGCCTATGATTCTGAGCATTGTGCTGGACTGGCTGGTAAAAGAAAACTGATTTTTCTAAAGTTTGCTGCACACTATCTAAAAAAGATGATATATTTCAAGACATTTTAAAAGTCCAAACTGAATAAAAAACTCAATGTATGCACAGCAGATCATATAACACTTGGCATAGGTAAGTCATATTAAACTGAAGTGTAACTCTCAAGGGTTTTTGTCAAACCTTTCCTCTTGGATTTTTCCATCTTTGAACCAAATTTCCTTAAAATTGCATTTTTCTTATTTTCTTCCTCCTACATTAAATGCTCTATTATTTTTTCACCTAAACAAACAAATTATTTCTATTTCATTTAATATGTAGGTAACATTTCATGGATTAAGACATGCTTCAGTTGTGCTGAATGTAAAAATTGAGGACCAGTGTTGTTTTCGTTGGCGATGACGTTGACGAAAATATTTAGTCAATGTCATCATCAACGAAAACAACACTGCAGAATATATGTTTAGAGTTTGACTGATGAAATGCTCATGAAATTTGCAACTCTGTTCATCGTCCACCACTAACGTTTTCGTCTAGTCTTGTCTCGTCAACGTAAACACACATTCGTCTCATTACATTTTAGTCATCCAAGACTTATGTTTAGCGCCCCTTTATATTATTATTATTATAAAAAAATATTTTCGTCAATGAAAACAACACTGTTGAGGACTTCTCATGATTTTTTTGTGAACTCAGATTTTGAACATTTGATTTAAGACCTTTCAAGGATCTGCAAATCCATCTCAATTACGTTTAATTAAGACATACTGAGGGCATGCCGAATCTCAAATTAAGGACTTTTCAAAACGTTACATGTACTTTAATTTAATATATTTAATTTAAGACTTTTTAAAACTGTTCAGGGACCTGCAGAAATCATATTTGCGATCATAATAGTTAAATAAGGGATACCTGGTTATCCTCCTACCTTGATCAGCAGTGGAAAGGTTCCTTTTCTCTCCTTAAACAGCTTATCCGGCTTATTTTTAGAGAAATTTCTGTGCAAAGGAAAAATATCAGTTAAATTTAAAGGCATAAGAGCACAATCCATGAGTACAGAGCCATTTTTTATTGTTCAGAAACCTTTATTTTAAAGAGTCAGGGTTTTTTAAAACTAAGGCTGTATCAGAAATTGACCTTGATTGCTCTTTACACTAACTGTCTCACAAAGCATAACTCCCTTAACAGTGGTTACCTGACTTAAGTTGTAATATGAGGACCCCCTTTTATTTGCATTGTATAAACTACACTGACATCTTCTGGACGATGTCTAATTCGTCCAGGAAGAAACTCACTAAACTCTGTCAGCTTAAAGTACAGCAGGTGTTAATTTGCATCGCCAAGTCACCAGTATGGTTAACTAACCAATTCAGTCAAGTCAAAAGCTGATTACACCGGATTTATAACTTTCCTGAACACCTGCCGAGTATCAAACACCTGAATTTCTACAGGAATATTATTCTAATTAATGACACTTCAAGGCTCCATAGCAGAGTGGGTTAAATTCTACATTTACAAAAACATAGATTATGTGAATAAAAATGAAATAATGAAAGCTAAAAATGTTTTCCACGGACTCACAGTCCACTCACCTTCTCTCAGTGGGTTTGCTCGGTGTGCTCATAGTGACAATAAATCAACAGGCTGACAGTGATGAAGCAGCCGCGCGCGACATGCCAAAGAGTTCGCTAGCAAACTGACCCTTACAGTGAAAACACACTCACAAAGACACACACACACATACTACAGTACACACAAGCAGGTGACCGCCTGCGTGCTACAGAGTGGCTTATCCCAAACACAAAGGCTGATAAAGTCTCCACGCTGAATACTCACGACAGTTTGATTCCCCCTTGTTTTTTCTGACGCAGCTTTCAGACAGGTACACGCGTGCGTAACTGCGATTAAGCGCGAGAGAGGAGGGAGAGGTAGCTACAAAGCGCAATGAAGACAAAAGGTAGGGGTGGACGCACACCTGGCTGTACAATCCTCACAGGTTAGTTGTCATTACAAAAAAACGAGCGTAATAGGAAAAGAGAAGAAGTCGTCGAGTTTTGAAATATTTACAATTTTATCAAACTGCAGGAGACACAAGTAATCTGAAAAAAGCGAAAGCATACACTTTCAATGTCTAACGATATGAAAGCCATTGTAATAAATATCCTGAACTGAGGAGTCAGAGTGACAACAAAAAATCAACAGGTTGGAAAAGTTGGTAACACTTTACAACAACCATAACTTCTAAATAGTAAATAGACTATTTATAAATAGTAGTTTATTCATGTTTAATCATCATTCATAAATAGCATATACATTATTAATATTTTTTTTTCCATTTTAAAAAAAAAACTGACCCTAACTTTACAATAACCATCTAAGTAATGTTTATAGGTGGTTTATAAACCACTTATTAATCATTTACAAAGTATTACAAACATCAGTTGCAACCTTACAATAACCATCTAAGTAATGTTTATAGATGGTTTAAAAATCAAATATTAACCATTTACAAAGTGCTACTGACACACATTTTAATCTAGATGTTTTACAACCAATGTTTAATAATAATGAAAATTATCAATCATAATTTCATTGCTTGTTAATGGTAAAGTAACTATTAACTTACATTAATAAACTAAATATTTGCCATTTATAACTGGTCGATATGCTGTTTTTAAATGATGATTCAACATTAATAAACTATCTATTTACCATTTATAAATTATGGATATTGTAAAGTGTTACCGAAAAAGTTTTAAAAACGTTTTTACAGTAATACAGTTTTCAAAGAAATTGCTGTGTTGAAGGAAACTAAAATATAAACTGAAATTACAAAGCCTTACCTTGGCTCTCAGTGTGCCTGTGATTTACAGCTAAAAGCTGAAGATGAGATGGCTGAGTGCTCAGTGTAAAACCTGTAATGGATATATTATGATTCTTTCATGAGGGATTTGTCTCTGTATTGTGAACTAAAACTCTCCTTCATCCCCCTGAAGTCCAAATAGAGCTCCGGTTTTCAGGAGAGCAAACTGAGACTGATGCTGCTGTAGAGAAATTAATGAAGATAAATACATAGGGGAGACTGGGGCTTGTTGTCACACTTTTTACACTCATATATTTCTCTGAATCAATACATCATATATAAACAAAATGTGTACCAGATGAAAGATCAAAGTCTCAGGTATATATTTTGTATTCATGTAATTTTCATATCTTGTGTCAGTGCAGAGTTATAAGCAATCAAATAGAGAGTATGAACACGTGACATGTTGCCCAGTCATCGGGTAAGTTGTCTCACTACATCGGGTAAGATGTCACAGTTGATTTTGAAGCTAATAAAACAAGGACCAAATTGTTGTTCTCATTCTTTTACTTGAAAGTGAACATCAAAGTCAGACACAGAAAATGTTTATAATTGAGCCAGAAAAAGTCGCTGAACAAATGTTAAAATACATATGTATATTATGCAACATGCTCTGGAGTCTGGAGAGCTGTCTGACTCTGTATTTCAGCTGAGCTGAATGTTTTGCAGTTCCGAGCCAAGGTATGGTAGTTGACATTAAATTCCTTTATTGTAGTCCAGACTGATTTATTAGCTAGGGTCACCTGTCTGACCGCCCTCAGCATCACATCAGGTACTGCACTGCCACATTCAGTTTTTTTTTGGTAATCCTTTACCATGTTTTCTCGCTTTCTCCTCTCGTTTAAACCACTCTGTTCTCTCTAAAAATAAAGTCAAAATTTCAATATGACTCTCTATGTTTATTTTAATCCTGTTCAAACATGTGACAATCATCACTGCTAGGATTTTTAACTGGAAGAAGTTTATTTAAAATATATAAAGTTAATTTTTTTTACTTTTTACTTCAAATGATCAGGCGGTGTGCTCAAGGAGTTTACTCCTTTCACAGACAAAAGATTTCTGATGCCATAACATGACTTTTGTCACGCTTGGTTAAAAGAAATATAAACTTAAATACAGAAGAAAGAAACAGCAGAAAAACAAAATAAATCTGTATTATAGTTTTGAAAAGCTTTCAGTGCATTTTACAGGTGTTTAAAAGGAAAGCTTGTTATTACATTTTAGGCAAAAAGGGACAACTGTTTGAGGGCTTGTATTGTTGAAATAGTCAAAAAAATACTTTGTGCTTTTATTTATGTGGCACTGAATCAAATCTCTATAAACCTTTCAAACTGGATAAAGTTGTGGGAGTTATTATGAGTTATTATGACGCCTGGAAATTAAATGATATTTTATTGTCATGCCAACATTTGTCCTGAATTATATCGGTGGCAAGAAACAAACAGTGATAAATAATAAAAATAAAAAACAACCTAAAGTGATGACAGAAAACTGTACGAGACCTTAAAGATGTGTTTTAATGAGAACAATGTTACAGCACCAGTCAGAAGGCTTTATTCAGACATCACTTTTAATTGTGCACACAGCTTTAGTTTCACAACTTCAGCTTATTATGAGACCAGCTTATTGTTCTGTTATTGTCTGCAGCAATGAAATGTTAGCACCATTTGAAGAGAGACAGCTTGAGTTGAACAGTCAAGCAGAGGACATTTGAAACAAAAGATCTTTGACCAGTTTCAAACATCCGCAGAAACTTTTATTTCTGTTGTATGAGATATAAAAGACTGGGGAGAAGTTATACAGAGTGATCATTCAGAATCCTTTAAATAACCAAAACCACAAAGGGGATGAAGACTACTGAAAGAACTGGAGTGAAAGAGATAGTTTGGGAGTTTTTTGAAGTGTGGTTGTACTTGTGCTTGTTCATAGTAAGTGTATCACTCAGCCCCTTTGTTAAGAAAACAACCAAAACAACTTTTTTGTTGCATATCTACCAAGCAGTTGGTTTAACTCACTGAAATACTTTAAGTCTGCTGCTGGAGGGTAAGACCCACATCTCTGTGTCATTCTGATAATGTTCAGCATTCGGTGTGTTAAAAATTATGACTAACTTAGGTGCAAAAATATCAAATTCATATGATATCAGTGACATGTACATGACAGACCTAATTAGCTGATCAGTTTGTGCAGACAGAGGACATAAATACTGCTTCCTACAAGTAAAGCACTAAATTAAATGAAGCATTCATTGACACCCACATGAATATTTCTTAAAATCAGCTTCGTTACGTGGTCAAGCTGGCACCGTCTGCAGCAGTTAATCTCCTGACTTGTGCGCTAGTTCTCATCAAAAAGGCCAAGCTATCCAGGATCTTTGTGGAAAGTACACTTAATACTGAAAAGAATCTCATACAACCCCACTTCAAGACAACAAACCTTCCCTTTAAGAGGACATTTTCACCTAAATCGACCTCCGTCTGGGGGCATACCTTCTTTTTTAAAAAAACAAACAAAAACAAAACTTAGTATAAGCCTAAGGTTTCCGTCTTTGTTGCTGTAGAATCACTAAATCTGCCTCTTGGGTAAACTATTTTATCCTATTGTAGTAGCATCTGTTTGCTGTTAGAGACTTTTAAAAACAATGTAAATACTAAATGGTATTTATTCCTTTCAATCAGAGTTATTTGTCAGGATATAAAACCCACATTTGGATTTGATTTGAAGATGCACAATAATTCAACTGGAATTTGACCTATTTTTTCTTCCTATTACAGATCAGGAAATTTGAGCACTGTCCCATGACAAAACGAGTCAAAGAGGCCACATGGTCCTGATTTTCTCTGCCAACTGGCTTTAAAAGTGCAGAGTGTGTTTGTGTGAGTGTAAAGTCACAACAAAAAGGAAAAAAAGAAGTCATGCAGCCCTTATTTTTTAAGAGTCTTTTGGGAAAACAAAGGGTTTAAAGGGAAAACAGCTTTGGTGTCGCCTCTCCTCTGGTTCAGATTCCTGCACGCAGAGGAGGAGAAAAAGCACTTATTTCTTTGGTTGTTTTCTGCAAGAAGAGAAATGGTTTCATGTTTTAGCACCGACTGCAAGACAGAGTTTGCAAAGAGGAGGTAGCCGCTGTAGCTCTGGTAAAAAGATCAGATTTGATCTTGGTTCATGTGTGAGGGGACCAGATGAAGAGGAGTGTGATGATGTCTGAGGCTGTGTTAGAGTGGTCGCTGAGGCTGAGGTCAGGGTTGATCTGAAAACAAACATTAAAAACACATCAGGAGGAGTCTAAAGGGAGGTTTTAATGATGTTGATTCAGACGTACTTTATCCCTGCAGGTGCTTGTGATGATGTTTTTCATAGCCCACTGCATTGTTGGAGCTGGTGCCTGTCAGGAAAACAAACACCTCGATGTCAGGCAGGTTGGAGCGTTTTTGGATTCAGTTAAAGTGCAGGTTTTCAGGTTGTCTACTTTACCTCACTTACCCAAGTAGTCCTTGTAGTCCTTGTAGTATTTGTGCCTCAGACCTCGTCCATCTGTGGATTCAAAGAAACTAAAATGACATTCACTCTCCACATCAAACAAACTGCACTTCGGTTCTTAATATTACACTAAAGAGGTTCACTGGGTTAAAAATAAGCTCTCAGATTTTCATCTTTTTATATTTCTGCCAACAGCTCCGGGCACACCATAAATTGAGGTGATGTACTCTGCTGCCAGGTCAGTCCAATTTGTATATTATTTATGGACTTATTAACAGGAGAAACTTGGCGTCTAACATCCTGTTATCTGCCAGAGAAGTCTAAGCCAGACTAAAAGACAGCTGCTGGCACTGTGTGGCATCCTGCCTCCTTCTCCTGGTGCCCCACAAGAGCTCAAGCTTTGGAGGGAAGAACCAGCAAGAGCAGATTAACAGGAGATAATGTGTAAAATACCAGCAGAATAAAGATGGTAGATGATGTGCAGAAGCAGCCTGGGTTCAGAGAACAAAAATACAAGGTGGTAATCTCTTTTTATATTCAGAATCAAGTGATGCAGTTTACTTTTCTTCTGATTTTACAAATAAATACTTGACTGGGCGGACAACAGGATGATCAAATTCTGTGTCTGATCATAATAGAGCTGCCATATATAGGATCAGATCATGAAATTACGATAGGGATTATGAATTACTTGATCAAGTAATCAAATCCTACATCTTAACCAGATTTAACCTGAGTCTGATCAGATTGCTTTTGAATAGCTGAGCCCAGAGATAATCCAGCCATACCGGAGTTGCCTCGCTGCTTGATGCACTGGCCTCTGTTGGGGATGCCTGCTGCAGGATTTCCTGGGTTGATGATGTGGCACTCGTAGCCTGTTGGGCAGTGAAGAGGCTCGTCTCCATCCTCTGTTGTGCTGCAAGCCTCAGCTGGTGGAGAGTGAACACACCACGAGTTAGAAAACCCCCTAAACAGCATCTACACCAGGGTTCACCTGTGGCTTTTACGCTCTCCTGTTTCAGTTTTGTTTACCTGCCTCTGCTCAGTCTGTCAGTCTACTTCTTTATCTCCACTCCTTGTATTGATTTTTTTTCTCTCCTGATGAGAATGCCAATACTGCAAACTTTATAAAAGCTGCAGGAGTCTTTGCTCACAGGAGAATAACTGTTTGGATGTTTTCCAGTCCAGACAAAGACAAGAGTTATTAATGTGGACCTGTTTTTATTTGAGTTTTATCCTGTAAACAGTGGAAAAATTGATCTCTGCTGTATTTTGAAGGCTTTTGATCTGATTTTGAACACGGAAAGCGCAAAAAATAACAAAGCCTTTTCTGCTAATGATGGACGCTGACATGTGACTTTTACAGCTGGTGTTTTGCATTCAGTAAAACTTTGTATCAGGGAATAACCAGTGCTATGAAGCATTTAAAATCTTAAAATGTGGTTTACTAATGTAAACTGATCACCTGGTGCTTAGATGTGTGAACTGAACTCACCCTGCAGAACCTCCTCAGGACCGTCCAGCAGCCAGCCATTACCCCCCAACCACCGAGGTTTGGGCTGCACCAGCCAGTCCAACACTGACCAAAACACATGTAAAATTTAATCTTCATATATCATCACTTATCAATGCTTTTACCTAAAAAATACACATATGTATTGTAACTATTATCATGCTTGAAGTAATTTAAAACTGAAGGTTTTCTGTCTCTGCAGTATAACCTCAAACACTCCTGTTCTGACCTGGAGGCGGCTGGACGGACTCCAGGCAGGCGTAGATGCAGCCGTTGTAGCAGCAGCGTTTATGGCGCTCGCACTCAGAGTCTGAGCGGCAGCCTGGGACCTCACAGGCTCTCTCTGGAAGCATCTGAGGTGGCGGAGGACATCGGTCGTTCTTCTGGTGCTGTGTGGACTGAGGGTGGTTTGGGTACTCGTAGTCCTGGGAGATGAATTCAGTCATTATTAGGTGCTGACAAACATAATGTTGACCAAAATAGGATAATACAATACTCACGTTAATACAGATCATTTAGATAAATAAAAGCACCAACATGCACACTACCAGCAACAATCTGATTGGGTGGGTGTAAGTGCCAAGTGGGTGGGGCGAGACCTTCTGCAATCACTGCTTCACTACTTCCTGAGACTCAACTTGGACTAGAGGTTTGGAGACTTAACTATGACACTCAATGAATGAATGAACAAAAGAATGAATGAATGAATGAATGAATGAATAGATAAATGGATTTTTGAATAAAAGAAAGATGTAACAATGTTGAAGGATGCTAAATGAAGCTGGTGCAAAGGAAGTGTTGGTTTTGCTGTTGTGTATTTCTTGTTTCTGCATCTGTAACCATGTCTATTGTCAAATTACATTCAAAGTGTGAAATAAAGTAGGAGATAAGTAGTTCAGTCACCAAGCTTAAATTATATGTATATGGCTGGCTGCTGGACGGTTATACATACACATCACCATTCTAAAAACAGTAGAGACTACTTTCAAGCTCTTCGGGTCTCCCCCAAAATACAACCTTAGCTTGAAGTAGTTTAACCCTCCTCCTGTGTTAGAGTCTGTTTTTGTTTTAAATGCTTAAAAGAATCACTTAAATTACCTTTTTTTGCATCAAGACTTTTTTTTTGATTTCGTCAGGAACCTCTTTTTCAGCAAAATAAATAAATAAATTGACCAATTTACAAAGTGCTCTTATGTCATGTTAGGGTCGCTGTCAACCCGATTATATTAATATCTGATAGAGCGAAAACTTAAACCATATGTACACTGTCAGGCACCGCACTGACACTCAGATCCTCTTCCAATCATGTGAGATTAATCCTCACTTTGTCATGTTTTTCCCTGCACAAAAAACCACATCAGGCATGTCCAAACATGTGAGATCAATTCAGTATAGATGTCTGTTTGAGGGGTATACTGACAAAGAAAGGCCCAGAGGCCCACAACAAAAAAATATCATAAGCAATATTTTCATGGATAATGAAGCCTAAAAGTTAACCTAGCAATGAGAACCAAATTGGATATTGAGAATTGATTTTAGTGTGATTTACAGCTGATTTAAGATATGGGTCAAAACCGACCCTTAACATAGTGGGTGCAAAATAAAAGGATAATATTTTTTAATCAACTGTTTTTGAAAGTCTTTTCCCCATGGAACTGCAAAACAGAGTGCACTTTTTAACCACAAGAGGGCATCAGTGGATTTCCGTGATCTCTATCCAGCACTGCAGAGCTGCAGCAGAGACACTGAAGGTTTGGCTTTAGTATGCATGCCTGCCTGCTAACGTCTTGACCTGGATAGAGAAGGTGATTCGCTGTGAGAAAATAACAAATCCCTGGTGAGTTAGAGAGGAGGAAAGTAGGCCACAGGTCCCGAAGCCAAGAGAAGACACACTTCACTCACTTTGGCAACTCAAAGTTTTGGCCTCTGTGCACATTTCGTGTAAATGCTTAGAAGGTTGTTGGCTCTGCTCTGTAGAGGCTAACATAATGGGATCTGTATCACTGCCATGGTCTCTGTGGGTTTTATAGTTTTTACCAAGCTCTTGCTCTTTGTTGATTCATGCTTACTGGTGTGTGGGTTCATGCTCTTTCACAATGTTGGTGTTAAATTTCACCAGTTTTGCGCCACAGAGTAAGCAAATTTTCATTGTTCTGGGTTATTCACACACTGGGAAAATTAGAACCTAATCCCATTGGCCTCTGACTAAACATTTACTCATGTTTTCTCATGCAATGGGTTTGTTTATGCTGAACAAGCTGTAGTGTGATCGAGTATCCTTTGTTCTCTTCCAACTCCTACAAACAGCAATTAACAAACTTTACAGGTTGGTCTGAAATCAGCTCCACAGAAACCACTAAAACTATAACAAGGACCCACTTAGAGATGTTTATAATATAGGGCAGTTCCTTGGTCTTAAACTTATTGAATTCCCTCTGCACTGGAGAGTACAAAGCTGTTTGGTTATCAAACTTCACAAAACCGGAGGAATTTTTTTTCTTCTTCTTACATCTTTGTGTTGAAAGATTACCTTAACCTTTCCATTGTGACTCAAGAGGACCAGCTAGAAACTGAGTAAATTTAAGAGTCTGTTCAAGCCTGGGAAATGCTCTTAAACCTTTTTCCTGGCACTACGTTTTATACAGAACTTCACTTACAAAGAAATTAACACATTGTAAAATATTTACATAGAGAATTAAAAGGTTTACTCATCGGTGAAGGTATGTCTGTCATCTGCCAAATCAAAAATTAAGCTTTTGTTTCTGGACATCATGGACCTTATGCTGTTATTGGTTTTGTTATTGGCTTGTTATTGGAGCACAGTTCAAAAGTCAGCATCCCTGATGATATGGGGATCACCAGAGTCCATGTCATGGGTATCTTCTGCATCTGTGAAGGCTCCATTAATGCTGAACAATATCTACAGGTTTAGGAGCAACATCTGCTGACATCCGGACAAGGACATTTTCTGGGAAGACCTTCATATTTCAGCAGCATATTTCAGCATGACAAACCAAATTCTGACAACAGGGATTACAACAGCATGGCTCTGTAGTAGAAGAGTCTTGGTGCCAGAACCAGCCTGCCTGCAGTCCTAACTTGTCCTCCATTAAAAAACATTTGGAGCATCACGAGATGAGACCATGAACTGTCCAGCAGCATCTCCTCTTTAAAATCCAAAATCTGGTCTCCTTAGCTACTGAGACATTTACAGTGTTGTTAAAGGAGGAGGTGATGCAGCTCTTTTCCACAGCATCCCAACTTTGTACATTTAGATATTGAGTAATACATTACCTTTATTAAGGGGTGTACTGACTTATGCTGGGCACTATACATGTAAGTTTTTTGTATGCAACTTAAAAAAATCTTGTTTGCAATCAATAGCCTACGTTTGGGGAGTATTTTGTTGTATAGTCTGACATAGAAAATGTTGATTTTGAAAGGAAACTAAAGGTTTTCTTATGCTGAGCACTGTATATGTAGACTGTTTTGCCACATTTTTCTTTTACCTATAAATTCTTTCTCACAAACAAAAAGGGCTGGGGGAATTACATGCTCTTGAAAATGTGTCACTCTTACAAATCTGCGAACGGCAGAAATATTAAGGGAAAAAATCTGGTCTCTGTTACTCATTTGCCATTGCAGTAAAGTTGTTGTTATAAAGTTGGGATCACATGCTGTGTCACACAAACCGCCACAAAGTCTGTATCTGAATGTTTATGTTTTCAGTTGTGTGTGGGTGACTTTCTCTGACCTCCCAGTCCCAGCCGTTCATTTGGGAGGCCGTCCCGGAGAGAGAGAAAGAGAGAGAGAAAGAGAGAGAGAGGGAGAGAGAGAGAGAGAGAGGGGCTTTGGTGTTAGTTGTACACAAGATCAGCAATTAGATGTGGGCTGCACTGGGTCATTAAAACTGTGCTGTTTATTTGGCAGCCTCACTGAAAGCCTTTACAAACTGACCAGAAAAATGAAAGCAAATGTTTGGAGCTGTGTTGGAATCACTCATTCTGAACACCCGTTAACTCTTCTGGCAGCTGCTTTCTTAGTGGGTAGATGGTTCTTAAGGAAAGATTCAGTGGATGGATGGGATAGAAATGTGTTGCTCTGCCAGCAGTTGATTTCCTCATGCATGCTTCTGAGACTATTTTTTCTCCCAACTTACTTTGAAAGAGAAGTTCCCTATTTCAGACATCTGAAATGGCTGAATTTCTGTTAATAGTAAATCAAATGTGAAACATGAAATATGCAGAGTGACAAATCTGTAAAGTAAATCTGGCAGGTTAATTTCCCTTGGAACTTAACTGAGTCTCTGTATAAGCAAACACATACATCTACATTTATATTCATGCATACAAACATGCTTTCCCCCAGTTTAAGTGTGCTTGTTATGGCTGCCAGTTTAGCTCAGTGCTTAAATTATGCCCTCTGTGTATCCAACATAGAGAGCATAATGAGTTTGACTCTGACCAGCTGCCTTATGCTGCGTGTTATTTCCCCCTCTGTCTTCATAGTTTCTTTCTCTATTCCACTGTCCTCTGCTATAAGAATAAGTATAAAAAAACAAGTATCAGAGCCCAAAACGCTGTTAAAAAGTTGATAAAGAATATTGATTAAAAGATCATTTTATGAATGAATGAGAACAAGGGTTAAAACATAAATCCTCTGATTTCCAATGGTCACATCATCAGCTGACATTCAAATCATCTTGTTTCCGTTAACTTGTCTCTACAGGAGCACAAAAGGGACAAACTAGTAACTCATGCAGTTTTGTATTCAGTGAGTGCCTGAGTGAAATGCACTGATACACACCTTTGTGCTTATCCACTGCAGTCCTAAAAGCAAAAAATTACTTCCAGCATGCTCGAAAGGTCCTTTCACACCGGGACCATTTTTTTCGTGCGATTATTTCGGACGTCAATATTTTTTTCCGAACCCGTATCCTGTCAATACAAGCGTTCACATCAGCGACGTTTTCCCGTCCTGCGATATTGCAGCATTTATTTTTTCAGATCATGGCGGATTCTTCTGAAGTTTCGCATACTGCGTGTCCACTTCTGACCAATCAGATAGCGTGTTGTTGTGACGTCGATTCACAGGTAAGTCCAACATGGTTGACCGGCTGATTGTTTACACGTGTCGGAGAACAGAGTGTACAACTTGTGGGGGGTCATAGCGTCGGATTTCTCATATGATGATGGTTTGTGTGCTTTAACTGTTTGCTAAATGTCTTTGTTTTAACTTTCATCTGTGCTAAGTAACTTTAGCTCGTAAGCTAACCTGTTCAGATACAAGATACCATATGTATTTTCACTGCCTCAAACTCAATCATGTTGCTGTCACAGCACCATTAGGTCTTGGTTGTTGCCTTATGTTTATGGATTATAGTTTAATGTGCTTATCTGGTACTGGCCCCGACTCAGTACATGCTATCATGACAGACAGACATCTTAACACTAGTGTCTAATCAGAACTGAAAAACAGTCAGTCTGCTGTTGTGTCAGTCTTCTTGCTTCCACCCGGGATGTGTCTTTTTCCCCGCAAAAAGTCGCAAAATCGCATCGGGCTTGATGTGTATAGTCAGGCGCATCAAAATTCGCCTCCGAATATTTCATAATTTCATGTTCTATATTCACATCGGCTCTGGTGTGTAAGGACCTTAACTCTGTGAGTTTTTTGCCCTTTGCTTCTCAGGTTTGATGGGGATTTTACCAGATCGCTGCACCATGATCGCCAAGAAGGAGTTGACCTACGCTGGCACTGTGGGTCTCATCTGCTGGCTGGGCGGCATCGTCCTCATCAACCGCAAGAAGACGAGCAGTAAAAACAAGAGCGTCATGGCCGATGCTGCCAAAACCATGTTGGACGACCAGGTAAACCAGCTCCTGTATTTGGCTCCAACATGCCCCATTGTTACACCTCTGTGTGTTACACATTGCAGACAAGGCGTAACAGGCTGACACAAAACACCTGATTCCTGAACGTTAGCTGGGTCAGTGCTATAATTCCAGTGGAGATGAATCTAGCTTGGTGCTGCAGGCCTCCAGCAGGGGTTGAGGGGCGGGTTGCTGAGGCAATTTATCAGGGCAGATTGAGCAGATCCCCCTGGAGCCACGAACAGCTTTACACAACTGCTTTTTTTTTTTTTTTTTACATATGCACAATTACTGACTTGACTCAGATACATAAAACATCAGACAAAAGGATTGCATACCCTTTACTGCTATAAATGCTATATGCAGAGAGTTACTTCTGTACATAAACAGCAGACTAATGTCTTTTACTCTTCTTTCATGGCTCCCAGTGGAGGAACAGTGGTTCACAAAATTGCCTGGTACAGTTACATCTGTGAAAGAGGACTACAAAGCCTCCTGTGACTGCATAATGACATAATGACTACAACCGTCTCCTCTTATCTCACATCCGATCCTTTCCTTAAGTCTCCTGCAAACGTCTCCTGCAGAAGGTCAAGTGTGCCCCCCCCCCCCCCCGTTTATTCCCTTGTGTCTGTTCATTTTGAGTTTGCTTATGCATTTGGATGTTTCAGCTTCACTGTATTTATTCTCAGACCAATTTTCCACTTCGCTGTTGCTTACATGCCTGTCATTCAGCTTTTACTGTAGCTGCTCTCAAGCCTCTTGTCTCGTCTCCTCTGCCTTCATGTCTTTGTATGCCAGTGGGACCGCCATCCTTCACATCCTGAGCTTTATCACACTATCCTGCCCACATCTCTCTGATGTCCCACATTGTTTATTTACTCTCCTGTCTGCTTTGCCGCTCTCCTGTAGAGAGTCTGCCAGCGGGCCTGTGTGTGATGTTCCTGTCTGTCTGCAAGTATGTCTTTCCTCACCCTCTCAGTATGACACTTTCTCACTGTCTCTATTTTGCTACATTTTTCTAGCTCCTAAATGTTTCCTGCGCCACTCCTTTTTAGTTCTGAAAAGATGTGGCTTCAACAAATAATCCTGTACTGTTCGTTTAATCTTTCAGTCTGCATTCCCCTCACTCTCGTTTTACACCCTAGCTCTTTGGTTTATGGGGAGTTCAACTGTACTGAGATCAGGCTGTTCATGGATCAACGCAGAGATCACAGACAGATACTGAGATCTTTGCAGACTTTAAAACCCAGAAACACACCCAGTCTTGGTCAAATGCACAAAACTGCCGGGTCAAGGTTGTGCACACATTTGCATAAACAAGGAAAGACTGCCTTCCATCATAAAAGTGTCCACACTAATGCGTCAAATCTGCCATGTCTCACATCTGGTTAACTTTTGGGTTGTCAGGACTCATTTCCCGTCTCTGTAGCTGAGTTTGACTGCAAGGTAGATTGACCTGCAGAAAGATGGAAACCCAGCAGGCTTACTGTGAGACAAACCCAGAGCCTGTAAATCAGTCAGAGATGAGTGTTTTAGTGAGTGATGGGGGGACATGCTGACAGATAAATAGGTAGCAGAACAGCTGTGACAGAGGAAGATGTCCTTGTTCTGGGAACGTACAGAGCAAGGTCTAACCCTGAGAGACAAAGGAACAGACTGAACCTGTGTGAGGTGGTGATGTTCGTAACACACAGGACGGATGTAAACTGATATGAAAGCAGCTAATTGGTGCAGGAAAAAAAGAGTCTGAAATAGTGTCTCCAGCCTGTCATTTATGATCTGAGGTGGAAAAGATCAGGGCTGTGTTCAGACTGTGTTGATGAGGACCACCAACCACTGGCATGGGCATTTCAAGCTAAAATACAGTTTGATATACATCAGGAACTACTACCCCTAATTATGTAATTTCATTAGGCACCAAATGTTCTCAATGGATAAGTCTCGACTACAGGCAGACCAGTTTAACACCTGGACCTCTGGAGCCATGCTGTTGTTATACCTGCAGGATGTCTGAATATTTCAGGATTTTCCTGCTGAAATATGAAAAAGGTATCATCCAGATAGCAGCATATGTTGCCTGTGGATATTGTTCAACATTAATGGAGCTTTCATAGCAATGTAAGTTACCTATTTCATGGGCACTGATACATTCCCATACCATCATGGATGCTGGCTTTGGTATCATATGCTGATTACAAACTGGATTGCCCCTGTCCTCTTTAAAGTGGAAGATGTAACATCCACACTTTTTCAAAAAAAATGTCAAATTTTGACAGCACAGATCTCAGATCAGTTAACCATTTCAGCTCAGTCGGCCTGAAACAGACTCTGCTGGCCCAGAGAAATCACCGGCATTTCTGGATCATGTTAATATATGATCTATGGACCATTTTGGCTGGAACACCTACATTTGTGGACGCAGCATCAAACAGAGCTCATTTTAGAAGTGATTTTGAGCCCATAGAGTGATCTCCACTATAGAGTCATGTCTGTTTTTACTGCAGTGCTACTTAAAGATTACAGCCATTGAGTACTGGGTTTGGTCCTTATTTCTTTCTGTACAGAGATTTCTTCAGATCCTCAGAATCTTTAAATGATATCATATACTACAGATGATGAATTACTGAAGTGCTTTAATATTTACACCAAGGAGCATTATCATTGAGTGATTTGCACAATGATAATGCCCAATGATTGGTGCGCCATGTCCCATCTTTACTTGTGAGAGATTCAGCCTCTCTGTGCTGCCCTTTTCATACCCAGTCATGTTACTAACCTGCTGAAAATTTACCTAATTAGTTGAGAGATATTCCTCCAGGTGATCTTTAATAGTAGCAAAAGACTGTGCTATATTTAAATGAAAACTACTGGCAACTTGTCGCATGAGTTTAGGAAAGTGTAGGAATTTTGGAGTAGCCAGTCAGGTTTCAAGATGCCCCCCTTCGCCACCCCGCAGGACATGGCCCTGGTGGGGATGGCCTTGATCAGATTGCTCTGAACTCTTCTTGTGGTGCAGCTGCTGCAAAAAACAAACTCTGGCTGAGCCTGCACTTGGGTTTTCAAAAGTATAGATACAAAAATATTCTCAGTCTCAAACCAGAAATGAATTTCCTTCCTGTAATTGGAAATAAAACTGAGAGCATAATTTCCACTGCCGGCTTCAAGGAATGTCTGAAGCACCAGAGCATCCAGGAGAAATAGTAAACCAGAACTTGGATAAGGATTTATCTCTGTGGTGTGTGTGTGTGTGTGTGTGTGTGTGTGTGTGTGTGTGTGTGTGTTGTATGTGTGTGTGTGTGTGTGTGTGTGTGTGTGTGTGTGTGTGTGTGTGTGTGTGTGTGTGTGTGTGATCAATTGTGCTCCTGAGCGACAGTAACCTCCTGTAAAGTCCAGTACTGTGCCTTTTTGTTTTTATTTTTCCAGTACTGTGCTTCTGACCTGCAGGCTCACATCATCTGACTGGGATTAGCTCTGCTTAGAGCTGCACACACCAGTTCACGAGACTGTGGGTAAACCAAAAAGTTCACATACCCGCCCACTGAAAGCTGCCATACTGTAGATAAAAAATTTAAAAAAAAGAAAAGAAATTCAATGACTCACATTCGACCTGTATGCTTAATGCTTCACATTAGATACGCATTCAGATCTGCCTAAAGTCTGCCATCCATACTCTTCTTCCATTTTGCAGACATGTACCAAATGTTGGCCAGTGTTGAGTGAGGCTTTTGTTTAAACACAGAAAATACAACATCATACTTTGAATGACTGGACTTCTTTCCACATGTTGTGGCGTATTTAATGGCCTCACAGTCCATCACATCTGCCTCTGATTTTACCTCGTTCTTGACAGATATCTTACTAATACTGATATAACTTCACCAGCATTGCTATGTTTGTTAAGACCATCTGGACCATTATCTTTACTAAAGTAACCATAGCTCCTTCAGTCAGCTTGCTCTTATTGGCTATTGTTTTATTCCACGTGACAATCCCAGCGTGTTGTCAGCGTGTTACACATGGTGACCAATGGGCTTCAAAAATCTGCTTCACTAACAAATGAGCTTAGTATGTCCTCCATGCTAAACTCATTCATTACACTGTCCATAGACAAGCCATAGAGTCAGAGATCAGCTGATCTTTCGACTCCCCTCACATAGCAGGACCTGATGGTAAATATTGACCATTTAATTTTTAGCATCCAATCTGGTGTGGCGACTTCAGTCTCTCAAGTTGATTTAAAGTAAGTTTTTTTTTTAGTTGCTGTGACACGCTAAACTCTGTAGAGTGATTTGCTCAACGTGAATACATGCTGCGTCTCTGTAAATAACTCATCAGAGCAAAGTTAAGCGTTAAATGTCTTGAGGTTTAATGAGTTGGTTCTAGACATTAAATTGATAGTAATAGCTGATCATTTGATATCTACATTTTTAAATATAATACCTTAAAATAAAAGTTAATGGTGCAACCTTAAACCAGAGTCCTGCGGATTCCTCTGTTTTAACACTCAGCCTGCTCACAAGGAAGCCATGTCAAGAAGAAGTACTGATTAATGGCCTCATTTCACGGGTCAAAGCTCACAGATGTTAAACTCAGCTCAGACGGTTTGGTCAGGCACTCACTGCTCATGGTTTCTTTGACGGGAACCACAAACTACCTTAAAATACGTTCATTTTAAATGCTGGTGTGAAGAGGCCATCATGAAGCTCATAGGGTGTCTTAGACTTTGTGTTTATCATACATGCAAAGATTTAGGTGAAGTTTTTGCTGGATTCTACCTTCACAGTAAAATGTAGGTTCTGTAAATCTTCACCAACTTAAACTTGATGTTAAATGACCAAGTGTTTGACAAACCTCAAAGTAACAGTACAAGCAGTAAAACCTGAATGTAAAATCCTTCTTGCTTAAAGGAGTGGACAAAGGACATGAGTTACAGTTCCTAAACAGGAAGTCCATGTGTTTTTGAGCGTTTGCAGGGCCCCTCGCTGTTCAATTGGCCTCCACCACATCAAATAAATGAAACTGTGAGACTTACGATGTTAGCCTCAGATACTGTTCATACTCACTGACAAGCCCAGACAGGTGTCCGGGCCAGACTGTGTTATGGCTGTGTGACACAAAATAATCTGCTCTCTCTCTCTCTCTCTCTTTCTCTCTATCTCTCTCTCCCTGTGCGAGCCTGGAATCTGTGCATCTGGAGCAATGATTTCTTAGAGAGGAGGACAGAGGTGCTGGAGGAATCTCAGACTTATGTGCTGCAGCTGTTCTGTAAAGCTATGTACTGTAAACATCTAAAACCTCCAAGAATTTTCTCCTCACCTAAACATTAATCATGAAGTTATGACAAGTGCAGTAGTTTCTGCAGAGCACGAAGCATAAATTTAAGCTTTACATGACCGGCGGCTCTTTACTCCTGTTGAGCTAAAATACAACATCTGTCATGGTTTGTATTCTAAAAAATAAGCTGCCAAAGTAGGGATGCACCTCTTTACGGGTTATACATCAGTACATCTGTAAATAATGTGTCATGCACCTGACTGCTGATTCTGGGAAGATATTTTTTTTGGGTGGAAGTAGTCACCCAATGAACAAGCTGTGTTATTTTCTTTATGGACCATCATGAAAACAGTAATATCTGTGTGTATACAACATCCCTGACAAAGATCAGCAAAATAAAGTACATATCCAAGCAATGTTTAAAGAGTAGAAAGTACTCACATTAATGTTTTATTATGTTATATTTTCTTCTCAAACCCAAGAAGGGAATGAGGAAAGTGCTACTGGTGACCTTTGAACCCCAGGTTTAAGATTAGTAATAACGGATATGACTCATGGACCACCTGAGCCGTAGGTCAAACAGAAACCTGCCAAGCTGCTGAACATGTAAGTCAGGAGAAACCTCAAGGCAAAGCTTCCTGCGACAGTCAGTATGTTTACATGACACTAGAGAAAAACAAATTATTGCCTTACTCCGAGTAAGACCAGACAAATTAAGTGCATGTAAACACCTTAGTCCGACTATAGTCAAAGATCTCCGATTGGAGTCAGAGAACTCTAATTACGACACCCAGATAATGCAATTGGAATTCGATTTTCTCTACCATGTAACCAGCACTTTCGTGTTTCATGTGTGCATGCTCCACGCCTCCGTAACCCTGGAACAAAAACACCACAAAGGATGAGAAGCGTGAACCTCATCTGCAGAAAAAGTAGCACATACATCATGTACAACAAAAACAATGCTGTACTGTAAGATGCTCCATCTTCTTGCTAGAAAATTCCCAGCAGCAGTTGTAGCCACTTCTGACGTAGACCTGCTGTTGTTGTTGACAGTCGTATGGGGTTGGAAACAGCGCAGCTGAAAAGACCCATATCACCCCCTAGTTTTGGTGAGGAGGACATGATCACGTCAATAATTTGATTTTCTCAGCTACATGTATACGCGAACAAGGTGAGAGGTCCATTTCGGTGAAAAAAGTGAATTCTTCTTAAGTGTTCTTAATCTTGTGTGATCGATCATGTCTGTATTTGAAAGTAGAAACATCATTTCTCTTTGCATTGATTCTAGCGCCCATCTGGATTAAAGCTTGGTTTATGATTCTATGTCAGATCTACGCTGTGGGATCGCCCTGCACCTGACATAGAAGCCAACACACATAGCCTGACCCACACTTCCTGAAAACATTGACACGACCCGGACTGCAGAATAATCAACTGCTGTGCACATTTATCAGCTTTAACCCCAATACATTATGTTTGTATTTAGTTTCAGATTTAGTGTGTCCATGTGGCTACCAAATGTGTCCTTCTTTGCGGCACTGTTTGGTTTATCCCTCGTGGTTCTTTGCACGCTGATGAGAAAGAAATAGTGGGCTCTCAAACTGCAGATGAATACACTCTATATTTGATCTTAACTCAGGAATGAACAGTGGCTGACTGGTTAAGGATTGTCAGTGGTCTGGTCTGACTTGTTCGAAGGCTGCCCTAAATTGGGACCAAGCGGCAACCAGCTGTCAATTAAGGCCGATGGGGAAGTGCTAAAAACTGCAGTTCTCTGAGTTTCTGCTTGAGGTATCACATACACATTAAGCCAAGAGCAAAAAAAAAAAAAGACAAGATGTTTACAGGCTGGTTCAAAAAACTGATTTGATCTGATTCACTTGAGGCTTTCAATGGCCACTGTGCAAGGGTGAGTTTTTTGTAACATTTGCATTGAAGTTATTCAGATTACAAGATCGATAAATCAGAGAATGACTTGACTGACCGACAGGCACACTGTAACCATTTGTAAATAGACTTGGTTTAGACAGCATTAGCAATATGGCAACCCCCACCAATCAAATGTCAAATGTAGCACTAAGTATAAATATCTGAATCAGTAAAGGTAAAATGACTTTTTTTTTCTCATTTGCTTGCATTGGTTACAGGTAGTGAAAAAATAGACACGCTTACTCTTGTCGCCGTTGGCCTCTTTAGCTTTTATAGGCTGTAAAAATGCATTAATTAAAATTTGAGTCTTTTTCATAAGCAGCTAAAAACTTCTGCTGGAGTCTTTCAGAAAAACTCATGAAAGTCTCTGATCCTGCAATGTGATCTAGCTGAGCTTTAGGCGTTCACAGATCTGTGAGTATTTGAGTGATTCTCTAATGCATCTCCAGACGAGTACGGTCAAATCTTAGACATTTCATATTTTATTTTGATGAATGCATAAAGATGAAAAGATGTGCTGTGAAAGGAAAGTACAGGGAGCACAAATAAAAGACAGACTCTTAGCCTGCTGGTGGCCCTAAATTTCAGACACACTGTTCCAGTGCCAACATGAAATACTCGGTGACTATAATTTGTCTCTCTGCACAACCCAGTGTTGTGAATAAGGCTGAGGGTGTGTGTGTGTATGTGCGTGCAAAGGAGGTGGTTGAAAAATGAAAGATTAAAAGATGCAGAGATGAAAAGGTTCAGAGGGAGAGAGACAAACTCCATCTGCACAGCCTTCTCAGCATGTTCCAATTACTGCCGCTTTGAAGCAGAGTCCAGCAAGACGTTTCTCCTGGAGAGCCAGAGGAGACGAGAGAGAGAGGAGAGATTTGAAGAGGAGAAAATCTGGGGCGATATGCTGGGATGGGCCGGGGATATAAAAAGACGAGCAGAGAGAGGGTGAAAGGGTAACTGTTGTATATGAGAGAGATGGAGGCCGGGAACAGGAGAGGGAAAAGGCCGACGAGGGCACGGACCAGTCAGAAAGTGAGAACATTGGAGCACCAGAGGTTACAGAGAGGGAAAATAGAGACAGCAGCACGCTACAGTGAGCCCTTGTTAGAGATGATCAATCAGCCAAACTGAGCTGAGTTAACAAGCAGGGGCCCAGTCTGCAAGTTCAGTTCCTGCCCTGATTATCCACAGCAAACACACACACATACACACTCACAACACACACTGACTGAAGTCCTGCATCCAGTGTGCGCTTTGACTACTCATATGGAAACTGGAAAATCAGCGACTTATTCCAACCTGTTGAACTCAGCCCTTTGCTGCTCATCAAAACAGAACAACTCTGCCATCAATGCTAGATTTTTATGCTACAAAATCAAAGCTGCCCCTGAAATCTCTCTATTCAGGTGATGAGAAAAGTTCAAGGTCCTCCATTCAGTCTCCGTAAGTCTCCACATTTCAGAATCATTATCACCGAACTGAGCAAGTACCAAAAGGACGAAGCCTCTAAAATCTAGTGCTGTGATATATTACTATAAAAATGTATTCTTTTTACTTGATTTAACTTCAAATCTAACACCAACACAGTCAAAAGGTCCCATGGTTCATCCTCCTGATGTTTCTGCGATGAAAATGTGTGTTTTGGTCAAAGAATCTGCTGTGAGTTTATGCAATTCTTCTGCAAGTCATCCCCCTATTTTGATAGACTGAATTTGTTATGAAAAAAAATCAGCAAAATTTAATCGATGATTTAATCGATTTGTTTAATGTCAATGAAATAGCCGAACTTGTCGCCTATAATCTTATTTTAAATGTTTGTCACAATGAAGCATTAGCACAAGAGTGACAATATTTCAAAACCAGTCTAAAGGTCCTTGCACACTGGGAACGACGCAAATATATGCTGTGAAATTACAAAACATTCAGAGGCTAATTTTGACGCGCCTGACTATACACATCAAGTGCGATGCGATTTTGCATTGAAAAAAGACGCGTCCCGGGTGGAAGCAAGAAGAGTGACATAACAGCAGACTGAGTGTTTTTCAGTTCTGATTAGACTCTAGTGTTGAGATGTCTGTCTGTCATGATAGCATGTACTGAGTCGGGGCCAGTACCAGATAAGCACATTAAACTGTAATCCATAAATGTAAGGTAACAACTGAGACCTAATGGTGCTGTGACAGAAACACAATTGAGTTTGAGACAGTGAAAATACATATGGTACGTTGTATCTGAACAGGTTAGCTTACAAGCTAAAGCTACTTAGCACAGATGAAAGTTAAAACAAAGAAGTTTAGCAAACTGTAAAAACACACAAACCATCGTCATATGAGAAATCCGACGCTATGACTCTCTACAAGTTGTCCTTCAGGTCGTTATCTCTGTAATGTTTGTGTCTTTTATCAAAAAGCACTCTATTCTCCGACACGTAAACAATCAGCCGGTTGGCCATGTTGGCTATACCGGTGAATCAGATGTCGCAACAACATGAAATCTGATTGGTCAGACGTGGACACACAGTATGCAAAACCTTAGAAAATTTGACGGTGATACGAAAAAATAAAAGCTGCAATATCGCAGGACGGGAAAACGTTGCTGATGTGAACGCTTGTATTGACAGGATACGGGTTCGAAAAAAAAAAAAATCGCACGAAAAAAATGCTTGCGGTGTGTAAGGACCTTTAGACTTCTCACAGTGCAACCAACAATGCAATAATAGAGCCCTTTGGTGTCCTTTAGGGGTGGCCTTGGGTGGATTTAATACCTTAAGAAGGAGCCAAACTACTTGTTGCTTCCAGCATTTAAGAACACTAGGTTTGCATTAATTTTGGTGCCCCCTGTGGACAAAACAATACACTTTTTCTCTCTGCTTTCTTGTCATGTAGGAAAGAAATCTTATTTTGCTTGATATTAAAAGTTAAATGCTTTACCAGTTGAGAACATTTGCTGCAAAAAGAAACAAAATCTTTTCTTCAGCCCTATGTAAGACTGATGCCGATGTTTGCTTCCATGGCTCATTAAGAGGCATATCACTTTTCATTTCCTTCAGAGGATGGTTAAATTAATGTATCAATCCTTTCATTCTTTCAGCTCTGTAAGAAAATATCCTCATGTCCTACTAAAGGTTCATGGTCAAAGCACTGGGTTAACTTTCACCACTGCTTTTTTCTTCACTGAAGCGCTCACACCAGGTCAACCAGCTCTCACCTCAGCCACAGAATTTCTCTGACTGTGTGAAAGCTGCTCTCTGTGACAGAGCCGGCATTGTACTGAAACCCTGTGAGCTTTCACCTACTTCCACTTTGCAGGAAATTTAAGAAAGAGCCATAAAACAGAGATATGGGGGAAACATACACTCAATCAGCCACAACCAAAGGGAAGTTTGCAGTCTCACCTTATGATTGAGTCCTCTTTTCCTGATCCGTCTGCCATCACTTCCTGTGGACAGGACCAACAGGGACAGCAGCAGCAGCAGCAGCACAGAGCCCGGCATGGTCTCTGTCCTCCACCCCTACTCCAAACTCTGTCTGTGTCCTCTCCTTATCTCCTCTCCTTTTCCTTCTTCCTTTCCCAGCTCCAAAGTTTGTCCCTTAGGCGTTAGTGCCTCCTCTGATAAGTTTCTTCTCCAGCTGAAGCAATAACTCTGGTGCTCATGTGCAGCCCGAGATTACACAAGCCCTCTCCCTCCAACAGGACCTGCCTTTTTATCCGCCTGAGGAAAAGTGCAGATCAGAATGACAAAGTAGAGGGGAGGACGGGGAAAGTACAGAGGGTGAGAAAGGAGGCAGTGAAGGGGAGAAATCAAAGAAGGAGAAAAGTAAGGGGAACGAGAGGAGGGGAAGGAGAAAGAGCAGCTGTCTGTGCATCAGTCTCTGAGAGCTGAAACTGTGTGCTGGCACAGTGTGCGCACATGTCTCTGGGATAGAGGAGGGGTAGGGGAGAAAGGAGGGAGGGGAGGGTGTTAGAAAGGGCAGTCTGTGAGACCTCCCCTTTGCCCCCTTGTTGCATCCTGCAGCACATCTGTTGATCTTTATGTGGATTTGACAGAGCTCTGTCAGTGAGCAGCGGGTACATATTTTATTTTTTGCGGTCTGTGTTTTCATGTTTTTCTTGCGAGCAGTATTGTAGGAGGGAAAATAAACGGTTTTGCTAATTGTGGGGTTTGAGAGTACTTGTTGACTTCGAGGTTGCATTCACAGCATGCTTCAAAACTATTAACTGTTCACCATCCCTGTTTACATTCCTGATGCTCTTAAAGACTGGATGTGCATGATTTATCCGACAGTGTGGCAGGGGATACTTGGACACATCTGAACACATCTGAATGTGCGTGTCTGTGTGTGAAAGTCCTGTTTGGAGAGGATGCAGTGTTATTTCAGTGCCACTGACCCACAAAGAATGGGAGCATAGAGCAGTTCAGGGAAAGGGGCCTCTCTATCTCTTTCTCCATCTTGTGCTTCACTTCTCTTCCTTTTTGCACGATTTCCAAGTTGCACTCTCTCAAACTAGGACATATCCCCCCCCAATCTCACCCCCCTCCACCACCTTACCCCAAGACCTTTCTCCGCTTTCCATCCCCACCCCTCCCTCCACTCCTAGTGTCTTGCACTGAAAGGGAGAAAGAATGCTAAGCCCGCACAAATCTCGGTCATTATTAGTTTTACAGGAGCAGGGCTCATGTCACTGGGAGGCCCTGGCTTCACTTACACAAAAGGCAGAGTAAAGAGTTAGAGCGGGAGAGAAGAGACACAACACAGAGGGAGGGGAGGGGGGATAGTGGAAGAGACTGCATGAATGAATACGTGGGAAAGACAGAGATATGTTCCTGGGCTTTCATAAAAGTTTGATTACATCATGATTGTTTTAGTTCCTTTATTTGGAAACTTTCACCTTCTACTGTGGTAACCTTGCAAGAGAAAGGTCCTGCAGAGAGAGTTATGCAAGAAGATTGTATATCATGTTAAAAGCTAAGCTGGCTTGTGATTCCACCAATGTGCCCTTGGCAGACATTTTCAGGATATGCTAATGCACTAAAAAGGTCTTTTCAGCCTGCAAAAGGTTCTGCAGGCGAAAATCTCCAAAAGGATTTGGCCTGCAGCACAAGTGCCATGGTTGTATTTTACTTGATGTCAATCCCATTTTATGCCAAACACCAGCCTGATGTGAAAAAGGTAAGTGAATCTCAGTGTTCATAGGCATTTTGGACTAAAAACAAAGTGTAGTCAGGTTGGTCTGAAGTTTGAAATCAGAGATGCAACAGGTTACTTTTATTTATGGTGACCATATTTTGAACCCCCAAAAGAGGACATGACAACGCAGGGGCGGAGTCACAGAGTCGCACTAAAATAATTTTGAGAGTTCTTCGGGTCTGATCGAGTGTCTTTTACACGCTTCTAACTCAGTAAGTCCACGTGACACACACTCGAAATTTCCACACAAAACCCCGACATTCAGAGGATTTTATAAACTTCCCCAGACAAAGCTAGACAAGGCCAAACAGCCCCTAAAAAGAGGACATGTCCGGGTAAAAGAGGATGTATGGTCACCCTGCTATTATTTAGAGAGCATATTAGTTAGACAGGGAAGTGGACGTAAGAATTTACAGTGCACATATCTCCACTCACTACACAAAAACAGAGAGGCACAGCAACACTCCAGTTCACGAAGAAATTTCAATGTGTTATCAGTCTTTTAATGTTTTACCGAGCTCTCTCTCTCTCTCCAGCACATTCAGAAACAGATACATGCAACACAGGAGTATTTCTTTCAGCTTTTAATAATCCTCAAACATAACTCTTTGTGCTGTGCCCACAGATATTTGTAAAAATAGAACCATCCATTACACACACAGTGCAAAACACAGCTGTGTAATCCAGCTACAAAATATCGTAATGAAGATTTACAGCCCACCGGTTTCGATATAAAGTGAGTGGACATGAATTATCATGATAAGGATATGATACCATTGAGTTTTAAATGATAAGTAGAGTCACCCTGCGGTGACTTGTGTGTAAGTGTACTCTTGTTGGGAAAGTCTCTGTGCAGAGGGATTGTTTGATTGGACATGACATAAATTCATGAATTTACATGAATTACATGGTTTAAGTTTTCTGCATTTTTAGAGGCACAAGAAAGGAAGTTTTGTATGCTGGCTTGAGCCCAGGCTGAAATCAATCAACAGACACATCTGACTCTCAAAGGATTTGTTTTGAACACACCTTTGAATAAATGAGGGACTTAATCCAACCCCTTTATTCCATTTGCTTCACTTAAAGCCCACATAGTGTGCAGCTTGGAAAACAAGTAGCAGTCAGACACATCTTGATTCTTTCAGAGGAAGTGCTTTTTAAAAAAGGGGCCAAACTCAATGTCTGACAAGATGTCAAAAAGGCCAAAAACAGTGATAGCAAAATATTCCATATACTCAACTTCACTTATAGATTCATAACATACCCTAGAGGAGTACTCATTCATTTGCTTCTGATGAGTCTCAGTTTCACTGTAAATTGTAAGTCAGTCACAAGCTTCACTGTGGTTCACTGTAGCATGGAGAAACCAACTTTCTGTTGGTTGACTTGCAATGAAAAACTCAGATAAGAATAACATGATGCATATTTGTTAGGTGTGTAAAGTCAAATATTTCCTAAAAAGGAGAAGAAACAAACTTGAATGGATTGTTAGCTGAACAAAGATAAGAACAGTCAGTTCTGAAACATGCCAGGAGTTTGGAAAATGTAAAGCCTGATTAACTTTTGTCGCACAGATTGAGCAAAGTAGTTGCTTAAGTTTAAATCTTTATTAAAAACAGATTGTATGCTGTACTTGCCCACAGATTTCAGTGCATAGACTTAGATTGTAACTGCAATGTCTGTGTCTACTCTCTGCCCAATTCATCAAAATCCAGACCTGTACCAACAGATCTTACCGTACATTATTGCAGGAACTGTAAACTGAGATACGATGAACCTCAAACAATAAAATGAAACAACGCTAAACAGATTGAAATCAAGATTCAGCTCTGTTTAAACCTGTCTTGTCGTAGTTCTGCCAAAACTACACCACATCCTCTGCTGTCTTCAGTTCTCCAACAATTAATGGGCTAAAACAGCAGCTGCAGTTTCCAGTTATGACAGTGTGCTAATATTCCCAGACGTGTTCCCACATTTATCATCCATATCCTGTCTCGTCTCTGAATGTGGAATGTATACATGAATATGAAATAAACCTCAGAGATGTATGCATGGCTGGAATGAGAGGTGAAACATCTACACACTGTAAATTCAAAGCAGAACATGCATAAATTTAAAGCAGAACCAAACACTTCACCCAGCCTGCTCCCAACTTCATCTTTGCAGCAGTGAGAGAAACTGAATGCCAAACTGAATGCCAAAGCAGTACAAAGAAAAACAGTTGGAAAGAGGGAGGGAAATCTTGGAGATAGAGTCTGCCAAAAGACAATCAGAGACAAACCCTCCACTCAGACACAGAGACTCTTCTCAACTGAAAGGCGTCCTCTGGAGGCTCTCTCACATTACACTGTTTCTGCAGGGTGGAGGTTCCAACAGTCTCACCGGATGTCATATAAGACGTAGTGATGGTCAAGACTGACTCCAGTCTGATTCATATCAAGACGCTGGCAGCAGCCCAGAAATGGATCAGGCTCAGAGATGAGGCGGCTCCTCAGACACGTGACGATTATTCAAGAGTGATTCTGCTCAGATGGATGGGAATGGATGCGCGGCATGTGATCCATAATAAAATCCAGCTTGTGCATCTGGACAGAGTGTGTTATTTTGCAGACTGTGAGAGAGTTTCAGCCAAATGTGTTGATGGAGTTTTGTCTCTTTGTGTGTGTGTACAAAAACTTTACAAGGTGTTGCATGTGCATACAGCTGATATTCATTGTATAAATGACAGTAGGTTCAGAGAGTATGATGCTTAGTATATACTGTCTGTAGCATGTCTGCTCCATGTGATTGTTAAGAATCTTTGTCTTGTTGCTCTATATTGCAAATATAGAGTGTTGTATATCAGGTTACTTTGTTACAGTGATAGAGAAAAGCGTCATTTATTTAGAAATAGCAAAAAAGTGGTGGACTGACCAACAGATTAGCAAACGGAAAGATAGTTTTTGTCCACAGAGCCATTTTAGTGGCTTCAGTCAAAAAACAGTGATCATACAAAAATCATTTTAATATAGTTAATCCATTTTAAAGTTAAACTCCATTAACATTCTGACAAAGTGAACAGAGTAATGATCAGTACATGTTTGTTTGCTCTCTTCTCTGGCAGAGTCCTCTTGTTGGTGAACCCTGACGCAGAAGTCTGTCAGAGACATTCATTCCAAATCAGTGCTGTCAGATGGGGTCAGAGGTCAACCTGAAGGGTCAGAGGTCGGTTGTGATTGGTTGGTTTGAACCAGGCTGCTGGATTTAAAGAGGTATGAAAGTTGCACTCAGAGGCTTTAGTGCAGGGTTGCTTATGCTGCATGTGTTCCTAAAAGGGTGGCCAGAGTGAGCTTTTGCATTGGCATACAACGGTTTTCAGTTGCTTTATAATGAACTTAGTCACGCATGATACCATATATGACAAATATATTTTCTAATAAAATATAATGTTGTGTAATATTATTTTTCCTAGATTACAGAAACTGTAGATGCATTTTTGAGTGTGATTTGTATTTGCCTTTCAAGGAAGGGAAACACTGTGAATGCAGACCCAATTAAACTGTGCATCGGCAAAAACTTTCACAGAAATAGTGTATTTGTGCACTGACTACAAACCAAATTTTGCCTGCAGTGATTATCTGTTAATAGTTAATCTGTTTTTCTTCTTATGTGATCTCATTCTGCAGTTTTCTGTTAAGAGAGAGGGGGAATACACATCTCCACAGTTGTATGCTCTTAAAATAGGGAGTATCAGTACTTAGACTCATTCAGACCTAATTTTCTCTCTTTGATGTGCTTTATATCAACTCCAATAAAAACCTACTTTAGTCTTTTTTATTGCCTCTCCTGTCTCTCATTTAAAAAGCTCTGAGAGCAATAAATGTTCCCCAGCATTCACTTTTAATTTGTGTCTTAGAGAACATAAAGCTCCAACAACAAATCTGCAGATAAATAGGCTGATAAATCTCTGACTAATGGCTGTCCGTGTACGGATGTGTGTTAGTCCAGTTTATACACTTTTGGCAAGAGCAATGTTATTAAAGAGGCTTAACACACACACACACACACACACACACACACACACACACACACACACACACACACACACACACACACACACACACACACACACACACACACACACAGTATAGATTCACAGACAGAGGAAGATTGTGTTGTGGATTTATTTGACTTTAAAGAGACGGGGAGACGCCATCCGCTCCACTTACTGCACTATTGACCTGATTCATCAACACAGAGATGGGAAAGTTTTGACAGAATCCAATTATGTTTCTCTCTTAATAGATTTACTTGAAAAATGTCAGATATGATGAAGCTTTGTACTGCCTTTAAATCATACCGTTTCATGTGTGAGATACTGAAACTCAATACTGGCTCAAGTGGATGGAAAAAAAAATAAGAGAGGATAAGTGGATCATTAATTTACAATTTTATAGCCTGGCCGACATGAACTTAGGACACTAGAAAGCAAAAGCAGATAACAGTTAACTTTTTTTTAACAATTACCAAAAGTAAACACAAAATTTTTGCACTTTAAGACTGTCACTTTAGCACTTCTTGGGTAATGACTGGAAATTAATTTGATCAAACACTGAGAAGCATTTAACTCAAACTGAGTAAGCTGAAACTCTCGGTGTGTGAACAGGTACTGAAGTCTGTCAGGACAGTTTTCTGAAGTTGGCTGAAAAGGTTACCTTCACCATCAGGACCTCACGGACACAAGATTAAGAAAATTTAGTTTTCAACCTCTGTCAGATCACATCGATAAAACACTTTCGATCCATGTCGGGTACTGAGTGCAAGTGACCTTGCTGTCAGAGGGCATGAAAAAGTTTGTATGGAATAATTAAACCCCGTCCTCTCTCTGCGTCCTAAATCTAGAAACTTTTTTTTTAATTGAAAGTATCATGAAACAGTGTCTTAATTATTGTGGACCCTTGGAATGAAACGTTTTGCACTTGTCTTAGATAAAAGTGGTTACGTGATTTGTTTTCCATGCATTTGTTGTTGAATAAACACAAATCCTTATTTAAAACTACTTGTCTTTGCTCAAGACAAGTAAGATGCAAAGTATTGAGATAACATACTAATTTGTAGCT